AACGGAGCCTGCATTTACGAGCGACACCTCCCCGGCAATGCCCACATCACTGCACACGTCCAGCGCCTCCAGCACGGGTTCTACTCCAGCCCCGCCGTGTCCAACCAAGACTACAACCACGTGGACTTTCTCGGGATCACTTTTGTCTTCCACTCGCCCAATACGCTCGCGCATCGCTTCAAGGCTGCCACCATCCGAGCCTCCATCCACGGCACGAGGGAACAGTCGTCATCCAGCAACCGGACCCGCAACCCCCGCTTCCTCATGCACGCCCCGCACCTTCTCTACGGCGCCGTCTCTCCCGAAACCCTGCAGTGGAACTACAGCCTCAGCGGCTCGCTCGGGGTCTCCGACCTTCCCCTTGTCGCCAGCTTGTCGCCGACTGGTGGCATGAATGGGCGCTACAAACGGTACGAGATGATGCGGATTCAGGGTTCGGTGCGATCGCTCAAGAGCCCACGAGGCCGGTATTTCGACGTCGAGGGCGGCGAGATCGTGTGGACCCTGGAAGAGAATAGTCTGCAGCGATCGGGGCTGCCCCGCGAGTTCACGTTTGCCCTGTTAGTCTCGAAACCACGCTCCGAAAGCCGGATCCAGTTCGCGCTGGACATCGACCCGGTCCTCCAATGCTGGTGGGCGAATTACCCCGGGCCCCTGCTAGCCCTACCGCGGTATAAGCCCGTGCGTCGACGGCCGGTGGATTTCCGAACGGAAGTGGGCCAGCGTTTCGAACCCCTCACGGCGGAGAAGGGGTTCAACTTTGCGGCACTGGAAAGCTCCTTTGATGATTATGTGCATATGCCCGGTCGGAAGTTCTCCTCTGGCGTACGTGACTTGGTCCCTTCCCTGATCCCATTTTGTCTCGCTAAGTAGCCCAGATTTCCCCGGACGGCGGAACAGCGGACGACAACGAACTCCGACGCGAGGTGACCCGGGATTGGACCATGATTGAACCCTTGCGCGGCGTTCCCAAGATACCGGCCATGTTGGGCAAGCCAGGGTTCAACCAGACAATCCCAACTGCTATCCCTGGATTCGACCCAGGATCGTTTACGATGCGATTACTGTTAGATAATGCGCAGGGTCAGAGTGGCAAGCACGCGCAGGTGGCGTCGGAGGTGACGAGTACTCGGGGAGGGCAGACGAGCGAACGGAGGTCAGCAGACCGACGACGGAGCACGAGGGGGTGATCATATCTTGCATGGTGGAGTTGGCGGTTCAGACTTTTATTCTATGCATCAAATTTTCCTAGAAGCGTGGGCATGATACCCGGTTGAAGTATTTACTTAGAAAGGAGTTGCGTTAATATGCATAGCATAACATAGCATAGCATCCGAATTTCATATCATTCATACATACATACATACCCTCGGAGGAATAAACTTCACCCCAGACCCAAAGTCAAAAGACCACACTCTCCCTCGCAACAAGAACCTTAACCAAAAATAAGACCTGAAACAAGCCACCCACCACCTTATCCTTATCCTTATCCTTAACTCTTATCCTCCCTCATCCAGAGACCCCTAAAATCATACATACAAGCAGGCCAAAGCCATCCCCATACAACCCCTACAAAGAAGAAACACATAGAGATAGAGATAGAGATAGAGAGAAAGACCTAATAAATGAAAGAAAGAAAAGAAGAAAGAAATCTATACATATGTAATCCATCGATGCATACCCATGAAATACAATACAGTATGGTATATACCATACTACCCCGAAACATACTTACATACAGTGTACGGTTTAAATACATACAATACAACCAGTCTACCACCAGAATCCATACATACACTGTCATGTCCAGTCCATTCATTCACATCTAGAATAGAAACCGACAAACAAACATACAACTAACTAGCCCAGATCCACTCAGATTAGGTTTTCTTAGAAGCTAGGGAAACAAAGATCCTTCGATCTGAATCTTCTTCACTCAGATCATAGGCTATCTACTAGCTAGGTATAATGTAGTGTGTTTAATCAAGATTCAACTCTATCTTGGTCCTCGATCTCGATCTCGATCTACTTGCCTAGTTCTAGTATATACGCTCCACTCGTTGTTTACAGTGTAGGTAATCTATGTAGATAGTAGATAGATACAACCAGGACACAAGGGAAGGAAGAAGGATGTGCCTGGGGAGTCTAGAACTCGTGAGTGGAAACCAGGTCAAGTGTAACGGTGACATTCATATGAGTATTCATTCATCAATGATTGCTTTTCTGATTCTGATGGGGACATGTAGCTACCTATGTCGTATGTGTGTTATCTTCTCTGTACAGCTGGATGAGAAACCTGGATGTTCTAGACCATCTATATAGAGATGGAGGATAGATGATAGTCAATCGGTCATGTTGTTGGTATCTAGATGAAGAGAGAAGGCCGTCCACCGATACCCTGAGAGTGATGATATCACCAGCGCTCCACATGCATTAGACATCCCATGTCCCAACCAAAATGAAAGAAATAATCAATAAAAATGAAAAATCCAGGCTGAACGAAAGCAGGGGGAGCTTGTGAAAACCGCCCCCCCATCGCATCACACCGACCCAGGGGCCATTCGCGCAAGTAAGTTTCCATGTACACCAGTAACCCGTGGTTTCTCCCATATGTAACACTAAAGGATATGATAGTGGCAAGCAAGCAATGAATGAGCAGCAATACACAATGAAGTTCTCAGATAACCGCCCCAGACCATGCCACCCAAACCGTCCCATTGCTCATAATCACATAAAACAAACCAATCCTCACGTGCAAATCAAACGACGGAACAGAAAATCCCACAGAACCCCCCAGGGTAAACCACCAACAGCGTTGCGCGAAAAGGCTAGAAAGAAGGTATTTTGATCGGCATCATGTCATCGTAGGGGTAACAGAAGAAGCAGCAACAGGAAAAAGCCACCCATGTCTCCTCTAAGAGCGTTTTCCCACCCGAGTAATCATCCACAGCGTATATGCATAGTCTATTCCCAAATTGCCGCCCTTCTGGAGAAATAAAAATAAAAAAAAGTACCGTAGAAAAGAAAAGAGGGGGGAAAAGAAAGAAACGAAGGTAGATCAAGGGAATGATCGAGTTTCATCGATCATATCTGGGGCTGCGCCGGAGCCGCCGTCGTCCACGTCGACACCGGATAATTGGTGTGCGCAGCCGGCGCTGTCGCTCCCACATAGTATTGGTGCCGGTCTGCGCCCGTGTAATAAGGCGCGGGGATGGCGTTCGACTCCCGGCGAGGGATGCCCGAGTCAAACGACCCCAAGCCACGCTGCTCCAGGGGCTGGTGTGGTCCGTCGAGCGGGCCCAGGCTGAAACTTCCTCCCCGTGAATATGTGGCGGGCGTCGCGGGATCGATCGGAGAAGTTGCGTCGGTCGCAACACTGCGCGAGGATATTGACGAGTTTCGATAGGCAGAAGGACTGTGATCCGATTGGGATCGGTTGCGATCGCTCAGGGAGCTCGGGATACCCGTATTGAGCGCGGAGGGGATCGACGACGACAGGGGATTGTGACCCAGGTCGAAGCTCGTCCCATACTGGGTGGGAGCCCGGAACTGCGAGTAGTCGTCCGGCTTCTGCGGAATCTGGGTCGGCGCAGACGGCGCAGGAAGATACGGATTCGAAGCCGGCTGGGCGGAGATGGATCCTGCCATGGAGTACCCTGGAATGGGCGCCGACTGCGGAGGATGAGTGGTATACGGGGTGGTGTGCAGGTAGAATTCGGGGTGAGGATTGGGAATCGCATACCCCGGCGGCGCGACCAGCTGGGGTCGGTAGCCGTACAGCGTATGGGGGTCATTGGGGTTCTCCAATCCACCGGTTTCCAAGTCATCGATCGGGGCGCGGAAGCTTTGCTTCTGTGTCAGTTCGACACGAGGCCGAATGTACCGCAGCGTATCGACCATTGAGGGTGGGTTCAACAGCCCCCGCATCACATCCTCCACGCTGTAGTACGACACCAGGTGGTGTGTCACCCCCGAAACCGTCACACTCATTGTCTTCTTGACCAGCCCCGAATCCTTGAAGCCATAAGAGTCCACAAGCGAACCTACCAGAGCCCTCTCCACGTCCGACTGGTGTGGCCGGTCCCCGTAGGGACCCGTTGTCGAAGATGGCGAATAGCCGCCGTTGCTCTCCTGTCGCGGATATGGCTCCCCAGGTCTCGTCGACGGCACCGGGCGTCGATTGGCCTTCTTCATCGCTCGCTTCTTTTCGCCCGGAGGGAACGGTTTCTCCAGCTCCCGATACACCAGGAAATTGCCCAGGATCCGGCTGGGACTCCAGGTCACGCCGTCCGTCCATCGCTTGATGCCGGAAGAGTTCTCCTCGTAGATGAACACACTGCCGCTGCGGACCAGATGGCCGCGTTCGCGATCGTGAGGCCGACGGGGCACATGGTGTAGCACTCCCGTCAGACAGGCTTCGAACAGAATCAGCGCATCCTGTGTTGTCGCGACGTATCCCGTGAAGGTGGGCTCCAACACCGTAGCGGTGCCGTTGACCATTGTTTGCGTTTGGTTATGTAGGTTCGAACCTAGTTGCGTAAGGGGCCAAAGAGGTAAAATCGATCAAAGTTACGGCCACGGTTGATCAAGGTTTCCCAGTAACTCGGCTAGAGGGTCGACCAGGGTGTCGTGTCACTGGCTTTCGACACCAAGCAGAGGAGGGATCACAGTAGAGATCAAACAATTCCGCCTGACGAGCTGTCAGAACGATTTCTTTGTTATCGGATCTTTGCAAGCTAAGATGAATCCCCGAGCTAAAAAGTGACGGGGGGAGGCTGGGTGGGTGGGTTGGAAGGAAAGGAGTGAATCGGACACCAAAAAAACAGGGAGGGGGAGGCAAATAACCTTTGGAAGACGAGGGTGGGAACGTCCGGCGCGAAAGAGAGGGAATGACAAGTTGAAGAAGCAGCTGGAGATGGTGAACCGTAGGAAAAGGGTGGATTGGCGCAAGTTTAAAGCGCCCCCCTCCTTCTGAGTTTAAGGGCTACTACCAGACTTGGGCGACCCGGATCGACAGCGAGCACGGGCCCGTCCTTTCCCAAATCCTCGCACAGGCAATGGGCAAAAGGGTGGGATCTGGAGACTGGAGAGCAGCCAGCGTCTGGCCCTAGTACTAAGGGTAGAAAGCTGGGTCGACTGGAGCTCCGGTTCCACGGATAGCGATCGGATCGAGGTAGGTTGACTCGCTCTTCAACCAAACCAAGTTGCGGGAATTCCCAAGCTTTCTGCTGGCAAGGAGAAACCCGTTTTGACAGGGAGTTTAAATACCCTGGTCCGGGGACGCTGCTTCACTGGATGCCAATATGTCGAGATTCAATCAATCAATCAATGCTCAGCTTACGCTGCTGTTGCTGGATGAGCTGTTCGGAGCCTGTTTCGGAGCAGGTATGTAAGCCGATTTATCCACTCTGGAGCTTCACGACAACAGCCACCCGGGCCATGCGAGACCAAGGGCGTGCGATGGGTGCAATAATAAAACAAGAGACCAGGAATGTTTCAAGTGAATCTAGTATGGTGCTGAATGGAGGACGGAGAGGGGGGGCGAAGGGAACTCGAGGGCTAGAGGGGACAATAGTCGACCTTAAACATCCGTGGAACGGGACGGGGAAGAGAGAGGGAGAGAGAGAAAGGCAGATAGAAATAAAATAGAAAGGGAAATAAATGCAGTCCCATCGCAATGGAACTGCTGAAATGAAATCGCTGTATGGGGAAGAGCTGCGCAGAAAATAACGCCAGAAATCCATCCCAATTCCCAGAACTCTGGCAGCGTATCCATGTACGGTATGGTAAGGAAACATCGTGTTTTTTTTTTTGCCCTCGCCCATGGACATTTGGGCCCTTCCAAAAGAAAGGAGATGTCTTAGTCATTTTTTTATTTGGGAGAAGGGAGTCAAAAATGGGGAAAAGGGAAAATAGAATAAAAAAATAGAAAAAACATAATTATTTTTTGAGAAGGAGAAATTAAAAAAAATCAAAAAGAAAAGAGGGCAAAAAAAAAAAAAAAGGCGGCCCCCCCCTTCCTGGTGATCAGAAAAACCAGGAAAACATCGCAGGCGATGAATGGGCGGAAAGGCAGTCAAACTAGGCCAGAGCCGGGCATGGTGCGGGTTGCAGGGAACGCCAAACGGCCAGGCAGGTGGACGGGCAATGGGCAATGAATGGGGGCAATAGGCATGCTCAGCAAAGGGGAAAAGAAAAAGAGAGAAAGACGACCGGAGAGTCATTCCCTCCGTCATGAAGAGCGACCGGCCTGCAGGCGGGGCGACCCAGACTGGAAGGCCCGAGCAGTGCCAGAGGCAGAAATTGGGACAGACGGATGGGTGTGGGTGCGACTAGTGATCCCAAGGAGCAGGACAAGCCCGCCAGAGCACCGCCGCCGGTGGATCTCTCCGGCCATGAGGCAGGCCTTCGGCGGGCTCCATCTTCCATTCCCCAAAGGCCCGGAAGGGCTGAGCACACGCTGCTCTCAGTAGTAGTACCTAGTCTCTCGCCTTTCTTGCGCCCGGGGAGGCAATATGAGGAATGAATGGACTAGTGCATATATGGGGCAAGTGGGATGGAAATAGAAACACAACATTTGTTTGAAGGGAAATTCAAAATAAATAAATAAATAAATAAAATAATATGAATAGATCTCCACTGGGAACTATGGCCGATTCATTCAAATGGAGGGAAACAGTATGGGCAGTATGGGCAGTATGGCACAAGACAAGACCAATACCGTGGGCATGGGAGCTAGATAGATAGCACGGGAAAAAGGCATACGACCCAGGAATCAACAACCCCCGGAATGAAGTCATGATGTGTGTGTGTGTATACAAGTCGGCGACAAAAGAAAAAGGGCAGATAAGCGATGTAGCTATTCCAGGGCCAACTTACTGAAGAAAATGATCCCAGGCTGGCGGGGATGGAGAGAAGCAGGTACCCCGTTTCACTTGCTGGGGTGGTTCGGGATGCTGGTAACTACTAGGTAGGTACCAACCTTAGCCGTAGCAGCGGAGTGACGTTGACTTTGGCTCTCTCTCTCTCTCTTCTCTCTCTCGCGACTTGAGGGTTGCACCGTGGCTTTGTTGTACGTTGCTTCTCTTCGCTACCTCTAGATTCGTGAGGCTTATGCTTTGAATGAATGACCAGATACGCAGACGCCAATGAAGGGAAGGTCGGTGGTGGGGAACAACAACAATAATGTAACAATTCGAGGTTCAAGAAAGAGTAGAAGGGAAAGTCAAAATGATGAATGATGAGGGGAGGGGGGAAGAGGGGACCGAAGTGTGGATCGCTAGGGGACCGCCGATTCGAGGCGAAAAATAAGATGAGACAAGCGCTGGACGATGTAAATGGCAGGTACCCGAGGGATGGATAACCGGGGCATGGGAGGGAAGTATTATGGTAATTCTAAGGATGAGGATGACGGATAGAGTCGGGAAGAGAAAAAGAAGATGGGTGGATGGATGGATATCTAGGCGATAGGAAGGAATGGAAATGGGATAAGAAGGGTCAATTAAGTATGCCGCGTACACTTATAAGTACCATCCCAGGCCAGGCGTAGGGATGTCAGCCAAAGCCGGGGTAAATAAAACGAGAGCGCGCGAGGGAATAATACTAAGTAGCTAAGGTCAAGCTGGCCGTGTGTCCGTTCTGCCTAGTATATCCAACCAGGTCGGATCACGGTTGGTGGTGGTAGATCGTATGGAGTAGTTCAACACTAGTCGTCGTTCCTCTGCCATGGGAGCGTCCAGGTGGAGCTTCTTGGCTGGGGGGTGTCCATTCTCCCTCTTCGTCATGGCGGTGGTACGTACGGAGAAGAGGAATGGGCATAATCGGGGATATTAATCCAGTGAATCAATCATCTCTCCCGAAGGGCGCGGGAGGATTGTTTGGTTGGGAGGTTCCAGAGAAGGAGGGGGAGGCTGTGTCTGGAAGGGAAGGAGCGACTGAGCCGCCTGCCTGCTTTTTTGGGAGGGAGGGAGGGAGGGAAGGAAGGAAGGAAGGAAAGGAGGCGGGAAATTGACGGGCATCATGAACATTGAACAGATGGTCGTCCTCGAGGGAGCGGAGCGCTCTGAATGTCAGGATATCCACAGGTGGTACAGTACCATCGACCGGAGGGAGCTCAAGAATGTGCACCCAGTCCCCATCGTCGATGTTGAGGAATCTAATCGGGTCTGCTGCCATCTCCGCATTTTTGCCCAGCACACGCCTGAATGGGGGGATTGGCATCCCTCCGACGAACCTCCTTCTTCCCCTCATCATCATCATCATCATCATCACCATCATCACCATCATCATCATCTACACCATCACATCCCATACCATAACATCCCCATCCCATCCCATGATGCGCGCACTTGGCTCCTCCCATCGGACTGATTGAGGGGTTGGCTGCAGTGGTGGGGCCCGGCCAGCCAACCAGGACGCGGCCCTGACGAAGAGTTGATGTGCACCGGTCATTGATCGCATCCAGCCCACTTTGTCCCTTTCGGGCCAGCCGATCGACCAGCTCACTGGGAAGTGTTCAAGTTGACCGAGTACCGTCTCTGGTCCATGGACATTGGAGGGAGACCCTCCTCCAGTGGGTGGCCTATTCCACATCCGTCCGTCCACTGACTGGCTACCTACTGCTACTGCTACTACTATCTACTACTGCCACTCCTAGTACTCGCCTCACCTGCTCTGCATTAAATCATCACCTTGCTCCCCCCCCCAATATCGTCATCGAGCAGCTGCCACTTACCTAAGACACCCCTCATAGTAAGCGAGCAACAACATACTTAGTATGTACATAACATAGTGCCAAGGAAGGCCACACCCTAGGTACTTGGCGACAGTCGCTGGGTCGTTCCTCCATTATCCCAGTAATCCATCCGCATGATTTTGCGCTACGGGGGGCCTAGGGATTATGATATCCGGGTGATCAGACAGCAATGATCCCAGCTATGCGGGCGGGCAGAAGGAGGGAGGGGGGAGGATTTTTTAATAAATCGAGGGAAGGAAAAAGAACAACTCAATCAACGGCCGGCCAGGGCTCAGATCTCGGGGGAGAGAAAGGACGGATGATTATTGCATGGCGTCAAGGCGGCAACGGTTTGGATTGGTCCCAGGCCGAGGGTCTGGAGACGGAGATTGGGACGCCCCCTAGTAGCCCTCCAGGCGATGGCCGCTGGCGCATCCATGCTACACATCGAATCGGGAATGCACTCGACCGACCACTGCTCCATCCTCTCCATCCTCCCCATTACTCTCCATTCTCTGGGCCTCCTCCGACTTGATTTCGTGACCCTCCCAATCTGGAAAACGCGGTCCGAGCTCTGCGGCCCATCTGCGCCCCCTCTCGGTTTCGGAGAGTGAGAGCTCGCTCTCTGGTTCCCCCATCCCAGCGTTGTAGTCACCCGGATTAGTAGTACTAGCAGCTAGGTAGTGGATTATCTGCCATCTGGAAGCGAGTGGGGGAAGGGGAGGTAAGTAGGGAGAATTTGGGGGACAGTAATAGAGGAAAATTAGGAACAACACACCCACCCACCCACCCACACACACACAGCACAGCACAAAGATAAACGATAGAGGAAAAAGAAAAATCACCAAATAAATCAATAAAATAGAATAAAATAACCAAAAACGGACATACCGCACATGGGGGAACGGTCCCATCCATGACCTCGGTTGTCATCATCATCATCATCACCGCCATCATATACCCGCACTTGAGTCGTCAACGATCCATCCCGACCACACCGGTTACCTATTTCCAGCCCAATAGACACTCAGTCACCCAAGACAAAGGCGACTGGTTTCGTCAGCTCCCCCCAGAATATAGCCAGTAGCTGACAGCGCAACCGTGGTGGTCTGTGACGAGTAGACGGGAACCGCATTACCACCAGATGCCCAAGAGGACTGTGCGCCGGTCATCTCTGCCTCGCATCTCTCGGATCTCCGCGTCTTCTCCCGCCACTACTACGGCCGGGATTTAAGGGCCTTGGAATTCGCCTCCCACCGATTCAACCTCCCAGCGACCTTTCACGTGTACGTAGATACAATCCCGATGGCAGGAAGAAGATGGTACGTCCTCCCGATGCCTTGGTTCGAGGGCTTCCACTGGCCCGGCGGATGGTTCCAGGCAGGCTCCGTCGGCATCCGTGCAGAAGTCTTTGCTTCCAGCAGGGAACCCCGGGGTAGATCGGGAATAAGGCAGAAGCGGAACATTCCCTCCCAAAGGCAAATGGGCCTCCATGACATATACCGGGTCTATGCCACGCTGGAATACGAAGTCCGTGGGGACAGCTGCAGGAAGGGGGCAGAAAAAGGAAAGCGAGCGGAACAAAGGTTAAGACGTCGTCCCACACGCCGGCGATCATGGTGAGTGCAAGTACAGTAGGGGCCGACTAGGTAGTAGCTAGGGGAGAACCAATAATGCCATGGCCAACTCTAAAGTTTAGAGTTGAATCGACTGGAATTGTCGGTAACTTTGTCAGGATTCAGGGGGCACCGTTCCTAGAGCTTATATTGGACAGTCGCCAAAACCTTCGCGGGAGATCCCCAGTAGATCCAAAGCCATGGGGACTGCTGCTGGGGCTTGGGAATCTGAGCTATCTCATCCCCACGGAAGTGCCGACGGACGCGAGCATGTCTCGGTCCTTGGATTTTCCTGGTCAGGACCGACTATTTCCAGGTTCATATGGTGCCATAATTTCATCAGTACTCTTTTTTCTTATTAGTAGTATTGGTAGATCGGATGGAAAGGGACTGAACCGATGGCGGATCCCGACCAGGTGGGTGAGCAGCAAGAGGTACTCGGTACTCCGTACTAAACGATCGTTCCGGTGGGTGCTTGTCGAAACTCAATTCGACCCTGGACTCTGGAGCCTGGGGAGACGGCCATTAGGCTATTTTTACAATAGGCTCTATCACACTGGGGAAATGTGTTATTTCTTCGGCTACCAAGCGGGATCTGGGATCTAGATCGTCAGGTATCCCTCGTTGACAGGCCGGTGGTGACGATGATGGTGATTGTGACTGGTGACTGGTGACAGTTATTCCTCCGGAGGCGGTGGGCCAGCCATCGCCCCTCCTCCCCTGTTCAAAACTGTATGACGTCCTCTAAGCCTCAACGCCATGAGAGACTAGGCATGTAGATAAATGAAAGGAATTCGGGTTATGAAAGACGATCGAACAGCAGGCGCATTGGCCGACTCGACGGGGGAGAGGGAGAAAGGGAGAGAAGGAGAGAAGCGAAAGGGACGGGAGACCAGGATTCCCAGGATTCCCAGGATAGGCAGCTGCTATCGGACGTAGTCCACGCAGTGCCTGCTTGCCTGATATGAGATCATGAGTCGAATGGTTACCGAGAGAGGCCCCATACATATCGATATTGCATGCAGCTGCAAGAGCCAGGGGGGGCAAACATCATCTCACAGGTGCTTGCTGCATACCTACATAGTCCGCTGGTCAAGTGAGGATGCTGTGGACATGGTGACTGGTAACAAAAGTCTACCTATGAACCGGGACCCGATAAACTTCCTTTCACCAGCTCGATGATCGGCAACCCCAGAGAAAGCTGCAGGCAATGGCGCACTCCCAGGCCTTGGAGCCAAGTATGCTAGTTGCTAGTTGCTCATTGGATTGCTACGTTGGCACTTCATCATCTATAGTAGTAATCCGTCGTGTCATGATTTGGCCCCGACCATGAACGGGGACACATACATATCCATTGATTTGCTTTCCATCCCTTGCTGATGGAAGACGGGGTTCGGTTACAGGGCCAACAATGAAAATACGTAACAGAGCCGCGATTGAGCAATTCGGGATGCTCCATCTGTCTTGTCTTGTCCATGGTAGAAAATTACATAGCTGCATCTCCAGCAGAGTCAGGGGATGGCGTTGCGTGGCAGATCCTCCAATGGAGCCCGTTGTACGTGGACGTACTGCTTCGTATCCCAGTGGGAGGAAGGAACGAATCCGACCCGACCGGTCTGGGTCCGGTCCCAGGATTTCATCAGTGTCCGTGCCTTTTTCTGGGCTGCAAATGTTTCCCCACCGCATCAGTCACTGGTTCTCCGTACTCCGTATTATTCCACATCTTGATAGATACTAGTAGTACGGAGTATCTAGTATCTAGGTACTAAGTAAGGTCCCCACGTTGTTGGTGTCCACCGCCCATGACTCCATCGTCAATATCGCATGTTCGCCGCGGCTAGATTAAGAGAGGAGGAGGGGTCCAGGGGGAGCGCACAAAAGAAACAAGCGCTGGGTGATTTGCCCAGCCTCCGATGCGTCCAGTAGCGCGCCATGGACGGTGAACCGTAGACCTGGGCCAGCAAATGAATGCGCCCCGAGATTTGTTGTTCGGTTCAGCCATTGTTAGGGCGAATGTTTTAGCCCGTTTGGGAACGCTGGCAGGCTGGTGTCGCCGTGTCGGAGCCTCGGAGGGGATCGTCCTCGCACTCTAGCGATACTAGTAGATTACTAAGTGGCACAGGAGTCGGGACAAGTAGATAGTAGTATCTAGTAGTATCCAGGTAATAGGCATAATAATAATGAGTGAACGGTACCCAGTCACTAGTATCTCCCTAGTCTCTGGGCCAGAGGAGAAGGGGCACACCAGCAGACGCGGAAAGTGGCGCTGTCCTGAGTCCTGACATCTCACCCACTATCTACCTACGGAGGACTGAACAGAGAAATGCCGCACACCACTGACAGGGTCGCTGGATCTAACAGGCGATCATCGCCCCTCCCAAGAATGTCGACCCAAGCCGGCCAGAACGGGGGCGACGTAAGTAAACCCAGCAGACACGAGTTTCGCTCCCTCTTCCCCCCCGCTAGTATCAACTAGTACTAGTCCGTACTGTATAGTAGATCATTGTATTTAATTACTCCCCTCCATCCGGAACAAATTACAGTACTACATCTTACTTTCGAAGTTCGAGAAGCATGTAGCGGACAGTCAGAAGGAGAGGGGGGGGTTGTAAGCAGGGACTGAAGAGACAGGGGGAGGAGAGGAGACGGAGGAGAGGAGAGGGGAAGGGAGGGGACGGAGGGGGATAGGTGGAGGGGAGAGAGAGAGCTAACTACGGAGTAAGTAAATCATCAATAAATAAATACCAAGCTAACCCAAACCAGTCCAATTTCAAATCGCTTCGCGGGTGAAGAAAACATGGAGATGTCAGTGGCATTCCCAGCCGGCAATCAGGAATCGGGATCCATGCAGGGCACAGGAAACTGTGCCTTTTTCTGCACGCTGAACGCAGGCGGCCTATTTGAGTAATGGACAAGTTGTGACTTACTCACAGCGGATCAGAGTCAGATATCTATTTACTACTTACATGGCACTCCGTACTCTCCTTTGAAAAAAAAAATAGGGAACTTGGCACCCACTTTGCCCGTCCTTCCCGGGCGGCGGCGGCGGCGAGTTGGCCACGCACGGAGCGCATTGCCAAACGCTGCAGTGTGTCGGAAATGGATAACCAGCCACAAAATGATCTGATGATAGGTTCCCAGGTGTGTTAGCCCGCATGGACTAGGATGCATTGTGCCACGCCGCGAGCTCGTGTAGAAATGTGATTTGGTCCTGGTGGCAATCCCAAAAAGGGCGCGAATCAAGCCGGGGAAAAAAAGGGCTGGCTATTTTCTGATTGGCCGGAGGAGGTTTATTTCCATTACGACGGAGGGTCATCAGATGAATTGCCAGTCGAGCGTGATGGGATCTTGTTCCATGGTCGTAGGGATGCCATCGGCTGCCATTTAACTATTTAGGTAGGTAGGTAGGTACACATCTTGAGACTGACTCTGTATACACTCCTGACCCAGTATACGAAGTGTGAACCGCCACTGTCTTCCCATCTATCTAGATAGATGGCACCTTCTCAGTGCATCCAAACGAACTAGTCGCACACATGGCCGGGTCTCCACCAGACGCTACTCCGTTCAGAATACTGGCTTGGCAAGCATCCGATAATAATGAACCGAGACTGCGAGACGGATTGCAGGCCTCCGCTCTTCGGGAGAGGAGAGTGAGTGAGATGGAGACCTGAAGCAGTGGGAGAGTGATAGCCACAGGCGTCCCTCGCGGTGGTTTGGCGAATAAGGATGGGGACCATGATAATCAGCTTCGGAATGACCTCCTCTAGCGCGCAGTCCGGTGCTCGAGTCTCCAATTACGGCGATCGGTCGGGGGACCCAGAAGGAGTCCCAGACATCCAACGAGGGATCCACCGAGAGCAATAGTTCCGGATAGCGCTGGTTACTTAATCCGTGTCTGCGATCATCCACCATCAACGGGTCAAGCATTCCTGCGTGTTTGGGCGATGCGATGCGATGCGGAGAAAACCAGTTCTGTCAGGATGCAGTTAGGTAACTCGCTAGCCCCTACCAACCATTGCCATTGCGATCGGGGCAAGTCGACACGCTTCGCCTTCATCATGCGATGCGATCCTGTAGGCAGTACTATGTAGGTAGGCACAGGCTGTACGGAGGAGTATCTACTAGTAGACTGTAGAGAGTGGACTGATGGCAGGTTGTCTGTGCCCCAAAGACGAGGCAACCAAGAGGCGATGGGATCCATTCCATCCATCCCCCACATCCAGGTAATTACACGGAGTACCCGCCGGAACAATATCATCCTCAGCCATTCTCATGACCGGTCATAGGGTTGGCGACATGACCGGTCGGGCTTTCTTTTTCCTGCAGGATGAAAGCGTCGTTGGCCGGTGTCAGAGACTGAATCTCTGTTTCACAACCAGGCTTGATGTTTTCCGTTTCTTTATCTGAAAACCCATTGTCTGTGGGGGGTTGGTTTGAGTTACGGCTGGATGTCGATCCTGGGTCTCGTACGGAGTACATACTTACTACCTCGTAGTGTCCTAGTCCTAACTATAGTACTAAGTACTCTACTACTATACTGATCAGAGTTAATAATATGACAATATCCCGGCAATAAGACTCGTCCTTGGCATCAACCCATGCGCGGTCCTCGGTAGATGTTAGATTAATTTTTAGTTTAGCACGTCGCCCATCCCAAACCATGTGGCTCTCGTCGTCAGACCTGACGGCCAAAAGACTAAGGTGCTTGGCTTTGACTAACTACGGCGTAGTCCAGCAAGCCATGAGGTTTTAGTGGCTTCGAATAATGCAGCGTTGATCCCATTCCTAGTCGGCCGGCCGACTCCAAAGGATAATAACGTCAATTAGCGGCTACCCTTAGGCACATCACAATCGTTCTAATTAATTTGCCAACCTCCATCATCCCATCCATGATCCATCCGCAGTCCGCACATGGTCGGCTCTTAGTTAGTTCTTACAATGCCAATCCTTACACCGCAACCAATATGTCCATCGCTGTTATTGCTTTTGCCGCGTGCATGCCCCGCCCCATCCTTGAAGGTCCCCCCCCCGTCTTAGTTCGATGTTTTAAGCAGGCTTCTAGATCTTGTTCTTGTTCTCTTGCCGCCCCTTGCTTGGTTGCTTTTTCTGCCTTCCTGCAGTACTCACTTGTACTTGGCACTCGCACTCAGCACTCAACACTCAGCTGTTCAGTTCTTGGTCGAGTACGGAGTGCTCCGTTTTCTTCTCCATACCAAGTGATTATTATTATTACTGCCTAGAATCCGAATACCACTTCCACCTACGGAGTACAGTGTAAACCAGCTCGAACCCCAAACCCCACTAGACAGTACCTAGGCTAGACCAGGTACATCGCATCCTTAATCTCAATACTAATACCGCCTAGGTAGCCAGCCCTCCTCTATAATAAGCCCAACTAATCCCTCCATCCCTTCCTTTCAACCCCCACAGTTCTAATCAAGTCAAAAGAAAAAAAAAACGTGGCTTCCGCGTCTATTATTATTTACTTTTGCGGGAATTTCTGCAACATCCTATCTATGACGGAATTAAGATAATGTTGGATTTTAGATAGCATAGTTACTTCGCTTATCCCTCGTTAATATTACCTACCTATTGCCTTGGCGATGGAGACGGTGACGGTTCCTGGGAGAGGAATGTTCCACGCTAAGGGATACATTAGTGGGGAGGGGGAAGGGGCTTGTATCTGAATCTTCCTTGTTGATAGAATATGTACTATGGACAGGGTTTATACATAGATAGGTAGGTAGGTAGGTATTATCTACGGAGTAGATGGGTAGTGAAGGGGGGTTGGTTGTGGGTGTGGGTGTGAGATTCCGCTGCTTTCCGACCCCATGTGTACGGACGGACTACGAAGATCTCATGCATAACGATGTCATTGATGTTAATTCATGTTAGTAGCGTGTTGTGTTGATGTGGCTTATTGCCCGGGTGGATAATGAATTGGATAAAAATACATACCTCCCTAGTGGTAGATAGGTACCTATCTATACTACTAGTATCTAGAAAGAATCCAGGAATTCGATTCCTAGCCACTAGGCTAGCTACAAGTCCTACCTACCTATCTAGAATTAGATAAGAGCGGCAGGGCGCGGCGGCGGCTTTCTTAATTAATAAGGGGGGTGTATTATAGGTACCGTGGACGTAGTCAGGAAGTAGTTAGTTAGTTGATTAGTACTTAGTTAGGTACATAGTTAGTTGGTTAGTTAGTGTCTGAGCCACTGGTTCTTGCAGCTGGTTCCGGACTAGGGTGGCTTGAGAAGTCGGGCTGCTAAATGTAGATCGGCATGGGAATTGGTTTAAATTGTTTCAGTTTTTACCGGGGGTGGTAGTGGTGGTAATGGTATAGGATTGGGTATGGGGCTTCACCGTATTTTCTTTCTTGGATTATTGTGATTTATCTATCCGCTTACGTAGGAACTGAGGATGGGATCTAGATACATGAAGGTAGATAGGTACTATATAGATAGATGATAGATAGATAACAAGAAAGTTTACATTTAAGCTTTAACGGGCACTTAAAGCAATGCTCAACAGACCAACTACCCGAACAGGCAGGTAAAGTAGCTCTGTAGATGTTAGATTTACACCTTTTTTTTGCCCCGCTCGCTCGCGTGCAGAGAGGCTCTACTACTGCCTAACTTACATACCTATCTCATCTTACATCTACCTATTGTTTGAGGCTTTTGAAGAAACCCGGTTTTGAGACTCCTGCCGAGTCTAGTATGGTGTGGATTTCATCCTGTTTTCAATCATTCAGTAAGTATGCGTGCCTGACTACCGTCGATAGCGTGGATGCCTGGGTACGTACCTAGGTACTGAGTAAGTACTTAGTAGGTACCGGGTTACCTCGGCAGTATTTGCCCGACTAGTGGATGGGGAATCTAGTGATGCATAGTTTAGCTACATTACTAACTACTACCTACCTACTACTACTGTACCTAACACAGAGTGGGTAGATAGAGTAGTTACCTAAGGAAAATATCCGACATACCTAGTTTCGCTCTAGTAAATCCTCCATAGTACTCTTCAAAATTTTATGTAGATAATATGTACCACGTACATAGTGACATAGTGACAAAGAATAAAGAACGGACATTCCTCGGCTAGCGCACGGCCGACAGTGCGTTCAGCTCAGGTCAGCCCGGCTCGGCCTTCTTCGGTAGAATGCATAAGATGCAAGAGGCCCGGTTTGTATTATTTATCAGGTTTGGGTGATGATGGCGGTGGTTTATGCAAGGGGTGGATGGGACTAAATAGGATGGATGGCACGGACGGGATCTGATCGGGATCTGGGGACCGTTTCGGTGGGCTGCCTAGGTAGGTACTACTAGCTATGTAGGTGAAGGGTTAAGAACTTATTTTAGTGGTTGAATCAAGGAATTAACTACCTACATATTACGAATACATAGTAGAGGGATGGGTGAATGGGTGGTCGAGGTTGATTGGTGGTTGGATCTATCCACGAGTAGTACTGGTGATACCTATCTTCACACCCTTGCCTAGTATCTACCTACTGGCCTGCTACATCGTGAATAGATGAATTGATAGATGAATAGATCTATGTGGGTACCTAGAGCAGATCGAATCTATTTACTCCGTATCTATAGTAATCCATCTATCAATCTATCGTATATTATGCATGTATGTATGTGTTTATGTATGCATATACACGGAGTACATAACCACGGCGTGTCCGATCCCTCACGATATATCATTTTCTGCAAGGTGTCGTTTTCATTCTCTTCCCACCTTCCTTTTTTCCTTTCTTCTGAATTATTTGGCTGATACTCCTACCTAATTGATCACATATCCACAGTAAGAATATCTACAGTAGCATTCAGTACGTCTATGAGATAGGAAGGAGTAAGTAATGCCGGGGAATTCCCGAAGAATGTACATACCACCCTTACCCAACACAAACATGTATGGACGTGTGTGTCAATCACATGGCAAAAAAGATAAAGACTTATTTCTATCTTCACACCGCACAGACAACCAAGGATGGTGGCTGAGGTGAATCATGTACGTGGCCACGTACCTATCTAATACTAGGTACCTAGATACTTATTGAGGTTGGGCAGGGAGGAATGTAATGTGGCTTACACCCACCCTATAAGCCACAATCCCCATCCGGACAAATTAAATTGTATTCAGTTGGGATGGGGGAAGTTACCCTTGCAGACCCGATCAATCGGGGTTTTGGGTTGTGAGAGTGTAAATCTCAACACGAGGTTTTGTGTCACGTATTTTGAAAGGGGAGAAAAGAGGGAGGGGCGAAGGGGTGTATTTTTTTGGGTTGCGGGTATCTGGCATGGCGTGGCAAGGCGTTTTGGTGGTCGAGGTAAGGTTGGGATGCCTACAGGACGGGATATTGGGTTGGGGATAAAGTTACTCGTGTAGATGGAGGGGTGGAGGTATAATCGGAATCCTTTTCCTGGAATATCAGTCAGGGGTGCATCTATAGATCATTGAGTATTGAGTATTGGGTATATATTCAACTCCTTGAGTGGCATCTTCGATTGAGGGGATCATGAGTGATAGGATAGGATGATAGATGTGTGCTCTTATCCCTGGTCAATAATGCCTGCCTTGCCTACCTAGGTAGATGGCATGATGCCCCCTGTACAGTCCCTTCGTCGGTCCATCCGAACAACAACAAAGCCATCAACTCAAAGCATGAATGCCCAACGATCTATCAAACTCTCGCCTCTCTCAATGTCTCATATCCCAGCCAAGACGACGCCACCGTCCAGCTGACACACCGGGTCCCGGCAGGAGGAAATTTCAAGGCGAGAGGAATACGTAGGTTAAGGCGTCGATCAAACGCCATTCTAAAGAAGAGGCCCGGGAAGCGATGGTACTGGCTGTTGATGTCTGACCGCCGTTTGTGATGTATACAGCCGGATAAAAAAAGCAACGAGGTGAAATTGACACCATGGAGTGTGTTCTACGGTTATAGGTGGACGGGTGAAACATTTTGGGTGGTGGAGGTTGTTTTTGCGGGTGGCGTTCGGGTGATGGGTTTATTTCCTGGTGGTCTGATGGTGATGACTTGGTGTTCGTATTAGTGTTTGGGCTAGTAGAGTAAAAAGTACCGGTTTCAGATCCGGGTCCAGATTGAGGGCGACGATGTCTCATCTGTCATGTCTTGGGGGCGTACTATGGCTTGTAGATTTGTGATGAGTCTCAAGGGCTGGTGAGAGGTTTGGATATTGGGAAGAATTTGCTTTTGACATATCGTGTAACATAGCCCTAGGTATCTTTGCATGCCACTGATAGTATTGGATGTGATGGCGCTGGTGTGGAAATGTCGATAGATGAAGAGCTGGTAGTGACAAGCTCGATGAAGGGTTATGTACTGGGCTAGGAAGGTAGAACGTGTACTACAAGTGCCAGATGGCTTTCTTGAAATCTAGAGGTCGTATTGGTGAACTATTGATGTGTAGTCTCTTTTGATGCTTAGATTGGCCAAGCTCATGCTATCTATGTATTAGGAGTAGAGAATGGCTGTAGCATGAACGATGCATTAGAACGTTAGCCTGACTTAACCCCGGATTCTCTTCAAGACGTCAGAAGTAGGGCATACTCATTGAAACATCCTTTGAGTCAGGGCAAAATAGATGCATGATCAAGAGAATGAGCGAGAATTCTCCTTGTCGGGGGCTGCTGGCAGTGGCATGTAACGCCACCCAAAGAGTAAATATATCATGTCATCAGATTCGTCATGAACCAATGCTAAACGGTAGGAAGCGCCGGCGTTGTTGGACACTATATGGGTTTTTGAATGTAAACACTCATATGAAGGACGGCACAATGACTATAATCGGGATGTAGGTCCAGGGGTTGACAGGCTCAAATTGATCGGAGACCTGATGGGTTCACAAACAACTTTTAGTAAGTACCAAAAGTTTGGGGCGGCCACAAACCTAGCCTCTATCTGAGAAGCCTTGTCGAAAACTAGACTTCAGCATAGCACGGCATGATTGACATGAGCAGAGTGGGCTTCAATGGCTTAGAGCAATTGACCCAAATTCGCTCGTGCTCAGCAGAGATTGTCTGCAAATCCTGGCCTCCCTCCCATCCCAACAAGCAACCAGGGTATCTCAATAGGGCTCCATGGATAGACGTTGACGATGTATAAATGTCTTTAGAGGCCCCCGTGTCTTAACCTATAAAGGACTGAGTCAGTAGGGCATGATTGAACCGGCATCTTAGGAGAAACATGCAAACTTGCATCATGCTTGGGTTGTAGTCAAGGGCTTTCAGTAGTTTGCTGTTGACCACTGTTCTGCTGGCCTGACACACTGATTCTGGGTAAATTCCTAGTCTGGGTGGCAATCAAAGATCAGCTTTTGAGACGCTGTATGAGCTCTCATGTCAGCAACGTAGACGCATTAGAATGAGGTTTCTGGGGCATGGTCTAGGGGTGTTCAGGACTCGGCGTCACTTCATATCCGTTCACTTGTATGATGTTCCTTTTTGAACGTCGAAGTTGTTTTGTCCAGACCATCCATGGGCCGTGGAGAAGGACCTGATTTTAGGGTCATGCGTCGTGTGTAGCGCTCTGTCCTCCATTGTCAACTCCCAGCATCTGTCGAGGCTTTTGATACTGCGATGGGTATCGGCTAGTAACCTTCATCCCTGGCAGACGGGATTCCTCCGGGCATTCCCCGCTTGGACCTACTATTGACATCGTTTAGGAGCCATCGAGGGACCGATGGCACAGATCCCTGTCCAACTGACTCGGTGCGTGGGACTGGATGCCATCGTGCGCATGGAACTATCCAAAAGTGGCATCAGGGGCACATCTCAGGGGATCAGGTGCCAGCCATGGGCCGTGTATGTTAGCCTTGCAGCTCTAGTGCACAGAGGAATGTCTTTTTCATGGATGACACAGCAGTGGCTGGGGCGAAAGGAGAGAAAGGGAGAAAGGGAGAGGGGGAGAGGTCTGAGAGACTCCGAAGGAGCCCGACTAGCGTGGGACATCCCGGTCTAGGCACCTCCTCTTCCCCTCGCCTCTTCCTCTCTTCGTCTCAACATGCATCCACGGTGATTAGTTCGGATTTCCAGGCTGCAATGTTCAACTGCTGCTTGCTGCTCGTCAGCAGCCGGGCTTCGATGATGACTTGGCCCACTGAAATGGTCCGAGATATATGAGCTCACGGCATGGTCGTTTCGCTCAGACACTCACTGTCAAGCTACAATTCACTGCTGCAATGTGGCTAATCAAAGCTAACCAGGGTACTGCCGGCTGCGTGGCCAGCAAACCAGCAACCTTTGCGTGCTCACTGTCGGTTTCTTCCCTTCCCACTTTCTGAGAGCTGGATGCGACTCTTTCCTTTGACATCCAGCCACTTGATCGGAAGATATCACACTTCTAGGTGCATTATTGGCGCTTAATATCTTCGCGTTGGCCGTGTTTTTTGACTACGTCAAACAACCTGCTTCGACTTACTTCCAGGTTTCGCGCATCCAAATCTTTTCCCCCCGCGAAAAAAAAAGCCATGTTGGTAGCACGCGCTCGCATGGCTGCTTTTGCCCTAATGGCAACGCCCGCCATGATGCAGACAACAACCGCACCTACGACAACATACATCAAAGTTTTTGAGGAAAACATCGTCTTCTATAGCCACTTCTTCAGCGAACTGGTCGGAAGCATCGTGAACGTGGACACCGACCAAGACCAAACCACCATTGCGATCAACTGTATCCAGAGCCTGCTCGCGAACTGTTCCACGAGGTCCCTCGGCATGCCACCAACTTTCACCATGGGACCCTCCACCTTTATCTATAGTTGGAGCTCGACCAGACACAATTCCCAGGCATACACTATCGATGTTCAAGCGGAGGGATGCAAGATTTTCTCTTCAACGGAAAGTGCATCTTGCTGGCTCTATGCAAGCTACTGGCATTCGGACAACGCGACAAGCACTTCAACAAGTGTGACAGAAAACGTGACGATGAATTCGGCAGATATCACCTACGATACCTTGATGGTCACAGCCGGTGTTGAGAAGCTTCTAGCACCCGCCACAACAACACAGAATCAGGATGGGACCGGCACTGCCTCGACTGTCACTGCTTCGGTCTCTACCGCCACTTTTTCCTCCCGATCAAGTTCAAAAACACATCCCCCGAGTGCATGGATTGCAGGGCCGGTTATGGGTGCTATGATTGGATGTGCCCTAATTGCAGCCGGGGTATACTGGTGTCTCAGACGGAGGAAACAGAAGGATCCGATGACCACAGCTGAAACAGCTATTCAACCCCCTTCGGAAGAAATGGATGCTTCCGGCAGCATTTTAAAAACCCCACCTGAGGCAGATATGACAGCTGAAGCTCAAGGTACTCCTCTAGCAGAACTTCCGGCACATAACTCTTCGTGGCCTCGGGAACTTGCCTAGTTGTTTGTCATGTAGAGTCCCAACAATGGCACTGCGCTGAGGGTTAGTGAGTAATTAATGTCCGAAAATACGAGGCTAAGACAAGTTATGCCTATCACCTCTGTGGTCGACTGATGGCCATAGAATATCTATGTGATGCTTTAAACTACTTTGCAGATTGACAAACAGCCTAGTGTACATAAACTAATATCTCTAATCGAAGACTCGTTCAATGCCAGATTAGGTTTTCGATGTATACTAGGTAGTAGCAATGTGCTGTTTGGCATCTATACGCCATACTTTCACCCACAGTCGACACCCTCCATCCTGTTCTATTTCTCTATAATTGTATTGGTCAGAGGTAACAGAAAATACTGTAACTCAACCCTTGCTATTGATGTGCTCCAATATCCAAGTAGACGCACAGTCACATGACCTCGGAGGAACCAAACTCCGCCGGCATTTTCTCCAGCCCGAGTCTCGACCGAGGTCTATAGCTTCTTTCTCCCCTCTCGCTTCCTGTCGAGCATCCAGTCCCTCTCGCGCATCATCGGCACGAGTCCTCAAGCCCCTGGTGTCGTGGATGGCAATTGCTTCGCCAGTTGGATTGATCGCCGCCTCTTGACCCGAGACTCACGTGCCTGGAGTCTCGCGGAAGTCGGATAATCTGGCCGTTCAGGAACGTATACTCGCCGTGTCCCTTGGCTCCTGTCGACGCCATTGCCAGCTGCAACGCTAGTCTTCTACTCTTCTTTCTGCCTACTCTCTCTCCGACGCTGTATGGTCATATGATTGGACTCTTGAAATCATCTATGACATGACTGTTTCGGTTGTTTGCTAGCATTGGCGTGAAGACAATTGAACCATATCAATTGGTGTTATTCAGCCTGTCCGACTATATCTATCAATCACGCCATGGCAGCCATTGCAGCGCTACCAATGCCTTTGCGTGCATCCCGACAATGCACTCGGCTACAGTGTCTAATCTCATCTCCACTTGGGACCACTCCCCTCTCACGGCGAGGATGGCAGGCCTTGCCACTGGGGGAAGCTCGCGGCTTTTCGGCTGTCACCTTGGCTAGTCGCTCGAGGATCCAAGCAAGGTAATTTGACGAAGATGGTCATAAGGATAATCATTAACCCAAAGTCAGCTCATTACGAAAGAGAACCGGCATCACCTACGCCATAGAGTCAAGGTTGACGCAATTTGGTCAACATAAACGATACTCTGCGCAAAGGCCAACAGATCAGAGCCAAAGGCAAGTACATCTGTATGGCTCTATCGGGCACATACAATCCCCTGTCATCTATCCTAACACCATACAGCTCCCAAGCAGACGTGAAGAAGCCGCCAATTCTCTCCAAACTACCCCGACGCACTCATGAGAACATCTACACTGTCCCCAACATCCTCACTTTCACCCGGCTACTTGCTGCGCCCCTAGTAGGGTACTTCCTCGTCCATGACCACCACGTAGCTGCATTGGGTCTTTTTGCATATGCCGGTATTACGGACCTCGTGGACGGCTGGATCGCAAGACGGTATAACCTACAAACAGTTGTCGGAACGATCATCGACCCAATGGCCGACAAACTGCTCATGACGATCGGAGTCGCTTGTCTCGCCGTGAACGGATCAATCCCAGGTACTTGTCCTAAACCACCACCTCAAGCACAGTATACTAACAGGCCAGTCTGGCTTGCCGTCATCATCTTGGGCCGTGACGTCGGATTAGCGATTTCCGCAATCTACTACCGTTGGATTTCCCTGCCCCCACCGAAAACCATGGCCCGCTACTGGGATTTTTCTCTCCCCTCGGCCGAGGTCAAGCCGACCACGGTATCCAAGATCAACACGGCCCTGCAGCTGCTGCTCGTGGGTAGTGCCATTGCCCTGCCTGTGCTGCCTGAGACAGTGATCGAAGCATGGAATTTGCAGGAAGCCATGACCGCATTCCAGTAAGTGCCACCATTTTCATTTATCTGCCCCTCTATTACCACTGTGGAACGTGCGAGCGGAGCGGGTGGCCTATGTAAACCGATTCCGAGAGAAAATGGGTATATACGACCACAGGGTGTGGAGAACAGGGCTTCCCGTCCGCTCAGCCGTACTTAAGCCACACGCCGGGAGGTTAGTAGTTGGGTGGGTGACCACCAGCGAATCTCTTCTGTTGTATGTTTTTGTTTTTTTTTTTTTTTCCCTTCTTTATGATGCACTATAATAGTTGTTTCGATAATGCTAATGAGAAAAAAGATACCTTGTCGCCGCCACAACTCTCTGGTCCGGCCTCAGCTACGTCTTCTCCAAAGACGCCGTCAAGATCCTCACCAAGGAAGAGGTCCAGAAGCGCATTGCCCGCGCCGCAGCAGGAAAGAAGCCTTAGGCATCCTGTGCAAGTGGCAGTAGTGATTATATAGCATAAATAGCCGCGTATGTGTATGTGTTGTATTGTACATATTAGCAGAGCATTGTTGTTGTTGGTGTGCGTGGTAATTTATTCGTGAGCGTGGTGTTGAGTTAAAGCTATTGTGTTTGTAATCTAGTGGTGTGGTAGTACTATATATATAGGTAGTTCAGAATCTGTCTCTAGTAGCTTCCTTCAATTAATTTGCCAAGATTAAATCTCTGGCTCCAAATCTGGATATGCCCCAAGCACTGCTATCTAATAAGTAGGACGTGAAATCAAATATGAAACATCGCGTGTAATCATGTCTATTCTTAATTACCGCCTCCCTACTTCCGTGTCAAGTATAAGGTTCACAAGAGCTGAGACAACCCAGACCCAATATATTCATCCGAAACCTAACCAAAAAAGTATAATACAATATATGAAAGAATATGTTATACAAATCCCCTCCAGAACCACTGAAATGACACCGATTCGCCCGCCGCTCTGATATGCAATAGTAGTCGTACATCACCGTTAATAATCAACAACCGGAACCATGTGAACTCAAGGCGCCTGACTGATAATATCCTCGGGCGTTTCTTCCAGTCCCTCCGATGCAGGAGGAGCTGGGTCTCTGTCCCTGCTTGTCTTGTGCACGTGCATAAGAACCCTGAGGACACCGGCTGGGGTGACGCCCTCGATGCGTCTTGCCATGCCGATGCTGACGGGGCGGACGCGCTCCAGGGCTTGTTTTTCTTCGATGCTGATGCCCTGGACGGTGGAGTAGTCGAGGGTGGGCGGAATGGAGAGGTTTTCGTCGCGGAGGGACTTCTGGGCGGCGTTCTCTTGGCGGATGACGAAGGGGGCGTAGCGGCCTTCGATGGCGACGCGGTTGCGGATCTCAGGGGCGAAGGAGGATGCGGAGTATACGGTGCCGGTGGGGGAATCGATGTGGGGGATGAGGGAGTCGATGTCGCTTTCGCGAAGGCAGAGGAGGTCCAGGGCGGAGCGCTGGGAGGGGTCGACGCGGGCTTTGAAGCCCTTGCGGACCCAGGCGTAGGATGACATCTTGGTGTTCTCGAGAAGAGTCTGGAGCTCGTTGATTTGCGCCTCTGTCTCGGTGAAGTGGCGCCAGCGCTTGTCGGAGACGATGCCGGCTTCGCGGGCCATGCGGGTGAGGCGGAGGTCGGCGTTGTCGGAGCGGGTGGTGATGCGGTATTCGCTGCGGGTCGTGAACATGCGGTAGGGCTCTGAGACGCCCTTGGTGATGAGGTCGTCGATCATGATGCCGATGAACGCGTCCGACCGACGCAGTGTGAGAGGTTCCCGGCCTTGTGCGGACAATCCGGCGTTGGTACCGGCGATGATACCCTGTCCTGTGGCTTCTTCGTAACCCGTGGTGCCGTTGATCTGGCCAGCGAGGTAGAGACCGCTGATGAGTTTCGTCTCCAGGGTCGGCCGGAGGTTGCGCGGATCGATGTAGTCGTACTCGACTCCATAGCCTGGTTGAAGCATGGTCACGTTCTCGAGCCCGTGGATCTTTCGCAGCATGGCGTACTGGGCGTCTTCGGGAATGGTCATCGAGATGCCGTTGGGGTAGATGACATCGTTGGGCGCGAATCCTTCCGGCTCGAGCCAGATCAGGTGTCTCTTCTTGTCCGTGAAGCGGATGATCTTGGACTCCAGGGAAGGGCAGTATCTGGGGCCTCTGACCGTCTCGCGGATGTGAATGGTCTTGTCCAGGTTGGCCCGGACAATGTCGTGAACGTCGTCGTTGGTGTAGGTCATCCAGCAAGTAAGCTGGCCTTCATCGTCGACTTGAACCCTGTCGTTGAGGTAGGAGAACGGGCTGGGAGGGTGATCACCATCCTGGACCTCCAGAGGCGCAAAGTTGATCGTCTTCCTGTCCAACCGCGGAGGCGTGCCCGTCTTCAAGCGACCCAACTGGAACCCGGCATCGCGAAGGGACTTACTGAGCCCGAACGTAGCAGCCTCACCCAGCCGGCCAGAGGGGTATGCATTGAGCCCGATATGAATCTCTCCACCCAAGAACGTCCCCGTCGTGATGACCACCTTGCCCGTGGGTATAACCTCGCCCGACTCCAGCCGGACACCAACAATCTTGCCCTGCGCCCCGGGGGTGTGCTCAACACCGTCCTTCGACACCACGATATCCGCAACCTTGCCCTCCAGGATACTCAATCCCTCCGTTCCTTGCAACTCCTCCTGCATGTACCTCTTGTACAAATCGCGGTCGATCTGGGCGCGCGGACCCCAAACGGCAGGGCCTTTCGATCGGTTGAGAGTGCGAAACATGATACCGGCTTTGTCGATGATTCTACCCGCAACACCATCCATCGCATCCACTTCGCGGATCATGGTACCTTTTCCGATTCCACCAAAACTCGGATTGCATGAACAGACGCCGATATTCGAGAGCGAGGGCGTGATCAATGCGGTGCGAGCGCCCGAACGAGCAGCCGCAGCACAGGCTTCTGAACCTGCATGACCTCCTCCAATAATCACCACATCATACGCCCTGCAGACAGAGCAGAGTCAGCATCACCAACCATCCATATACACCCATGAAGCCAGACAAAGCGCATACCGCGTACCCTCCGACACTGTCGCCAACCCACGCCTCGCCCCCCAAACCTGGGCCTGCGACCTCGTCCCCAACCCCCAGCGAAGAAGGGCGACCGAACGTGCCCGAAAAGCCATGCCGATGGGATGAATGGCCCAAAGCGTACTGCAAACAAAAACACAATAACAACAGAAACAGTTCAGAGAATTAAGTTAGTGAAGCTTGCTTCCGCAAGCAGCCAGCCCCAGAACAATAATTATTCCGAAAAAAGGTTAATCGGCATCACGTGCCCAAGAACGGCTTATTGCCGGCTAAACTCCGAAAGCGGTGAGAAGATGTGATGTGCTTTGCTGACGTAATGACGAAATGAGCCGAAGTTTTGTTGCGCGACCAATGGCAGGGCGGGGTTTTTCACGCCCCGCGATCCATTGGCTTTTGTCTGGTTTATATTCGCCGTGGGGGACCGAGTCGTCACATCGACTGATTTTATTCTTTTTCTTGCTTGCTTGATTGCTTGGTTCAAAGTGACTGTGCATATTCGTCAAAATGAAGGCCTACTGGTACGATAACAAGCCGGTAAGTTCCATCATGATGATGAAGATGATCCCTGCCCGCACTTGCATCCTACCCCTCCATCCGTATGACTGACACCCCGCCAGGGCGACCAGCGCGAACCCCACGATGACGGTCGTCCCGTCGACGAAAAATACCTCGCCTCCCTGGGTGTCTTCTACCGGTACTGCCCGACCATCGAGGCTGTCGATGCCCTGGCCGCCGAGCGCGGATACAAGAACCGCGATGAGGTCATCGTCTCGCCCAAGACCATGGGCGACGTCTACGAGGAGAAGGTGAAGATGTTCTTCCATGAGCATCTGCATGAGGATGAGGAGATCCGGTACATCCGTGACGGTGAGGGATACTTCGACGTACGTGGCCAGGAGGACGAGTGGGTGCGCATCAAGTTGAAGAAGGATGATTTGATTATCCTCCCTGCTGGAATCTATCACCGCTTTACGACGGATGAGAGTAACGTAAGTTCTGACTACCTTTGTTGAGGGGTAAATGTTGATGTGTGTGGATTGATAGTACGTCAAGGCCATGCGTCTGTTCCAGGAGGAGCCCAAGTGGACGCCTCTCAACCGCAGCACCGACCTCGATGGTAACCCCCACCGGGTGTCGTATCTCGGTACCCTGGGTAAGGCTGCTGTTGCTGCTGTCTAAAGGGGCGTGGGTCAGATTGGTATGTTGGCCGACGTGCATGGTGGAGAGGTTCCTGTGCTCCCGCGCTGTCGATGGCATGTAAGCTTGATGATGATGTTCTATACCATGAATGAAATTTACGACATCTGTTCCATTTCTGGAGAATCTCAGAAGGTAATATTCAGCAACCATTTTAACCTAACTCCGTTCGTTATGTAGGTCGGATACTTTTCAAGATCGTAGCCATCTATGATACATGTAGCCAAAGAAATGTCGGTCTCATCGAGCTGCTGCGCTGGACAAAGACCCAGGCATTTGGAACTGATCACTTAGCCCCCCAGAACTCTCCTCTCGGACTAAGCTGGGACTGCGCAGATCGCCCGTCTCGACGTTGTAGCTGCTGGTTCGCGACACGCTGTCGAATTGAGGCCGTGAGGTAAGCCCGCCCCGGAAGCGAAGCCCTTCGGGTTCTCGATCCCCTAGATGATCACCGAGGTCGGCAGACATGGCACTCCGAGATGCCGCATTCGAGCCAGTTTCCGACTCTTCGCCGGTGCGGACGCCGGTTCGGCCCATACGAGGCCAGAGATCTGGCAACCCGACTACTTGCACTCGGGGCTCCACCACCCGCTCCTCAAACCAGGCGTGGACACGAGCTTCCACCAGCTGAGCGACTTTAGGCACGTCCTGGAGTCTACTGCGGGACCCAATGAGGGACCGGACAGAAAGGTCCAGCCGGTAGTCGGGAAGGAAGGAGAAAGCGACATTACTCTTGGGGCTCCCGCTCTTCGGTGGAAGCCCGTTTTCTTCTTCATCGGCCGTCTGTTGGTTGGTGTCTCCGGACGTCTTTCCGCGCGAGTTCCCATCAGCGGGAGACGGGGATGGAGATGGTGTGTGGAGCGGAGGGGTGGACGCCGGAACAAGAGAGATGCATAGCGTCCCCGAAAACCGCACAACGGAAACAGATAGAGCAACTGGAAGAATTGCCGAGCAGGGCTTGGGATAGTTGAGCAGCAGTGAAGTCTCGATGGCAATCGACAGGTTGTCGTCGCTCAGGTCGACGTCCATCAATGCCTGGAGTCTCCCACCATCCGAGTTGGGATCATCGACGGCGATGATGCGGCAGTTGCTGAATATAGGGAACTCCTCACCAAGCGAGATATCCGTCACGGTGATTTTGTCGATGAACGAAGGCTTTTTCTCCGGGTTGTTGAGTGCTGCATTAAGTGAGCTGAGGATCGATGATGTCGGAGAGTCCTTCAACGAGTACGCTGTTTGTCTGTACTGGGCAATGGTTTGCGCAATCAGCACGTTGAACCAGTCCAGAGACTCTGGCTGATGCGATGAGTGGGGGATCTTATGTCTGCCATGCTTGGAGGAATTGGTAGGAATGGCGCTGTAGTAGGTCTTGCGGAGGATGGACCGGGTATTCGTTGAGGAGGAGGGCACCGGACGCAGGACGTTCGAGTTGGACGGCTTCTCTCTCAACGAACGGGAGTTGGCATCGTTAGCATTGATGGTGTAGATGGAATTGGAGCGCCGGTGGGTCGAGGCGCGGTGGGAAAGACCGCGCGAGGGCGGCGGAGGTGCTTCGCCGAAAATGAAGAACTTGATGAAGGCTCCGATCAGCAGTACGACCGACAGCTGCCCAAGCAGGAACCCTTGGGTGAAAGACAGGCTAAATTAGTTCGTTAGTCCTCCATCGGAATTTCCAAGGGGAATCAGGCCATACGAGGATTGAGCCGGAACGGGCACCGGTTCATCTGGCTCGTCATCGTCATCGTCAGCTTCCAGCAGCAGTCATCAGCAAAAAGGAGATTAATCGCACTTGGTTGAAAAGACATTGTCCGCCAGTGTAGACCTCAGCTTCTGCCCATCGCCCATGGCCACCACTGCCGCGGGGAATATCGAAGGGGATGAGGGATTTGGTGAGCCGAAGAATGACGAAGGACCGGAGAGAAACAGGCGAAAGTCGCTGGAACTCTGGAGGTTTCCGCTGCGGCGACGCTAACCGTCGATCGGCGGGACTGACTGACCACATCAAAGAGTTGGATGCATTTCCTGCTGAAAGGACACGGTGGATTTGGCTCGTCGCAGGGCACTGCCTACCTACCTACTAACAAAGATTGATCGCAGCTTACAAACCTATCCAGTAAATAAATACCACGTCGCCTTACCGTTGTTGCCTTGGTCTTACACACGCAGCATCATCTTCCTCACCAGGATGCTCAACTTTTGCTACTCCAGTCTCCACTAACACACCAAAGACTGCCTCAAAAGCTCTCTCTCCATAATGCACATCTTACTCATCCTGCAGCTCCTCTTTTCCTTCCTCCTTCCAAGTTACGTTGTTGCCGACCGCTCATCCAAATCACCAAGCAACAATGCCATCCTTCTCTCGCGCGTCCACTCTCTCACCCTCCACGGGGGCCGTCTCACTAGCTCCAGACGAGTATCCCCGATCCCCCAGCTGAAATGCACTGGCCCCTCCAGGCGCATCTGCAACATGTACCAAATCGACACGATGCGCTGCACAAACGAAGGCTACGGCTATGACGAAGAAGACATCCAGTGGACCTGCACTGCGGAGCTCCCCCAAGAGTTCAAACTCGGTTCAACCGACGTAGTGTGCGAGGGATACCGGAATGCAGACGATAAATGGGTGTTGAAGGGGAGCTGTGGCGTCGAATACCGACTGCTACTGACAGAGCTGGGAGAGGAGAAATTCGGACGCGACACTAGTAGTTCCAGCGGGGAGCTTGGCCCCATAGGGACACTGATTTTCTGGGGTTTCATGGCACTAGTCTTTGGAATCATTGTGATAGCAATGCTGAATGAGTGTTTTGGGACTCAGCGAGGCGAGAGGGTTAATGTTGGTGGTCATGGCGGCGGGGGCGGCGGCGGACCTCCCAGACCTCCACCCCCTTATAGCAGCTCCCCGCCTCCCTATTATAGTTCGTCGGATCCTCATACATCTGGGTCAAGTTGGAGGCCCGGGTTCTGGACGGGTGCTTTGGGTGGTGGTGCGGCCGGTTATACGTTGGGGAGAAGAAGCAACCGTCCATCCGGTTCCTCATACACAACGACACGATATCCTTCGTCTAGAAGATGGGATGACTCCGGTGAAGGTAGCTCAGGGTCGCGTACTACGCAGTTATCGAGCACCACCACAAGCACCGGGTTTGGTTCAACCAGGCGCAGGTAATACCCAGGATAATGCAGTGATATGTAGTCATGGGAGTCGGTCCTTCACAAATTGACTTGTTATTTAAGCCCTTTAGATATTCTTTTTGCTGGTTAAGGTACCTGTAACGCCAAGCGTCTCACGATCCCCACTAGACATGTCTACTGCATAAGCAGAGCACGCAGAGGGGATAACAGACATTATCATCATCGTCACTAGGGTAAAAGAAAGACGAACAGAGATCCAACTGAACTCCTGCACCAGCCAGTTTCACTGGTCTGGACTGCAACGCCAAAACGCCTGTACCCTTACATGGCATTGAAATCGGCCGTAAAATGGATATCTCAATCCTGTATACTTAAGGAATATCGTCAATTGTGCCCAAAACCTCTTCAGTTCCCCCAGCCATGGCTTTCATGGCTTGCTTTCTGTTATTCCTCTTCACTCTGGCGGGTACATCGTCGCCTTGATTGGCGTTGGCACCGCCCGCACCATCCGGGTTGCGAAGCATTTCTTCCTGTGCCTCCTTTTCCTTGGCGTGTTGAGCCTCAATCCGCTTCTTCTCCTCGTCCAGTTCTTGCTGGATAAGCCTAGGATCATCATAGACAGTGTTGGTCATCTCCGAGTACGTGGTGATGTCAATCGTCTCGCCCGGGCCTAGAAGTGTGTCTTTAATACGCACGGGGTCGCGGCGTTCTTCATTGTTGAACTTCAGCTTGATCTGTCGTCTGGAACGTCCCGGAAACAATTTGCTGATCATCATGAAATCCGTGCCAAACATGCGTAAGCCCCGGTAGAAAAGTTCTGTCATCTCCTCATCCCAGGACTCCGTCTTGGAGCGTTTCCCGTATGTAGCCTGATTGATCTTTCGACTAAATGAGTTTTCAACCACATCCTCCAGTTCTCCAGCATTCCTCGCCGCGTCGGCATGGCGATCAACCTGCAATGAAGCGGCATCGAGCACAATCTCTCCGTTTACGATCCTCATCACCGGTCCAGCCTGGGCCTTGTTGTCCGAAATGTCATTCGAAGTCTCTGCCGGCGACGCGTCGTTCCCATTCTCCTTGACCGGGGCTTCTGCATCGCCTTCTTGTTGTGCTTTCTGCTTGCGCTCCAGCTCGGCCTGTTCCAAGTTGCGCAGCTCGGTTTCCCGCTTGGACATTCTTCCAGTTCGCATATCCTTGCACAGCTCCGACATCTTCACAAGTGCGGGGGCGATCTCCACATTTTCGGCACCTTCAGGGGTGGGCTCGCGCTTCTTGCGTGTCCGAGGCTTTCTCTCCTTCTTCTTTGCCGTAGTTTCGCCATTGACATCCTTTACCGACCTTCTTCTCGTCTTTGTCGGCTTTCGACCTTGCTCCGTAGTTGTGACTTGCGATTCGGCTCTGGTCTGACCTTCTGTAGTCCCTTCGCTATCAGTGAGTGCTGCCTGTGTGGCCGGAGGAGTAACGAGTTGAAGATTGACATCTATCGGCACGGATTCCGTGGTGCGTGTAGTTGTAGTAGCAGGGGCAGCGGGGAGGGTGGAAGCGGTGTCATTGGGGGCGATGATGGATTCTCTGGCGACCTTGAGACGCTTGGATGGACGAATCACTGTTGCATCATTAGCAGAGCGAGGCGCCTCAATCTGAGGCGCAGATGCCCCGGCATCTGTTACGGCAGCTTGTGTCTGCTCGACTTGCGTTTCGGGTGTGGGCGGGGTAGGTTGAGGCGGGGTCGAGATCTGTTCTATGGTCCCAGGAGAGACTGCAGAGACTGAAGCCTTCCGCTTAGGACGAGGAATCGGAATGGCTGTCGCAGAGGGAGGTACAGCAACATTCTCCTTGGGTGACACTGCTGGCTCATCCGGGACCGAGGACTCAATGGGAACGGAAGGCTGAGGCGCGGAAGCAGCAGAGCCGGGTTCGGGGGTTGCAGTCTCGGTCGGGGGCTGGGGAGTTTGAGAAGCAGATGGCTGTGAGGCGACACTGGGCCTCCTTGGGGGAGCGGGAGCTGGAGGGCGGCGGGCGGGCGCCTTAGGGGCAAACTTCTTGCCCGATTTGTCTGTAGATGACGCGTGATTAGAAGGCAGGTCTCCGGTGGCATAGAGGTGCGATCGAACTCACTAATGACCGAACTCGAAAAGGACTTCATGCTGCATGCCGGTCATAGCTAGGACGGAGAGTGGAGAGGGTGAGGGAAGGGGATGGTGGAAGCACCCGTGGGGGAGGGGGAGCAGCAGGCCGACAATAACCTAATGGATGATGGTTGAAAGCGTTGAAAGGGAACAACACGCAAAAAGTTCTAGATGCGGGCGGCAGAGCTGAACCTGAACCTGAACTCCTGGGGAAAGTGGGCGCGGTCACGTGGGAGGCGCTAAGGGACGCTAACTGCCAGGCCGAAAATCCTCCTGGCTTCCCTTAAGTCTTGCTTATCTCAACCCATTCTCCATCCCCCTCCCTCTTCAGCTCTTCCTCCCCCCCTTCCCGCCAACCACACCACCCCCCCGTCACGTCTTTTACGGTCGGATATTGTCACGGACCCTGCTCTCGGCCCGTTGCTGCTCAGTGGTGACGGCCTCTTCTGACGTATGCCTCTTTAGCCACTGATGCCGGCCGCCGAAGCATCCCCCGTCGCATCTTCCGATTCCGGTTTTGTCATGATGGAAGACCGGAAGAGAGCCGCTGCCTATGATCACAATGACTCGGCTCCACCATTGAAGAAGCAAGCGACTTCGGTCAATGGTGGCAGCAAACCTCACCCTGACGCTGATATGCCTTGGAAAGATGATCTGGAGGTAAGTCCCCGACCAGCCCACGTGGGTGCCAACTTATCCCAAGGGTTCCCCTAGACAGTATTTGGAACGCCACGTCGACTGCACCGCTAGCCTCCAGGGGACATACTGACGTGTGTTCGTCGCAGCGATTTCAAAAAGACGCAATATGGCGCCAGATGCAGGAGTACAAACGCGAGAAAGTGTCTCTCGAGGGCAAGCTGAAGGAAATGTCCAAAGCTACCGCCTACCACAATGACCACCTTCGTATCATCGATACCTGGTACAAGCAAGTGAGTAGATCATCGCATTTTGCTCATCCCGTGCAAAACGTCTGACGAGTCGGAAGTTGGTCGACGAGGTCAAATTGCTCCTTGACGCTGCGGAAGAGGATGCCAAGGGTGGGTCCCCCTCCTACCGGCTGATGGTTTGCCTGGAAAATCGCTAAACACCCTCCCAGAACGCCCGGCTTTTGAAAGCAGCCTGCTCTTTGAGGAAGCCCCCGCTTTCGAAAAACACTTGAAGTCCCGCTCGGATGATATCCGCCAAGTCATCTCCAAACTCAAATCCCAAAACTCCAAGGCTCCACCCGAAGTTGCGGAATTACAGAGTCAGCTCGCCAAGAAGCTGGCTGAGGAGAAAGCCACCATCGCTGAATTAGAGAAGGCACTGTCCGAAAAACAGCAATTGGAGGAAAGTCTAGAAGAAGCCTCCTTGCGGTACATGGTGGCCGAGAAGAAGCTCGATCGTGCACGGAGCTTGACTGTCGCCAAATTAGAGAAACAGTATATTCTAGGTGCACAGCGCCCCGGTGGCGACAGTGCGTCTGGGCCTCGAGAAGAACCTTCTGCTTCTAACGGCGCCACTCCCAGCGGTGAGCAGAGCCCTGCATTGGAGGAAGCACACAACAAGCTTGTGGCCGTGTCGGAAAAGCAGAAGGAACAGCTGCAGAAGTTGGAGAGCGAAAATGCCAAATTACTGAGTCAAATAACCGAACTAAATTTCAAGGTTCGCCAGCCCTGCTTGGCCACCAAGACTCATCCAGCGCTAACGCGGTTTTACAGCATTCACGACTGACTGACGATGACTACGCGCACACGGACTTGTTCAAGCAATTGAAATCCCAGTATGATGATGTTGTTACTCGAATTAATCACCTGGAAGCGACCAATGTGCAATTACGAGAGGAGGCGGCGAAATTTCGATCGGAGCGAACGGCATACCGCAATCAGGTCGACGAGGAGACACAGAATGCGATTGCCGAGAAGGAGGCGCAATTAATGCGGGCAGAAACGGATCTAGCACGGATACGCAACGCACGCGACGAACTTTTGGCGGACCAGCAAATGCGGAAGGCTGCACAGGAACAGGAAAAGAGGGCGGCTGCTAAGGTGCAAGAACTTGCAGATGCTGGGCAGGCTCGAATTGCGGCCCTGGAATCCGAGGTGGAAAGGTTGCGCATGGAGGTTGGGGACGGTGTATCGTCAACAAGTGCTGATGAGATCTCGAACGATGAGTTGCGTACTAAGTTCAGTAACCTGGAACGTCAGTATTCTATGCTCAACACCGAACTAGCATCGATGCAAATCGCCTGCAAGAAATACTCGTCCTTGGCTTCGCAGAAAGTCACCGATTTCAGTGCTCTGGAAGAGAAGGTCGCCCGACTAATTGCAGAGAAATCCAAAGCCGACCAGAAGTATTTTGCTGCCATGAAGAGCAAGGAGGCCCGGGAATTGGAGGTTCGCACGCTGCGCATGCAGAATTCCAAGACTTCGGACATAGTATCGCAGCTGAAGGAATCCGAGGCAGCCACCCGTTCTCTGCTCGCGAATATGGAGAAGCAGGTCAGCGAGACCAAGGAAGCATTAAACTCCATGATGAGCAAGAATTACGCCGCGCAACAACAAGTCACGGAGAAGAATATTACTATCGAGGGCTTGAACCGGCAGGTGACTGAGCTCAAGGCATTGTCAGCTTCAAAGGATTCAACTCTGGCCAGTGCCTCGAGTGCTTGTCGCCAAGCGGAAACGGAGGTGGAGGGCTTGAAGACCAGTCTTGCAGATACGAAGAAGAGCTTGGAAAATTGGAAAAACAAGAGCCTGGGGAGCTCCTCGTCTGAATACGAAATGTTGAGGGTAAGCGTTCTGTTGTTATTGGCGACTTGCCCATCGGATCAATATCGCTAACAGGGCCTGCAGACACTCGCACTTTGCACGGTCTGTCGCCGGAATTTCAAGAACACGGCGATCAAGACTTGCGGCCATGTGTTTTGCAAAGAATGCGTGGAAGAGCGGCTCACATCTCGATCCCGGAAGTGTCCCAACTGCAACAAATCTTTCGGAAATAACGATTACATGCACATCACCCTGTGATGTGTCCGACCGCCAGATCTCGGTCTCATACCATCAACCTCGTGTATCATAGACTCCTTCTCTTCCGATTCTTGTCTTTTTCGCTCCCCCCATTACCCCCACCTACTTGACTTTATTACCTCTTCGTTTTCTGTTACCCATTTCGTTCCATAATCATGGAAAAAGGCTCATGGTGCGGTGTTTTACTGTGGTTTAGCAGGGTAGGGTCTCAGAGGGCCGGCGTTCGATCTAAATCTGTTCCTTTTGATCAGATATTCTCTTTGCATAGTGGCCGGGTCGTTGGTCTTCGGGTTGCCGGTTTCTTTTCTGTCTCTTTTCTTTTAATTTCCCCTGTTCGCTCCTTTTTCTTTCTTCTCTTTTATTTGTTCAACCCTCCGGCCCAGAGGAGTTGTTTTGGATACCCATGTCAGTGTTCGAGCGGCATCTGGGTGGGACTATACGGTGTGAGATGTAGGATTAACTAGGAAGTCACGGCTGAGAGAAGCATGATGAATGCAGCAATATTCATGGAGGAATACCACCGTGGCCAAGAAAGAGTCGAAAAAAGAAAGCCCACCGTGGTGCTCGACGGGTTATGAATTGAATATTCTGCTATATAAAAGTTCATGTCGTCCCACCCAAAGATCCAGCGGAGGTACGATTTGTCCTGCATCCTCGATGGGAGTGTCCCACTCCCGGTCTATCCGTTGGGTGATCATGGCTTGCAGGTTCTTACTGGCCAGGATGTTTTGGGCCTGATACGGGCCCATCACGGACGCACGGACTGCAGCACTGAGGACGGCCTTCGCATGGTTCAACATAAACACATAGGCAGTCTGGCGTGCGTCCATGCCCATCGCCAGACACACCACTCCCCACAGTGGCGCAAAGTGCCCCTTGGGCCCTAGTTCGTCCGTATCCATTGAAGACTTAAGAGCGTCCGAGAACGCCTCGATCATCTTCACTGCCTTTGCAGCAGTGGGGCCCACGGATAATGGGCGGGTCGCATATGTCCCACGGAAAGCGCGCTCCCAGACCCCGAGCAATGCCCGCCCTTGCGCGAGACTCGCCCGCTGGGCAACTATGCAGGGCGTTGAGGCATCGAGATCATTGTCCAGCGACTCCAGATCTACTGGGCGCCTGTACCCAGCCAAAACGTAAGGAAGCGAGGTGCTGGCTAAGGAAGCAATGGATAATTTCAGGAAGCGATGGAAGGACGCAATCGGGGTCACCGAGCGAGGAAGGGGTTTGTTGTGCGCCAGGTATGACTCCAGGCCGCTGGAGTATGCGAAAGAACCCAACGGAAGGGCTGAATCCGAGAGGAGGAGGAGCGCATGGGTGGGCACTACCCCGGCGGTATCTAGTGTGTAGACTCAACCGGTCAGCATCCGTAGAGGGGAGTGAAGAAGAGGTCATGAACCAGAAATCCGGGGGCTCACGCACCCTCCGGTAACGGCAGATAGGGATCCCCGCCATTTTGCGACGCGGAGGCCACCGCTAGACGGGCGCGAGCATTGCGCAGACGGCTTTCGAGATCCACGATCTCTTGCTCTATATCCTGGACGTTAGTCTTCACCGTCATTTGCCCTTTCCACGTTCAGGAGCCCGGTACATGGCGATGGTGAAGAAAGGAGGCCCGCAGGAATTCCATCTTTTTTAGATTTATCCGGCCGGCTTTCCTTATCAATCGCCGCCGGTCCTGCCCGGAGGGCGGTGCCACCCGGCAGAAAACCGGCGGGTCTTTTCGAGGCACGAGACCCTCCGACGGTCCTCGCGCGCTCTCGCAACTGCCTGCCTCAACCACCCCTCAATCATGCGCAGAAGGTAGTTCGGAGACCTATCTGGCTTTCTCTACCAATCTTCCCAATAATGTCCGGCAAGCGTCTGTTAGACGCGATCCAATTGTTCAATGTCGCCAAGTCCGTCGCCGTGAAGCACCTCGAGGTGCGGCAGCGCCAGCTCGATCTGTTCACCAGGACTTCGACCCTCACCAAGGGCATCAAGGGCCAGGCCGAGGGCCTGTGTCTTACTGCACAAGCCGCTGCTGCCTTAGCAAAGCGATTCGATGAGCCCGAACCGACCCCCCGGGCACCGAGCCACCCTCCACCCAGTACCGAGTCGCGCACAACGAATCTCACCCCGGACGAGGCTAAGAAGGCGCAACGACAGGCGGAATTCCAGATTCCGTCGTCTGTGGCAGGGCATACCGATTATGGAGCTATTCAATTGGATATCAGCCAACAACAGGATGTGTTCTATCAACCCTCCAAGGAAACAACCCCCGGATTCTCTGGACTTCCTAGGGTTAAGCTCCCCAAGTCTTCCAGCGATACGCAAACAGGCATCGACAGTGATATCAATGCGGACGTGTTTCACTCTCCCGTGAGTTCCGAGAAACCTGCGTCGTCAAACCAGCCCACGGAACAACAGGAGGAGATCTCGGATGACATGATGAAGGAGATCTTTCACAGCCCGAAGGTTGCAAGGATGTTATCTCGGCAAGCTGCGGCGGATCTGAGATACAAGAGACGGGCACCGATCCCTTCTGATGTCAAACCTGTTGAGAAGGGAAATCTTTCGACAGAAGAGGCCCAGGTTGTGGATGACTTGGTCTCCGCGGTAAGTGGAAACAGCAGTTAGCTAGCTGGGGGATCCATATCTGATGACTTTGAGCAGGTGGAGCCGGAAACCGCCGCAGCCCTAAAGCAAGAGGACACTTACACAATGTTGGAATCCCGCGTTCCATCTTCTCGTCTGGGGAGGTTATGGCAATATGGTGGACTGGCTACCTCCATGGCCTTTGGCGCTGTTGGCGAGAGTCTACGAAGAGTTACAGGAAGTCAAACCGAGAGCACCGGGTCCCTTATGTTCAGCGCTGGAAACATGGAACGCCTCGTGGCGAAACTCTCCAAGATGCGTGGAGCGGCCCTCAAGCTGGGACAGATGCTGAGCATCCAAGGTGCGTACCCTAATGCATCCTTCCACGATCCTCTCTAACACCTCTAGACACCAAAATGCTTCCCGACTCGATCCACCAGGTTCTGCAACGAGTGCAAGACCGCGCAGATTACATGCCCGCCTCTCAGCGCGACAAAGTCCTGACCGACAACCTCGGCCCCAACTGGCGGGACCTGTTCTCCTCCTTCGACGAGATCCCTATGGCCGCCGCCTCCATTGGCCAAGTTCATGGCGCCGTCCTCAAGAAGACCGGCCAGCCCGTCGCCATCAAGATCCAATACCCCGGCGTGGCCGACTCCATCGACTCCGACCTCAACAACCTCTCCATCCTTCTCACCGCATCCCGCATCCTCCCCCGCGGCCTCTACCTCGACAAGACCATCGCCAACGCCCGTACCGAACTCGCCTGGGAATGCGATTACCTCCGCGAAGCCGAATCCGCCAACCACTTCCGCCAACTCCTCGCCGACGACCCCGTCTTCCTGGTCCCCGCCATCATCCCCGAGGCCTCCGGCAAACAGGTCCTCACCATGGAACGCCTCGAAGGTAAAGCTGTGACCAAAATCCAAAACATCACCCAATCCCAACGCGACTGGATCGGCACGCAAATCATGCGTCTCTGTCTCCGCGAAATTACCGAATTCAAATACATGCAAACCGACCCCAACTGGACCAACTTCCTCTACAACGCCCAAACCAACCGCCTCGAGCTCCTCGACTTCGGTGCTTCTCGCGAATACCCCGAAGAATTCATCACTAAATACATCCACACCCTAATAGCCGCTGCCCGCAACGATCGTGAGCGCTGCGCTGCCCTCTCCCTCGACCTGGGCTACCTCACCGGCCACGAGTCCCAAGCCATGGTCGACGCCCACGTCACTTCCGTCACCACTATCGCCGAACCCTTCATGGATTCTTCCCCGGATGTCTACGACTTCCAGAACCAGACCATCACCGATCGCGTGCGGGGTCTCATTCCCGTTATGATTCGCGAGCGCTTAACTCCTCCCCCGGAGGAGACATATAGTCTGCATCGCAAGTTGAGCGGCGCGTTCCTGTTGTGCGCGAGACTGGGTAGTCGCGTGCCGTGCAAGGAGTTGTTCCGGGATGCGATCCGCAGGGCCGAGGCTGCGGGCACTATTGAGAAGCAGTCTTGAGTGCCTGGTCCTTTGAATGCGGCTAGGACTCCCTACCTAGCAAGGCAGCTAACTACCTGTGGGTTTGTATCAGGATATGTGGTTATGATGGGAAAGGAAACATGTCCACTATCTTGTTCTCATCTCTTGTGTCTTATATGTATATTAGATTAGATTGTATGTATAGATATTTACAAAGATCATCACCAGGCATCGGATTGCATTTGAATGGTGTATGTATCTCTGCAAGGACAGTCGTATAATCGAACAACATCTGGTTGGTCCGTATACAAGGTTGGTTGTATGGTGCATAACATGCCACGCCATGCCACGATATAATATGGTATAGTATGTGACTGTTCCTATGTTCATGTCTCAATTCGCGGGTACGTTGGAGATTAGCAGTTGACATTGCTACATATATGTTACTGATTTCGTTGTACGTTTGAGTCATCATCGTCACTGCATCTATCTCATTGTGTACTGTTGCTCTATTCATGTGGAGCAGATAGGCATTATCCCGAAGGTAAAGGCACCGACGAGGATGGCGGAGTGAGTCCGATGCCTGGTATAGATTGTTGATGTTGATCAGAAAACGCGAGGGGGAGGGCGGGTTGAAGCTCTGATAGCAACCAACCCATGAGGGAAACGAATCCTCTCAAGCGAACACTACAGGGCTGTCGTAGATACGACAGCGCTGTTGTTTTCAGGACAGGAAACCGATGTCTTCAAATTCATCGAGAATGCCCAATCCCGAACATGGCATTCCAATATCTCGTGACTCCCTTGCAAATGCCCTTTTTGCCTTTCCAGGTGCTGAACTTATCCTCGAGTTCGCAGGCGGTCCAAAGGATCTCTTCCCAGAACTGCTTTTCGGCGTCGGTGTCGAACGCCCGGACCACATTATCGGGGATAGTCCACGCGCGGGTGTAGCTACCATCATCGGCAAAAGCTGGGTTCACGGCTTGCTTGTCGAACACTGTGGCAGGGTTGAACTTCGGAAAGTTGGCGTGGATGAAGAAGGCCCGGGGAGCCGGGGCCTTGGAGCCATGGACGCGCCATTCTCCCTTCTGTGTCAGAGCGTAATCCTCGATGGGATCGAACTGGACCATGGCCGAGCCGGCCAGACCGCCTTCGGTGCCGTGGCCGATGGCGCAAATCGGCTCCGAGACTTGGTAGTACGGCTCCTGGAGCGTCATGGCGGCGGCGACAAATGTTTCTTTGTCGCCTTCTCCGGCTGCGCCTTGGGATAGCAAGGGATAGTAGAAATCGGGACCCCAGATGTTGTAGTAGGTGCTCAGCAGAAGGGTTTTCATGTGCGTCTTCTTCGAAATGAGGACTTCTCCGGACTCGCTGGACTGCCGGACGGCGTTTTCGGGATAAGGTTGGGAGGCGATCTCGTAGTAGTACGACGATACAGTGGAGGCCCAGAAATCGGGCCAAGTGACCATATTCGTCGAGGGAAAAGGTCCATTTGCAAATAGCAATTCCGGTCGCTGCAGCGGGAACGCATCGGCATCCAAGAAAAGGATCTCTTCGAATGAGGAGAACAGCATGGCGAACAACTTGAACTGGTATTTTTGGATTTCCATATCTCCGGAGACGGCATCGAGAATTTCCGACAATACCACGCATCGTGCGTTCAAAGATGGAAGGACCAGGTCGCATACGTGCTTTTCATACTCCTCCTCATTTGCGAGGAAGACCTCAACCGGCAACTTTGAACCGGTTCTGCGAAGCATCCGAAGCGAGATTACCAGCACCGGCAAGTATGAGCCTCCCGCCGTAGAAACCAAGCCTCGTGTGTTGCGGGTATAGTTGAGTTGAGGTGGGTTGGTGTTGATCGCGGTGACAAAGTCGCGGTGTTTATTCTTCATAGTCTCCACGTCGAATGGAAGCATGTCCAGCAGCTCCGGCCGATCCTCGGGGTTCGACTGCTCGAATCGGATGGAAGGTGCCGATCCTAGCCTCAAAGGTGGTTCACATTTTGGCTCATTGGCAGTCAGCAGAGGCTGGAATTGGCGCCAAAATTGGATGTGGCCTTCCGTATGCCTGTCGTTGGAGACAGGGCGTGTGATCGGGGCTTGCTCGGTAAGAGGATAGGTGTGCCAGCGCGAATAGGACCAAACGAGCGTGAATACGATGACGAGCGCAAATAGTAGAGCACGCGCTCGTAGGATAGTTCGCGAGGGAAACATTGCGCCTTGATGCGCTGGCCAAGGAGGTCAATGGGAATTGACCGACGAGAGAATTGTTAGCGATTGCAGGGGGTCTGACGTAGGAGGAGGCCGGGAAGAGACGGCTAGCGCAGGGGCAAACACATGGAGGCGTTTCAGGGCGTCCCCAGAGATCTCGGAAGTATGCAAGGACGAGGAGATGAAGCGAGAGAACATGCGTGTCCGGGAGGAGCTTGGGCGTTGGGGAATATTAATAGGAGACTGAGATGACAGTTGGACCGTCGAGGGAAAGAATTAATGACCGAGATGAAAAAGCCAGCGAAGGCCGGACAGATTGCAGGATGGTCCGTTCGAGAGTGACGGCTTGTTTATTGGTTATTGGTTGATGGTTGAACCGTTGATGGTTCCAAAGGGCGACCCACTGGATGTCCGGCGATAAGCAGTCCAAGTAGTAGATTCTAGATGAGCGAGTGATGATGTATTCATTCACTCCCCTTCGCGGGGAGAAAAAGGGGGAAAGAAAAGATGACTGGGGAGCCCATTGAGGCTTTGGGGGAAGGGGAGGGGAGCAATGGACTATGGAGAGGTCAATTTAAGTTTCAATAGTAATTTGCCCTCAATTCCAGCGCAATTTCGATTTAATTAGACGAACTGGTGGTGGGGAGACCAACCGCAGGGTCCATCGCCGCCCTCACGAACCACGGCCGTCGCAGATTGATTGCGTCAATCAAGCCCGGAGATTATCTGCCACGAAGGTCTATCTATCCGACCCGTTCCATAGTAAATACTCATTACAACATAAGTATCTACATCTGGATAAAAGTGAAATAGGTAGGTAGTACAAGTGACTTGTCGCCTAGCTGGATTCTTCCTCCTCCACTATTGTGCCATCATTCTGCGGCTGTCGGTCTTGTCGGTCATACCATTCCATTAAATACTCGTCGGATGAGTTGGAATCGCTGGGAGAAAATGAAGGGGCTCCTTCGATGGCTTCCAGGAGACGCCGTCTCTGGGATCCACCTCCCCTACGGCGGGATGGGGTATTCCAGAACGACCCAATCCATCGATGAAGCATCTCAATCGCACATGTGGTGATCAGATATATTGCGAGCCCCAGGACAGCTCCCGTCAATACCGCGGTCCCAATGAAGCTAAGAATCGCCTAGAAGAGTGATCTATAAGCCTTCATCCTTCTGCTGGTAAGCGAGAAGACTATAGATCCGTACCTCAAACTTGGCAAAAAGCCTCAGGGGAAACAGGGCAAGATGGAGGACCGCATGGCCTAGGTGCAGCAATGGCAAGGCTAGTACACGTATTAGACCATATCCCCAGCCAGCAAGGAAGGCTAGAGGATAGAGCGTGCCATTGAAGATCGTGGTCAGGACCGAGATCCAAGTCATTCGGGTTGCCTCTAAGGTGTTTGAAGGAAGACTAGTCGGTTACATGAATGGTTGCTGGGTAAGCACAGGAAATCTATGGCATGGCCTTGATGTAGTAGTAAGTAGATACGGAGAATATGACAGGGATGCAATTTCTCTGTCTGGATTATTGCGTAGGTCTGTTTGTTCTGTTGGCACTTGGCAGAGCATCATGGGGGCAGTACTCCGTACTCCGTAAGCGGTATGCAATGGCAGAAATGGGGGATTTCCCCTTGAGCTTACGGAGTACCTACCTTGACTATGGAGTACTCCGTAGTGCTCCGTAAGTTGTACTCCGGAGACTGAGAGGTACACAATAGAGGGAAGTACGGAGGGAGCCCTAAGCCCTAAGGGGGCCCAGGTCGGCCCCGACTTTGATGGTGCCCGTCCGGGGTCGACGACATCGACATCATCACTTGCTGCCCATCGCATTCTTCCTCTATCCACGCCCGCGTCGCTTGTTGATAATCCTTCCTCCCCAGCCCTGACCGGGTAAAATTCTCCCCACCTGCTAGCCTTTCTGTGCTCAACCAACCTTCTTCTGGAAAGTCCTCATATTTTGCACCGCCCGATTACTATTTTCCCGTTACCCCTCCGTCCTCCAAAGGCCGACCATCTGATGCTGGCATCCCAACCTTGAAGAATAAATCTCCCCGACTCATCTCTTGTCTCATATCTTGAGTTTCCCTACCCTACCCGAGCCCCTTGATATCCCACCAGCGCCCCTACCGGCTTCCCATTCGAGATGGGCAACAATCCGTCCAAAGGCCCTGCCGGAGATGCCCAATCGCCCTCGGCTTCCTCGGGCCTCGCGGGGGAAAAGAAAGTTGCTCGCCGGCCATCGATCCATACAGCGTCGAGCGCAACCAAGGCCTCCGCAGCCGACCCCTCTGCCACCAGAGAGACCGCGACTGGCCACCCGACATCTCAAACCCAGCCATCAGTCCAGCAGCGTCTGCAATCCCGCAATGTCGCTGAATTACCGACGCGCAGTGTAGATCGACCCGACCGTCAGATCCCCCGGAAACCAGATGCTCGCTACAAAGATATCCCCGCGCCCGACCAGTCCAACCCCGTCCAAGTCCCAGGGTCTCGGGCAGCTGCTAAACGTGACCCTGTAGCACCATCCGGCCCTCCTCCCAATGCCTACTATAGCGCTTCGGTCCACCTTCAGCGTCCACCGCGGATGCCTCTGCCCATCGGAGATGCTACAGCCACCCCTGGCTCCCCGATTATTGGCCCGGAGGATTCGTACATGGGATCCGTCCCTCCCGATCACCTATTAGATGAGCCCAACGATCCGAGACATTCAAACTTGGGTGGTGCCCCGGTTGACGATGATGAGGCCTTGGATGAACTTCAACCATATGCTCCCAGTGGTGTGGGAAGAGCTGTGCCAACACTGATAGAGTGGACTGCGCCCGGAGACAAGGTCTACGTCACTGGAACGTTCGTCAACTGGGAAAAGAAGTTCCGCTTGCATCGAAGGTATGTTATCTTTCTTCTCATCTCAAGTGGCATTTGTTTCACCGCAACATGGCTACTCATGTGGACCACATCTGCGGCTGACTGGCACTCTGATACCTCTTGCTTGTATTCTATTCTGGGTTGCCAATGGATGTGGAAACTAATCGGGAATCTTGACAAACAGCGAGAATAATCCTGGCGTCTTGTCCACTAAGCTAAATCTCCGTCCGGGAACGCATCATTTGAAGTTCATCGTCGATGGTGAAATGCGCGCATCAGACAATCTTCCGACGGCAGTCGACTTCACAAACCACCTGGTCAACTACATTGAAATCAGTGCCGATGATATCAACCGGTCGCGGAGAGAAAGCGATAGGATACCTGACGGAATTCGCCCCCCGCAGGTTCTCCCCGGTCCCGTTGGAGCCGACCAGGACGGGTCCACCGTAGAGGAGCAGTCAGACAAAGAAGAACCGGAGGAGATCCCTCTGGGTGATTTCCGTGGCATTATTCCCCAGTTTCTTCTGGACTTGGACCGCGAGGAAGAAGCCCCGGAATACCAGCAAGCTGTGAATATCGTTGGGGATGCACCTACACCGCCGAGCCTGCCACTATTCCTCGGGAAATCCATCTTGAACGGCACTACTCCCATGAAGGATGACAGTAGCGTCCTTAACTACCCCAACCATACCGTCCTAAACCATCTAGCTACTAGCAGCATCAAGAATGGTGTGCTTGCCACTAGCGTAACGACTAGATACAAACGAAAGGTAGGCTGACGCGTCTTTAGTGGAGATTGCCTAGAAACCCGTTGAACTGACGATGTACAGTACGTGACGACGATATTGTATAAGCCGACTGGAGATATCACGGAGTAGCCCGTGAACAGATGAGATGCCTTGTACATCTTCCGTGCCTCTTATGGCTACATAAGAGGCACGAGTTACTCCTGGCTGACGGAGCGGAATCGAGCATTCCGCGTGTTGACTGCATGCGATTCCTGCACTTTGCGGGATGATAATACCCTACGGTCTTCGGCGAACCAGGGAAACGCCAGTCCAGGTACTTCCTATGGTTCTATTTCTTTTGAACTGCAGAAATGCACATACCCCACGATATCCCAAGACCAAGCCACTTTGGATGATTTACGCCCCGATGGTTGCTTGATGTCCAGATACCTGCGGTACAGGAGCCGCTATCCTTAGACCATTGCAATTCATGGTGTTCGAGACGATGCATGGCTAGCGATGAGAAGTATTTGCTAAGTCCCTGTTGTTAACCTCTTTTTTTCCAGCTGGAGGGTGCGGCTGTATTACAGAGGCGTTGCTGCTTTCCACCCGACCGACTTAATATATTTTACCCCGGCCTGTGATTTGGAACATGGCCGCTTTGCAAGAGATCCCACTCCCCGACTTCAGTCCGAGAATAGGTTCAACTAGGCTTCAATCATAGCCTTGTGTCCTGGACAGCTAGCCAGGCCCGAAGGACGGACGCGCTCGTAATGCGTCCACAGGCCAGATTCTGCATTCCTCGGAGACACTCGCTCATGACTCTATAGATTATGTTCATCTCATTCATCTAAATCATCATCATCCAGTGGAAGCTGAATAGAAATCAATCCCTCCATTTGACAAACACTTCATCTGTCCGGAAGCGCTGAGTGCAAGTGGAATCCTTCAGTGGCGTTGTGCTGCCGGACTTATATGCCAGTAGACCGGCCTGCGCGATCATGATGCCGTTGTCAATACAATACCTCTCGTCGGTTGCATGGATGGTACCCCCGCGGTCGCGAGCCATGATGCCCATCATTTCCTGCAGGCGCTCATTACATCCCACTCCCCCGACGATCAGGACTTCTTTGGAACCAACATGGGCCATGGCACGCTCCGTGATCTCGACCAGCATGGAGTAAACCGTTTCCTGGAGCGAAAAGCACAGATCCGCGCGTGTCGGCTTGGCGTTCTCCAGGTCGTCCGATGCAGCAACACTAGTCTCTTCGGCATCGTTCCATTCTCCGTCCAAGCCGTACTGCACGGCCAGCCCATCGATGGCCGCCAGTATGCCGGACATGGAAATGTCCATTCCCTTGACTGTGTACGGTAGATCAACCAGTTTCTTGCCCTTCTTGGCTAATTGCTCAATATTATATCCGGGGGCAGGGTCATTGGAAATGCGCAGGGTGCGCGCAAAACGGTCCAGGCAGTTGCCCACAGCGATATCAAGGGTCTCGCCGAAGATGCGGTACCGCTGGGAGCTGTATGCGATGACTTGGGTGTTTCCTCCGGAGACGTAGAGGACGACAGGATTTGTAGAGCCAGTGATCAACCGACCCATCTCAATATCTGTGGAAGGGCATTATTAGCGATGCGATGCGATGCGACAAGCCATGAAAGTATGGTAATAATAGCCAGGATGGGTGAGGAACAGCAAGGGTCAATGCGCTTCCCCGCAAGATGCAGATAGTCTAGGGAGCTAGTGAATAGATCGATAAGTACATACGTCCAACGCAGTGGTTCACGCCCACCAATTCCTTGCCCCATAGCAGACTCAACATCCGGGCCGCAATAGCGGCGCTCTGAAGAGGGGCGCCCATGCCGGGGCCTTTGGTGAAGCAGATGCAGTCCACATCCCGGGGCGTAATCCGCGCATCGCGGAGGGCCTTTTTAACCAGCTTCACGACCCAGGCGCGGTGGTGCCGGGCAGTATCCTTGGGGAGGAATCCCTCTCCCGGAGGGGTGACATAGGTGTGCCGAACATTGGCCAGGACCTGCGGGGTGCTGCCATCATCGGGATGCAGTATGATGCCCACGCCGAACTTGTTGGCGGAGCTCTCGAGACCGATGGCGATCATGGCTGAGACAAACAGGTTGGGTCTATAAAATAAGGAGAAGACAATCCAAACAAGAATCAGGGTATGTAGGCTGGTCAAAAAATCGAGGCTTGCTTGCCGGGAGCCAGTCGCGGAGGGGCAAATTCGGTGCTGGTTCGGGGGGTTATCAACCGCGTTATCGATTGGACGGCCGTTCCGCCGCAGCGTTTATCCGACTGGTCACGGTCTGCCCAGTGGTACTCAGTGGTACTGCCGGTGGTACTAATTAACCTCCCATACTAGTATGCCAATTACCTGCTGATCCCATCAACCCGAACCACCCCGTCCCTCTCAGTCCACCGACTCTCCCACTCTCCCTCCCTCTCCCTCCCTCTCCCCCCCTCTGCCTGCTGATCCCGCAAACTGCATCTTCCCCCCTCTTTGCTCTGCTGTGCGACTGTGCGCCCTTGGTCTTGTCAAACAACTGCCCCATCAACTCAGCAGTGGGTGGGGTCCCGAATTTCCTTTTTCTTGGTGTGAGACTATTCACACAACCTCTCCCTCACAACCCCTTCAAAATGTCCTCCACCACCCATTTCCCCGACCCGGGAAACTTCCAGCATCAGTCAGATGAGTTTCTCACCTGGCTGGCTGGTAAGCCCGGCGTCAGAATCAACCCCAGCATCCAGGTTGCGGATCTCAGGTCCCACGCTGCTGGCAGAGGTGTCGGTAGGTCCCCCATCCCAGCGAGATTTTCCTCCCGCTCGTTCTCGTCTCATTAAACCCGGTTTTCTGGAAGTGGTTCCCTCTCTGATATCCTCGTGTCACTTTACCAGTGGCTCGATCCGATCTCGACGAAGGTGAAGAGCTTTTCATCATTCCCCGCGCACACGTTCTCTCCGTCCAGAATTCCCAGTTGAAGAGTCTGCTCTCCCAGGACCTCGAGGGCCTCGGCCCCTGGATGTCCCTCATGGTCGTGATGATCTATGAATATCTCCAAGGCGAGCAGTCCGCATGGGCTCCATACTTCAGGGTTCTTCCTCGGAATTTTGACACCCTCATGTTCTGGTCCGCCCCCGAGCTCCAGGAGCTTCAGGGCAGCGCCATTGTCGAGAAGATCGGCAGACAAAGTGCTGAAGAATCCATTCTCGAGACTATAATCCCTATCGTGCGAGCGAATCCTGCCCTATTCCCTCCTGTTAACGGACTCGCTTCATACGATGGAGATGCTGGGACCCAGACCCTCCTCAATCTCGCTCATACCATGGGGTCACTCATCATGGCCTATGCTTTCGACATCGAGAAACCAGAAGACGAAGAAAGTGAGCGCGATGGCGAGGACGGCTACCTGACGGATGAAGAGGAAGAGCAAGCGTCCAAGGGCATGGTTCCTCTAGCCGACCTGCTCAATGCGGATGCCGATCGGAACAACGTGAGTGCTTGTCCACCAGGATCTTCCTGTGACAAATTCCTAATATACATCTGTCTATCCAGGCACGTCTCTTCCAAGAGGAAGAATCCCTAATCATGAAGGCCATCAAACCCATCAAAGCGGGCGAGGAGATTTTCAACGACTATGGGGAGATCCCGCGTTCTGACCTCCTGAGACGGTACGGTTACGTGACCGACAACTATGCCCCATACGATGTAGTTGAGCTGTCATTGGACCAAATTTGTCAGGCTGCTGGCCTGGGAAGTGCCGATATCGAGACCCAGCCTCCGGTAATTCACTGATTGTGGACCCCACCCTTATCTCCTCCGACCTCGTACTGACGCATCCATCAGCTCCAATTTCTTGAGGACCTCGAACTCCTTGATGATGGCTATGCTATCCCCAGACCCTCTCCGGAGGACCCGCTGACGGATATCATCCCGGATGAACTCCTGCTGTTGCTGAAGACCCTGTCACTGCCATCGGAGCAGTTGGAGAAGCAGCGCTCCAAGAACAAGCCCCCGAAGCCATCCTTTGGCGAGGCGGAAGCGACCATCCTCGCCAGGGCTCTGCAGCTCAATCAGTTACGATATGCGACGACCATCGCCCAGGATCAGGAACTCCTCGCGCAGTTGCGTCAATTCGAAGCCTCCAACCCCCTGGAAGGATCTATTCGTCGCACAAAAATGGCGATTCAGGTCCGCCTGGGCGAAAAGGAGATCCTGCAGAATTTGTTCTCTATGCTCAACAGTCAGTTCGGGCCCGCGCAGGGCAACCCACTCAAGCGGACTGCGAATGGCGACATTGATGGGCCGCAGAGAAACAAAGCTCTCAGGACTTGACGAAACCTTGTTTTATTATGATGGATAAGATCAAAAGTTTGCTTTTCTCTTTTGTCTAATTAATATGGATTTTGTTTCCTTCTTCGTTACTGACCTCATAGCGTCGCTATCCGTACATGAGTCTTTCGACTGCTCGGCCGAGAGACAAGAAAAGAAAAGAAAAGAAGACAAAACTGGCTATGTACACTAACTTTCGCATAATACCAGGGTCATGTCATAAGAAAAAGCATCATCCGGCGACATTATCCTGAGATTCGAATGCTCTCCGGCGCTCCAGAAAGAAATGGTGTTTGGGGTATGGTGTTGAAGAAGCAGGGCTGAGGGGGGGGGGTAAAAGTACAATCAAGGGTAAGGGAAAAATGTTGAAAGAACAACGCCTGCCAGATGCAAAACATGGGGTGGAAGATTAAAGGCATAAGAGAGGGGAGAGGAACGAAGCCCAGCTTAGGTCTCAGAGGTCGAGGCAATGGCACCAGGCCCGGGATTGGATCCCATGGTTTGCCCTCCGCTTGGTGGATTGGTGGCTGAGGTCTGCTCGGCCTGCAATCGCCGAGCTTGAGCCTGGGCCTGAGCCGCCTGCGCCTGCGCATGAGCTTGAGCTGCGGCCGCTGCTTGTTGGTCTCGGGCTTTGGCCGCCATGATGGCCCGGTGCTGCATGATCTGGATATCATACTGGTCCCGATCAAAGTCGAGATCGTCGTCCGAGTCCTCCTGATCATACTTGAACCGGTCGGCTTTCCACGGATCCATTTCGACTCTACAACGTGACGCCAGCTTTCGTCGATCGATCCACAGACGACCGCCGCGCCCGATACGTCGTCTGAAGGAGGGCATCTGGCTGGTGTCCTCACTCAATTCCATGGCATGGGGGGCTAATTTATCTCGGAGAGCGATGGCACTCGTGGTATCTAAGGCTGACTCCAGCAAATTCTCGGAAGAATCCGACGATGGTGGCGTGGGCAGTTGCGTGGTGATAGCAGGGCGGAAAGCGGAATCAAACATTCGGTCAGGCGACGGTGAGAGCGGGGCTCTTGTGAAGTCCACATAACCCTCGTTCCACTTGATGTGCTTGGTGATATTCTGCTTGATATCGCGCAGAATCTCGTTCTCCTTCTCTGCCTGGACATCCTCCAATAGCTGCAGGTCTTCCGCAGCCTGTGTACCAGCCTTGGGGGGCATGCGCAGTTGAGGCGCTGCCGGGCGTTGCACGGCTGGCGCTTCTGCTGGCTTCTTCTTTGGCTGTTGCAGGGTCATCAGCATGGGAAGCCACCGGTGGCAGGCATGCATGGGGCTCACCTTTTGGTTGATGAGGTCCTCGTCATCGTCCTTGATGTTGAGCTTCCTCTTCATCTCCTTGACTTCCGATCTTTGCATGAATACTTGGCGTTCGATTGCCAACATCTCCTTCCTCGCTAACTCGCGCTGGCGCACCAGGGCGACCATCTGCCGAGCATCTTCCAGCTCCTTCCTGAGTCTCCTCAGTTTATCGGCACTTTGCGCATCTCTGCCACGGGTCTTGCGAGTTTGGCGCACTTCCCGCCTACGGAAGCAGACGTATGGGTCTGTATCATCGGTGTCTCGGCCGGCCTCGATCTGTGGGAACCGGTTAGCAATTTGAGGTTGCCAATCCTTGCGCCCGTCATTAGCGAAGGTACTCACCTTGGGTGTGGGAAGCAGTGGGTCGCTGCCGCCGCTGGTCCGCCTTGACTTCCAGTACTCATAGATGTCCTTGGCGAACCGCTTTACGCTCTCCTCTACGGCCGGGTCCATTGCCTGCTGAAATTCGTCGAAAGTCATGAGGGGCGAGTTATCTACACAAGCATATGGCTGCTCCTTCCGCGATGTCAGTTCGAAGAAGCTCATGACTTCTTCGAACTGGTCTTCGGTGCACCGGCTGCCCGCATCGCGCTTCTGATTGAAGATTTTCAGGAAGACATCATCCTCTTCGTCCATGCAATACGGCGGCCCACAACAGTCCTCGACCGTAGCCGAGAAGCGAATGTAGGTCGCGGGCTGCGAGAAGATCGGCGGGTAGAGCTCATCATAGCGCAGGTTACTGAGGACGGTCTCCGGGGTCGGAATGTGGGCATCTTTTACTTTTCCCTGAGCAGCAGCATTGATTGCAACCTGAAGATGAAATTCCTATGCGACACCGAGGGTTAGCGGGCGCTGCTGCGGCGGTTCTGCCGGGGTGCGAAATTTTCACGATGGGGTGAGGTCGGGATGATATCACGTGACATGTGCAGGGATGCTAGCACGGTCGGGGGGAAGGCAACACTTACCGACTCTTCGGCCTTTTCCACGCCGGTCTCGATCTGTTGAAGGGCATTTTGGATTTCGTCATCGATGAGATCTATCTCGTGCTCACGGACTATGGGGATAGAGGCCTTGGAGGTGAGCTTTTTCGGGCGCGTCCTCCCCATTCCCCCGTACCTAGTCATGCGAACTTTGGGCGCGGAAAGGGGCAACCACCATGGGTGAGGGGGGGCGAAATTGGTATCAGGCGATAGGTCTGGTCATGCGAAATGGCGTAGATGTAGTTTGATGATGACCGTCGATGGGGGTGGGGGGATATCGACGGGGGAAATCTCGTAGTAATGGCACCGGCGGATGAGTTGACGTTGCAATGTCACCCGGCGGTGGCCTGTTTTGGCCCGGCGCACGGCCTCAGGGGTTCGCTTGCCTGTCCGTTTCCGGTTAGTGCGGGGCTGCCCGATATCAAATTGCCCGGGGACGCCGTAGTCGCGACTCGAGACTCTCCGATGAGACCTCCACTTCATCCCTCTTGCTAGTTGCTAGTAATAGATACTTGCTTCCCTCAATTCCCCGATCGTCCTCTCCCTGGAATTTCTCCACATTCCCCCTCTCTCCTCTCCCCCTTCCCGCCATGGACCATTCCAGTCAACCCAACAACGCCGCCCTCTACGACGCGCGGAGACGCAGGGGCTCCGTCGGCACCACCCAGCTCTTCGACAACATTGTCTCGGCCTCCAACTGTGGGTAGCGGGCGCGTGGGCGCGATCTCCATGGGTGTGCGGCTGCTGACCACTGAATCGGAACCCTCCAGTCGACCGAGATGAAGTGGACCGACTCCGCAAGCGCTTCATGAAGCTGGACAAGGTCGCTCTCATCTTCCCCTCATCTCTGTTCCGGAACTCCACTAACTCCATGTTTTGAATCCAACAGGACAGCTCCGGCACGATCGACCGCGATGAGTTCCTCTCCCTTCCTCAAGTCTCCTCCAACCCGCTTGCCACGAGGTACGCCACCTCCCCTATTCCCCTCACCTCCCCCTCACCAGCACCTCCACCAGCACCTCCACCACTATCTCAACCATAACACCAATTAACACCCATATACAATGAAATAGAATGATCGCCATCTTCGATGAAGACGGTGGCGGCGACGTCGACTTCCAAGAATTCGTGTCCGGCTTATCGGCCTTCAGTTCCAAGGGCAACAAAGAAGAGAAGCTCCGGTTCGCATTCAAAGTCTACGATATCGATCGCGACGGATACATCTCCAACGGCGAGCTCTTCATTGTGCTGAAAATGATGGTCGGAAATAACCTGAAGGATGTGCAACTGCAGCAGATTGTTGATAAGACGATCATGGAGGCGGATAAGGATGGAGATGGAAAGATTAGCTTTGAGGAGTTTACGGATATGGTGGAGAACACGGATGTTAGTTTGAGTATGACGTTGAGTAAGTGGTCTTTTTCTTTGATTGGTTGGTTGGTTGGTTGGGGGGTGAGACATTGAGGATGGGGATGAGTGCTGACTGTTTGCTTTAGACCAGATCTAATTTGGGATGGGTAACTTGATGGAAGGATGGATGGATGGAGTCTCTACATCCTACCTACCGGGTAAGTAGGTACAGTGTATTTTGGGGTGTTGGTAGGTTCCTTGAGAGAAATGGAACGGATCAGGTATCTTTATATTTCCTCCAAGGATGAGATTGAGGTCGAGGTCGAGGTCGAGGTCGATGTTGAAGGGATGTGAGGGTGAAGGCGAGGCTAGGCTATACTTCCCCTGTTTCATATTTCCTATTTCTTATATTTTTCTTATGATAATGATGATAGCCATGACGACTGTAGTTTACTTTCCTTATTTGTCTTGCTCCGGGTCGGACTTTACTAGCTATTTTGTGCGTATCTTTACGTCTTAGTGATTCGATTAGGTAAATGTATGGGCTCTGATATGATTCGGGTTATTTGTTTGTTTTCCCCCGTCTGGGGATTAAATCAGGTGAGTACGTTGCCAAGTAGGAGACCTATCCAGGAGTACCACTACTATGATCATAGGAAAGAAATATGCAGTAGACCTTTGATCAACATCCTGATTCAATTCATTTATATTATAATGAGATCCAAAGTCTCCAACTAACCCAAAGATCCCAACCATTACCTCTCCGGCTATTTTTACACCTCATAGGCAGCAGGCATCCATCCTACGCCTATACCAAGGGTCTTGGGCCCACGTCTTCATCCAGTTACTATATGTAATCCTCGCAATATCAGAGGTTTTATTAGATCCAAAGGCTCTGTGCATTGAAAAACACAGATAGGATTGAATGGAAGGGTGTTGAATGACTGATGGAACACTGGAATATACTACCGTCGGGGTAATGTAGATTACTAGGTTACGTAATATGGAGAAGATAATCTGCATTGGATGGCGCCTTGTCTGAGTTTAATTGGAGGTGCAGGGTCTGATGGAGGGAATGCTATGTATTATTACATACGGCTGCGTAAGTACTAGGTACTGCTTAGTAGGTCCTGGGTAGTAGATATGGGCGCCTGTTGACTTGTGAAGGAAAGTGAAGGAAGTGAAGGATATAGAGTTAAATTGGAAGGAAAGAGCCATCATCACTAGACTACTAGTAGTAGTACTTAGGTACTGTCCAAGCCAATTCATTCCGATCAAATTTGACTCGCTTCAGTAAAGAAAAATACACACGGCATACAAAATTATCTCATCACCACCATCCTTCACACACCCGCATGGAATGCAACCCTAATTCATACTTCATCCAGTCCCACTGCATCCATCCGTAAACCCACCAGCCGCAAACGCGACCTTATTATTTGCAAAACATCTAGCCGAAAACAAAATAGGAGTATTGAACCAAGCTGCCCACTCATTCCCATCCTTATCCGGCTCATCAAGATACTTAAATCCGAACCCCGTCAACCCGCCGAGCCCTAAACACTTCCGGATGGCGGGCACGAGAGTTTCCTGGCCCGAGTCCCAGGTCGACCAGCCACGACCGCGCATATTGTAATGAGAAAACAAGCCTTTAAAGCGGCCATCACAGTAGCCCCCAACCTTCTTGGTGGGTGGCCAGGGCCGCTTGAACGAATTCTGGACGTTAAGTTCGTACGTATAGCTCCCGCGAGTCCAGCGACCACCGAACTTCCAGTTCATCGGGTTCTCGGGGTCGTTGCCATCGCAGCTGGTGATGATACGCTCGAAGGACTCCATGCAGTGGGCTGGGTCGTAGTGAGTGGCGTCGTTGCTGAGCGTGATGCTGAAGTAGTGGGTGTCGGGCGTGTCACTGTTGAACCAGCGCTCGTCTTTCCAATTCTTTGCGTTCTTGGGTCGTTTGACTTCGGCGCAGTAGGTTTTGTAGTTCCGGTACAGGAGGTCCGGGTTGGCGTAGTCCTTGCGGCCGTCTTTTTGCCAGCAGCGGAATTCATCACGGTGACGCATGCAGGTCGGGTTGGGCTTCATGAGGGTGAGAGATCGCTCGGTGATGATTGAGTCCAGTACGAAGGATGCCATCGTCCGGTGGCCCAACTCATTCGGGTGGAAGTATTTGCCCCAGCGGTCGGGCAGGCCAATACCCAGCGATGGGCCCTTGTCGCCAGGACAGCCGGGCGGCGCAGGGCTGCTGCCGGGGTTGAGGTCATGCAGGACGGCAGCGGATGGGTTGGGCGAGAGGTAGAGGGTTGAGTTGTAGAGGGCAGATATGGCATCATCAGCGACGGAGATGCTGTTGATCAGGTCGCGCTTCTTCAGCTCATAATGACCGGAGTTGGTGGTGTCCGGCTTGAAGAAATGGAGATAGGGCTGCTTGGGATCGGGATACTGACCGGTCGACCAGGGCACACAGTATTGTCCCTGGAGACCATCCTTCATGAAGGCATCCCAGTCTGCTGTGCGAAGGCGCGGCTCGGGGTTGTCGTGTGGCCGAATGCCATGAATGACGTCCTTGATGGCGTTATTGATGTTGACCACTAGTTTGTTGAATATGGCACGGCGCTCGCGAGTCAAGCGGAGGGGGTGGACGGGATCCAACCGGGGGAAGGCCCAGTCCTGACCATTGGTGCAGTCGTCGTTGTCCGTGTTGAAGAACTGGCCATAGAGGACGTAGATAATGATCCCGTTCATGTTCATCTTGGTCATGACCTTTTTCAGGAGTTCGAGGATCTTGGGCTTGAGGATGGTGTCAATGTTCTGCTGGGCCTGGTCAAGAACTTCCTGGCACTTCTGTTCACCCTGGAAGGGGAGGAAGATGCATGTCTTGATGATGTCGGCCTGGTTGTTCAGGGTCAGTAGGGAGATGACAGTTCGAGATTGAATGAGAGGGACACACGCACCAGGCACAGGTCATTTCCCCCAGCAGTCAGCACCACCAGATCCTGCATCCGCCGTAGCTCGCCTGCCTGCTTGTAGATGTCGGCAAGGCGATCCCCGCTGCAGGCCAAGTACTGAAAGTCTTGCACCTGGGGTCCAATGGCATGTTTCAAAAGGACTGGATACGACAGGTCATAACGAGAGCATTTGTAGTCCTCCTGCCTTTCGCTCCACAGATCTCCACTGCCAATGCCTGCCGTATAGCTATCACCAATAGCTGCCCAGTTTCGAATCCAGGTGAAGTCTTGCGGTTCCATCACCCCCTGAGGGGTGGTGTAGTTGTCGGAGTTGAGATCATGGCCGGTGATCAAGGTCACCAGCAAGAGTATGAGTAGGATCATACTGGCTCGGGTGGAGGGGAGTAGCGGTAGATCCAGGAGGCTGCAGTTGCCAGTGGTTGACAGAAAGGGGGGAACTGAAGGGGAAGAAGAGTCCAAGGTTTATGTTATACCCTGGCAGAGAGGGTGGATTCACCTGAACTGACTGGCACTCACCTTTTCCTTCGCCGGGTGGCGTTTCCGTCACTGCAAGCACAAGGATCCACCAGGAGACAATGCGTGAATTCTTTCAGGGCGTTAGCCTCCGTGAAAGACCAGCGGGCCATGACTCGGATGATTCATATCCTGTATAAGAAGCAGGGGAAAGGCATGAGATTCTGCCTCCCATCTTCCAAGACCTCAACTACCATCAACGCTGTCCGGCACCAACCATGGCTAACAGCTCAGTCATTTCCATCTTCTTGCTCTTCTTGTTCGGTTGGCAGCTGATCTGCAGCGTTGCTTTCTCGGAGAATGGAGCTCTCCCGTCCAATTTCGATCCCATTCATCCCTTCAACCTCCTTTCAACATCCACCGGCCAGGACTACACTTGTTCTAAGACCAAGCCTTGCCAAACAGGATGCTGTGGTCCCCTGTGAGAGCTCTTCTATCCGACCGAATGTTGGTTTGATCTCAGACTGACCCCCACAGCGACTCGACTGGTACAGGCAATTGTGGCTTTGGCCCCGACTTCTGCGGGCCCAAATGCACGTCTGACTGCGATCGCAAGAGCGAATGTGATCCTGGCTGGGGGAAGGAATGGGCTAATAGCAGCACTTGCCCACTGAACGTCTGTTGTAGCAGGTTTGGATTCTGCGGTGCGTTCCCCGGCTTGATACCAGCTCCCAGGGGCTTCTCTAACCATGGGGGCAATAGGAACCACTCGGGATTTTTGTGGCAATGCCGTCGTCGTTTCTCCGCAGTGCAGCGGTGCCAGTGCCCGTGAACGCACCATCGGATACTATGAAGCCTGGAACATCGAACGGCCCTGTGGAAGTCAGTAAATTGGATCCAAGCCCCATTCCAACCCTCATGCAACTAACCGCGGACAGAGATGGGCCCGGATGACATTCCCCTGGGCTACTACACACACCTCAACTATGCATTCGCCTTGATCGACCCGACGACGTTCCGCATCGCCGCCATGGACAACACAACGGGCTCACTGTACCAATCCGTGACGGCCCTCAGGAAGAGACAAGTCAATCTGGAGGTGTGGATTGCCATTGGGGGCTGGGCGATGAACGATCCGGGTCCGACTCGAACCGTCTTTTCCGACCTGGCCGCTTCCCCGGCCGCGCAGGACACTTTCTTCGAATCGCTGATCAGCTTCATGCTGACCAATGGCTTTGACGGGGTGGATCTCGACTGGGAGTATCCTATGGCGGACGATCGCGGTGGAAAGCCGCAAGACTTTGGCAACTTTGTGACGCTGCTGAAGCGCTTGCGGGAGCGTCTGAACCAGACTGGCCGACAGTTTGGTGTCTCCATCACTTTGGTAGGAAGGATCCCCACAAGACCAAGAAAAGAAAGAAACGAAAAGAAACTAACACCCAATGATAGCCAGCCTCTTATTGGTACCTGCGAGGATTTGATATTGTCAATCTCGAGCCCCACGTGGATTTCTTCAATATGATGACTTATGATATCCGTATGATTCCCCTCCTTCCCTCCTCCCCCAATTTGCCCGGAAACTGTGGCTCTGGAGACTGACAGCACATGTATGTGTCTAGATGGCCTGTGGGACGCCACGAATAAGGAGCTGGGACCGTACGCCTTCGCACACACCAATCTCACTGAGATCAACGCCGCTATCGAGCTTCTCTGGCGCAACAACATCAATCCGGCTCGAGTCAACCTGGGTTTGGGCTTCTACGGTCGTAGTTTTACCATGAAGAACCCCAGCTGCCTGAAGCCCGGTTGTCCCTTCTCGGCAGGAGCGCGAGCTGGTGAATGCACCGGCACGCCAGGAGTGTTGGCGGCCTACGAGATTGACCAGATTATCCGGAAGGGCAACGCCAACGTGACCCTCTACAAAGACGAAGCGGTCACGGTGGTCACCTGGGACAATGACCAGTGGGTAAGCATGGACAATAAGGAGACCTTGAAGTTAAAGGTCGACTACGCAAACAAGCGGTGTCTCGGGGGAACGATGGTCTGGGCGATCGATCTGGATGATGGGACATTGATTGGGGATTTGGGGGAGGCCACGGGGAAGAATCGATCAAGAGTTTTCCCCCGTCGGATGGCACTCACGCCCGACCTGGGGACGACGGATGTCGATGATCTTTTGGGGTGGAAGAAGTGGAGAAAGGAGCATGGACACACTCATGGCCATTGATGCTGACGGTGCATGTTGGTGTTGGAATCATGATTGACTAGCTGCTTCAAGATATTTCATCTGCTTTCTGTGCCAGGTATCAATCAGTCCGTAGTTCGGAATATGGTGTAGTGAGTGACTCGCCCATCATCTTCTGTGAATATCCTACCTTCGAATGACAGATGGCATGGGTCACTGCCGGACCGTTAATGAATCCTGCCCTCTACACCAAACCTAAATATTTCATCGGCGTTCTTCTTCTTTTGCTTCTTCTTCTTCTTCTTCTCCTTCACGTCTCCCTAATCCTATTCCATCCATCACCGTTATCTATATTGAGCACACGCGCTTCTTCTTTCCCCATTTCAGACATCATGGCGTCTCTGTGGCAGTGGATGGTATTTCTCCTCCTGTCCATATTCCCCATGGTCGATGGCGGCCATTATGACTGGGAGCATGCACGGTTCCCTAGTACCGAATTCTTATCAATCAGACCTGGTGAAAGGTCCCTCTTGTGGCCTGAATCGACTATCCCCCTATGCTATGACAGTGATGAGACTCGGGATATCTTTCACGACATTCTCTGGGCTGCAATGCGATTATGGTACGCAGCCGGCTTGCCTGAAAGTTTCCGACTGTTAGAGATCAACCGTCTGAGTTGCATCCACAACCCTTGGGAATCGGTGTATGTTGAGCACACACGCGACTTACTAGCTAGTGCTATTGGTGTGCCTATCATCAGCATGGACGGTACTTCACATTACCCTGAACTCAGTAAACCTACTCTCCAAGTGTTTATTGATCGAAAGAACATGGAATGGACTATCAAAGCAATTGCCCACGAATTGGGGCATACATTCGGACTCCTACATGAACATCAGGACCAGTCATACTGGGACGTACATGGCACTGATCGGGTGTTCAAATTCAATTGTAAGAATCTGAGGGACTTTGAGGAAGTCACTGGAGGACTGACCACTGAAGAAATTTGGGGAGATGATGGCATCTGCAGAGACATGCACACGGCTGAGAGCTATGGCTTTAGCGCTGCTGAATGGCTTCCAGAAGATGGTAGCAAAGCATACTCATCGCACGGGTGGTGGGCCAACTCTGATATGGTTGATTGGGAATCTCTTATGATATACCCGTCGTATGGTGATAGCATTGATGAGGATAAACTCCCGGTTCTTAGTCGGAAATATGATGGATGGACCTGGGACTCGAACTGGTCTCCCAGTATTGGAGATGTGGCCGCATTGAAGACACTCTATCACAGCTTGTTTACCAATCCATTGCTGCCGTTCTGGAATGATGTTCGGAGCCCTTACTTTGCCGTCTTTCGCATATACAGCTCTTGTTGATCTTATGATCGGAGTGGCAGTAAATGAGGAATTGCTAGGGAATGAGATGGAATATGGATTATGCTTGGTCAGGACGAGGAGGACTTTTGTATTTCTGGGATAGTGTAAGGTTAGGCGAAATTGAAAATGAAAGTGAAAGTGAAAGTGAAAGTGAAAGTGAAAGTGAAAGTGAAAGTGAAAGTGAAAGTGAAAGTGAAAGTGAAAGTGAAAGTGAAAGTGAAAGTGGAAGTGGAAGTGAACGCGGCCTGAAGAGGGAAGGTCCCTCAGCAGGTGACTTTTTCTCTCTCCATTCATTCCTTCCCATCCTTCCCACTCTTCTTCTTATTCTTCTCATCCTTTCATTCTTTCCCTTCTTCTTTTCCTATCTCCTCCTTCCATCCTCATCCTCATTCTCATGCTTTATTGTTCAGCACAACAATGGCTGTCCTTTTCGTCTCCCTGATATCCCTGCTGGTGTCGATGGCTGCTGCACAAGCACCGGCCATCGATGTCGCCAGTCCCACGGCTGATCCCACTCCCCATGGCCCTACCATGAAAGGAATCGCAGCCAATTGCAATAGATATTACACGGTCCACCAGGGTGATACCTGCTACGCGGTTGAGAAGACCTTCGGACTCACCCCCAAACAATTCCAACAGTGGAATCCGGCTGTCTCCTTGGACTGTACAGTCAACTTCTGGCCTGGTTATGCATACTGCGTGGGTATAGGGTCTGTGGTTCCTACTTCGACTTCAACTTCAATACAGACATCAACGTCAACATCAACATTGACTTCGACTTCAACCTCTACAGTTGATCCGGCTCCCCATGGACCAACCATGACAGGAATCCCGGCTAATTGTAATCGATGGTATACTGTTCATCAGGGCGATACCTGCTATGCGGTTGAGAAGGCCTTCGGGCTCACTACCCAGCAATTCCAGCAGTGGAATCCAGCCGTGTCCCTGGACTGTACGGTCAATTTTTGGCCCGGTTATGCATACTGCGTGGGCGTTGGGCCGGTGTTTTCGACTCCAACTACCTCCACAACTGCTCCCCCCTCGACAACCACCGTTCCCATCACTTCCTCGACCACTACTTCCTCGACCATCACTACTTCCTCCAGCACAACTGCAATTAGCAGCACGACCTACTCAGTCCGCAACCCCATCACCTCCCAAAACATGACTGCCACTTCTATCGATACTCAGTGGCCTCCAACCAAAACCCAGACTGGCCAGCCCACCTCCTGTGATAAATGGCATCTTGTCGGCCCGGGTGATACCTGTGAAAGGATTTATCGGCGCTACCAGAATACTATTACCAAAGAGGAACTGCAAGTCACGGTCTCCCCCTACCCTGTCTTTCTTTGCTCACATATACGTCAGCCTAGAATGGAACCCCCAGCTCAAGTCAGACTGCGACTATCCCTTCACCGGCTACTGGGTGTGTGTGGGCATCAAACGTCCAGCCCTAACACTGGTCTACCCCACTGGCACTGACCCAGTCTACATCCCCGATCCCACTCCCTGGACTCCCCATCCCATTCCAACGGACAACTCCACAACCGTCTATCCTCCCACTCACACTCAGCCCGGTCTCTCCCCAAGCTGTTCGGTTTTCTACGAAGCCAAGCCGGTACTCTAATCACCCTTCTTCATCACCCTTCTTCATCACCCTTCAATGTATATTGTCTGACACAAGAAAAATAGTCCGACAGCTGTACTCAAATTCTCGCCAGTAATCCTCTTCTCAAGCCTGCTCTTCTTTACGACTGGAACCCAGCCCTCCATCCAGACTGCTCCGGCCTCCAACCAGGCTACTTCTACTGTATCGCAGCCTACAACAGCTCGACCCTGCCATTCCCGCCTACAGTCACAAATCAGCCCTACCCAACAAAGCCATCCACGGCCAAGAACTGCACGGGCTGGTACCTGAAGGAGGACGGGGATATTTGCTCCCTGATCCTGGCTATGTTCGGCACGTTTGACCAGGCACAGTTCGTGGCGTGGAACCCGGATGTTGGTAAAGAGTGTATCGCTCTCGAGGTATTCCCCCTTCTTCCTTCATTTTATCGGTATCTACAATTTGTATACTAACCCATGTAGAATGGGTACTATTATTGCATCTCCGATGCCAACACCCCCACCACCCGCATCAGACCTATCCCCACGACGTCCATCCCCACGGCATTTCCCAGCCAGCCAGCCGTGAACAAAGCATGTAATAAGTGGTGGCTAGTTTCACTGTAATTTTCCCTTCCGCACCTCATCTAACCACTTGTATAAAACTGACACTTTACAGATCCAGCACATGTTTCCAAATCGCTCACAGGAGCGGCATCACAATGGAAGACCTGTTGATCTGGAACCCCGATATCTCAGGAAAGAGAACCTGTGATGAGGGATTAGTCCCAGATACAGAGATCTGCGTGGGGGTCGCGATTAGTTCAACCAGCACGGGTGCTGTCATTACCGATAGTGAAAGTGCGTCTGCGCCTGTGTCGTCACTAAGTAGTTCGACCCGTCCCCTGTGATGATCACTACTCTTCTGTCCGGTTTTACTTCTACTGCCGGTGGTGGGGATACTACTGGGTCTGTTCGGTCTATCGTTTATTCTATGGTGTGAAGGAACCGCGAATCTAGACTGGAACATACGTCAATCAGTGATAGGGGATGTTGTTGATGCATAGCTCTTTTTATCTGCGTAAAGATATGATGTTCAGAGAAGTTACTGTTTAGTCTACCAAGACTTCTTCAGCTTGTACAGACCAAAAGTCCCTTCTATATACATCATGATCATTCTATCATAAACCGCCTGCCTCAAGCGCTCGCACACCCCTGCCTCCTTCTATCTATGCAGCTCCATTACCAGTACGTTATCACAAATTCTCATCTGATATGTGTCGGACCACTTAGCGTCTGAGAGTTGAGTGTTCAACTATTACTACGCTGGGCGACGAAGACCCGCAGGGAAGGAGCATGGGCTAACCAAATCGGGAGAATTGTTTACAGTTTCTTCATCTGGCAAGAGTCGACTTGTGAGACTATGCTTGGTAGGAAATATGCACCGGATGCAATATATCCGGTCCCCCCATCCTACCTGCTATGGCCTCAGAATATACATCTTCTAGTATATTAGTATATCCACAAAACCAAGCCATTGTCCCTAAAAAGCCAGCTGTCGTAGATCCGGCGATCCATGCATATATCCCTGTCCTTGATCTACACCCACTGCATCTGCCTGTATGCATTATTCCAGCCAACCCAGCCCAGTCTTGAATCATCAAACATCGTACATTAACTCCCTAAATACCCTGCTTTAATGATCCTCTAAATATATCCAATACGTCTCTACTCTTCACATTCTCTTCCTGAGTACAAATCGAACACTATACCCCCTGAAACACAATGTTCAAAAGTACCTTTCTCTAGACTCTTACCTTCAAAAGTACTCTCCAGCACAGACTAGACACCTTACCCACCGATTCCTCTCCATAATAAAACCGAACCCCCAAAATGATCAAATTCTAGAGTATATACAAATTACAATCCACTTCATCCTTTTTTTTCTGAGGTAATACTATGTAATATATATATGTATACCCAACACCCCAGGCTCAGACCCCATCATCCAAAAATAAATCTGACTCCAAAATACCCACCGAGACCCCAAACATCGGTCGTACTTTTGTACCACCCAGACCAGAATAGCCAGGCACTCAGACGGGACAAAGTACCAGCCAGCCAACCAACCAACCAACCAACCGATTACTAGTAGTAGTTCTGAGGTCCTCCAGCCACATTACCACTAATCACCCAATAAAAGATGCAGGTGCCCGTTATCCAACATCGACCACAACCTAGTACTTAGTAAGTAGTAGGTCTGTGTGTAAGTGTAAGTTTTATCTATCCTTATGTATTATGTATGTAGGTAAGCGTACAGCACATCGTAAACAAATATCGCTCAAGGATGATACTACTAGTACATCTATCATTCATGGCCAATTGAACAAAACGATTATACCCAATTAACAATCTGAACCCCTCCCAAATCCTCGTACCTCATTACTCCACTCGATACCTATCACTTCAGCAACGATAAACTCCCCACTACTGCACCCCTACCTTGAATTCCGAGCTGCAGGATCCGCCCCCAATTGCAGTCCCGGATTCCTGGGAAGAAAGTATACTTTCTTTTGGCATTCTGGTTGATTCTTATGGGTTCGGTGCATCAATAGTCAAACATTAATGGGGCCCGATCGAGGGCCTTGCATATTTAGTCGGTACCGATATCTTGTATGGATGTCGGTACTCGGTCCAGAGCAGTAAGGTACATATGCACATGTATGATGTGTGCCTTGCTGGGTGCGTCTGCAGGATCTAATCTTGCTTTTGTAGGTGGAATCTATGTACATTGTAAATGGTTATACTAATCTTAATCCTAATACTACCTATATTATAATAATCTGGGTATCTTGATCCTAAACCAATACAAAGGGACGTCGAAACAAAGGAAATATAGTACACAGTCACATAGGAAATCCCGTCTCCGATCAACCACCCGATTCGTGATGATGCCTCCAGATCGATGGGCGCCCCCTCGAAAGAAAGGTCATCGCCTGCTCGCCGATCGAGGTCGGGCATCAATCAAACTTCTCGGGGTTTGACCGAAGGGCGAAGCAATGCTGGCCGCAGGATTCGATCCGGTTCAGCCGCACTCAGCCATCACTTCGAGTCGCACACAGTTCGCCAACAAAATCCATCCCAACCAAGCAAATCAGCCCAAACCCCCGTCCAGAGTCTATATCCTGAAACCAACCATTGCGCCCGACCAGGTCTTTGCTCCCTTTATGCGAAACCGTGGTGCGGTGTGTACAACAACCTCCAAACGCCGACTGGGAAACACGGAGCGCCCTGTTCGTTTTCGATTTCTTTCATCGATTTTCTGTTTTTTCATCCCAATATCTTTCCGCGGCCACCATCCCGATAGGGCGGAGTCTGTTCCCGGGAATGGTCTGACACGAGGGACCAGCAGGGAGGTGGGGGCGATGCCTGGACACACTTGACTTGTCGAAATCCACAGGAGGAAATTGGTGGTTGCCCTTGGCCTGGCCAGTGAAACAAAAGGAGAAAAAGAAATGACCAAGGAAAAAGTCGAGCCACGAGTGACGACGGATACCGCGACCTAACAATCAATAGTCGGGGCCGGGCGTCGCTTTGGCTTTCTCCCATCCACTAACTAAACTAGTCCCCTGCGTTAGAGGCCCTAAACCAGCCACCACAAAAGTACGGTCCAGTCGTCGCAGTCGAGCCCGGTGAGGCGTCAAGCCGGCAACCCAGTTTTTCACCCCCCGGTCTAGGGCTTCAAAATTGAAGTCCGTCATCGCGAGGCGGTTGGGGGCCCGAAAACGTCTGGTCGGCCTTCGACGATATCCAGACATTGGCCCATGACTGGTAGACAGGTTAGAATTCCTTCCATGGTAACAAAGTTTTAGGAACACCTACTCGAAAGAATTTCCTCTTCCCAAATCCCCATCTGGTAATCGACTAGCCCATGGGGCTCCATCCGATCGCAGATTTGGATCAGCTCCTTGCCCAGATTGTCCATCGCGTCGCCACTAAGGAGACTAGTTTGGGGCGGCTGGCGACCGGTTTGCAACATTTCTTGAGCCAAATCTTTCTGCTTCTGACACACCGCGAGCCAGCAAATATTGAAGTCATTCCATATCTGCAGTCGATCCCCGTGAGGCATTTGATCGTCCCGGAGAATACCTAGTCATAGCCATCGCCACTCGAATTAGCCTCGAGGTTCGTTATCCAGTCGCTCAGGCCCTCGCCACGCCCCATGCGTCGAGCGAGTGCAAATCATGCACCATGTTTTAAGTGCATGCAGGCAATAGGTAGTGCCCGGGGAAGGAGCTTAAGGAGGGGGAGGGTGGGTAACAATCATTGGTGTGGAAATTGGTGAGAACGCTAAGGGGACATACCGAGATCCCGCGCATTAGCCACAAGCCACTCGGAGATTTGCAAGAGTGATCTACTAGCCTCTACCAATCGGCCGGCGCGCGTACTATCGAATGTTTCTCGTAGTGCGTGTTGGAACTGTGCATACAATTGCTTCCAACCGTTCGACTCGGATCCCGCCCGGGACGGTGGTGGCAATTGCTGCTGCTGCTGCTGCTGCGACGGCGACAGAGGTTGCTGTGCTGCCACCGATGTCAGATTTTCCATGGCTGGAGGAAAGACGTGCGTGGCGCTCGAGCGTCCAATGCTGCCGGGCTGGTTATAAGGGGACAAGGACAGGTAGGGCGACCCCATGGGCGGAACCCCGGTGCCCGTCGGCTCATTTGGAGGGAAGTACTGTGGAACACCAAACTGGCTAGACAGGGCTTCCATCGCTGCAGATTGCCGTGCCGCGTAAGGTGGCACGACCTCGTACGGGGCTTGTGCTGGGCCCTGCTGGCTGAGGTTGTATACCATCTCGGAGTCATAGGGAGCTAATGGCTGGTGCACTGAGTGGTGCTGGCGCTGTTGGTCGCGCAACGTCGGCGGGTATGGTTGCAACTCCTCCCCCTGCAACGGACCGCCCTGGAAGGGACTGTCTGTGTATCCATAGTCCAGGTAGGTGGGCATCCGAGGACGCCCTGTCGCCTGGGAAGGATCCCCACGTGCGGAAGGGACCCCGGTCTGCCTGAAGCGATCCGCCGTGCGGCGGGACATCCCAGCTCTGGTCGCAAAGCGAGCCTGAGGGTCATGCTGCTTCATGCGTCGGATCTCGCCATCCATACCCCTACGCACTGGATCGAGGCCAAGAGACCAATGCGCGAGCGGGGAGAGCGGCGGGCTCACGTAGGATTCCAGCTTGGCGGGATGTGCGATCGGTTGTTTCTAAGTATGATGTGGGATGATGCCCTAGCTTATTCGCTCGGTGGCTTTTCCTGCTAGCAGGGAATTGAGATCCAAGCCAACAAGAATCGCAGGTAAGCGCGCGGAGGTCTCACGGTTTCACTTCAGCGCAGGGACGCGGGTACAACCAGCGCACGCGATCTAGATAGCCACCCACCGATCAGTCGTCGCCCATCCACAGGGATCAAAATGCGCACAGTAAAGGAAGACTGCTCGCGCTTTTATGTTTGCGCACCTTGGTAGAAAAGCCTGACTTAAGCCTGAACGATGATTGGACGTAGTGTTGTTGATGTAGACTGCACAACCAGGATTTTCGATCTATGTATGTATATATGTATGTATGTGGGAGGCGAGATGGCGGGGGAGGGAAAGCAAAGCGGGAGGAGGGGTATATCCACCACGGACGGGATGGGAGGCGAAGTGGCCCGGTATCATATGTCACCCAGCAGGAAATCCAGACCAGAGGGTAGGTACTAATGGGTTGGGCTCGAATGGAGTCAAGCAGACAGATTGGAGGAATGCTTATGTTCCGAAGGACAGCTTCAGGACCAACGACTGCTGGTCTTCCAACCCAAGATAGTAGATAGTACAGAAGGAGATGAAGAAGAGAAGGAGGAGTAGAAGGAAGATCCAAATGGAAAAGGCAGAGAGTGAGGAGGGGAGAAGTGGGGAGCCAGCGGACCGGCAGAGGATTGGGATGCACGGATTACTTATAGCATCGAGCAACCAGTCTGATGGGACGGCGACAACCGGGGATGATCCGCAGAATTATTGAAAAGCCTCTGGGGCCGGTCGATCAGGCAGCTCGGGATGGACAACAGGAAACAATGAAACAGAGCAGGCGCCAGTATCAGGTCAGGTCGGTCCTCAGCTGTCCTGTCCTGTCTTGTCTTGTCTCGTCTCTGACTCGGTTCCCACTGGCGGAACAAGAGACGAGACAAGACAAGACTGACCCTCATTCAGACAGCCCAAGAAAAAGAGAGAGAGACAGAGACAGAGAGAAAGACGGACTTGCAGGACCAAAAAAGAAACGACAGCCCATCAGCAACAACCAAAAAGCGCGAGAAACGAGAGCGAAAAACAAACGAAGCCTTCCGAGAAGGAAAAATCCCTGAGATGAGGAAAAAGAAACGAGGGAAAGCAGAGGCTAATCCAGCAATCAAACCAGGTGGAGGAGGGATTTTTTTTTCTTTTTTTCTTTTTCTCCTTCCTTTTTTTTTCTCCGGATTTGACTGGTCCATGAACAAATAAATTTCAATTCAGTTGCCATTGATTTTATTTTATTTCTGTATTTCGATTTAATTTTCTCGCCCGAATGGGGGAGGAGAGGGTTCTGCCATATAGATGAAGGAAACAATCAGGTTGGTGGTTAGTGTTGTTTGTCCTCCACCTTTTAGCATTCAGCCCTTCATCATCATTATTTTTCTACACAATCATTTCCCCCATCCACTCCACCCCGGCAAGAAAAACTGGATCCATCGACATGGGACACACTAGGTCCCGAAACAGTATTGTTCACTGACTTCAGCCCAGCATGGCCCCTCATGCTGAACTTGCTAGCTGATCAGCTCTCATTTCTTTTGCGGACCAGTCCGTCGGGACTGCGGGCAAAGGATGCGAAAGTTCCAGCAAGTGGATGATGGTGGTAGGTAATGGTGGTGAGAGGATGGATCAACTAACAAGAAGGTGTGTGCACGTACATTCACTAGGTAGAAGAATGGAGGCCCCCACAGGAGCCGCCTCAGATCCATCGGGTTCCTTCGAAAAATTGGGAACCAAGGAATCTTCGTGATCGTGCTGAAGATCAGTCAGACACGAGGCGCGGGGCTACTCGGGGCTGCTGGCCGGGCTGAAAGTACCTGCTCGACCCAACCCGATCATCTACAGAGTACCTACAGAGAGTACAGACGCCAGCACAGTACTTTCGACCTTCTTCCGTCCAGCCGCGTGCTGCACCTTTAATCTCATCCTGGAGGATCCGATAAGGTTAACTGGCCGAGTTTCCAAGGCCCAGGGCAGATAAGTACCCAGCCACACTATACTCTATTCATGGGACTGACAGACTACTATCTGCTAGCCAGGTACTAATGCCACCTAGACTAGCACAGTAGCACTACTGCTGCTGACCCCCTCTTCCCTCTTCCCTCTTCCCCGTCCATCATTCCAAATCCTGGGCTCCATCCTGGCATCCACCCTACAATTGATTGATTGATTGATGCTTTCCCGCCGTACTGGGCCGACTTCCCCGAATACCCTTAAAGTTAAAGCCCTCCCGAAACGCTATTTCGGTGATCGTCTTCTGGTCCATGCACAGAACTGCGTACCAGTCTTCTGGATCGGGTTTGCTGCCGGAGAGATCTACACAGTACAGTGCACCTGTCTAGACAAAAAGTAAATTTGAAGCAGCAGAAGGAAAACCCATAACAGGGCAAGAAGTCGCATCACCTCCGCGGGCCGGTTCCCTGGAACGCATCCGTGATGGGCGCTCACTTTTACGAAGATGGGATTAGGACTACGGGAAGAACCGCTTTCTGGGATTCGATGACACCGGGGAGCTGGATGGTGGATCAACCCGTGCACTACCAAGATGCGAACGCCAGGAAGTGAGGTTCCCAGTATGGAGTACCGAGTCGGGGAAATAATGGCTTTTGCATCATGCAGTGGTCCAGCCACCACCTTGGGACACGGTTCCCGGCTTGCAGGACATTCTTCCGCTTTCTCTGCAGTCTTCTAGGTACCTCACATCCACAAGATCGGACTTCGTCATATCCAAAATCCAGGAACCCACCCGGGCCACACAAGCAACTCGATCGATGGCTAAAGTATATGATCACGCCGTGCCTGGCTAAGCCGCCGGGTCGCACACCTTCCGGCCTGCTGGAAAGTTCGTGCACCTTTGGTGACCAATTGAGACCACGCTGGTCCGGCCAGACAGGGGGATCTGCAGCGCTGCAATTGGAGTGCGCTAAGTTAGCCCGCAGCAGAAGAAGACCGGGCTGTCTAATTTGATTCTTTCTTTCTTTATTTTATTTAATTTCCCCCCTTTCTATTTTCCCTGTCTTCTTTTGGAAACTAGCAACAGCGCACTGGGATGTAAGGCGTGACAAGCCAAGCCAAGCAGGTGCTCTAGAACGGCGTCCGAAGAGACGGCGCCGCTTAGGGCCTGTCAGAGTCCAAGGCTAGACCTGGGGGCCGTGATCCCAAGGCAGAAGTACGGCGTCCCCATAAAATGGATTCCAAATCATGGCCCCGAGACATACCGAGGGATATACGGAGTACGGAGGACATAATTCCAAGGTTCGTGGAAACGAAAGTGAGGCGGTTCCAGCCTCACCCCTTACCCTTACCTACACTTGATCTCAGGATCACAGTCATCAATCGCATCAATTAGTGGTCAATCGAGAAGAAAGATCGTCAAGTCAGGGACGATTGGACGGGCGACATATGATCAGCTTGCCTCGTGTTTGTTCTGACAGCTGCTCCTCGTGCCAATTATGGATCTGAGTGTCCTGTCATTACTCTGGTGACGTTGACTCAATGGCCTACGGCGGGGAAGGCAAGTACTCTACGCTAGTCTCGGCGATATCTGGAGATGTCGTCTCTTCGGTATCAATCGGAAGCTTGTCTGCACAACTGCATGCTCATGGATGAGCTCCCCACTGGCAGAGCTGGAATGTCTTCGTGCGTAATGAGAACAATGGTACGACTGAATGAGAACCCCGCGTGGGTCTCAACAATTACTCTACCATAGAGGAATAATAATGCTATTATTTATTAGCCTCTCCACCTTGAGCTGGCGCCGTCATCGGGCTCGTATCGATCATGTTTCAGTATCTCCCTCATATCCCTCCGGTTCAGTCACCTTCATTATCAGCTATGGGCATCACCAAGGCAACTCTTTTCCTCTCCGACCCCATAGGTGGGAGCAGACCGAGGTCTCCTACACTCCATCTTACTTCCATCATATCCAATTGGTCGTCCAGCCATCTGGCTGTCGCCTCCGCCGCACCCTGACGCACACACCACCTTTGAATCTCGATCGCATCATCCAATAGAGTCACTTCCAGGATCCCATGACTCCCGGGACACAAAATGTAAGATGACGCTGACCATGACGGCGAGCGGCACCAGGAAGGTAAGACTTGCTCCAGTCGCGGTAGAGGAATTCCCAATCGAACGGATGACGACACGACGACCACCTGATGGAGGATCCGGCCGTATATACCTTCCTATCGCATCCGGGGTCCGGGAGACAGACTTGCTCATCTGGAACCTCGCTTCGCTCTCTGTGTCACCACTTTCAGATTCCAGTCTGTCTGTCTTGACTCGAAGGAGCGAACGCACCCCTCTGGGCCACCCCATTTGGTTCACCATCTTCCCCTCTTTCCCCTCCAGATCATAGGGGCGCCACGTTATGAATAGTCGCGTCCTGGTCTCTGACACTACCGGCCGCTTGGGGCTCCCTGTGTAACGGAACTCTAGTCGCTACCAGGCAGGAATTCCTCGTCGGAACCTAGGGAGTACTAGTCGGAGTGAATTAACTTGGGTTCCGGCAATGTCATTTCGACCTCCTTTTAAGACTGGCCGCGTTTACTCCTTTACCTCCCCCCCTTCCCAGGATACAGACTTCTACTCTAGTCGTCCGGACATCCACTCTCACTCCCTCAGTCTTAGCTTCGTTTTTGGCGACGATTATATAGATACGGGCGGAAGAGGGATACCTCATCGACCCTATCGTTCCAAGTGTGGTCGGACAACCAAATCATCCATGGTAATCCTCCTAGTCAACGGGGCATTTCTGCCTTGTCCAATCACCCCCAACTCCTCAGTCGCACAGATGGTCTACACTATAATTCGGTTCAATTGTTCAACGCCAATAGTTACATGCTTGTCGCCGAGAACATGTAGTGTCGCGTCCTGAAACGACCCCCGTGACACCGGGTTGGGATGCTTGCAATACAGGATATACTTTCGTCGAGAATCACAAGGCCAAGTGGAATCATACAACAAGGAAATTAAGAGAAAAGAACAGATAGAATGTCCCCCCAGAGAGGGACCAGAGTCGGTTGCGCCTTCACCGCTTGACCCAGGCGGGCATCTTGCGCGCCTTGACATGACCTGGCTTCTTTCTCTCCACACGACGGGCATCCACCGTGATAACACCAGCTGTAAAAATAATTGGTCAGCAAATCACGCCACCGAATCTTTTGGGAGCCGGAGATATACGTACCCTTCCGCAGGATAGGCTTAAGAGCAGGTTCGTGAACCAACAGTGCCCGTGCAACAGCCAGTGTAATAGCCTCCGCCTGACCAGTAACTCCTCCGCCCTGGACGGTAGCCCACACGTTATACTTGTCCAGCCGCGACGTACACCGTAGAGCCCAAACCGCACTCTCACGGTCGTGTAGACGAGGGAACACCTCATTCAGCGTCTTGCCATTCACCAAAACTTCACCCTCGCCCTCAACGAGGTGCACCACCGCCGAGGACGCCTTGCGCTTGCCCTTACCACGGGCTCGACCTTGTTCATCCGCTGTAGGCGGGACAGGCTTGATCCCGTACGGGTTGCCCGGCCGGAGGAAGACGCCCAGAGCAGCACGCACCTCGTCCGGGACGACTGAAGGATTGATCCGGTTGAGTCTCTGCAAGAGCTTGATGAGGCCTTTATACTTCTTGGTTGGAACCGGTTCGCCGACCACATCCCGGAACTGGAGCAGCTTAAACCACGCCATTCTGGGAGCCTCGCTCGGAGACACGGTTGGTAATGACGCATACTTCGCAAGGAGGGCTTCCAGTTTCAGCATGTGGTCGAGGAACTTGGGACTGCCGGAGAAGTAGGCCGCCGACACGGGAATAATGCGGGCGGGCTGGGCCTGGAACCCAGCAAGGTGAATCGGGGCTGCAGCGACTGGTTCGAGCTCAGTCGCATAGCCGCGAGAGTTCAGACGTTGCTGGAAGCTAACAGGCGTGGAGGGAGAGGAGATGGGAGATGCGGAGATCACGGAGCGCTGGAGGAAAGGCCGCAGTTGAGCAGTTCGACGGATGGAGTGCATGGCGTGCACAAGGCCATTGGGGCTTTGCCAGGCCATGATGCAGCAGACCGGCTGGCAGAAGCCTGGAGAGACGATTCGGAAAAGGGGAGTGGGGAAAGCAGACGAGAAACTCCAGCGACCCAACCGGCAACATCGCCTGGCCGACTTGGGACTTCCTGAGGTTTTTCGAGCCTCTGGTCACGTGCACGCGGCTCGGGTTGCTCCGGCGCCGGCGCGGTCTGATTCGCACAAATTTGCCAAACCCCTCGAGCTGCCTTTTTCTTTTCTTCCCCTCCTTTTCTTCTTCTTCTCCTTCTTTCCTCCCCATCCCCTCTTCACACATCCTTCACAATGTCTTTCGGCAAGGTCTACGGTCTTCCTGTATGTTCTGCTTATCTCTTCTTGGGCTGATCTTCATTCCATTCAATGGTTTAAACAGCTTCGTCAGAACAGCTTCGTCAGAACAGCTGGCTAACCCGGTTCTTAGGAGAACGGTCGCACTATCGCCGCCCTCGTCGCGGCCAAGGCCAACGACGTTGAGGTCGAGCTGGTCAAGACTGAGGCTAACTCCACCGCCTCGTTCAACCAGTCTGCTGAGTACACCAAGATCAGCCCCGTCGGCAAGATCCCCGCTTTTGAGGGTGCCAACGGCTACACTCTGTCTGAGGTCATTGCCATCGCTGTGTACTGTATGTCCAGCCCCGCATCTGTCTCTCTTTCTTCCCTCCTGCAATCTCTTTTTCATGATGAGCATTTTATTTCAAGTTATCCCTGTCTGAAAGGTATAAAAACAAACTATGTTGATAACATGTAACTCTGAAAATATCACTTGCCCCACTTGGGGTGGAAGAGATTTTCGTTGACCATTTCCGCGATGATGCCATTGTTGTTGCTGGGCACGAATGCTGACTCGACAAAAGTGACCTCCCAGAACGAGAAGACCACCCTCCTTGGTAAGACCAAGCAGGACTATGCCTCCATCCTCCGTTGGTTGTCCTTCGCCAACTCCGAGGTCCTCCCCCGCTTCGGTGCCTGGTTCCGCCCTCTCCTTGGCCTCGACGCCTACAACAAGAAGAACGTCGAGGATGCTGCCAAGGCTGCCCTGAAGAACGCTGGCGTTCTCAACACCCACCTCACCGCCAACACCTACCTGGTTGGTGAGCGCATCACCCTGGCTGATTACTTCACTGCCGCTCTCCTCACCCGTGCCTTCGCTACCGTCCTGGACAAGAAGTTCCGTGACGAGAACGTTGCCATCACCCGCTGGTACAAGACCATTGTCAACCAGCCCGCCTTCAAGGCTGTCGTTGAGAACCCCGTCTTCGTTGAGGAGGCCATTAAGTACACCCCTCCCAAGAAGGAGGAGAAGCCCAAGAAGGAGGCCGCTCCCGCCGCCGCTGCCGCTCCCGCTGAGCCCAAGCCCGAGGCTGAGAAGAAGCCCAAGCACCCCCTTGAGGCTCTCGGCCGCCCCACCTTCATCCTTGATGACCTGAAGCGCGAGTACTCCAATGAGGACACCCGCCCCGTTGCTCTCCCCTGGTTCTGGAAGAACTACAACCCCGAGGAGTACTCCCTCTGGTCCGTCAACTACAAGTACAACGACGAGCTGAAGCTTACCTTCATGGCCAACAACCTGATCGGTGGCTTCCACGCCCGTCTTGAGGCTTCCCGCAAGTACCTCTTCGGTGCTCAGTCCGTTTACGGTGCCAACTACGCCTGTGTCATCCAGGGTGTCTTCCTGGTCCGTGGCCAGGAGTTCGCCCCCGCCTTCGAGGTCGCCCCCGACTGGGAGAGCTACGACTTCAAGAAGCTCGACCACACCAACGCCGAGGACCGCAAGCTCGTTGAGGACCAGTGGGCCTGGGATACCCCCATCGTCGTTGACGGCAAGGAGCTCCACCACGTTGACGGCCACGTCTTCAAATAAGCTGGTGCGTTAGACGTAGCCAATTCATGATCATGATATCCCATTCTCCTTTTCTCGTTGGGTGATCTAGATGAAACTCGACCTCCAAACCGCCATTCCTTTCACCTCCATCAGGTGGGGAGCCGTCAGCGGGTAGCCCCGCTGGGCATTCCCGTCTGTCACTCTTCACCTTAGTTCCCCCCTCTCTCTTCCACACTGCCCTTGATGGACCGGTTTACGTGTTTTCATTCTTGGCCGACCCCCTCCAAAAGAAAACTTTCTTTGTTTCACGTGTAATGCCACGCCACGATCGAGATGGACCATAGCAGTAGCTAGTCAAAACCAGAACCACTAGCACTTTGTGCTTTCCATGAATCATCGCCTATATGTAAAAATACCTCATGACTGTCGTATCTGTCGCCTGGTCTACCTATATCTCGCATGCCCTTTCTAAATGCGTCCATGACTCAACATGCTCCACGTGCTATACTCCAATGCAATGCGTAGCGCAAACAGCCAGTACCAGACCAACTTTGCTCTTTTTAAAAACACCCAACCCCGCAACCATAGTCCACACATGGTAGGTACACCGTAGCCTAACTGTATCACTCCTGCCATAAATACACCAGTTTCCAACCCTCGTCAAACCAAGTAAGTACCTAAATAAATAATATATACTCCCAAACCAGAAGACCAGAACAGATAAAAGAAAGGAACAAAATGACACAGTCGCCCTGGTCTGGATTCAACCGCTTAGACGTTCTTCAGTGACTCCTCTAACCGATCGAGAAGAAAATTCTCAGATTGAGTGGACGGCGCTGGAGATGGTGAACGGTTGGTTGAATCACTTACGTGAGTGGCGGCATTAGCTTTACCCTGTGCTGTTGGAATGGTCGCGCCGCCAGCAGTCGAATCAGGGAATGAGATTGAAGATGCAGGGGATGGGGGAGGAGAGGAAGAGGAAGAAGGGTGCACGGGGGTGGTGTCAGCCCCGGCTGTTGCACTTTCTGCCGAGATGATGGCGGTTGGCATTGTGGTGGGAGGCTCTTTGACCTTTGCAGCGTAGCGCTCTTCTAGCTTCTTATTCTGGCGCGCCCTTCGATTTTCAGCAGCCTTCTCGCGTTTGCGGGCTTTGCGCCGTTGCTTACGGGCTTCGGTGACCTCAGCAAGGGTGGGTGGGCCGTGGGGTCGACCGTCGTCATGTTCAATGTCAAGGTCGAGAATGCTGCCCCCATTAGGGATGGGAGGCTGCCAGTGGTGGAGTGCCTGGCTGACATCGTCGTGTTTAGCCAATTCCTCGAGCACCCTCAGGACCTTGGCCAAGGTGGTGGCGTCCTCCGGCCCTGCAGATTCGTCGAATGTCGGGATCTCGAGGAGATTATGCGGTTCGCTGCTTGCTTTGAATATAGTGTCGTCGATCAGGATGGTATTGGTCTGGTCCCAACGGGCCTTTTCAAACGTATCGGGCACCGGGGCTTTCAGATCGCGGAGGCCAGGATACGAAGCCTGTATGCCTTCATCGGCCCATACGGTGCCCAGGGTCTTATAGACCTGGATCTTGGCGTTATATTGCTTCTTGGGTAGGTTGAAGTGATCTCGGCTCCATTCTGCAACGAGTCGAGTGCGACTCTTGTTCAAGAACAACTGTCGGCAGACGCCGTCAACGGTGGGGGGGCGAGCACTCGACCATACCATGACCTTGTATTTCTGCATCAGTGTTTTTATAAAATCCTCTAATCCTGCCCTTTTCCGGATTCGAGGCGGCAGCGACCGGTCTTTCCTGTGAACGAGTGTACCATTCAGATCGAGGATGATTAAAAGAGGTTGCGACCAAGAGTTTCGTTTGGGCGGTTGAGATGACTGGTCAAGATAGGCCTTTGTTGGCATTGGTCTTTTAAGTTGCACCGTGACTTCGGGGGACTTTGAACGAGGCTGTCCAGGGTACTCAGTTTTGCCTGTCCGAACCTTGCCTCTATACTCTCTAGCAGCCTCCCGTCTCAGGTCGCGGGGTTGCCAATCACTCACGGCATTTGGTGCTCCTTCCGGGCTTGCCCACGACTCGGAATCTCCTATACACTGTTTGGTTGAGGGAGACCCTGGAAGTTGGCTGGACACCTCAGCAGAGCCCGCTGCTTGAAAGGCCATAGGGCCGAGAAAGGGTATTGCCATCAGTGGATTTGTAAGAGCAAAGTTCATGAATGCGGGTGGAGGCATGGGAGGGAATTGACCAGCATAAGTGCCTTGGTCATTCCAAGTAGGCAAACCGAAAGGATTATGTGCAGGTTGGCCCGGAGGATATTGGGGTAGAAATTGCTGCTGATCCCAGGGAAACTGCAAGAAAGGCTGCTGAAATACTGGGCCATTCTCGTTTGGCATAGCCATGCCAGCCGAAACTCCTGAAAACATTGGAGCCGGATTGAAGTTGTCAAAATTCATGAGACCATTTTGAGCCGGATTTCCCTGTGTATAAGATCCTGTATTGGTAGGCTGCGATGCTTGTATATTCGTCTCCTCCTGGTTTCTCCTCTCAGCAGATTGTTTGTTTCGCCGTGGTCGTCTTAGCCGCGCGCTAGGAGCCGTAGAACTTTCGGGCGTCGTCGCATCGAGTTCGTCTGTGCCTCTACGGTTCGCCTTTTTCGATCTCCAACGGCCTCTATACGGCCTCCACGACGGCCTGATCTCAGATGTCATACTGGCCTGTGAGCCATTCTGACAGATGCGACTGTCGACGCTAGATGCACCATTTGTAGGAGGCTTGGGGGACTCCATGCCGGGATCGGAGGTCCGGCTGTTACGGACAGGGACTTTGGGTCGGTTCGTCGAGGAATGGAAGCATGAGCAAAGTGGAAGGGAGGCACGATAAATAGTGAATAACCTCAGACCAAACTGTAAATGGTGTTAGCTATCCATACAATCACTCTCGATACCAGCAGGTGGAGAGTACGCACCTTAGGAGACACCCCACTTCGAAACCTGCGATCAGGAGGGGGGGCTATGGAGGCGGGACGAGGCCTGATAGCAAGTGGAGGTAGACGCGGAAATGAGCAGCATTGGAGCGCCCGCGACATGAAGAGATGCCCAAAGGGGAAGGGCTTCGGGAATTTGCGTCAGGACCGTAGGATAAAAAAGACGAAGACGACGACGAAGTGGAGGAGATGGCGGGGAAGGAGGAGAAGGAGGAGAAGCACCGGGAGTCGCAAAGACCAAAGATGGCAACCGGAAAATCGCGACAGAACCCCGGCCCCGCCGACCAACCAGGACCGAGCCGCCCTCATCACCGCCTGCGCGGGCGGCAGAAAGGCCACTTTTTTTTCACAGCCGACTTCACCGCCCGGCGAGCCTAGGTTTTCATCATTCAAACCCTGGTTGCCTGCTCATCTCTCCTCACGAGCAAAAGATGGCTATCTCGGATTTGTTGAATCGTCGCGTGCGAGCCGTAGCTGAGGATGACGAGGAGGTCTATTCGGACCAATCTGGATCGGACGAGGCGAGCGACAATATACGGTCAGACGAGTCGGGATCGGAAGATGCCAGTGATCTAGACGACGACGATGATGATATGGTTTGTTTACCGCTTTCAGGATGGATTCTCGCGGTGCTGACCAATCTACAGCCCAAGAATGACGATGATGATATAGATGGCGATGAGGAGGACGACCAAGACAGCCAAGACGACGACGATGACGCCCCTCAGGATGATGTACAGGCTTCACTAAGCAGCATCTCGTTCGGCGCACTAGCCAAGGCGCAAGCATCCCTAGGACCCAAAGCGAAGCGGTCATCCAAAATTACCAAAGCAGCAGAAGATCCCGCAGCCCCATCCCCCTTGGACGATATTAGAGCCCGGATTCAGGAGGCACGCGAACAGAAACGACAGGGGCTGTCGAAATCCAAGGACTCGGAAAGGGCCTCTCGTTCCTCCAAACATGCCCCGGCTGTACAATCCTCCAAGTATGCTGTCTCTCGCAAGCGGACTGTCATCGAACCTCCGAGTGCGCCCAAATCGCGAGATCCACGATTTGACCCGACTGTCCTGAGCCATGGCGGTCGAAAGAACCCGCAGGGATCGAGCAATGCGTACGCCTTCCTGGATGAGTATCGCGCGGATGAACTCAGGGAGTTAAAGGACAAATACGCCAAGACGAAGAATCCAGAACAGAAAGAAGCTCTGAAAGGTGCCATTCGGTCGGCTCAAGACCGCCTTCGTACGATGGAGAACAGAAAACGGGAGAGGGAGGTCTTAGCGGATCATAAGAAACGGGAGAAGCAACTCATCCGCGAAGGCAAGAAGAGTAACCCGTACTATATGAAGAAGTCGGATCTCAAGAAGCAGGTGTTGCTCAAGAAGTACGAGGGTATGAATTCCAAGGACCGCACAAAGGCACTCGAGAGGAAACGAAAGAAGACCGCAGCCAAGGAACGGAAAGAAATGCCAATGGAGCGCAGAACCTTGAGCAACGACGATGCACCACCAGGCGGCGGTGGAGGCGGCGGCTGGAAACGTCGTCGAGTGGGCTGAATGCTGTGACTGCATTGTCAGGCCTTGGTGAGTTGATCATGTTATTGTATATATAGTATGCGCCTTCACTGGCGTCTGGGCTCTTCTTACGCAATTCCCTGGGATCCAACCTTTACGATGACAGGCCAAGAGTTGGTTGACAAACACGGTATTACCTATCATTATCCAGATCCGACCCAACCCTTCCAAGGCGTAGGTGCGCCTAATCCACAGTAAAAATGAAGAAATGATTATCAATGCCAAGTGGCGAAGAAAAAAAACCAAAGAGTCATCCAATAACAATTGTTATACCAAGATAAACAGAAGTAGAAAAAAAGCCAATCAAACAAATGGTATCGCAACAAGCCATGAATCAATGACACGGATCACCGAAATCTGAGGTCCTCGAAATAATATAAACGGTGATTCTTCGAAGAACATGATCTTTAACCCCTAGAACAAAGTAACGCCTCGTATCCAAATGAACAGGTCCTCCCCAAAGATCTGAAGATTGGGAGGGGTAAAAGAAAGGACAATAAGAGAAGAGATTCGATAACGACGGGATGAGAACAGAGGCATCAATCAACAACAATGCTGGAGGTGTCTGGCCTTGGGTGGTATAAGAAGCAGAGAAGTAAAAGGGATAAGGATATCAAAGGGAAGGGCTCCACCCTCCCCTTGTTCAAGGAGCGACTGTTCATGCTGTTCATATCGATAGTCGTAGTTTTGCATATTCATCATGTCCAGAATAAAGGTGATTCTCTAGACACGTTCCCTCCACACATAAACTCGGTAATTTTTGTGGGCTTGCAGCCCAGTCGCGGGCCATTGCTCCCAAGCAAGCACCCGCCCGATCCTGCCTTTGCAAAAGCTCGAGTCCGGATCACACTGGCAACCGCATACCAGGACTTGGAAGATGGTCTGGAAGAACATGAACAACGATCGTCCGAGTCAGACTTCATCAAAAAACTCGAAACATGTTGATCGTGAATCAAGAATGAAAAAGATCCCATGCACGGGCGCAGAGACTAAGAAATTCTTCCTTCTTTCTACGCTGGGTCTCAGGGGAGTCTCTCCCCGCACCAAATGGGCCATGAGGGGCGCTGGCGCCAGAGGCCAAGGCCGGATTAGGGCGATAATGTGGGTCGGGGCCGTGGCCTAACGGTGGACTTCCGTGTTCATGTTCATACTCATTTCTCGAACGGCGACGAGCAGTGCCCTCTGATGCATACAATGCTGGCTGCTGGGGGTGCACGTTTGCCATGGGCGTAGCATCCGCATGAGGTACACCGGATTTCGGGGGCCCGTTGGTCACACGGGGAGATGGTGGGGTCGGAGGTTGGTGGCCACCGTAATGTACAATGCGCGGCAAGAGTTCCTCGCGTCCGCCGGACAATTCCTGGACGGCTTCCTCGGCAGAGCGGTATTCTCGGGGGCGCTTGGGAGGTTGTCCGGCATCCCGTGAGATCCTGGGCGAAGGTATCGGAGGTAAATTATTGGATTGAGGCGGGTTCGTAGCGGTCGCGGTGGGGTAGTATAGGCCCCGGTTCACCTCGCGATCGCGGGCACCGAGAGCGTCAGACCCAAACACGTCAGACAACGGTGGCAAGCGGTTGTTTGTCTGAGTAGCAGGAACATGATGGATGTGCGATGTGGAGCCCAGAGTTGGACTTTGATTGACGACGTGACGAGTCAATGGCTGCGCTTCATGTCGACCTGTGAATGTCTGGTTCAACGGTGCAGATTGGATAACACGCTCGCTGGCGAATTGAGCCGCTGAAGGAGGCACGATAGAGAGGCCAGGTGGAGGCCTCCTCTTCGATGCACCGGCCCTGGGGATACCGAATGCTTCAGATGGTTTTGTCCCGTCTGGCCCGTCATCCTTAGCAGATTTCTGTAGACGCGATTCGATGATTGACCGCTGTTGGTCTCGAACCGATAGGCTCCGCTGCAATTGCTCCCTCATTGCTGGATTGTGCGTTTGAAAGCCAGGAGACAGGCAAGCGATCCCGACCTCCTGCATGTTGACACCTTCCCGGGCAGTCATAGGGCCGCCAGGAGCTCGGGCGGACAACCCTCCAGAATTCGGGAGGCTAGTAGACAGGTCCAATCGTCGGGGGCGAGGTCGTGTATGAGTCTGCATGGCGGGCGAGGAGGGAGGTTCTTTTTTAACGATGACCCTTGCAGCATTGGATCCGGCCTGCGAACTGCTAGAATGTTAGCATTTGTATCAGCCACTTAACTTGCGATTCCAATCCAGTTACTTACGACGGTGATGTCGGCTTCTTTCCTGCAGGCGAGCTTTTGGCCGAAGACACATCCCGAGAGGGACCGGACGGCCGCGGCGGCGTGGTACTCGTCTGATTACTTGAGGTCGCAGGCGCCAATGTTGGGCAATTTTTCGGACTCAGATCACGGGTCATACGCGGAGAAGTCAGCGGAGCAGCCTGGGCAGGCGCAACCGCGGTCGACATAATGCTAACGAAAGGTGACCGGTTCGACTGGACACGAAGGAGCGGGAAAGCTCCTTGGCGAAAACACACAGCTGACCAGGAGAGGCGGTCGATGCAGGGGAATCGCCCAAAAGCTGGACCGATATAAAGGCTGACGAAAAACCCCCCTCGGAAGCTGTCTCACACAGCCACTGTATAGTGTCCTCCTGTACGGGGCAAAGACTGTGCCACCTAAAGTCTCACAGGCTGGAGCAGGTGGAGTGTCAAGCTTTCCCTTGACAGGCTCCCGGATATATGGGGAGGTAAGGGCGAGACCGAACAAAAGAGCGCGCGGGTGCGAGAGCTCGGCGGCGGCGGAGGCGGCTAATCGTGGTGGTCTTCGGGGAGGTCGACGTTAAGCTCAGGATGGGTGGGCGGAAGATGCAGCTCGATGAACGAGCAGCACGACGCACACGGAAGCGGAGGAGGGGAGAGGGGAGAGGAAGGAGATCAACGCCGGTGTGGCACCCCAGAAAAAGTCGTCAAACAGGTGGTGGAAGGGGGACGACGACGGGGAGTGGTCAGATACTTGAGGGAGGCGGTTAACTAAGGCTGGCTGGCGGCAGTGTGACAACGGTTAGAGGTCGGTCAGGCCGGGAGTGATCCAGAGCACTCGAGCGATAGTTGAACAGGTCTGGCCCCCAATGCGAGCTAATGGCCCGAACGGAGAGGAAAGGAGGGGAAAGGAGGGGAGGAGGAAAAGAAGAGAAAATGGAAATCAATCCAGAAGAAATAAATATGGGTGGAATAAAGGGTAAGAGAAGTTGAAAAGAATTTGACATCCAAAAGGGTCCAGAAGAAAGAAGAGAAGGGAGAAAAAAAAAGCAAAACAGGGAAGAAGTGAGAAAGGAAGAAAGAGAAGACGGTGACAGACAGGAAAAAGAGGCCGGATTATTGTATGTATGAATGTATGGGGAGGTATGTATGGTATGGCCGGTATGGAGGAGAGAATCAAACAGGTCAATTCAATCTCGATGAGACGGTGGCAGAAGAGGGTTGGAACTAGGCAGAACGATGAAAGGACTATCAGTTGGACCGTGCCATTCAATCCGAACACGCGGCAGGGTTTGGGGTGGTTTAAAAAAAATGATGAAATAGATAAATTAAAATAAAGAACCCCAAAGTCAAAGACACGGGGGGGGTGGGAGAGGAGAAATAGTAATCAGCATCAAACAGGAAGTGGGAATTAATTGGGCTGCAATGGAGCGACGAGACCTTGAATGAATGGGATGTGGGGAAGAGACGAGACTCACTTGACTAGAAGGAGTATAATAATAATGACAAAATAATGGATGCAATATCTCGAACAGTAGATAGAACCAGAAGAGATCCTGGTCGCTAGGAGCATTAGGGACTTTTAGGACAATAGTCAGAATTATGTTGATGATGATGATGATGATGCTAATATCAACCTGAGAAGGAAGGTGAATAACCGCAAAAATTATTATTATTACAGAAAATAGAAAACCCGACTGGGATCAATCCCAATAATCTCCTGGATGCTCAGACCAAGTGGAGATGGATTCCACCTGATTGGCACCAGCTGAGACATGGTTTGTTTCCGCCCAGGGCTTGTCCGTCGATGATGTGACACTTTTGTGACAATTGGCGGTTGCTGCTGATCGCGTCGGATTCACATCGGTTGGACAGTAGTAGCACCACTCTGGTCGGGCTGGAACGATAAGACCCAAGCAACATTCTTCGCTTTCCTCCTCTTCCCCTTCCTCTTCTTCTTCTCATCAGGATGCTCCGTCAACGTATTTTCCCTCCCTCCCGGTGGTGGTCTGTTTCATCTACCTATATACCGAAGAAAATTCGATCCCAAAGAAAAAAAGAAAATGAAACCCAAATCGCATAGTAAAATCAAAGAATCCAACCGAGTCCAGACAAAGGTACCTCTTGGCCCGACCGGACCAACCCATCCATGACTAGATACTAAAGTAAGGTCGGGGGCTCTTCCTTGCGACCCATCCGGGATCCGACCTATGGAGATCCAGGAACTGCCGCTGGCCTGTGAGACAGCTGGAACATGAGGTTCCCGGTCCAGTCACCGGCTGGGATTCTTTTATTTTCTTTTCACTCTCTTCTTTCCCTTTGATTGAGAAGCTTCTCTTCCTTCTACAGCTACTAGGTATTACTACAGTACTACCTATCTGTCTACCTAACTGTAGGGTGGGTAAATAACAATTGAAAAGTGTTGGTTGGCACGCATCCTCCATCCCGTGCCAACAAACTATCGTCGGCGTCCGACGCCAGGTGGATAACGGAGCGAGAAAAGAGGTTCCTCCCCCTGGTGGCGACGCACCTGCGACACCAGCGTCCCTCACCATCCCCGAATCCACCGGCGCCAAACTGGTGGAAACTGGAAACAATAGTCCCTGCCCCGATCCATGAATCCACCCTTCTGTCAGACATGATCCTAACTAGCCAACTAACCAACTAGGCAACTACTCTACAGTACTAGTACTTTTCCGCTCCTCGTTCCCCTCCGTCCAATCTGCAGTCAGCATTCAGCATTCAGCATTCAAGACGGTTTTACAAATTAACCCGAGCTTGACATCTCACATTTCCCCACGTTCTTCTCAAAACGGGACACCACCTGGAAAGAAATGGATAATACTATCTAGATAGTCAATAGTCAATATTAATCAGGATAATGTAGTACTCCTCCGTACTTATCGATCGATCATCCCGCGGGACAGTCCGACGATCGTCTCTTGTCCGTGTCGAGGCGTCGCATTGTGACATGCCCGAGACGGACCAACAGTCGCATAAAAAATGAAATCTTTACGGGAAGACCAGCTGTTTGAAAAGAAGAAAACAAATGTCAGGTCTGACTGTACTTCTTGCCCCCAACAAGTTCCCAGTAGTCAGACCCAGTAATCCGAAGAACCTTCTTTTTATCACAACCTCCATCATGCATATTGGTATTTGATAGGAAAACTCCGTGGGACTCTGGGTCCGATACTAGTAGTACTCTAGATATCCATATCTATCAGTTGACCAGGCCGGTCGCTCTTGCTCCAGACTAACGAATAACGATGTATAACGATGTATTTGCTCACCCGCGCACATCCGCCTCAAGTTTAAAATCCTAGACATGATCCCGGCATTGCTTACCTGACGACATCCCAAGGGGCCCGAGCGACCGAACTACTGTGAGGCAGAATTTTCCCATGCCTTCTATGCAGTTTCGTGTTCAATTTCGCGGTCCCATCCAGCACATGCATCACGAACTATTGGGAGGCAGATCGACCACGGAGGACGGAGTACCAGCCCTGCCATCTCCGCCCGATCAGTCTCCATCAATCTATCTAGGTATCTACCCATCTCTCCAGCGATTAGCTCGCTTTTTGTGACAACACCATTGTCTCAATCAGACTTGCAGTGTAGGCGCGGAGTAAATTGGGCAATTCAAGCTTGATAGCCGAGATGCCGTACGGGTGTAACGACTGATGGGTTTGTTCCAGCCTCGTGCAACCAGCCAGCCTGGGCTCAGTGGTCAGACGGCCAATCCGGCCGGCGAGGCACTTGCTTGACTCAGACAAGACTCAATGCAAAACATGGGGCCTGTCAAACTTTTCTTCGGACTGCAAACTTAATTTACAATTTACTGCATCGAACTGCGTTTTCGAGTGCTAGTCTATCTACGCGGAGTTCATCGCTTCCCTTCTCATAATCTCACTACTCCAGTACTTTGACACCGGGACCTCCACTTGTCAGGAACTAAGACGCGGAACCACTTACCGACAGCTAGGTGGTCACGAGAGTTCAATTAGTTTTCGCGAGGGTTTGGTAGGCGATGTAGACGGCTCCATCGCAGTGGCCCGGCTTGCATCAGGGCTGGTGGGATAGATATTAATTACTATTACTCAATCCCTGTTACAGCTGCAGCGCCGATGCTTGCAGGCACCGTCATATGCGTGGCTCGTTTAATAGGTGGTGTTATTGATTGCACCAGATGAGCAGCCATATGGTGATACTATCTAGATAGTACCACTACTATACTAGTAGTACATATGGAGGGTTCCGTCCATCCGTCCCGAGGTACGATGGTGGAAGTGATAGATAGATAGTACCTATCTTGAATCTTGAGAACTTGAAGGATTAAATCACCTGCGGATACGTCCGTTTCTTGGACCAATCAACCGGGTCGATCTCGGCCCCCTCATTTCCGCTCCACGAGGCGAGTAATAACTAATAATATTAAACGGGACCACCTCATTAACCCGGGGATCGCTAGTGAGATGCGGTTTAGTAGCAGCTGGACTAGTCTACTAGATCACGGGGAAGTGGGAAGTTGGACACCGGCTGTCTCAGAGGAATCAATCGTAGGGCAGCTAGGTAGATACGTAGCTACTAAGCTAATAGCTATGTAGATTGTAGACCTGTGTTTACTGTTTATAACTCGACTTCGTCCGGCGGGCCCACGTGTGCTCCTTGCAAATAAGATTAAGGAACGGCCTTGCCATCCAGTCCGATGAACCGCTAGTTTATGGGTCCGGCCCTGCCGTCTCCAGAAATTTATTGACCTGCTGAATGGTACCATGGGTTGTCACATCACAGGGTCTAATAACATGTCAGGTCGCTGAGATTTCCAGGAGGCTGCAAAGTTCGCGGCGCGGTTTCGCCTTTCGAACCAGTGGAATCATCCCTCGATCGGGTCTTGCTCGGCAAGCTACTACTTACGGTCTTACCATCTGATAGTGCTAGAACCTCTTCCTTTACGGAGTAATTATGCCCTGCATATGCGATAGGGTCCTTCCTAAAACTATGTGCGACGGAAGGAGAACTCCTCCGTCCTCCGTACACCCTCAATCCACACCATACTCCTCGAATGTGCTGCCGACAGCCACGCCATCGGCAATCCAGAGAGAGCGTTCCCCTGATCCATACAAGATCACCTCTCCATAGTACGTATTCCGTCCACGCCATCCCGCTCGTCATTAGATGCTCCGTAATGGTGATTAAGAACGGCATCCGTACAACGACTATCTCCGAGGACATCCCATATCTGTCCCATCCACAGCATATCCGAGCCTCCGTATCTTCTGCTGCTGCTATCAGTGCCAAGGAAATAGTTTAATATCACGGTGATTACGGAGTACTGCATATCTAAGCGGCCACATCACATTCACATCATCCACCCGGTTGCAGAGTGGATGAGAATAACACCCCATGTTAAGACTTAAAGCCTGGATCTAGTCTCAACGGCGCGCTCTGCACGGCCCTGTTGCTAATATTGGTTCTCCCATGTGGGCAGAGGGGGTGTGTGCTTCCTGCTCCCAAGGCAAGCGATATAGTGTCTGGTCGATCGCAATAAGATATCGCTAATACTCAACAATAATAGCAACAATCATAATGGCGGACGGAGCCCGTCCCCGGTCGCTTATTTTACTGTTCTTATTATTGGGGGTATCTTACGTAGTAATTAGGACTATCGATCGGGGATTATTTTGGATCATTATTACACCCGACTGGACTGCGTTGCATCAACATCATGTCTCTGTACTCTTGGGACCGGACATTTAACATACTATCACACTATCACACTATCACACACATCCCCCCGTCGTATTTATAGAAACCCAGCTCTCTCGCAAGAAATAGTAGTCTTAGTAAAGGCGGGTCAAGACCAAATCAATCCGGATACATTGGATTCTGTCCAAGGATGACCTGCAGTGTTCTCTATACGGAGTCCTGTAGCACGCCTGTCAAGTAGGATGCATGTCCTATTCGGCAGGACAAGCTCCACGCCCGGCAGAGAACAAAGCCACCGTTACACAAGGGTGTGCATAGTGGTAGATCATAGATACAGTGTGTGTCTGATGTTTGACAGTCTGGATGCGATGTCACGGCCAGATATGTAGATAGCCTGGCTGGTTCGGTCGGTCGTCACACGGTCTGTACGTATCCTGCAGTTCAAGTACCAGGACAAAGACGGATGAACAGTCATGCAGAGAGCTTGAATAGGAGATGTCGGTCTCCTACGGCCATTCAAAGATACCCCCAGAAGTAGCCATCCTGGATCATACGCAATTGAGTCACGCGCGCTCAGCTGTCAACAATGAACTGTCAAGCCGTACCAGTCACTTACAGTAGTACTAGTACTCCGTAGAAGCCAGCCAACAGCGCGACCACCAACCCAAGCACAAACCGGAAGGCGGTGAGAATCCTCTCCTCCGAAGGCGGTCAGATATCGATAACCGTTTTTCGCATTTTTCTCCTCACGAGCGTCGAGCATCAGTTGATTGCGAAATTCCACGCCTGCAAATCGCCACAAGAGCTCAATTACCTCTTCTCGACCAACCGAGAACCACTTCTCTTCGAATAACCTCCTCAGTCACCCCGGATCCGTGACCCGCACCCCGCGCCTGTCCCTCCGCCCCTCCAACAACATACACTCGGTATATACTTCCCTCCACCTCCCCTGCTCGAGCAAGAACCTGCGCTCCGATTCCATATTTCCCAGGGAATAAACTGACTTCGCACTCAGTCACCCCACCAACCAAACTCACCACCCACCATGCCCGCCTCCGTCCACTCCGAAGAACAAGACCAGTCCATGCTGGACGCCTCCGCCCCCCAAGAGCAAGAGGAGCAGACCGATGTTCTCGAGCTCGACGAGAAGCGCATCGTCGTTGTGCGTCTCCCATATACCATCGATTGCCCAATTCCAACTAACTATTTCTCACCAGTTGCCCGGCGCCTCTGACACAGCGGCCTCATTCCAGTTCGAGGGAGAGGGCCATACTCTGGGAAATGCGCTGCGGTATGCGATTATGAAGAAGTGCGTCCCCCCCCCCCCCCCACTGTCTTCCTCTACATGCCCTGTACCTCCGGGATAAGAATGGCCAGTTGGATGATAAATACTAACGGAGTGTCATTAGCCCCGAAGTCGAATTCTGCGGCTACACCATCCCTCACCCTTCTGAAATGAAGATGAACTTGCGTATTCAGACTTATGGTCAGTTTTACCCAATATTAATCTCAACCCTACTTGGGCATACTATTTAAAATACATCAAAACTAACAGTATATAATATGGGTACAGACACAACCACCGCAACTGAAGCCCTGGAAAAGGGTCTTGATACGCTCATGGATCTGTGTGATGTTGTGACGGACAAGTTCACCACCTCGCGGGATGCGTTCAATGCTTCCCAGGCAGATCGGATGGAGGCGTAGGTGGATAAATAAATAGATGGTGGGGTCATGTATATTTGTGGTTTGTGGCTTGTGTATTGGTATTATGGGTTGGCGTTTGATTAGAAAAGTATACCTTTTTTTGCTTCTCCCTTTTGCTGTTGAGCTGATTGCCATGAGTGCTGATGGGTTCCTTGAAAGAGGTGGACGGATGAATTGCATACTTGGGTATAGGTATGTATAGATGGGGCCGGGTACGTATTGAGGGGGTTTACTTACAGTATATTGCTGCTGTGTTGGGGCTTCGTATGTATCTGGTTAGGCTGTATACGATAGCTACTAGTGGTCTAACCTACACGGCATAAACCTATTGCAGTGCAAATAACCGCACATGCATACAGCCAGTCTACAATCTACACCATAGAGCAAAACCATTGATCCGACAATATTTACATAACACTCTATCGGCATCACAGCCCCAGAGCCCCCAGAGCCGTAATAGAACTTTCAATGCTAAGGATAACGGAAGAAGATAATACGAGGTATGATAAATGACAATCAATTGCGACCTTCCAAGAAACCCGAGATGAAGTTGGGGGGGAGGCGAGCACCGGGCTCCTCCTCGGGCCGGAAGTACTTCATCACATGCGACAGCTGCTTCCAGTAGTTGAGGGTTTCCTGGACAATGCGCATTGGTTAGTATGTCCGTCATGTATATCGATAAGATATGTTTCAGGCATGTTTGGTAGGTCGACGCAGACAGCATGTCATTGACCGCTATAGCTCCAATTCCAACATGGTCCAAGTGTGGACTCACCTGGAACTCAGAGTGGCTCTGATACAGCAGCACATCGACGACATTCAGCTGCTGGACGTAGCGGTGCTTCTCGAATTCCTGGCGGATCTTGGTCCGGATAACAGAGACGGGCATGTTCAGAGAGTACATGGTCTGAATCTCGGGGGACTAGAGTGTTTCAATGGTAGGGTCAATGTTAGTCTGGTTGTCTTGTGCTTGGTGAGTGATATGTTGCTTCCGTCACAGGTTCTGGTAGGCGCGAAGGTGCACACCAGTAGGCCAGCAAGCAACGGGGGCATTGGATAGAAAGCAATTCGACATGCTAAGGATCACTGACCGCTCTAAGCCATTCCCTATAGGTCTTGAGGACACGACGCTTCGCATCGCCCCAGTTGGCAGCTGCACAAGGCGAGAAAGGTCAGCTCGTGATTCCGGCCATTGACGTCGCGGCAATTTCTAAAGGTCGGACCGCCGGATAGGGCCTGGGAGGGGGAGAGACGTACAGGAGCGCGTGCGCTGCGCAAGGAAGGTCGGGTTGATGGTCATCTTGAATGCGGCCGGGGTAGACGCTCGACAATGGCACACTGGATGGGGGGGAGAGAGGGAAAGGAGCGCGGGGGAGCGAATGGGAAGAAGGAAGTCGATGGTCCAACCTTTCGGGGCCTGAGTTAGCGTGACGATGGAAGAAGGCCTTCGCAACTCGCAATTCGCATCCCTCCCGCTGCCTTCTCACCGCCTGCCCGTTTCAAAAAATTTCTCTCCCGGCGGCGTGCTCGTGGAGGGTCCGGGGCTTCACGTTCAACTCTTTTCTTCGGCTGTGGTCTGTTGCATCTCGTTGATTTTTATTTATTGACGCTTGTTGTCAGCTGTGCTGTCTAGGCGACTGGGTTTCTGTGGCCTGTTTCTCCGCTCCCACCGCTGTTCGTCTGTAATCCAGATTTTCGTCCCTCTTGCGATACCCTCCATATCAACGCAGCGTTAAACCGAAGCAATGGCGCCGACCAAGGGTTCTGCCAAAGGCAAGACCTCCGTCAAGGGTGATGCGAAGAAGAGCAATCCTCTCTCGTCCGGATCCAAAGTGAACAAGAAGAATTTCAAGCGCCCGCCTCCGAAGGAAGTCAAGTCGAAGGCGCGCACAGAGGCCAGCCAGTTGAAGAAGACCAAGAAGAGAGAATACACTGAGGCGGAACTGGGTCTGCCCCAGCTAAACCAGATCACCCCCGTCGGTGTGGTGAAGCCCAAGGGCAAGAAGAAGGGAAAGACTTTCGTGGACGATGCGGTGGGTGCACCTTTTATCTTTGACTTGTCGGTCGCATTGCTAATAATGTTGCGACAGGAGGGAATGATGACCATCCTCGCTATGGTTAACGCGGAGAAGGAAGGACAAATTGAATCCAAGATGATGAAGGCTCGCCAGTTGGAGGAGATCCGAGAGGCAAAGAGAAAGGAAGCCGAGGCTAGACAGGCGGAGAAGAAGTCTAAACTGGTACGTACAACGGCCTTGGGTCTTCAATCCCTGTTGAAGAACTATATGTGGATTGCTAATTTGTTTGGTCGGAACAGGACGAGGTAAAACAGTCAATCCGTCAAAAACGCAAGCACAAGGGCGACTCGAGCCAAACAAGCGATGCCCCGTCCAAGGAGTCGTCCAAACCGAAGGGAAAGAAGAAAAGCGTTGCGTTTGCTTGAGATTTTATGTACAAAAGTAATTCTGTCTATACCGGGTCTATGTAGTTAGATGGGTCTCTGGCGTTTATACTGGTCTATGTCTTCGAAAACAATGGCGTGCATGACACTCATGATGAGCTTCTCTCCAGATGAAGCGCCGGTCCTCTTATCAGGAGGACATCGGTAGTGCGATCGCAACTCTACGGCTTGAGCTGCATGACAAGCCTGCGTAGCGTAGGGTTGAATTCCGGCTTCGGGGTCGTGTCGTGGTCCTTGTCTGGCCCTGAATGGTGGGCAACTCGACCGGGAACATTCTCGGGGTCCTCGACTTCGAAGGGGATAGTGAGGTCAACCTCCTTCGTCATAAGGTTCAGAAAATTCAGCACCTGGATCAGTCAGCTGATGTACATAGGGTTAGGCAGATGGCTTTCACGTACCGGCTTTACAAACCACCTACCACCACCAAATTCAAACCAACCAAGGTGGCCACCCCAGGAGGTGGTCATCATCACACCGTACGGGGTTTTAGTTATCTCCTGGAATGGCAATGCTTTAGCAGTGGCAATCTGCTCCAGGTTAGTGTATATGACTCCGTAGTTGAAAAACCAGGCTTACCGGGTCGTCTTCAGCCTGGATGACGAAAAAGGGAATCTTGATGTTGAGCATAGCATCGGTGGAAGTAGCATCGCGATAATAGCTACCCTCAGTTGGGTAGCCCCATGTGGCACATTGCAAAGCTCTGCCATGGCTAAAGTCAAAACTCTGATATATAAGACATGTCTAGAGCGATGCCTTACCGATCAAATTCGTGCAAGTAAGTGATATTCCTGATTGCATCAACATCTATTCGGGGGTTCTTGGAAACCTGTTCAACATGCCTGACGGTATAGAGTGAGATGCGATACACCATGATGTCTAAGAGAATACCACTTACTGTTCGAACAATGCCCTCATGCTCGTACCCATCACTTTACTATACTGGCGACCGGCGAAGGTGCTTTGCAAGTTCATCGAGCCAATCTCCAGGTTCCAAGGGCTAGCACAGAGGACTGCTGCCGTTAACTCGCAGGCATCACCTTCCTCGCCCAAGTACTTTACAATCGTCAGTCATCCAAGCGGCAGCTTTTTTGATCCGGATGGAAAACTTACGTTAGCCATAATATTCGCGCCGAGCGAGAAGCCAATTCCGAAGAGAGGGCGATTAGGAAATGTCTTCCGCAGCCACTTGACAGCTTGACGAATATCCCACGTAGCGCGGGCATTGTAAAGCACCCCGGTTGTAATCTTAGTTCTTGAACATCCTCTGGAGTTGACGACGCAAGCCTCCCAGGTCTGATCCTTGATAAGGGGCGCAATCACATGGCGCAGGTAGAGTTCATGTGACCCACCGCTCAGGCCATGGAGGACCACGAGCATAGGCTTCGTATCATCCGAGGGAAGCGCAGCATATTCGTCCTCCGAAAAGAATGAGGTCCGCTCGGGAAGCCCTGATGGCTGGGTATATTTCCTCTGGCTATCTGTCGCGTGGGCGTCGCTAGACGGCTCGTATGGATCTACCACAAAATCTATCGCAAAATGTCCAGTGAACACCGGGTTGTCGGCTTCAAACATCCAACGCTTGTAGTATACCGGAACATTATCAAAGACCACAGTTGTCCAGGCGGTCTGGAGATGGCCGTTGAAGAGGAAAGGATTCAGCTGGCATGTTTCCGGGGTCGCAGTGTGACAGAGATCCACCAGCGTCACTTGCCCCTTGGACCCTGACTTCCCGGATTTCTTGGCTAGCAGGAGATTGTTATCTTTCGCATGATAGTATGCGATCCGGCCATTAGGGCGGATCCAAGAGAACAAGCCCATCACCAGCAGGCCCGCAATAAGGAGCGGTATGGACAACGAACTTAGTAGTAGACTGGCGGGAGTCTCGACAGATGACATTGGAGGCTTTTCTTTCGTTTGAACAACTAAAACAGCAACCTAGAAGTCTCGAGATCCCAGAACTAGCCTGCTATATCTCTCCGAGCCCCATTCTCGAAGAGAGAAAGGGAAAGAGAACCAGAACCACCCCTGGCCTGCCTGGAAGGCTCAACATCGAGTAATTCTCATGGGCCTCGGCTTCATTGCCTCTTTGGGTAAGGCGTCCCTTATCGGCTTATCGGCCGCCTTATCACGCCGATCCACCAGCCAGCCAATCAGAGAGCCAGCCAGCGGTTCCGGCTGACTCAGCCACGATCCCCCGATCGATCATGGGGCCTCCCAACGACGTCACTTGATGTTGCATCTTTCATCCCACCCTGACTTCTTGTACCAGCGGACTGTGTTGCAACTGACGGCTCAATTTTAGAATCATGGACATTCCTGCGGGTGGGTGTGCGGGTCGTTGCCAGATCGATGCGGTAAACCGAGACCCGGTTGCGGAAGCTCAGTGTAGGCGTTGATCCGATAGCATCATAGACTTCCCTTGGCCTTTCCCCAGTCGGGTGAAAGTTCTCGAAGAATTAACACCATGGCAGTCTAGAACGCTAGACTGCTTGGATGCAGTTTCCAATAAGGCGATTAATTAGACAATCGGCCTTCTACTCTTTGGTTCAACAAAGACCCATCGGTTGTATGTAATCCTGACGGCTTCTACTACGCTGTGACCCAGGCGCGTGCTCCGTTTGCGTGCGAAGCGACAGCCTTTAGGGGTCCTACTTGAAGGTCAAAAGGCCCTCCCTTCCGTTTCCCTCTTGACGGTTCTCTTATCATGTGGCTCGCTTTCAGTTATCTCTTTTAGAACACCATGATGCCCTCGGTCTAGAAGACGAGCTGGTACTCATCCCACTTCCGAAGCATTGGAGTTTTGACGATAGACGATAGCACGAATGCATCGGTGGGCTGAATAATTTGACGAAGACACCCCTTACCATTCCAACCAATAAAATGAAGCCCGATCTGCCAGTCGATATGGGACTTAGTTTCCGCCGGGCCGGGGAAAGGTTGAGATCCATCGCCAAGATGAACCGCTGGACGAAAAGCCAATTGGAAGGAAAGGCTGGAGAAACGGACAGCGACAGGAATTGCTATCTCCTTGCGCTACCAACAGAGCTGCTTCTCGAGATCATTTCTCATTTGTCTGTGTTGCCCGAGGCATGTCTGGCGTTGACCTGTAAACGGCTCTATTCGATATGCGGACCTATCCTGGGAGCCGAAACCCTCCATTTCAGTCGAGACTTTGCGCCATTATTCCACCATTATCGAAATACACACAACTTCGTCACCCCACGTTGGCAGTTCATAAACTTGCTAGAGGACAACAGGTGGCGGGCTTGTTCTCGATGTTTGAAGCTCCATCCACGGAACTCATTCCCCGTGCGAGAGCTGAAAGGAAAGCCGGAGGAGAGGTCGTGTAACCTAGGAAGCTCGGCGGGCATAGTAGACTTATGTCCCTGCAAGAAGTTGACTTTCCATGACAAGATGGAGTTGGTTAAACTTCTGAAGACACGCGAGAGATCGATGACGGCCCTGGCGATGCAATTCGGCGCCAGTATAAAGCAGCAGCGCTTCTGCTGGCATAATTGCACTGAGAACTATGGATCAACGCAGCTGGATATAGAGATCTATCCTGAATTGGATGAAGAGGGCCAGTTGAAGATCAAGACAGAGTACCGCTTGCGGACAGGTTCTGGCCAGCTCGGTAGGGAAGAGCACATGACGCCACGTTTTGGTTGTGCCCATCGATCCGTCGACCTGTGGCTTTCCAGTGTCTGCCAAACTACCCTCTGTCGGCTATATGACAGTCACTGCGCATCTTGCAATCGAATATCGATATGCAATACGTGCAATGCCTCGTTGAGGTGTCCTCGCAAACAACCAAGTCAGCTGGACGAGGAGACGGGGCAAGCAACGTACCATTTTTGGACGGAACGGTGCCTTGGAGGCTCTGGGCCTGTCCCCGATCAGACGTGGGCAGCGCAACGGATCCATCCTGCGGAGAATTTAATAGATGTCGCCAACTGCAGTGAGCTCTGCCCGTGGACGATCCGGGAACATCCAGCCCTTGAAGAGGCGCCAGCGTTGGAGATGAATATTCTCGATCCCGCCATACAAGATCAGTCGATGAATCAGTTGTATTCCTCGATCAGTATGATCTAGGATTGATGGGCATGGATGTTGCTGTTACGAATTTCACGTGTGTGACGTGTGCTAGATAGACGGGTTGAATTCCGGCGTTGTTGCAAGCAATTTGGGGCTGATAAACTTGGGGCTTGGAGGCTGTGTTGATGGGTTGCCTGTTGTTTCATATAATGATGAATAAATATACGTATTTCCACCCATGCACATTAGTCAGTATCTAGAGATACTGGATAGATAGAATCCAACTAGAAGAATAATAATGCCCAGTCCATGGTTCGTCCCTCGGGCCCTCACCTGATCCCGCCTCACCTGACCGCCCGGGGGTTTCTCCGACCCGACGCGGAAACGGAAAAGGCGGCGCGATTCAAGAGGAACAAGAAGCGAAGCATTCGAAGCAGCATCCTCGTCGTCTCGTTATATATACTTCCCGGGCATAGTAGAGCGCAGCGGATTGATGAGCATTGTCTGCGTTCTGGGGCGATGAGCTACCCACCACCCCATAACGGCCAATATCCTTCGCAGTACTTGCAGCAACCCCCCAATCTGCCGCATCACCAGCAGACCATCCACCCGCAGCAGCTACTGTACAACGGCAATGTCAACACGAGCGCTTCGCCATATCAATATGGGAAGCCGGTGGTTTATCCCCAGGTCATGATTCCGGCGTATCCTGCTTACGCGCAGACATACAACCCCCAGCAGCAGCAGCAACCACCTGCACCTCCACCCCAGCAGCCGCAACAGCAATATGTGAATCCGTCCGATCTGTTCAACCCACCGCCTCTTGCTTCAGCTTCGCCTCCCCAGTTCACTAATAGTCCGTCCCAATATGCTGCACAACCAGCCGTGTCTGTTGCAGGCAACAGTCGCTCCCCCGTCCTCCCTACTTCGTCTACCCCCGCTCAATCAACGTACTACGCCGCTCCCAGTCCGAATCAAGGGAATCAACCTAACAATACATACACTCCACCGACATCTACCACGCCAACAGTTCATGTGCCACCTGCTGCTGCCTCTCCAGTTCCTGCCCCGGCTGCGAAACCGATTGCTGCTAAGCTTGTTGCCGCTAAGCCCGTCGTCGCCAAACCTGTCGTCGCTAAACCCATCGTTCAAACTCCTCCAGCGCCATCCCCCAAGCCCGTCCAGGTGTTGATCCCAGCTCCCACCCCGGACGTACAGCAGAAGACGCAGCGTCAGCCTCCTAAGAAACAGGCGCAGCGTCAAACCGGCCAAAAACCCACTCAAAAGTCAACAGGCTCGCCGATTGACTATCAAGTGTTGCTGTTGGCTATGGCTGATGAGTATCTGAATGCAGCTCACAGCCATGGGACCCTGGTGGCGTTGTTGAGGCGGGAGATGGAAATGGATGAATATTACAAATTAGTTGCAACGGGCCTTGGCTGCTTGGAAGCCGTTCTCAAGGTACGTCAGGACTTTTTGGTCCTTCACTTCCGGAGCCGTAAGTTCTGGTGATACTCATTGAAATGGGGCAGAATTGGAGACTACAGCCTCGGGTCGAAGCTCTTGTCCGATTACGATATGCCCGGATATTATTCGAGGAAACGGATAATGACCTTGAAGCGGAGACAGCATTGAGCAAAGGTGTAAGTTCTTACCCAAGGCTGCTATCCTAGTGTTGTTACTGACTGAATTGAATAGATTGACCTTTGCGAGCGGGTAAGTCATGTTTGGCCATCCTCTAGTTGTGGATCGATAATTCGATAGAAGGAGCTGACCAAACGCAGAATCGAATGCTGGATTTGAAATATAGTATGCAACATCTTTTGGCGCGAATGCTGTATAAAACCAACCCGAAGGCCTCATTGAAAGCTGTCGATGGGATGATTCAAGACGTCGAAGCGTAGGTACCGCCTTTGACTTTCTGTCTGTCTTGCATGCTGAACTCGACAGATATCGCCACTCCGCGTGGGAGTATGCTTTTCGTTTTCTTCGGGTGTCTCTTTCCCTATCCTCATCAGCCCATCAAGATTCAGTGTCGGCACTACAACATCTCCAAAAAATCGCCACTATGGCCAGCCGCAACGGTGACAAGGCTGTTTCAGCTATGTCTGCGATAATCGAAGCTCTCGCACATCTTCAGCAAGGATCTGGTTTCGACTCGATCGAGCAAGCTCAGCGTGCAGTAGCGATGGCACGGAGTCACCAACTCAATGACGAGCTTCGTCATATCCCACAGCTCACGACCTTGATCCAGATTGTCGACATATGCTGTAGTCTGCTTGACTATGATACCAACCAGTCGTCTCAGAAGCTCAAAGTCATGCAAGACCTGATGGATGAAAGGCTGAATGACTCAAATTGGCGGGGTGATGGGTCATTCTCAATCCCCTTGAATGGCAAGTCGGCTGGGCCGTCTTCCATCGACACCGGGGACATCCTTCAGGTCCAGAGCGGCACGCTACTGCTAAGCTTTAACTGGCTACCTCAGCACGACCTCTACGCACTTTGTTATTTCCTGAGTTCTATAACTCTGAGTTGCACGAACTCCTATGATGGACGCAAGGCAGAGAAGTTCCTGCAGGAGGGCACGCGTATGCTGAAAGGTTAGTATAGCTGGCTCTGCCGGACATGGTATGAAGTTCTCCCGTCGCGTGGCTAATGATCGTATTGCAGGAAGTTTCAAGGCGCCCCAAGAGATCACCGAATCGGCGGTCAATGCGAATAGGCGAGTTCAGTGGCGGAAGACTCTCTATTGCAACCTACTTGTCCAGCAAGTGTTCCTTGCCTGCGGTCGCACGGACTGGGAGCTGGCCAGCAAGACGTTAAGAGAACTTCGACACGAAGCCCAAGAGCTTGGCGACCAGCTTCCCGATACAATCGAATGCCTAATGGAGTACGCTACGGGGGCCATTGCGCAAGCAACCGGCGACCTCAATGCAGCCCTGAACGTTTTCCAGTCTCCGCTGCTTTCCCTGTCTACAACCTTCAGCAAGACCGCACGCAACGATCCACGTCGCGATATCGCCATCCTCGCCTCTCTGAACACCGTCCTCATCCTTCGCGATCCTGACCATCCATCTCACCCCCACCTGCCCGCCATCTTATCCACGGTGGAATCATTCTGCACCGGCAGCCCCAACAAGTACATACAAGCAGCGTACTATCTCGTCTGCGCCACCGTGCAGACCGAGTCCACGATCCAGACAAAACAATACCTCCAACAAGCGCTTCAATCCGCCACCGCTGTCAGCAACAGTCAAATTACGTGCATGACCCTAACCTTCATGAGCTGGAAATACTTCCGCGGTGTCGTCGGCGAGCAAGCCGAGAAGAGCGCCCGAGCGGCCCGCGCAATGGCCAAGAAAGCCAACGATCGCCTCTGGGTCAGCGTCACCGACGAGATGCTCGCCGAAACCTTAGAACGACAAGGAAAGAACGAAGAAGCCAAGGGTTTTCGGGAAGAAGGACATCGTGTAATGATGGGATTGCCGTCGGCATTGAAAAGGCCTGTTTAACAAACATTCGCATCCTTGCACCCTCTCTCTCCCACAAACTAACTTTCTTCCTGCTGCTACTACCACCTGGGTAGCCCCCAGCATCTCTCTTGTAATTCTTCACCACTTCACTTACCTTTCCTTTCTTCTTCACCCCTCCTTTTCTATACTTTTTTTTTTCTTTCTTCATCACCGTGTACTTGTTCTTGCGGCTGAAGTTCCGTTCATGATACCATGTTAGGGCTGTCTGTTTGTATGTGCGTGGGGCTATATCATATCATATCATATCATGTCTTGTTTGTCTTGTCTGCCTTGTCTGTTTGGGTGTATGGCTCGTTGTCAATGCCGTTGTTGCTGTCGTCGTCGTTGTCGGGGGGTGTATACGGCGTACTTGACTTTGATAAAAGGGGAGTGTCTCTGTGTCTCTGTCCGTGTGCGGGGGGGGGGTTTATAGGGACGTGATGTGATGCAAGGCGATGTGATGCGGTGTGATATGATCCGGACCTGGTTTTCAGTATATTTAGATCGCATGTTTGCTGTTGTTGTTGTGTGGAAATGGATGATGGGCAACCAACGTTTGTGCCTTTGGAATGGATGGTGGTGCATTTGGGGTTAATTGTCAAGTGCATTCTACATTACATACGTACATACATACATCATCAAACACAGGTATGATTGATATACAGGCACATACATACACAATGATTAGATAGTAAGTAGGTGGATAGATGGATGGATGGGAAGTAAAATGTATCAGAAACCCCCACTCCAACTTCCCATACACTATGTTCGATTCAGCGGACATTAACTGTGTATTACTGCTATACACGCACGCAGACAGATCCTGTAGCCGACGGCGTTGAAAAGACAAGCATGAAAAGGGCAATGAAACAACGGAATGGCTCAAAACAGGATACCCCGCGGCTCGTCTCCGGATTTGGATTCGATAAATGACTCCGAACTCTCCATACGCCTGCAACCTATACACCAATTGGCAACAAAAAGATGACGACTTCCCCCCTTCCCCCCCCGCTGGTCAATTATAATAAAATCGGAAGGGAGAAGAAGTCAGAAATCAGAGCGTGAGTAGAGGATGATATGGTGATAGTATCTGGATTTTGTGCTCGGTTGGGTTGACTTGATCTCCTCTCTTTCCTTTTCTTCCTCATTTTTTGCGACTTCTCCGTCCCATTGATGACAAAAGGTTTTGGTGTTTAACCAAGACCACCCCAGACACCGCGGATGCGCCGAGCCAGTTGGATGTCTTTCTGCATGATGGTCACGCGCTTGGCGTGGATGGCGCAGAGATTGGTATCCTCGAACAGATGGACAAGAAAAGCTTCGGCGGCTTCCTGGAGCGCCTGGATCGCATGCGACTGCCACCGCAGCTCGGAGCCTACATCTGAAGGGAGCAGATCAAGCGCGACCTCGCGGACCAGCCGAGCGAAAGGGAGCTTTGAAATGAGGAGATCGTAAGAACGCTGGTACTTGCGGATCTCTTTAAGGGCCACAGTCCCAGACTTGTAGCGGCGTGAACGTCCTTGTGGGGTAGGGTCACCAGCTGCGAGTATGTTAAGATTGGTACGCTTTAGGTAGGAGGGGAGCGCTGATTGCTACGGTGGTACGCACGTTGGACATCGGACGCTCTGGGCTTCTTGCCGGCTGGTTTCTTGCCCCCCCGGGATGGTCTGGCGGTCTTGCGCACTTTGGAAGCGGATGGCGATGTAGTCGCAGCGGCTTTCGAAGCGCTTGCTGCCGCCCGGTCGCTGCCTGTTGATTTTCGTGGCGTGTTCGTTGCTCTGCGACCGCGGCCAGTCTTGGGAGGCATGTTGATCGCTGGGGCGCCCGGCGAGGAATTGACGGATCAAGGTCGAAATGAAGAGAGGGACCAAGGAGGGGTAGCTTCACAGAGCTCTGTAGGGCAGTGCGAGGCAATGACACTCAAGTGCCCGCGGTGTAGAGGGGATGTGCGGAGGCTTTTGGTTCTCCGGCAACCTGAGGCTAAGAATGTGTTGGGATTGTTTGGATTTTTCAGGGCGACCGATGGATTGCCAACACTGGAGTGAGTGCCAACCTGCAATGCGAGACCACAGTGGTTGTTGGGGGTTAGAAGGGGATTTTGCATGCGGGAGAGACCCATCCAGTGGCCGCACTATCTATCCTTTGAGTTCTCAGCTCTTAGGGTGGTGCTGGACTGCTGGACTCGTCCCCAGCCACCCGAATTCTTGCTGAGACGCGTGGTGGCGCGTCCCTCTGGCACTGAAGCGCGCGGGTGCGGCACGTCAATGACAGCTGACATGATTCATGACTCAGGCATCAATCACTCCGGTAGAGTGACGGGAGTGACGGCAGTTACCGGCCTGAGGCAAAAGGCCAGCTGGAGCTCGGCGACTCGGCCGCGATTCTTAGCAGCCAGCAGCCAGCAGCCAACAGCCAACAGCCAAAGGTGGCCCCCATAAAATCATCATCATCTCGTTATCAATCACCTTCAGCAAACTGCAAACCCACCCACACACCCAAACTCGCCGTCGCTAATTCTTGGTCGCCTTTCTCCCGCCAACTGAACCACCACCAAGACCATTCCAACTACCTAGACAAACCATGGCCGCCATCTGGGGTAACGGCGGGCAGGCTGGCCAGTTCCCTCTGGAGCAATGGTTCTATGAAATGCCCCCCGTGACTCGGTGGTGGACAGCAGCCACCGTTGCCACTTCGGTCTTGGTTCAATGTCACGTCCTCACCCCATTCCAGCTGTTTTATAGCTTTCGCGCTGTATATGTCAAGTCTCAGGTGCGTCGCACTCAGTCCCCAGGGTGTACCTCAGATCACGCAGCTGACCTCCGCGCAGTATTGGCGTCTGTTCACGACATTCCTATACTTCGGACCGCTGAATCTCGACTTACTATTCCATGTATTCTTCTTGCAGCGATACTCGCGCCTGCTTGAAGAGTCGTCGGGGCGATCGCCGGCCCACTTCTCGTGGCTCCTGTTCTACGCCATGGCCTCTCTCCTCCTCCTCTCGCCCTTCCTCTCCCTTCCATTCTTGGGCACGGCCCTCTCTTCCAGTCTGGTCTACATTTGGAGTCGGCGCAACCCAGAAACCCGCCTGAGCTTCCTCGGCATGCTGGTCTTCACCGCCCCATATCTCCCCTGGGTTCTAATGGCTTTCAGCCTGGTCGTCCACGGAATTGTGCCCAAAGACGAGATTTGTGGTGTCGTCGTGGGCCATGTCTGGTACTTCTTCAACGACGTATACCCGTCCCTGCATGGAGGCCACCGTCCTTTCGATCCCCCCATGTGGTGGGTGCGGTTGTTTGAGACGAGACCCGGGGAAGTCCGAGGTACGGACGCTGCCAATGTCAACGGAGATTTTGCCGCTGCCGCTGCACCTGAAGTTCGATGAACCATCTGCACAAACTGGGTGGTCAAACGGCATCCCGGAACTGTCAGCGCAATCGTCCAGGGAACGGCAACCATCATTCTGCGGGTGATCTGTTCCAAGGCCTGACGCGCGCGAATGAATGAGACTTAATATTGTCAGGATATAAACAAGGATTACGGCGGCATTTCTGGTTATGTTGGTATTTGGGTGGCTGATCCGGGGCGTCATTTGACCCCACGTTGCAACAGCTGTTTGCGCTACGGCCTCCTTTCGAGGTGACTAGAAATGATCGCAAAGGCTGTCAGTCTCAAGCAGTATCTTCGAGTGACAGAACAACCTATTTCACCAACCACTTGAGGAGTTGAGATCGCGTGCGGGGAAGATATTCAAGAATGGAGAAGATCTCCAAGTCCTGGCGGGTGGTCAGATGGATGTATACACATTGTCGGCCGGCAAGAGGGCGTCTTCTGTAAGGAAAGACACCGCGATGATCGATGCAATGATACCATTCAACCCAAGTTAAGCCCGGTGATGCCTTGCTTGGGGTAAATGGATCCCACGGACAGATCCTCCGATGAGGGAGAGGGGCGAGCGCCTGGGCGGGATGAGTTGGGCCCTACAGAGTACCAGACCAGTGACTCGAAAGGGAGAGGCCCACGTGTCCGTAGATCCAGAGTGCGCTTGGAATTTGGGGTAATTCTCCGCAGTACATCATCATACTACCTTAATCTTACAGCCCCTTTAGCATCCTGGTCATCGCCTTGACCTGCGTACTGTGTATTTGTAGGACAAGTTGACAACAGGATTGATGGCTGTTGATCAAAAGACCCTCTTTTGAAGTGGCTGCTTCTGTGCCCTGGACGATACGCGGGGCAAGCGGTGTCCTGACCTCATCCGACTTACAGATCACCAGTCTGGTGGGGGCGGGGATTGACATGGCCACACCAACTGCGACTCCTGCGAGACAAGGTTGATGATGATATCAGGCAGACCATGCTTCTGTTCATTGGAGAACGGGGCCGCTGCTTCTATTTTTGAACATGGTGGCTGCGCTTGGTCTCCATATTTGAATTTTATGACAATCCTTTAAGGCTATAACGCTCGACTCAACCGGGCATTGTTCACGATCAGAGACTCGGCTCAATACCGTTGGCGGCAGGGATACGAGTACGCCGAGATGCAGGCCAGGCCTGAGTAGCACAGGACGTGCGACGGGGAACCGCCGAGTCTGTCCTTGACTCCCTTCACCCTTGGGGAGGGGGTTTGAAACTTGAGACCAAACCAGGGTTAAGCCACCCCCCCCCCCTTCTGTTATCCACGCGTCTGACAGTCGCTAAAATCGCCCACTGGCGAACAAGGATCTGGCACGCCCTCGACAACCGTGGGTCGTTGCCATGCATTCTGGTCCTACGGACCTGCACCGGAGTGGAGCTGAACATGGGCCCCCAAAGCCAGCCGCCCATTCGGGTCGGTTCTCTCCTGCGCCAATCTGGCCAGTTTCGCGGACCTGATTGGCGGTTGGGAAGCATCCCGATAGGGCCCTGGTTTTTTTTTTAACCGTCGAGGTCTCTTCCAGTTTAGTCTTTATCTCTCTTTAAGACTTTAACCTTGGCCCCCTCTGGGGGATAGATAATCGGTTTCGTGCTGGTCGGATAAACTGTGAAACAGCCCCCTCTTGGCGGTTGGGGGGGGAGTGGCAACCCTCGCCGCATGAGACTATCCAAACGACCCCGTACCTTGTTTGGCAATGTTATCTATATCTACCTAGGTCGTACCTGGCATGGGCTTGCGTAGTGTTCCCTAATTCAATTCAACCTTGAAAGTTGAACCCTCACAATTCACATGGTTACTTACCAGTTACCATAGTACGATGACCCCACGTCCGAGCCCACCCAAGCCCACCTAATCTGTCAAATCTGATATCTGTGGAGCCGGTCGACTTGCCCGTTCCCACCAAAATCAGGAGAATGTCGGCGGGTTTACCACCGACCACCGACCACCGATCTCCGTCTCCGAACTCGTACTCGTAAATCATACCGAAGGGATGCCGATTGAGTGTCGGCAGAATCCCAATTGAACATTAGGATCGGCGAGTAACATGTCCTCCACCCAGCCTCAAATCTCCCAGCCACGACGGTGACAGTGTGGCTGGATGCTGAGAAGATCGTGTGGCGAATCGCTCCGCTAAACTTGTCGTACTCGTCACTCGTCAGCGGCGGTCCGATTATAGATACCCAGATGACAAGACAAGCCTTCTGGATAAACTGTTTTCCACGTCTGCCTGCTGGCTGTGAACGAAGTCCAGGAGGCGGTGTTCTCGGCTGCCCCGCTGCCGTTGCTCTCATTGCTGCGAGAACACTGATATGATATGATGATGGCAAATCAGATCAAACTGTTGTCACATTTGGTGCTTGTTCAATCCATTGCACCGAGTCATGGACGCAGTACATTGTGCAATGGACCTGCCTTATTCGGTAACCGCATCAGACACTGGCTTGAATGTACTGTGTAGATACTCACTACCTACTATCTAGTATTCCGTAGACGAGCAGGATAAGGCAGACAGATTTCATCCTGGTCGTCCTAAACCTGGGTTTATATTAATATATCTATGCGTATTTCGTGGTCCAATCACACAGGGGTTTGCGCAAAGAAGGCTGCTGCTGTCACAGCTTATCATGCATTGGGATACTGTCCGGCAGACTAGGCTTGTGCGTCTCGACGCAGTGTCCCAGTCCAAAGTTAGAACCTGTCAAACCGTTCATTGCCAATAAATTGGACTGTCATATCATCGCCGGCGATGCTGCAGCTGCGGTGTCACACAGGACATTTTTGCTGCACTTCACTAGTAGTAGCTACTTACAATTACTACCTGAGAGTTTGTGCCAGGTCTGTTTCATTGAGATTGGTTGTTCTGTGGGTTCGCATCCAGGGTTCTGGAATGTAATCCCTCAAGTACCAAATAGATGAAGATAAATTAAGAATTAAGATGCAGTCTGGAGTCTTGACAGTGGTGCGGTCTCTAGTACTGGGGCTACGGTTCAAGGGAGATTTGGAGTATGGATATTGGATCCAGACTACGGAGTACCTACTAGTACCTGTCTAGTTGATAAATTATGCGGTTGAGACCGACTATCACCCACTGTCTAGGATCAAGAATCTACGTTTGGACTCTGAAGTCTGGACGTACTCCGTAGCGTGCTGCGCTATGGATTTAGACCAGCTAGTCGCAAACATAGGGTTTGTTTTTCATCTGGCCTTCCCCAACAATTCCCACCCGTCGATTGTCGGGAATTTGCTCCTTCTAGTCACAACTGGAAGGGTAATAGTCGTGACCGTTATTACTGGGGGGTGTAAAACCATAAATTAATCCAGCACCGTCAGGTGGCAGGATCCCAGCTTTCGTCGGTACTCATTGGTTCGCCGGTGCGTAAAATGCGCATCATTGACTGGCAATACCGACAACTGGATTAGGCAACAAAGATTCTCACGATGCGGCAATGAGGAGGAAGAGGGGAAACATTTGATTGATCCATGTCCCGAAATAATTTACTCGCACGCCAGATCCATGGGCAGTCAAAACAGGGAGGCCTGCGTAATCGCCCCTCCATGGTTTGGCGGAGGCGCCACTTCTTTCTTATCTGTGAGGAGATCCGTCGCTTTTCTCTTTTCTCGTTTTTGTTTTCCCCCCTCGCTTTACTCGCCTGTTTGGATTAGCGTAGATTTTCCCGCCAAACACAATCCGTTACCTAAGCGGGTTTACATTTCCCCGTGGCCCCAAGAGCCCGTGGGAGTTCCTTCCCAAAGAGTCAAAAGACGAGAAGTTCTCTGTTGAACTGTTCATGGTGGCCCCACGGCCTCGGCACCAATCAGGCTGACCACGCCAGGTGATTGAGAGGCTGGAGATTTGCAGTAGTTAGCGCCCATTTTAACGAGCAGCTAGTCTCAAATGAGTTGGTATCGTGGTGATGAGCTACCTATCTGCTAGTTACTAGATAGATAATTATTGTTCAACCGCCGGCCGGGTGGCTAAGCTCGATTGTCAGCTGGGGTTGAAGAACATGGCTCAGATGGAGGGTTTGGCAGTGAGATCACCGGCTGTGGTTTCTGGCCGAAAATAGAAACCACGTAGCCACATCGCGATGGCAGTGCAGGCCGGACTACAACGACATAGATACTACTACTACTACTGCTATGGTACTACTGCGCGTACCTAGGTCCTGCAGTGTCCGCTACAACTGCATTGCCTTTCTGGTTACGAGGCCCCCCAAGATGGCTAGGGCCGGTCGGCAACCTGGCTAACCCGAAAAGGTAAGGAGAGCGACTGAAAGAGATCTAGTGGCGGAGGCTTAGCATTGGCGCCAACCTAAAGCATCCACCAACATTCGCAGGTGCGGCCCACCTGGGCTCCCCACTGCCTCCCCCGGCGCGCCCCCCTTAACCCGAAGCTGCGTCCCCTGGCCTGTGACGGGCGATTCTGGCGATTCCGACCATTCAGAGCCGCCGTAACCATGGGCCGTTGTTGACAGTCGCCGCCCGCCCTCCTCAGGTTTGCTCGGTCGCTGGCTTTCTCCGGGCTCTACCAGTCCCCAGGTACCTCACCCACCAGTCTTCCTCTGCTACTACTCTGCTACTCTGCTACGACACTACTACATCGCCTTGACCACTCCCTCCCTCACTAGTTGATGCCGCTGCTTTGTTGCTAAGGCATCGTTCGTTCCTTCCCAAGTACCTGGCTCTGCCTATCAGTCTCCATTCCCTTCATTCATTATTATTATTATTATTATTACTACTTTTCCCCCTGCAACCCCCAGTAAATTACGCACTCCCTTCCAAGTCCCTTCTCTTAATTCTTTTTTTGTATTCTGGTCTTCTTTGGGCGACCCTCTCTCTTGCCTCCTCTTTTCGTCACTTTTCACTTTTTTTTTCCAATAAAATCCCCCGCCCTCCCCCAGGCCAGCACCATTGGGGATCCCAAGTACTAATCATCCTCACCATCTGGTCGTCTCGTGGTTCAAACCTTCTCTCACCCTTGCGCCAGTCCTTTCCTGGTTCAGTCACCTCACTTGCGCTGGATTCTCTTTAGACTCAACAGCCCGTGTCTAGAGTAACCCAAAAGCGGAAAAGGGGAAAAAAGACTCCCAAGAAGTTTCACAGCCGGTCGTTTCTTCACCCAACGATTACTCCCTCCCCTCAGACGCCCGCCCTGCAATTACCTCGAGACGTTGCCGCTACACCACTCCTGTCCTACGACCCTATGTTGGTAGGACTACGTTGAGCCTCGCATCTATTTTCCGCTACCGTCTTCTCCAACCAATACCACCGGGATCTATCTGTGGGGAATCACAGATAGCTCTTCATCGATTGGGTTTCCTCCCCTCACGGCCGCCTGCACCTTCCCTCTCACCGTGACACGACTTTACGACCTGCCCGTATATCAATTGGTGCTCTCGTCCTTGCATCGGGTTTCTAATCCGTCTTTCATTCTGTTCACCCGTGCACTACGACTACATTGAGCAGGTGTCATTCCGGCCCCTGCCCCATCTTTTCAACATGCGACGCGGTGTCCTCATTTTCCTCATCGCCAATTTAATCATTGTCACATTCCTCGTTCGCAGCGTCTTCACCCTGTTGTCCTTGTTGGTGGAAGATGCTTCCGCCGACGCAATTCACCGCGCCGAGCTTCCCTCGCCCAACTCTAGCCTGATCGAACAACGGCCACAGATCATTCCCAAGATCATCCACCAAACATACAAGAACGAAACGATCCCCGAAGTGTGGAGGGAGGCCCAGCAGAGCTGCATTAATTTGCACCCTGACTACGAATACATTGTAGGTCTCGACTTCTTATCATACTCGGCGGGTTGTCTACGAACGAATACTGACATCAATCTTCAATTAGCTTTGGACCAACGAGAAGTCGCGCGACTTCATCGCAAGCGAGTATCCGTGGTTCCTCGAGACGTTCGACGGCTACAAGTACCCCATTCAGCGCGCAGACTCCATCCGCTACTTCGTTCTGGCGCATTATGGCGGTACCTACATTGACCTTGACGATGTGTGTATAACCCATTGTGTCTTTCATGGGATCTTTTCTGACAGAACCAGGGCTGCAACCGTCGGTTAGACCCTCTCCTTGCCTACCCTGCCTGGGTCCGCCGCACTGTTCCCACGGGTATCTCCAACGATGCTATGGGATCTGTCCCACAGCATCCATTTTTCCTTCGAACGATTGAGCTCCTGCAATCCTATGACCGCCATTGGCTGCTTCCTTACATCACGGTTATGTACTCGACTGGTCCGCTCTTTTTATCGGTGATTTGGAAGGAGTACATGCAGACCAACCCAAGCGAGTCGGGACGGGTGCGCATCCTCATGCGGGACGAATACAACAAGTACTCGTGGAGCTTCTTCACGCACCATGTGGGCAACAGCTGGCACGGCAAGGATGCCCGGTTGATCTTCTGGATGGGTCAACATTGGATGTTCCTCACAGTATGCGGGTTCTTCCTGGCTGCCGTGGTCGGATTCGGCCTCTGGTGGCTTTATGCGCGCCTGATGCTGTTGGGCTCCAAGTACCGTTACCGCTACTCGAAGATTCCTTCCCTCGTTTCGAGTTCTCGTCTGTCTTCGCCGACGAGGATGTCACGGCGTATGATGCCCACCATTCTTCGTCGCGTCAGTTTCAAGGAAGACGAGGAAGCCGGTGGCGTTACGGAAACCTCCTACGAGCTCTATAGCCGACGTGATTAAGCGTGGCCTTGTGTACTATGTTTTGTGTGCCTTTTCAGCCTTCTATCGCTCTGAGACTCTTCTCCGCCCGACCTTTCTCGTCGCCCCGTGGAAAATGCCGCTCAGGTGTGTTTTTATCTCATCCGCTCAGGGAGTTCTGTTTGGTTTCTGGAGTGCATGTACGGAGTTTCGGGGCATGGGTTCACCGCAGCGCTTCTCTGCAGCAAATGATTGCTTGTACATGTTTTGACAAGATTCTTCGATCTGTGCGAGGCGACCTGCTAGGCAGCGTGCTCGTCTGGTATCTGGCTCTCTTTCTTGAATGTCGGGATTTACCTTTCTTTTTACCTTTTCTTCTTGAACCCACGATTGTTCATTTCTCCCCTGTCTGTTTACACCTTACACCTTTTACTCGTGCTTTACTACATAGACTTTCGATTTTGGGTAGACGGATATTTGCCCGGCCATCCAGCTGCAGACGCCTGAGGCTAGCTGGGACTGCAAAATGAGACTAATAATATGATTGCCACCTCGAGACCACCCTGATGACATAAGTCTGTTTCATGTTCTTCGTACTTTGCGACCTTCCTTGCTTGAATGCCCGACACGCCAGTCAGCCCCCAACCATCAATGATACACATGGCTGGAGTACGTTCGAAGCTGAGTCTGCCGATCCGATCATCTGCCCGGCCAATGAAGGTGTCTGATCGGCAAATAAGCACTGCTGGTCTGGGAGGAAGATTTTGCGACGGACGTTTCACGTGTGCCTGGGGGGCTCCAGGCTCCAATGGCCGTCGATAACGGGCCAGCCCTTGCTGGGATGTGATACACCCAATCTCGGAGCAGAGGCAGGCATGCCAATCTCGGCGGATATGTCGATGCGATGTCGTCAGATGCCCCCAAGGTCTTTGACCAACATGGAGCCACAGGGTCCAGAGCTACGTTGGCTGCCTTCTTTGGCTGATTGAAGGACCCTCCGAGACTCAACCCCCCACGCTGAAGGAATGCGGAGTTGGGTCCGGAATGCCCAGGTCTCCGCAACAATGACCCTCAGGGTCTGAAGACCCTTTAAAGAGGCCCGGATTCCTTGTCGTCGATCATCCTTTATTGCGCTCATGGTACTCGTGCAGGCTCACAGTGTCTGAAGTCTTTAGTTGTCTTGCCACAATCTTTTGTCCTCAACTCTACCACCATGAAGTCATCTTCAATCCTGAGCACCTTGTGCATCGTGCCTTTGTTGGCTGGAGCAGCTCCGGCAGGCCGGATCCATGTCCGAGATGCTTCCATCACAGCGGAGCAGATCAAGACCATTGCCCCTACGTCCAGCTCGTGCGATAATCCCCCAGCGGTCGGAGAATGTGCGACTGCTGCGCAGGCAGCCCCCAATATCGCCAAGTCTTTCGACACGTACAGCGTCACTTCCCGTGCCGAGCAGGCGGCCGTGATCGGGCTGATGGCCTTTGAGAGTGGCGATTTCAAGTACAACAAGAATCATTTCCCTGGCGTTCCGGGGCAGGGCAGTACGTTTCCCGTTCACCTTTCACGGTTCAGCTGGAAGCGCATATACTAATTCGCAATGAGTTTTAGCACGAAACATGCAGTCTCCCACGTACAACTCCAAGTATGCGGCTGATATACCGGCGCTGGCGGACAAACTGTCCAGTGTATCCGGTGACCCAACGGGGGTGTTAGATCTCTTGCTTGCGAATGAAGAGTACGACTTTGGCTCTGGGGCGTGGTTCCTGACGACGCAGTGCTCTGCCAGCGTGCGGTCCCAATTGCAGTCGGGATCAGAGGCCGGTTGGACGGCGTACATCACCAGCTGCGTGGGCACCGATGCCAATGATGACCGGAAGGCGTACTGGACGCGGGCGATCCAGGCGTTGGGCGTGAGTTCCTGATTGCAGACACTTGACTCATTAGAGTAGAATACGCATTGTTTAGAGTGAGCAGTATACACATAACCATCGGCTTCCATAGCCCATGCCCTTCAATTTTGCCTCTTTTTATAAGCCCCATTACAACACTCCCTTCGTACTAACCACATCGCCTGCCCCAACCTCACCCTCCACCCGTCTCGTACACGCCGCCCGAATCGCCACCGCCAACGCCTTAAACGCACTCTCCGCCCGATGATGATCATTATCACCATACGTGCATCCCACATGCAGCGTCACGCCCGCCGCCTGAGCAAAGCTTTGCAATCCATGTGTAATCATCTCCGTACTCAAATCCCCGATCTTCTCCCGACGAAAGCCCAAGTTGATCACCGCCCACGGCCGACTCGACAGATCAATCACCGCCCACGACAACGCCTCATCAAGTGGCGCATCGCCCCGTCCGAACCGCGCCAGCGATTGACGTGCACCCAGCGCTTCAGTGAATGCGCTTCCGACGGCTAGGAAGGTGTCTTCGGTTGTGTGGTGGTCGTCGACTGTACAATCATCCCATTAGCATACACATACACATCTCTCATCCAACCCCCCCAGCATCAATCAAACAAAGAAAAAGACGGGAAGCAAAGCATACTAAACAAATCCCCCTTCGCCCTAACCGCCAAACTCCATCCGGAATGTTTCGCCAACGCATGCAACATATGATCCAGGAACCCGATGCCCGTGCTCACGGTGATTTGCTGGGTGGGGGTGAACTGCGTCGCATGGGCGGCATTCTTCTCCGGTACGATGCCTTTCTTTGCGGCTTCGGCTTCGGTTGGGTCTGTTGGGGCCGCGAAGTGCGGGGTGGGTTCGTAGGGTGGGAGCCTGCCTCCGTCTAGGGACAGGGAGACTTGGATTTTAGTTTCGTTGGTTATGCGGGTTAGGGAGGCGGTTCGTGCGGGGAGGGAGGGCATTTTTGCGGTTGGGTTGGGTTTGAGATGTGGGATTGGGGTGGTTGGTGGTTGGTGGTGATGGGAGAGTGTCTTGTTTTGTTGTTGGAGGTGATTGAGGGATGTAGGTAGGTAGGTAGATAAGTGAGGTTGTAGGTGTAAGTGTAAGTGTAGTGGAGCATTTGCATGAATAATAATGGTGCTGTGATTCGAGTTTCACAACTTTTCTGCGATTTCGGACCAGATCCCGGCCGGGTATTGGTTTTACGGTATCAAGAACCGGGGTATGTTTCGGCTTGGGTTGATCCGGAACATGCGTCATTGGTTATTATTATTGCAGAATCCCTCCCGTTCTTGCTTGCTTGCTGCTGCTGCTGCATGCATGGAATATATCACTAGCTAGGTTCCTGCTACTAGGTACTGCCGGTCTTTTGATTTTCATCTACGGGGTATACTTCAAAGATAGCATCATGCCGCCCCCCTCCTACCAGAAAGCTGATGTCGAACCCCCCGAGGAAATCACCTCCCAGGCGGTCCGCGGGTTCATGACCGGTGTCTTCCGGGTATGTCTATGTCTTGTTCCCTTGAATCGCTTTCTGTGCTTGTCTCTGCTGCTGGCCTGCTGCGTGTCTCCCCGCAGGGCCCGGTTGCTCTCGCAGTGTAGCTGATGATATCGACCGATATTTATAGTTCGGCTCCGTCTCCATCCTGGCGCATATGATTATGATCCTTCCCCATCCCTTCAAATTCTCGTCGCCCTCTTCTGCCCCGATCCCGTCGCAATCCCCGGCACAACCGTCGCAGCCAAAGCAGTCACCCTTCTCGAAGGAATACATCCGCTCGCGCCTCTTCTATCGCCCGCTGGAGGGCTTCTCCGACTGGCTGTCCCCGGCATCCAAGGTATATCGCGGCTTGACCCCCCAGTTCAAGGTGTTTCTCCAAATCGCAGCCATGACCCTTGGTGGATGCATCTGGGCCGAGCGGAGGGTGGACGAATACATCAAGTTCATCCGGAAGGTCAAACGGGTAGAAAAGGCGCAGGCGGAGAGAGCCGCCCGAGGGCTGGAATAGGATAGCGTATAGATGTCGACAGGGTCTTTCGAGTTCTTAGTGGAACAGCGGAGCAATGATGCGTCTCAGTATTTTGCATTGGCTGGGGTCTGGACTGAATCGAATAGCAAGCGCCCGGAGGCTGAGTCCATCCTCTAGGACCTGTACCCGGTAGCTCGGGCTCCCTAGTTCTCCACCGATCCTCAACCCCCGTGTTTGAAGGGTTCAGGCGAAACGCGACAGTCCAGTCTGGAACGCGCTACCTAGTACCGACGGGCCAGGTCCGGCAGCGCGGACAATCCGGTGAGATGGGATGGGGGTTGGCCGCTTATCAGAGTCCAGAAGCCATGCTACAGTTCTGAAAGGCTGAGTGGCCGTTGTGGGGAGACGGGAGGATCTCCAGATTGGTGAATCGGCCGCTTGTGTACGGAGTAGATCTCGAATTTAATGAAGACCCCGATTCAGGGGCAGTGCGATCCAGTGAGAGAGAGGGGGGTATTCGCAGACGTTGCACCCTTCTTTTCTTTTCTTTTCTTTTCTTGGCTCTGGGGCAGGGACTAGGGAGAGACAAGGGTGCTGACGAAGAATGGGCTAGACCATGGGGGAGACGAGAACAGACAAGGTGTCAGTCAGGTCACAGCAATGTCAGCATGCCCAAAAGCAGGCGACCGGCCCCAATCGGTTGATCACCCCGAGGGTCATTTCCCAGCTGTCATGTTGCCTGCGCTCCAGACCGTGGCCAACTGGGCCTAGCAAGTCGCAAGCGCAGTCGCATCGCGCCGGGGCAAGGAGGAAGCCAGCAGCTGGGGCGAAGTGGAGCCGCGCTGGACAGGCGACCAGTCCTGCGCCGGTTACGCGGCTGGATCGGCTTCTCGAACGCGTTTCAATCCACCGGCGATCGGCTGGAGGGCTCCATCTGGGGCGTCGGTGGGACAGGGAAATGAGCATCAAAGACAGTATGGAGTCCGACCTGGGGGGGGGAGGGGGGGGGGCCTTGTACTTGGTAATCGGCACAACCATGGCTGTTCCGTCGCCTATTATTATTATTTTTTTCTCTTCTCTTTTCAATGCTCGCTAGTTGGATCACAGCGCACTGTAAACTGTGGACTGTGGACTGTGGACTGTGGACTGTGGACTGTGGACTGTGTAAGCTATGTAAGTATGAGTAAGTGCGAGTAGTAATTAGTTAGTTTAGTCGGATGGAGGGACGGGTGAGGCGGCCGTTGGTCGGCCAGAGGCGGCTGCTGCTATATTAAACCGGCCAGTGGGAGTCCAGGGAAGGATAAGTAAAGTTATTACGGAGGAGGGAGGGAAGAGACTTCTTACATCCTGGATTTAATACGGAGTAGTCACTTAGTATATACACTATCCAGTCGTTGAGAAGGACGCATTCGGCTCCCTGGGGCGATCTCCCTTCCGGACCGAGTAATTGGGTTGCGCTCCCTCACATCGCTTTGTCAATCAATCCCTTCAAAAGCTGGTGTTTCGTTGTGCTGTTGCATTGCCACTTTGCCTGGTCCAGCGAGTTGTGGCCTCACATCCTCCTTGTCTGTCTCTCTCCCCTGATCCGTCATTTCCTTTCCTCTCTCTCTCTCTCTCTCTTTCCGTCTCTGTAGTCTGTAGGTATCTATTATTCCCCACTCCCTCCCCTCTCAGTCTCCCCTCCCTCCCTGCTCCTCCTCTTTTGAAAGATTTGATTTGATTTGATTTGATTGAATTTGAATTTTCATTCTTTTTTTTGCATTTATTTTTTCATTTTTTTGTCATTCATTCTCATTTCATTTCCCTTGACTGCAACTCGGGACCTCCGTTCTTTTTTTTTTTTTTTTGCATGGGCCGAAGAAGCTCCGGGGACTGACATCATCAGAACCAATCAATCGAACAGTTCCTGAGCTCATTTTTCTCCGGATTGCCGCCAGGAACTGGTTCTGGTTCCATCCATTCTTCACCTTTGCTGGGCCCGCCAACACAATTGCTTTCTGCTTTCTGCTTTCCTGGGTTGTAAGAAGCTGTGCTTTTTACCTAGGTTCCTTGTGTACCTCCGCATCCGTCCGTTTGCATAACCTGTTCTCTCATTTCCCCCCTCCTTTCCCCAGTCATCATCGCTGTCACTGTCACGGTCACTGTGGCAGCCTCAACTGTAACCTCTTACGTATCTCTCTCTGCCCCCTCTCCCGTGCATATTATCGCGATCCTGCCATGGGCTGCCTCTCCTGTACTCTTTAAACTCTACTACCACTACTACTATTTTCTTCCTCTTCCTCTTCTTGTCCATTATATTTTTCTTGTGCGATATCCTTTCTTTCTAGATACGAATCATTGAAGTCGCCCCCTTTCTCCGCTAGCCCGTCCCTTGGGGTCTTTGTTTATTCTCGTCAGTTGTCTGTCTCATCTGGTATCGAGACACTTTAGTTCCTTCGCCTTCTTTTTTTCCCCCAGCGCCAAAGCTCAATTGCGCCACTTTTCTTCATATTTTGTTGCTCCTCCCTCGCCATCCCTCTGAGTCTGCGCGTCCCCCCCTCAATCGATGGCACCTGGCTGGACTGCTGTATGTTCCACCTTCCTTCGCTCCCCTCTTCCCTTTCGCAGCTCCTCATTTGTGCTCCTTCGCCCTGCTCCACCCCTCTAGTTCACTAGTCACCACCGGGGTTTCAATCTCCTGGGCTGGTCCTGCAGCATGGTCTCCATTCTTATCGTCCCGTCATGCTCCCAGCTAGCCCTGGTCTTTTTCTTACCTTCTTCTTCTTCCTTCTAGTGAGTACCGACTTCGGGATCCTCGATGTGACAGTCTGTCCTCGACAACCATTTGCTACTGCCCGTCTCGCCCTCTAGCGTCCTCGACGCCTCCCTGCCCCGTCTTCTCCGCCCTCCTCCTTCCCCCCCGTCATGGCCGAGAGTCTGGGGAAGAAAGAGCGGAGAAAAAGCCTGAGCGTCTTCAGTCCGTCGTCGTTGACGACGACGGCAGCGGCGACCTCCCTGACCGGCCCCGCGGCCCATGAACGATCGCCCTCGGATGACGCCCAGGTCCTGAAAAAGAAAACGCGACGCAACTCGGGATTCTTTGGGGTCCGGAACCCCAGTCCCCCGAGAGCCACGCCCACCCATAGCTTGCGTCGGCCCGGGACCGCCGATTCGGAGTCGGCCACCTGCGTGACGGCCTTGCCTCCGGTGGCTCTCGAGGGGCCCCGTTCCCGACGCAAGTCGCTGCAAAAGCGACGGACCTCCGTATTTGGATCGCTTCGGTCGCTGCATTCACAAGAAGACGATGACCGGTCGCTGAGCCGCTCCAAAGGCTCGTCCCTGGACGAGGATGCCTCCGAGCTACGACAGGGGATTGGATCCATCATTCTACACCATGGCGAGATACAGATCACGGGAGGCATGTGGCGGAAGAAAAGCCATTACCTGGTCCTGACGGACACGCATCTTGTCCGATTCAAGAGCCAGAGCAAAGCCGCCGACATGTTCCCCTCGATTCCAGCATCTTTCTCCCGTTCCGTGGCGGCCAACCGCCAATCTGTCGCCTCGATCAGTTCGTTACAAGATCCGCAGCTGTCCGCAGCGAGTGACTCCATTTCCGGAATTGCGTTGAACAGCATCATTGCGGTCTACATGTTGGACGATGGCAGACCGTCGTCGACGGTGGAGGTGGCCTATGTGGATGAACGGGCGCAAAAAGCCACGTTCATCCAAATGCAGACCCCCGATTTTCAAGAATTAAACCTGTGGATGGTGGGCATTCGCTCAGCAGCTGAATTGATCCGCGGGGCCGACCCGCTGATCTTTGATCAGAAGACGGTCGATTGTGTGGCCAGGATGCTCGACTACGAGCGCGACTACGAGCCGGAGACCTTTCGCATGTTCCGGGTGATACAAATGGCGTCTAGCAAATCCCCGACACGAGCATCGTCGGAGGATCTCACCAAGCTGTCCCCGACTGGTTGTTATCTCGCCTTAGGATCGCACAAACTCCACCTGGTCCCGTTGCACAAGATCTCCAGTCGCAGCTCGGTCGTATCCCTGAGTGACCTGGATGCTGCAACGTCATTCGGCCTAATGAATCTGACATGTCTTTCTATGGAATGGGGCGACGACAGTCTACATTTAACGTTCCGTGTTCCGACACGGAAACCATTCTCAGTCTTTTTAGCATCGGTGCATTCGCTGGAGATTGCCTTTTGGATTAGGCAACAGACGGAATTTCTGCGTCCTTTGTGGATTAAACAGCCCTACGACTTCATCGTCCCCCGTGACCTCGATAACGAAAACAACTTTCCTCCGGTGAGCCTGGATGAAGATTATGGTTGTTTCGATCGAACCTTGGTCGCCTACTCGGCCAGCTACGACGTTGATACTTCAAACATTCGCTACACGATTGACGTACAGTGTGATGATGCCCCATGTTTCAGGCTCCTGCCGCCCGCCTCTACTCGCCAGAGGAAATATACAGCTCTAGAGTTGATAGCCGTCCTCCGAGCGCTTCGGTACAACGAATCCTTCCGTTCCATCTCCTTCAGTGGTGTTAGCTTGGACGTCCTGCAAAGTTTACGCGACGTCTATGGCCCGGACAAAGATGCTCTTCTGAGCCGTGCAGGAGCACCCATTCATATCCCCGGCCAGGAGAATCTGTCAGTCCTGTCCCAAGAAGTGCGTGCGTTGACTTTGAAGAGCAAGTGGCTCCGACGCCTGGACTTCTCCTATACTCTCAGTCGAATTCCCAAGTCGGATAGTGAAAGCCATGATCCAGGATGTGGGATACCGGAAGCGATTTTTCCCATCTGTCGACGTGAGCTGACTAGTGTTGATTGGGTGGTGTTGAATGGAATCAAATTGGGTGACTCTGACCTCGACTATCTCGTAGATGCAGCATCTCAAAGGTCTAGTCATATGCGGGCGTTGGAGGTTGGTAACTGTGGTTTGTCTGTCCACGATCTTGACCTACTCCTTTCCACAGTTATCGCGCAGTCGCCGACTCTCGAGGCGATGAACATCTCCGGCGTGCAAGGCCGCCTGAGCCCTGACATTCTCCAACAGTACCTCGGCTACTTCAGTCAGATCAAAACGCTCGATTTGTCGCGTATTTCCCGCACGTCAGGCTCGGATCCGCTCCTCACACCCGAGACATTAATCAATTGGCGTCTGGAAGAGCTCTCGTTGAGTCGGACGGTCGTGAATCGCGAGACTGTCGATGCTATAGCCACTTATCTGGCCAGCGATCGGTCCCGGGGTCTGCGGGTGCTTCGACTAGATCAATGCGGGCTCAGCGGCCAGGATGTCGCCATCTTCCTGCATTCGATGACAACCGGCGGTTTCCCTCGAGATCTGCATCTCCATGTCAATGAGAACCGACTCGATCAAGGCTGCTCGTACCTTTTCGATGCCATCGCTCAAAACAAGACACCCACTCATCTGTCAATGCGAATGATCGACTTTAAGAAGGAGGAGCAGTTTCAGGAGTTGGTCGAGGCCTTGCGCAAGAACCGGACGTTGAAGTATTTGGACATTTCCAAAGCTTCCCTCCCGTATGATGCCGGGCCCGAGACGTGCAAGTTGCTTCAGCTCATGTTCGAGGAGAACGAGACGTTGGAAGACTTGGATATCGGTGGAGAAAGCGCTCATCTGGATGTTGCCCGGTTCGGAATCGGCCTGAATTTGGCCCTGACAGGTCTGAAAAAGAACAAGTCCTTGCGAGTCCTCAGGATCGAGCATCAGAAACTGGGCCTCCAGGGCGCAAATACCTTGGCATCGGTGCTTGAAGACAACGACTGCCTTCGTGAGGTCTACTGTGAAAACAACGACATCAATCTGCAGTCCTTCACCGTCCTCGTCAATGGACTGCAGCGAAACAAATCTTTGCTGAGCCTGTCGTATATGGACCGGGACAGAATCCAGTCCCTTGAGCGGGTGCGGCGCGAGATTCGGAACGTGAAGCGGGATGTGAGTCTTGCGCAGAGCTCCGCCACCAGCTCCATTCGTCGCTCTCTACATGCAGCCATCAATAGTAAAAGTGGGAGCAAGTCGTCTAAACAACAGCATGCATCGAGCCATCGCTCGGGCACCCCGGTGCCCTCAGGTACGAGTGCTTCTGCCGAAACCTCTCCTCTCATGCAGCAAGACGTGGAAGTTATTCTCCAGTCGTTAAGCCGTAAATGGGATAGCGAGGTGGTCCGTCTACGTCGATATTTGTTCCGGAATTACAATCTGGCTCATGGTATCGAAGACGATATGGTCGGATTTGACGATGATACTTCTAGTGATGGGCGCCCCGCCACTGCCACAAGCCTGGGGATGATGCTGGACAATATGAAGTTAGATGTGACTGTGTGTGAAGATGAAATTCAACCTGCACCGCATGATCCCGCGCAGCTGCCGCCGGAAATCGAGCCGATGAGCCCGAAAGATCACCTGGAGATGTTCAAGGGCCTTGAGGTCGAGAGCAGCTTGGTCGCTGAGCTCCGACAACGCCCGCAGACGGCACCATTCTCATTGCCGGGCCATTCCCCTCACATGTTACCATCAGAATATCCCGGTTCCGGCGGCTCATCCTCCTCACGCCTGGGGGTGCCAGTGCCTGCTATACCATCCACGGTCAGCAAATCCAGCAGCGTCCGCAGTGCCCGCAGCTCCAGCACGGTCTCTTCCAGTACTAGGGCTAGTGCGCGGAGTACGTATGGGACAGCCTCCTCCACTCTGCGTGGTTTTCTTAGTTCAAGTGCCTCAAAAGAACGCAAGAAACTGGAGAAGATGAAGTCTGGCGCAGTGTGTGTTTCAACGGACAGACCACCTAAGCTGGAGTGGGCGCCCCCTCAGCTTGATCTGGGCAATTTCCGATAGCCCTCCGCTGGGGTGCTCATTCTTCGTCGCTCAAGCATGACTAATGAATTGAATGACGATAACTTGGAAACCCGCCTTCGCTAGTCGAAGATATGTCTCGTGTTTTAGACCGTCGCCATCGTATCTCCGTCTACGTCTCCCTCTTTCTCCTTTCTTCCGCCTCGATTTTCCAAACACCAAAGCTCTGATGACTCGGCTGGGGGCAGCGTTGCTGTTCCCTCTTCTCCTGTCTCTCTCCCAGGACATCGATCCTAACCGCCTGTTGTTTCTTTTATATCTTCTCTTCTTGCGACTCCCTGCCCTGTCAGCCGGTATTCAGAGCGCCTTTCATCCTCTCATATCCCTCTAATCTCCATTTCCCTTGTCAGTGATTGCCTCGAGAATGGCGATTGCCCCAGGAAAAGCAAGATCACTTGGATTGGCATCTTGCTGTTTGGCGCAAAGGCTCAGCGGCGTTTCTTCCACTTTCATTGAGAACCCCGGATTCCGAAGGTGCTTTTGCAGATTTTTCCCATTTTGTTTCGTTTTTCGTTAAAGCCCATGATGCCCTAATTGTTAATGTCATAGAGTATATGCTCCGTTCTGGGGAAGATTGAACCGGGAGTGGTGATCATGTGACCCATGGTGAATGAGTGGCGCAGTGATCAGTCAAGTGTCTTGTCGTTATGATCTGTAGAGAGCACCACCTGTGAATACATGTATATTACTGTCAATGAAATATAACAGTCTGTATCTGTTGATGATACTTCACTAGTCAAGATATGAACTGACATGAACTTCCTTGAACCCAGAAACTTACAATTACATGAACAATAGATGATACAGTAGAGCACACGTAAGAGCATAGTAGTCATTTTCCCAAATTGCAATACCGACGCCTTGAATCCTGAACAGACGTAACACAAAAGACGAGACCAGACCAAGCAACTACTTCAGTTCGAAGGACATTTTGGTCTTGATCTGATGGCGGCTGATGGTTGGTATGTGAAAGGAGCGCGTTGAAAACATTATAGTATACATACAGTTGGAGCTTGAGGTATCTATAGAAGGCAATGTTGGATGGTGGTATAGAAGGAGACAAACAGAGGGATGGATAGATGCATGACTATCGTCGCGCCGCGGGCATCATCATCATGTCCCATCTCGCCTGTCAGGGGGAAAGAAAATGGCCAGCTTGAGGGGGGAATTTAAGTCAAGTCTAATCGCGCAGGACGACGGCCTCGGACTGTTCGTCCAGCTTGTTCTGCTCCTTGCGGTACTTGCGGCCCTTCTTGGCCAGTTCGCGAAGACGGCGGATGTATACGTTGGCGGCGACCTCGGTCTCGTCCTCGCCGCGACCGTTGAGGGCAATCTGCCGGCGACGCTGGCAGGAGCTGTAAAGCTGCGAAATCTTGCCTGGGGCTAGGTGGTTTAACTCATAGTCCACGGTCCACTTGGTGGGGGTCTGGAACTGGACGGGCCGCTCAACCTGTTCGCCGTCGACGATGTTCCGGATCGCGAGGGCGAAGCCCATGATCTCTTTGCCCTCGCTGGCAGGCGAGGTTTCGTCTCCGGTCGTCACTTCCTCGGCCGATTCTTCGGCTGGGTTAGGAGAGTCGAAATCGGCGGGGATGCCCTCGGCGTCGCTCAGTTCGTTTTCTTCATTGGCGTGTGAGGGCAGGTCCAGTACGCGGCGCTGGTAAGCATCGATCTCGGCCTGGTTCCTCGTCTGAATGGCGTGGATCTCCTCTTCCGTGACTGGCTCCACGAAGATGTACATGAATGGCTGGCTCACAGTGGCATCGCGGGTCTCAAAGTGGAACCGGAGCGATTGTTTCGGGAAGCGGGCCGTGGCCTTGTCGAGGACCTTGTTCCAGAGCTGCAGACTCAAGAGGAACTCTCGGTCTCCCAGTGCCGTGTCATACTGTCCGTGAAGAGCCGAGTCCAGTTCGGGCAGACTGAGGTACTGGAACCCGAAGATGCGCTCGATGTTGTGGAAGGCCACGAAGATGCCGTCCATGCGACCGATTCGCACCTGGAGTGAATACTTGAGGAGAGCGGCCCGGATCATGTCATAGTACTCGCGCTCGTACGACTCGTACGTGCCGTGAACTTTCCGGATCTCATAGCCTAGACCATGCTCGAAGTTCTTCGCGTCCATGCGGATTGACGCCACCGCCCGGGTCTTCAGGTCGAACATGCCGGTGCCGGGGAGCCGCGGGTCATACGCATCCAACTGTGAGCGCATCAGGAAATCCCCATAAGTCGAGTAGTGATAAGCTTCGGGCACCGCCTGCTCCTCCTCGGCGGTGATCTTGTTGGCGCTGGATCGTCGGTAGCGCTCGAAGTCTTCCTTGGGCAGGGTCAACAGCTTCTCCATCGATTTGCCCAGGTTCATGAGAATGTTGGCCGAGTCGTGTTCCTTATCCGCATCGATGGCATAAACGCCGTCTTGGTATCGCAGGAACATGGCCGAGGGGGCCCGCAAGAGCCGTGTGAATGTCCGCAGCTTATCCTGGAAACCCCGAGACATGGACAAGGTATTAACCTCCCTCCAGGACGATAGGAGGTAGTGAAAATGGGACAGGACCGAGGTCATACTCGACGAGGAGCCGATGTATTTCCTTCCTTCTTTCCGCGCGAGATCCCGTAGCAGCTCATCCTTGGAGGAGGTGATGTATTCCTTCAACGCTTCAAAGTCGAACTCCGTGACGGGCATGATGGAGCCAAGATATGGGTCGAAATTGTAGACGCGCGATCGAGGATCACGGAGATGATAGACTCCCGGGCTTCATTGGAGGGCCTCTGTCAGCTCCAATTCTGGTGCGAGTTCTTGAGGGGAGGTGCGAGCAACTCACTTAAATAGGACTCGGTCCAAGCCAAAGGACAATCGCGGGACTTCGGGGGTCTCAACATCCAAGGCTACACAGTAGTTAGTTCCCCGTTACGAGGGAGCCCGAAGTCAATCCAAACCACATACCTTTAATAGAATGGCGATCCGCATTGATTTTGCCGGTGTCCTTCTGGGTGATCGGGGCAGCAAACTGTAGCCTTGGGACCACTGGTACCTGGACCTGGGGTTAGTCACTGACCAGTCCAGCTCGGGGACGGCGTCGACTGACCTGTTTTGCTGCATCAGTCTCGGGGTTGTCTTGCTGCCGGCCACGAGGCTTCTTGTCCTTTGGCTTGGTCGCCTCCGGGGTGGTCTCGTTCTTGACTTCCTGCTTGGCGGGATCTTTCCGCAGTCGGGAGGCCTCCTGCTTGGCGGCCTTTCGGGCAGCTCTCTTGGCCTCCTGGGTCAGGGATGCATTCTTTGACTTCGGTGGTTTGCTTCTATCGGGAAGATGCTGTACGCAGGGCAGTCAGTCAGCTTTCAGACGTCCCAACCATTGTGATCCGTGCTCGCATACCTTCTCCAACGCCTTTAATTGCTCCTCTAAGGCGAGAGGAGCGGACTCAGCAGCCTGGGAGCGCAGCCAGGGCGAGGTGTGGAAGCGGCGAGCCCGCGGCTGGGCTCCGAAGCCGCGAGCTAAACACGATAGACAGACATGCTCGCGCAGAGGGTCTGAGACAGACCGCAGGGAGGCCCGATACATTCGGGCCGGTTGAACGAGTGACGAGGAGAATATTCACGAGCACGCGCGGTTGGCCGACAGGGCATTTGAGACAGAACACGCACGATGGGGGGGCACTAAGAAGTCTGAAAGAATGAAATGAATGATCAAGAGCTTTTTTTTTTGCCATCGAGCTTCGCCGCGCTTCGGGTTTTCTGCCGACCCGGGGTGCTCACCGCCTAGTAGATACTTCTGTGTATGGTAATAGATACCGTACAAATCAGTATGAGATACGCGGTGATACCATACGCTAATACGCCCAGGTATGGACGGGTATCGACCAGTAGCCCGATGTCTCTCCAAGTCTCTCCAGGTACCAGACCAGCATGGACGTGGTTGCAGATAGTTAGCTGAGACCAGAGTTTGTCTGATGAGTACTCAGTAATTAAAAAGGGGGTATCTTTGTCATGTTCTTCTTTCCTCAATGCTGAGTCAATTGTGCCTGTGTAGTAACCTGTAACACTGTAGAGTAAGCTCCGAATCCGGGGTCGGAGGCGCATTGATTGGCCCCGCCCCGCCAATCGATAAAAAAAGTCAAGGGTAAAAAAAAAAAAAAAAAAAAGTGAAAACAGCGACTGGCCGTGTTTGCGATTGCTGTTGCTCCCATTGCTTCCTCTGCTCCATCGCTCTGCGCAGTTCTGGTCTCGAGGTAAGTGAGCGTTCGTGCAAACTCGGTTCCCCATGGAGATTCCTCGATTGAGCGCCTCTGGGGCGTCAAGACGAAGAAGAATGAGTCAATGGAAAACGGAGGTGGGACTTGCCCCTCCATCCGTTGCTCTCCTCCACACTCGCTCCCTCGTCTCTATCCCGACTTCTCTCTCCTCTCCAACCTTCCACTTTTTCTCCTTTTTTCTTCCTCTCTAACCCCCCTCTGCTTCTCATTGCCAGGTCCTCTGAGAACCCGGCGCCTTTCACCATGACTACGGAACGGTTGCGTGTTCTTATCGTCGGCAATGGCGGCCGTGAGCATGCTTTTGCCTGGAAGCTGAGCCAGTCTCCCCGCGTCGACATTGTCTACGTCGCTCCCGGCAATGGAGGCACGGCGCTTGGCTCCGATAGCAAGATCCAGAGTGCCAACATTAAGGGCGATGACTACCCCGGGCTCGTTGCCTTTGCCCAGCAGAACGATGTCAACCTCGTGGTCCCCGGCCCCGAGGCTCCCCTCGTTGACGGCATCCAGGGCTACTTCCAGGCCGGTGAGTCCGTTTTCTAGATAAGCCAAAGGGTTTGCCGCGTTGCTAACCTCCAATTTGCTCGATCGCAGTTGGTATCCGCTGCTTCGGTCCCTCCAAGGCTGCTGCCCGCATGGAGGGCTCCAAGACCTTTTCCAAAGACTTCATGAAGCGCCACAGCATCCCCACCGCCGCCTACGAGAACTTCTACGAATATGAGCCCGCCCGCCAGTACCTCGACTCCGTCTCCCACCAGGTTGTCATCAAAGCCGATGGTTTGGCCGGTGGAAAGGGTGTCATCATCCCCACCACCAAGGAGGAGGCCCACCAGGCCCTCCGCGAAATGATGGTTGAGAACCAGTTCGGCCAGGCCGGTAGCGAGGTCGTCATTGAGGAGTACCTCGAGGGTGACGAGCTCAGCGTTCTCACCTTCAGTGACGGCTACACCATCCGCTCTCTCCCCGCCGCCCAGGACCACAAGCGCATCTTCGACGGCGACAAGGGCCCTAACACCGGTGGCATGGGCTGCTATGCCCCGACCCCCATCTCCTCCAAGGAGGTCCTCGCCGAGGTCGACCGCACCATCATTCAGCCCTCCGTGGACGGCATGAGAAGAGACGGTTCGTCCCCTTCCTCCCCATGATCCTCTTCCCGGCTAACCTGACCCATTCCAGGATTCCCCTTCGTCGGTATCCTCTTCACCGGTCTTATGATGACCAAAGACGGTCCCAAGGTGCTCGAGTACAACGTCCGCGGCGGTGACCCCGAGACCCAGACCCTCCTCCCCCTGCTCAGCGATGATACCGACTTGGCTGAGATCATGGTTGCCTGCACAGAGCACTGGCTCGACGGTGTCTCCATTCAGATCAAGCCTAACTTCTCCACCACCGTCATCGCCGTGGCCGGTGGCTACCCCGGCTCCTACCCCAAGGGTAAGAAGATCACCCTGGACACTGCCCCCAAAGGCACCTTGATCTTCCACGCCGGCACCAACGTCGTCGGCGGCGAGCTCCTGACCGCCGGCGGTCGTGTCATCGCCGCCACGGCCACCGCATCTAGCCTTGAGGAGGCCGTCCGCAAGAGCTACGAGGGCATCGCCACCATCCACTTCGACGACATGTTCTACCGCAAGGACATCGCTCACCGGGCCTTCCGCCAGCGTGATGCCGCTGCCGCCCAGCAGGAGTCCCTCACCTACGCCGCCGCCGGTGTCTCTATCGATGCGGGCAACGACCTCGTCCAAAAGATCAAGAGCTCCGTCGCCCAAACCAAACGCCCCGGCACTGACGCCGTTATCGGTGGCTTCGGTGGCCTCTTCTCCCTGGCCGCCGCCAACTCCGCCTACCACGCTGAATCCCCGACCCTGATTGGCGCCATCGACGGCGTTGGCACCAAGCTGAAGATCGCCCACGCCGCCGGCGTCCACAACACTGTCGGTATCGACTTGGTCGCCATGAATGTCAACGACTTGGTCGTCCAGGGTGCTGAGCCCCTCTTCTTCCTAGACTGCTACTCCTGCGGCAAGCTTGACGTTCCCACCGCCTCCGCCTTCGTCGCCGGTGTCGCTGAGGGTTGTGTCCAGGCCGGCTGTGCCCTGATCGGCGGCGAGACCGCTGAGATGCCCGGTCTCTTCATCGATGAGACCTACGATGCTGTTGGCGCCGCTGTGGGTGCCATCAACACCACCGGCCCTAACGCCCGCACCATCCTGCCCGACACCGCCGCCATGAAGGCCGGCGATGTTCTACTGGCCCTGGCCTCCTCCGGCCCCCACTCGAACGGTTACTCCCTCGTCCGTAAGATTGTCGAGCGCTCTGGCTTGTCTTACCAGGACCCCGCGCCCTTCACCATGCCCTCGGCCACGGGCCCGCAGACCGTGGGCCAGGCCCTCCTCACCCCGACCCGCATCTACGTCAAACCCCTTCTGAAGGCCCTTGCCACCTCGCCCGCTGAGATCAAGGGTCTCTCCCACATCACGGGCGGTGGTCTGGTCGAAAATGTGCCTCGCATGCTTCCCGCCACTCTGGCCGCACACATCAACGTCGCCACCTGGTCGCTGCCTCCCGTCTTCCGCTGGCTCAAGCAGACCGGCAACGTCACGTCCACGGAGATGGCCCGTGCCTTTAACTGCGGTGTGGGTATGATCATGGCCGTCGAGAAGGGCTCCGAAGGCGCCGTCAAGGAGCTCCTCCAGAAGGAGGGCCAGACGGTCTACGAGATCGGTGAGCTCCGGGTCAAGAACGATGGCGAGGAGGGCTGCATCCTGTCTGGCCTGGAGACCTGGGATGCGTAGATATGATATGATATGATATACTAGAATCTGAAATGATGAATCTAAGTGGTGGGGGTACAGAAAACCAACCATCAACCGCATATTACTCCTGTTTATTATTACTTGGTTACGTTGAATGAATGAAGACTGTTCATTTCCTCTTCTTTATATCTGTTGGCATGATATGCGTGTTTGTCTTCGTGTTCTTGTTTGTTTCATTTGATATACACTTCCGCTGCGATAATACGGACTATCTGGCTAGCTGCCAAGATACATCCATCATTATATACATGGTTACGACAACTTTAATCGAACAATACCCTACATACGCAATCCACAATACAAGTAACCAATTCTGCTTCTCAACCTTACACAATTCATATCAGCCAGACCTATCTCAGTGGCATTTCTTCCTCTCCGCTCTCTCTTCTCCAATCAAGGAAACCAACGTAAATTACCAGTCGGTATCTATTTTGTTATCCAAGGACAGTATAATGCATGCAAGTATGCCTACACAGATACATAGAAAATCCAAAAACACATGTGGAGTATATGATACCGACACCACGTGACCCGAATGACCAATTCCCAAGTTGATTGCTGATAGCTGGGCATATAACAGACGGATCATATCAGATCCGACAGCACATGGCTGGCTGGCTGGCCCCGCGCGGTCTAGAAGGCGAGCATGACATCATGGTCGACGCCTCCCAGCCTCCAGACCAGGGCCATGACGAGTCCAGGGATCCATCCGATCGAACGGGAAGAACATCCACTATGGAGGCTACGAGGCATCGGGGGGATGAGGCTAGAGTCAGAATCAGAGGTACTGGATGCGGGGATGGTCCTATGGTCCTACGAGCTCAATGGGAGAATGCAAACAGAGAAGCCAGCTCATCCACAGAAGATCAACTTTCGCAGCAGTATTTTAAGCTATAACCAGTCCGAAGGCGAGAACAGGAGATAAACGAGTCAAACACGAGGTAGAACACTTATATGAAAGAGAGCTTTCACCGCACGGTTCACAAGTCCCATGCACATCCCTCGCCTACACCGCTTCTCATTCCTCCACCGTCCTTCGGTTTTACTCGCTGCCGCCACAGGTGGCCTTGTGCCGAAGGGACACACGTTGCAAAAATAAACCATCTCTATTCCACAGCTAAAATAAAAGTTCCTTTTTCAGGCAATCTTCCTCCTAGTGCGAGTCAGAGAGGCCCGCAAGTCACCAGTGTCTCCGTCGGGGCTTTTAATACATGGGGGAATACGAGAGTACGAAACGGATCATGCGCAAGAGCTAGTCCCAAACACGTTAGCGAGAGACACAGGCCCACGGGCGCACCGAGCACATACCTTAGAAGCACTTGCGGTGGACGATCGAAGGACCGCTCTCGTCGTACTCCTGCTTGGAAATCCACATCTGCTGGAAGGTGGACAGGGAAGCCAGGATGGAACCACCGATCCAGACGGAGTATTTACGCTCGGGGGGAGCGATGATCTTGACCTTCATGGAAGAGGGAGCAAGGGCGGTGATTTCCTTCTGCATACGGTCGGAGATACCAGGGTACATGGTAGTACCACCAGACTGGGAGTGCGTCAGTAATCAGGACCCTCCAGGCGAATAAAAAAGGGAACGTACCATGACAATGTTGCCGTACAGATCCTTACGGACATCGACATCACACTTCATGATGGAGTTGAAGGTGGTCTCGTGGATACCACCACTCTCCAGACCCAAGACGCTAGGAGCGAACAGAGCCTCGGGAGCACGGAAACGCTCGTTACCGATGGTGATGACCTGTCCGTCGGGCAGCTCGTAAGACTTCTCGAGGCTGGAGCTCTGGGAAGCGGTCTGGATCTCCTGCTCGAAGTCGAGGGCGACGTAGCACAGCTTCTCCTTGATGTCACGGACAATTTCACGCTCAGCGGTAGTGGAGAAGGTGTAACCACGCTCGGCCAGGATCTTCATCAGGTAATCCGTCAGGTCACGACCAGCCATGTCGACACGCGAGATGGCGTGGGGAAGGGCGAAACCTTCGTAGATGGGGACGACGTGAGTAACACCGTCACCAGAGTCCAGGACGATACCGGTGGTACGACCGGAGGCGTACAGGGACAGAACGGCCTGGATGGAGACGTAGAAGGCGGGGGCGTTGAAGGTCTCGAAGACGATCTGGGTCATCTTCTCACGGTTGGACTTGGGGTTGATGGGGGCTTCGGTCAAGAGGACGGGGTGCTCCTCAGGAGCGACACGGAGTTCATTGTAGAAGGTGTGGTGCCAGATCTTCTCCATGTCATCCCAGTTCGTGACGACACCGTGCTCAATGGGATATCTGAGGGTGAGGATACCACGCTTGGACTGTGCCTCATCACCGACGTAGGAGTCCTTCTGACCCATACCAATCATGATACTGCGGGCGGCGTTAGAAAAACATGCCTTCCAGCCAAACAGGCCAAAAAGGGGCGGAGCTTTACCCATGGTGACGAGGACGACCGACAATGGAGGCTATTCAGCATGTTACTATTCTGATCGAATCATTGCTGACATGACAGTTTCACCGCCCCCACATAAGCTACCTGAAGCAAGGGCGCAATGGGTGCATTTTTGTCAAGAGCGGGAAGAAACCATCGAGCCAGGAGGAGGGGTGTCCGGCGGAGCGGATAGATGGGGATGACTTACGGAAGACGGCACGGGGAGCATCGTCACCGGCGAAACCGGCCTTGCACATACCCGAACTAAGCAGACAGAGTCAGTATATCCGAACCAGCCATAGCTTTGCGTGCAGGCAGATGGAGCTTCCCCGATTTCTCTCTATGGGCGCTGGAGAGGGTGGGAAAACAACGCTGGCGAGAATCCTCGGAGAATATATCCTCGCGACCGAACCCGAAAGGGAGCGTATGTTTTGCACCTTCTTCCGTGGCCTAGGCTGGAGAGAAACCGACAAGCAGGGCGAATCCATCGCCCAACCCATCAAGAACCGAGAGTAACATACCCATTGTCAATGACGAGAGCAGCAACTTCCTCTGGATAGCGGAAGAAAAAACGTTAGCGAAGTCGAAAGGTGGGCGTTGAGGGGGAGGATGGAGGGGGGAGGGGGGAGAGCTTGGAAGCGAGCAAGACGCAAGGTGGCAGAAACCCTTACCTTCCATGGTGACTGTGTGGGATTAAGAATCGAACTACGGGGGAATAAAAAAGAAAGAAAACGCGAAGGAAGAGAAGCGTAGATGGGGGGGATAGAGATGGGAGATGGGGGAGGAGAGACGGGAGAAGGGAGGCGAGTGAGTTGTTGAGTTGAGGTAAGTAGGTTGGAGAGGGAGGAAACGGGGGGAGGAGTGGAAAGTGATGGAGGTCGGTTTAGGAGTCGGCGGTGGTGGAAGCAAGAAGTGGGTGCCGGTCTGGTTTGGCCTGGTTGGGTTTGGTTTGGTTTGGTTTGGTTTTGGTCAGGTCAGGTCAGGTCAGGTCGGGTTCGGGGGCAAGTACTTAGTAGATAAGTACTCGTTCGCCAGTCAGCTTGCCTCTCGTTTTCCGTACAAGGAGCACCCTATACGGAGTAGTACCGGTCGCCGTCAGTTAGGGAGCAAATGATTAATAGGAGTCCGTCAAATTAATTAGTCCCATCAGGCACACTCCACCACCTTCACCAAAGCTTCTACGAGTACGGAGTCCGGAGGGGAGGCAAGAGACGCACCAGTCAGTCCAGGTCCCTTTCTCAGTACGTAGATAGTAAGGGGGAGGGGAACGGCGAGCGAAAAGGGAGAGGTTGGACTGGATCAGGCGGGGTGAAGTGGATTGAGCCCTAGGCGATTCTGGGTCTAGTCCGGGTAATTTGGCAGCGTTGATTGCACCACTGAGTGCACTAGTGCCGTTTAGTCCGGGTGCTGTCACCGCCACAGTCACGCCGAGTACCGCTCGTCAGGTAAGCTGGTAATAATCACGCCGGCGAGAGAGAGAGAGGGAAAGAGCTGGTAAGAGCTGGTAATTAACCCGCAGCGCTAAAGGGGGACCAGAACGTGTCCAATGTGGTCAGACAGACAGAGAGCGCGAGCAAGAGAGATAGGAGATCGAATAATATCGTTTGTAGATAGGTAGTAGTCATTACTACCATGGATGTATCCCACCCCCATTTTATATCTACACACAGGTGATGTCAACCTCCCACCATGGTCAACTATGGTTGCCTTTAGGCAGAATGATTGTGGCCTTCGACCTCGACCTCGACCTCGTCCTCTTGTCATATTCTGTCTTCCTCTAAGCTGGACAATCCGATGGGTGGCCTATCCGGGTTGGGAGCAGGATGATGATGGCAAAAACACTTGCGCATCCTCGTGGGGCAGAGCCTGATCCAGGGTTGCCGCCGTCAATGGCTCAGCCCAATGTGTACCAAAGAACAGGGTCGGAATAACCATTAAAATGATGATGATAGCATAGTAGTAGTCATCCATGATCCATAGTACATCGTGGATAATAATAGCACCCGCCTTGGAGAACCCACGACGAGCATAGCCCGACCGGTCCAACTTCAGGCTTCTGGATCCTTCTGCCCCCGTTCACTAACTAGGTATCCGGCTTTAAGGGGTTCGTAGTCGTCTTGCCCCTCGTTTGGTCTCCTTGGCCCTTAGGTAGTCTCTAGCGTGGCCGTTCCTCATCCCTGAACTGAACGGGACCATTATTGCAACCGCATGATCGTCTTATCCAGCCGCCTATTCCGTCCCCATAGTGTTAAGATTCCGTCAGGTAGAAATCATGAATAGTAATTGATTGACTGATGCCTTCCTTTCTGGTCAATTCCTGTGCGCTGTCAGCTTTCTTTACCGCTGTTTTTCCGCCGGCCCCGAATTGGGGGCTCAAAGGGGACTGCTGCCAACTCGATGGAATGTCAATCCCAGAGGGGCCGCGACGCGTTGAGTCCTCGTAGGCCGATCAATCACGATGCTGCGTGAAGAATGCATGGTTATCGACGGCATCCTCGTGCCACGCGTGGAAATGTCTCGGTCGGCCAAAACAAGCCAGAAGACACAGCATATCGGGCACGTATGACCGCATCGCGGGGTTATCCGACATGGCGGGGTACGATGCAGCACGGCTGGCGAGCCATGACACCACCAGGACGGCAGGCCTGCACGGAAAACCTAGACAAGACGTGTTTCGGGCATCGTGAGCGTAGAGTGCTACCTGCTGAAAGTAGATCAGACAGCAATTGTCCTCCTTTCACTCCGACTGAGCGTAGACAAGCGGTGGAAGGAGGTGGAAGGCCGTCGGAGCCGCATGAACCCTCTGGATCTATCCAGAACTTCGTCACTCGTCTTTTTTTCTTCCCAGGGGACCGGCGCATTGTTCTACACCACCACGTCCACATTGATATTTTCCATATCTGGAGAAATATTGTACAGGCTAATACCTTTCGCATATTTTTCATTCAACAATCTGTACTCCTAGACAAGTCCAAGTGGCCGTTTGGACCAACCGCAGATTCCGTCACAAATTTTACTATCCACCACCACCACACACCACCCACTCCAACACCATGGATCCCAACATGAACAACCTCCTTAAATGGAGTATCAAGGCCTCCACGGCCGGAGAGCAACCCTCCGAGGACAATGCCAGCACAGCTGCCGCCACCGACTCCTCCCGCAACGGCCTCACGCCTCAGATGCTCTCCACGCTATTCGGCGGACCATCGGACGCCGACCTGATGAAGGCCTCCATGGCCGCCCTCCGCTCCGACGAGGTCGACCTCGAGAACAAGCTCATCGCATTTGACAACTTTGAACAGCTCATCGAGTCGATTGACAACGCAAATAACCTCGAGCCGCTGGGCCTGTGGTCTCCTCTGGTCGAGCTGCTTCAGCACGAGGAATCCGAGATGCGGCGCATGGCTGCCTGGTGTATCGGGACGGCTGTGCAGAACAACGAAAAGGCACAGGATAAGGTATGCAGCCTCCATTCGCATCCCATCATATCACATGACTAACGTGGATTTCAATAGCTCGTTGTTTTCAACGCCCTCCCGACTCTCGTCTCCCTCGCGACCAAGGACACCGTTCCCGTTGTCCGTAAGAAGGCCATCTACGCTATTTCTTCCGCTGTCCGCAATTACCAGCCGGCCATGGACGAAGTCACCAAGAGCCTTCCGGAGGGTTACTCCCAGGACAAGGTCGATGCCGCAGACATGGATGCCGTGGATGCGCTCATGGACAAGCTGCGCGCTCACCCGATCGAGTCGTCTGCTTGAAATGTCAATCGACACATATGACATGCACCGTGGATGTGGGATTGATGATTTATCCTAGCGAGCCTACTTTGCCATTTGGCTAGCACGGGGTCGATGTCGGGACCCTCTCGGCGACAGACAGGCTTTGCGCGCGTATGTCGTTGAGCATCTTACTGATATGATATGGCTTGGCTTGGAGGCCAACTGTCTGGAGCATGTCGATCTGGACAAATCGATGACGGTGCTAGCATGCCGTGACAGGCACCCACCATCGGGCTGAGGCTCACGGGTCTCGACTCAACCTCTCAGGCACCCATGAAACACTCCGTCCGGACCAGATCGAAAAACCCATGATACATAGTTGGAGGTAGTTTCATATCCTTAGCGGACCAATGGACTGCCTGGAATTAGATACCCGGTGCTACCTCCGTGCATCATGCGCTCTATGCCAAGAAATATATATAAACATTACTACACGCTTTATTCAAATACATGGATGCCTATGTAACACTAGAATTTAACTTTTCTGCCTGAGAATCTTTGGGAAGTGAAACCATTAGATCTTGGCAACGCGTGTACTCGCTACATCCATAGTAGTAGATACCAGATCTGGATGCCTGCTACCGTACACGGAAAGTCAGCTTGGATGAACTTCCCTCTAGGCGCCCCAATTTTGAGACCAAAGACCATCGAGAGTCACGCCACTAGCAATACGATCCGGTTATTGTAACTGCAGGACAACTGAAAAACCTCATGTATATAGCAAAATACCCATGTAGCACCATCACCACATGACTACAACTTCAATCTACAAAAAAAAAAAGACCCCCCAAATCTCACATCTCAGACCATACCATAATCATAACGTAACAAGCATGCTAAAACAGCCTAATACAACAAGCAAAACAGAAACCACTCAACGCGCAATGCATTGTAGAACAACACCTGAAAAGTAAACCCATCCTTGATCTCTCAAGGAACAAAGAGCAGGGAAAGGAAACACCAAGAAGAAAATTCATAATATAATAACACGCCCAGGAAGGAAACCAGAGCGATCGTCTCATATCAATCCATCAATCAATCAATCAATCAATCAAACTAGGCGGACCCATGATCCATCACAGGGCAAGGTTGTAGGTGTAATCGTCTTCAATATTCTGAGAGATCCATAGGACGACGGTGCTGTAACAATTTAGTCATTCGATAAGCTTTCACCCAGCAAATAAACCATGATATAGAAGATGCATACCTCATCATAACCAATCCATTCGCAAGAACATTCGCAATGCCAAAGTATAGCGTCGGAAGTGGATATCCCTTCATCAAGTATTTAAGGACCATGACCGTCTATAGGCGGGTAAATCAGTCAGTGAGCCAGTCCATCAACCAGGTCCCCTAGATACTCTAGGAATGGGTAAGAGGGAAGTAGAAACTAACCACACTCCCGGCTAACCCGCCCGCCAACAACGCAAAGCCTAGGAAAAGCACAAATCTCGCCTTCCATGCGACCCCGCTCCCGCTGTAACTGAAGCTATCGGCATGAAGACGTGACTTCTCGATCGAATTGATGACGAGCATTCCGAGCGCGGAGCAGATGCCGGGGATCCAGTCGACGAACTTGACGTGGACGAAGGATCCGTTGCGGGAACTGTGGGAGAAGGCGGCAGCATCGATGAGGAAGAAGAATCCGAGGGAGAACTGCTATTGTGTGAGCATCATTTTGGTAATTTGGTGCTGGTGAGGGTGCTGGAAGCTTACCAGTGCGCCGGAGGTGTAGACGCCTGCGTTGCGCACGGCGGAGTTGTTAAGCCATTCGGGCTTGGACCAGCGAAAGAGGCGGTTGTTGGAGACATCCATTGTGAAGCGGAATAATGGGCGACAATCGACTCGGGGATATGGGTGTGCCAGCACTGAAGATGGGAATACGGGCTGTATCGGCTGGTTGGTTGGAGCTGTCGGGGAAGCCGGCGATGATGCAGTGTCGGAGCCCGGAAAATCACGAGGCCGATCTATGCTGAACAGGGAGTCTTTCATGCACTCGCCAGTTTCAATCTCATGTTGTATTTAAATTGTCTCAGTAGTACGGTGAGGGACACTCAGCTGGTAGAATGAAATGTATTGATTGTATCTTTGTACGGGTAAAACAAGGATAAACTTCCTTGCATTCTAACAATATCGCTGGACTATATACTTCATAACTTCATAACTCATAAATCATGACCTGTATCAGAAAAGCTTAGTTCTCCTCACAGAATAGTTTCAAGAACTCGTCGATGTAGGTCATGGCTTTCGCTTTTTCCAACAGAGGCGGCATATTCGACGACCCAGATCCCCCCGGAGAAGGCTCCTTCAGATACTTCCGCAGTGCGAACGTTGATGCACGATATGTCGCATGGTACATGGCCTTGAATTCATCTTCGTCGGTGTTTAAAGAGTCCACCGTCGTCATGCGCGAGTCCTTGTCTTCGCCGCTCGCAGGGATTATATCGTGGCTACCGGTCCCGGTTTGCGGTCTGCTAGAGCTTGCGGAGCGCGCCGTCGCACGGTTAAAGCCGTAAAGCCGCATGCAGGTCAAGATTGTCCGAGTGATCGTGTTTTTATTTTCTGTGACAATGGTATCCGCATCCTTGGGCGCTGCTGGAGACTCAAGTTTCCCCTCGGGTAGCAATTCCGGCGACAGTTCTTTTTCTCTCCGCAAGGAAGACTCTACGAACGGGTTCGGAGTACCCCTCCGCGAGTTGAATTCGCGAATGTAGCCCCGTCTGCTGCTAGGCCGTGGTTGTTCTGACCTAGATTCTAGAAGCTTGGCGTTGAGGCTTGCTCCAAGAGATACAGACCGTGAGCGCTGTGAGGTGATCCGGTCCAACTGGGGAAGTGAAGGCTCCTCGGACTCTCGTTTGACTCGGAGACCTTGCAATTGCTGAGATGACTGGGAGAGCGAGCGCGCCATTAATTGTGAAACGGCCTCGCCTCCCTTCTGCCGCACTCTCTTATGATGCTGTGCCACTGATTCGAAAAGTGTTGCCACACGTTTGCGCTTGGGACTGGGCGAGCAGATGTCTGGCAGAAACCGAGCAGATTGTCCATGACCGTCGGAGTCTTGTGGAGATGGAAGGGACTGAGCTTTGTTAATGAGAGACGCAGAAATCGGAGTAGCATAGATCCTCAATTCCTGTCTCACGACATGAGACGGCTGATCATCTTGCTCTGGTGACGAGACAGGCGGGGTTGGGGGTCGTTCGGATGTCGTGGTTGATAAAACACCGTGCACTAGCAAGTCGGTGGTGTGTGATCCAGAGGTCTTTGCACGTCCATCATTCTCAACTCTTACAAGCAAACCAACAGGACACTGGAGGGTTTGAAGACGATCCAGGTCATCTTCTTCCAGCCAGATAGTACCGGTCAATTTGTCCTTGAGCCATTGCGAAGTCTCCTGGTCCTTTGTGTGAAGTTCGAGGTTCGGACCGGATCGCGCATAGAGTGGTATGAGGGCTGGATTCACGAAGCAGCGAAAGTTGAGCGTCGAGTCTCTGGTAATATCCGGTTGCCAGTTCGACGACCGGTCAATCAATTGTAGGCCTATGTCTGGTGATAAGTAGGACGCATACAACCGGACTTGTCGCGGGTCTAACCTTGGAGTTGTGCTCCTCTATCCAGCGAGAGTGCGCCGGACCAGACATTCATTTTAACAAACCGGGGGATGTGTAGTTCACATATTACTCCAAAGTCTTCCTTAGGACGTTGGATGCAGGCTGGATGCCATTCACCAGTCGGCGCGGGTAATTTTACACGACGCGCCCCAGGCGGCGCGCCCCCACGTGACTGGTATCTAGGCACAACTACAAGGCGGAAGGCATCGGCATCTCGATCAGCCGGGAATACGGTGAGGGAGGCATTTGAATATTAATGTGGGCCAAAGAATGTTTCAAACTGCGCTGGCAGCGTTTCTATATAACCTCATACTGGCTATAGTACATCAATCGTATCATCGAACAAAGAAAGGTGGAATCAACGGCTAAGCCCGGGGATCAAAAGGCACATCAGTACTCCTAGCATACGTCAAATCAAAGCGATGTCTCATAATAGTGCATTGGTCAAGAACAGGAAGGCGGCTAGTTTCAAAAGGTCGGTCGAAACAATCTGCGGGCGGGTATCCAATGCGAGGCCGGTCTTGCGGATATCTGCGCATGGCAATTCAGAAGTCCTCCTGCTCCTTGAAGAACATGGAGAAACTGATGATGGTTCCGTAGATCAAAAGACCGCCGATGATGGACATGACCATGGCGGGAATCTCGATAGCGCCGCTGTGCGCAAGGACGGATGGGAGGGCTGGAGAATGCGAATTTGGTCAGCTAGAGACTAAAGGTTACAAGGGGGGTAAACAAGCGCATGAATCTCTAGCACAGTCTACAGTCTGCTTCAATCGGAGCGATGAATGCGACCGCAGACCTAGCCCGCCTATCTGAGATCTCCACTCACCGATACCCATCAACACCAGGAAGCCCGTCATGAAACGTCCAAAGTCGGCGGCGGCGTTGCCCGAGCTGTCCATGAAATCATCGGGGTTTGCGCATCGTGAGCAGATCCAGTTGGGCAGTGGAGCAACCACGTAGGTCGCAACAACCACCAACGGCAGGAAGTTGTGCCAGAGCGCCGAGGACAGGATGACGAGCAGGAAGCCAATGGCGAGAACCTGTGCAGGGTTCGACAATTAGCCAGATGCCATGCCCCAAGAAGCTTCAGTCTCGCCCGAGGGATCACCTACAAAGGAGAGGGCGATGATTGTTTTAAGTCCGGCCGTCATGATTGCGGAGAAGCAGGACCGTCCAGGTCCAAAGCAACAGGCAGAAACTGGAGTTGCTTCGCGCAAACGAAGCTCGAGGCGCTAGTTTGGATACTGGTTGGGGAGGGAACCGTAGAGTCAAAGCACCGTCAGCATGAAGACGGAATATCGAGAGATGGGGGCACCGTGAAACGGAGACGGCGAGAACTTGGGATGGAGCAAGCCAGAGGACGAGGCCGAAGTGACGTGCAGCGGGAAGGCCATCGGGCGGGCGGCCTGAGGCAGCGGGCCAGCCAAGCAGCAGCGGCTGTGAGAGCTTAGTAGTACTTACTAGTTACGGTACCGCGTCAGTTGCTCTCTGCCTGCCTACTTCCAGTTACCTCCAGCTCCATCCATATCTCTCCCCATCCACCGGCACTCCCTGCTTCCATTCCATCCCCCTCTTTCTCCCCACGCTCACTCTCTAGATCACATATACCCTCCCGTCTCTTCCATTGGACGGAAAGAGAACCTATCCCTCATCCTTGATTCTTTCCTACTCAAGCTCCCGCCATGTTCAGAAACAACTACGACAACGATGCGGTCACCTTGTATGGACCCTCCCAAGCTCCCTCATCAACCAGAACACAGCTCCCGGAGATCCCTAGTCACTGACACACCTTTCTACAGCTCCCCGCAAGGCCGGATATTCCAAGTTGAATATGCGCAAGAAGCCGTGAAGCAAGGATCCGTCGTGGTGGGACTGGTCAACAAGACACATGCCGTGCTGGTCGGCCTCAAGGTTCGACATCCAGACCCATCGTGCCTTTCCCGCCAGAATTACGGGAATCCCAACTGACAGGTCACCCACTAGCGTAATGCCGAAGAGCTCTCCTCCTACCAGAAGAAGATCATCGAAGTCGACTCCCACATGGGCATCGCTATCGCCGGTTTGGCATCGGACGCCCGAGTGCTCTCCAACTTCATGAAGCAGCAGTCGCTCAGCTCCCGTATGACCTATGGCCGCCCGCTCCCCGTCGACCGCATCGTCAGCCAGATCGGCGACCGCGCCCAAACGAACACCCAACAATACGGCAAGCGGCCCTACGGTGTCGGTCTGCTCGTGGCCGGCGTCGACGAAGCCGGACCCCACCTCTTCGAATTTCAACCCTCCGGTATGACCCATGAGATGGTGGCGTGCGCCATTGGAGCCCGCTCCCAGATGGCCCGGACCTACCTGGAGCGGAATCTCGATCAGCTCGAGTCATCGTCGCGTGATGAGCTCATTACCCACGGCCTGCGGGCGCTCAAGGAGACCCTGTCCCAGGACAAGGAACTAACAGTCGACAACACATCCGTGGGTGTGGTGGGTGTTGCGGGCGAGGCCGCCCGGGGAAAGATCGAGAGCTTCAAGCTATACGAGGGGCAGCTGCTCGTGCCGCTGCTGGAGGCGCTGGAGGCAGCGGAGGCAGGTGAAACGAAAGAGGAGGAGACGATGGAGGTGGATTCATAGAGAGGGTCTTCGCCAGCAGATCCATCTTTCTGGTTGTTAGTTCATGATTCGGAATAATATGATGTTTCCTCTACCTCTTTCTCCCTTTACACTTTACACATATTTACTATAAACCCTTCACTCCTCCCCCCAATTCAACCTCATCCTCCCATTACTAACTTGATACCCTCTCAACCTGGGCCACACCTCCTTGACATCCTTCACCTCGACCAAAATGCCCCCATTCTCCTCCCCAATATACCCCTCCTGCACCGCCTTCTTCACCCACTCCAACACCCCATCCCAATACCCATCAACATTGACCACCACCACCCCCGCACCATGAATACCCAACTGATTCCACGTCGTCATCTCCATCACCTCCTCGATGGTCCCAAACCCTCCCGCCAGCGCCACAAACCCCGACCCGGGCCCTCCTTCCTGCACCTTCTCCGCCATCAGACGCTTTCGCGTATGCATGTCCGCTACGATGGTCGTCGTCCCAAACTCAGATTCAGTGAACATTCCCGTTCCATTACTCTTAGTGTTAGAGCTTGTGGGGATGATGCGTTCGGCGTCCTTGCCTGCGCGAGCTTGCTGGACGCCAGAAGTTGATGAGGGATGTTCCTGGGCGTTGTCATATCCCGGCTCTTTCTTTACAAGAGCACGGGGGATGATGCCATGCACGGCTTGCGGGCCGGAGAGACGGACTAGACTGCGGGCTAGCTCGCCCATTAGGCCTATGGTCCCGCCGCCGTAGACTAGGTGGATGTTGTTCTTGTGGAATTCTCGGGCGAGGGCGCGTGCGGCTTCCATATGACGCGGGTTCGTGCCGGAGACTGAACCGCAGCTGGGGTGAAGCGGGGGGGTTAGCTTTGGTGGTTGTTATAGGTAGATGTTTGGTGATGGTTGTATAGATGCGGGGAAGGGGAAGGGAAGGAGGGGTAAGACTTACAACACGCAGACAACTGCGGGCTGGGGATTTTCGAAGCTCATGATGGGGTGTGTTATTGCTACGGCTATTCTTGAAAGGCAGAGACTTAAGAGCCAAGATGGAGTGTCAATGGGGGGTGGACATGTCCCAAGAACGACGGCGCTGTGATGTGACCGGATTCCTTTATACGGCGGTTCTCGACCCAAATAGGAAAACTCAGCCCTGAAGGGGTGGCGGCGCTCATGCTGAGAATTGTACTGGGATTTATAGAGAGGCAGCCAGGGCCGATGACTCACTGGGCGTTGGGTGGGCGTGCAGGAACATCCGTTCAAGCTACTCTTCCTCGGGTGATTGGCCGTCCCGGCGGCTAGGGGAGGTCTAAGGAGGTGATGATTATGCCAGGCTGCTCCATTTCGCCTGTAAAGAATCTCGTGTCGGGTAGGACAGCCCTGGCTCTCGTTCCCTGGCCTTGAGATTTGGAATCTAGCTAGCCGGTTCAGGACCCGAATGAGAGAAACCTGCTCTCATCTAGATTGGGGTATCATAGAAATCCTGCCACTCTCAACTTCCCAGCCTGGCTTTCTTCTTCCGCATTTTGCTCTCATCGGTCCCCGATAGCGTCGCCCCTTTCTCGGATGCTCTCCCCGGCGTATCGGCCTTGACCTGCGGCGTACCAACTTTTCCTGCTGCAGTTCCCACGTTTGCTGCCTGCTTCGCCGTCGAGGTCCGATCCGTATCGTTGACTCGGGACAGGATGAACGACCCGGGCTCTCCCACCAACGGATGCTCATCCATGAACTCGTCACCATACCGCGAGAGTAGGCTGAATGACTCTGCGAGTGTCCGGGTGTCCTGTAGGCTCGAACCCGCGCTGACCACCTGCGATCCGACTAGCGAAGCTTTGCCAGCTGCGTCTTCCGGCAATGGCGTGTTCTCCTTGCTCTGCTGCGACTGCGTTCCGGGCTGGCTTGTGTCTGCATGCTTGGGCGCTGGCGGCAGATAAGTATGGCCATGCGACGGTGTGAAGCTTGGTAGTGTAGATGCCGTCTTCAGCAGACTGGTAAGAGACGTGACTGCGGACAGCTACGCGACGAAATTTCGGAATTAGCGTTGAGTACAACAGGGAGACTGGATACATCCAATTGGAAACATTGACGTACGATGCGGTTCCCTACTACACTCGCAACCGATGGGGCCATGTAAATGCAATCTCCAACGATGAAGTATGTCGAGAGGACCACCACCTCATCTTCTTGGCCGGCCCGCTTGCACCTGGTTTGCTTGCGAATCACCCAAATGTTCGAAGGATCATGTGCAAAGCGACCGTCAGGTTGCGCCGCTGCCTGGATCGGATCATATGAAACCACAAATTCCAGGCCCTGCATGGTCTTCAAACGGCCTTCGAATGCCTCGCGCGTCTCGACAAAATGACGGAAAGCTTCATTATAATTGGCTTGGATGGCAAGAGAGGCGTTATTTGAGGTGGGGTCAAAGAATGGAGACTCGGCAAAGTAGAAAAGAACTGATCATCCATTGACTGGGTTAGCAAGCTAGAGCGGTTGCAGGGGCCCAGATCTCGTACTGTTATTGGAGTGGAGGTATCCTCCCATCATCTGGACGTGAGGCGGGGACCGCCAAAGGATTTCCTCCATCGAGGCATCGGGAGTACCCGCCATGAGGTCGGCGTAATCGGGAGTGCCCCTGCTCGCTAACTTGCTAGGAATGGCAGGGACTGAGACAATGCAGCTGGACTGGGAGCTCTGGGAAGATCAGGAAGATCGAAGGCTGGCCGCAGCACTCCGCGGAAGTGATGGCTATGTTTGGTTGGTTTGCATCTATCTCATTCATCCACTCCCTCACATCTCAGACTAGGTAGCCTTAGATGTAGTCCCTTCGCCAGTGTTTGATGAGAAAAAATCATCTAGTGATCCAGGCAACTCCTACACTACACCCTTTGCATCGTCTAGAATTAGAAGGGACATTATCTAAAAACTTTCACTGCTAGCTATCTCATATATATACATCCCGGCGCCTCGCCGGTTGTCTCTGCCGATCATGATACTATACACCGCTCTGCAAACACAAAATGCATATCGAAACCTAAACCAAATGGTGCAGGTAGACTAGGCACTAGGTCCCGGGGCATCTTTTCCTGCGCTCGCCAGTTTGGCCGCCATTTTGGGGAAGTATTGTGCAACAAAGCTTTCGCTGGAGAAGTCGTCAGTACCAGATACTCCCATATGAGAGGAGCCAAACTTACGTGTAGTAGCTGTGGGCAGAGCTATGATCTTCCACCAGGTTATGGGCCAATTCGTGGCATAATATCACCCACCAGTATACCAATGCATCCGTTCGGTCGGAAGTGGGGTTTTCGAGCAGCTGTTTCTCGTGGAGTTGTTGGAAGTAAAAGTAATTGCAGAAGACACTACCAGCACGGTTGAAGGCGATCGTCTTGCCCCCGGGGTCATAGAAGACACTGAGGATGTTGGAACGAAGCGAAAAGATCCCGGCACAATCGATCAGCATCGAAGCGAAGACATTGATGCCGATGCTGTTCATGGCTAGGAACTGACTGCGGTCCGAGAGTGTCCTCACAAACAGCACGTTGATTCCACAGGCAAGAGTCGCTACAAACTCAAGATCATGGCTGGGCTTTTCATCACAATATGACTTCTTCTCCGTGATCTGGTTGGTTTCGGGTCGGCTATAAACATCGGATGATCCGTGAGGCCGACAGGCTTGGATGGCCGAGAGCAGCTCATTCTGAAGCCGATGGGGAGAATTGACATTGACAGGCGCTTCCGAACGAGTCTTCTGAGGATCTTCAGCAGAGTAAGGCGGGGGAGGGGTGGCGTTCTCCGAGGTCCCAGGAAGGGCGGGCTGGGACGACTCCCCGTTGGAGGCATTCCAGGGCGACCGATTGCCCTCGAGCCCAAACCGCTTGGAGAGATTGGCAAAAAAGCCGCGAGGCCGTCGATCTGGAGCTTGGTCAGAACCCTCGGCCTGGACATTACGGCTAGCGTTTTTGCCGGAGGGTGAGTCGGGGAAATCTCCCGGCATTAGTTGCTCGCGTTCATCTTCCGTCGGTTGCGGTGGTGCTTGCACCTGGGCCTGTTCCCTGGCCCACGCAGCTTCTCTCTCTTGAAGGCGTTGTCGCTCCTCTTCCAACTGCTTCTGTCGTCTGTCCTCTGCCATCCTGGCCTCGTGCGCCTTCTGCTTCAGAATGCGTTCCACATTATAGCCGCGAGCTTTAAGCTCCAACAGATCCGTCTTCAACAGCATCTCTAATGTAAGGGTTGAATGGAGCTTCGGCCGGACAAGGATGAGGTGCACAAGAGCCTGGCTAATCTCGTAGAGGTCATATTTGCCCGGACAAATCCACAGGGTCCAGTCCTTTGGTTGCTGAGTGATGATTGCGCTTCGCTTTTGAGTGTGGGAAACCCGACGACCCTTCAGAGACCGGGTGAGAGAAATAGATTGTACCACCTGCACTTGCAGATGCCTCTCTAGCCAACGCACTTCATGCCTTATCAGATCAGGAGACTGGTCATGTAAGAACAGTCTCGAGCGTTCATTGATCAGCTTCTGCAGTTTGGCGGCTGGACGTTGGTCGGCAGCTACAGCACCCCAGTGAGCACGCTCTTCGACAAGCCCACTCAACGGCAGAGCCCCTAGAGACTGATAGAAATTCTCTAGCAACTCTTCCTGAGGCGCGGCTAAGACATGCTCTTTGAAGAGGTTAAAGCTCTGAAAATCATCCACCACGACGGCGTCCTTTGCAACAGTCAAAGTCCATTCCTTGATGCTTTGATCTTCCTCTTCATCATCAGACAAGTTCTCCTTTGCGGCTTTCTCTTGCGCCAGGGACGAAATATCCCTGCTGGCGAGCAGAAACGCCGATCTCTTCATATCCTGGAATAGTTCGCGGTCCTTTCTAAGGGTCGACACATGTTCGGCAAGTGTTCTCAATAATTTGAGATACTTGTCAGCACTTTGGAAGGTGGCCGATATCCTAGCTGGTTCTTTTACGAGCATACGCGCAATTTCCACCTTGGTCGGTTCTCGTTTGGAACCGACTGCCATGAGGAAGAGGTTCGCCTCTTGACCAAAGTCGATGAAGTCGAATATGTCTTTGTAGTCTTCACCCTCTCCGAGATAGCAGAGTTTGGGCGCCACACGACGCACAACGGCCTTCTTCTCCACCGCATCCGGTGTAGTCGAGACGGGAACCACCTGCGCACTGCCGACGCAATCTATATCCCGCGCACTGAGTTCCGACACTCTCCCCGCCAAATATTTAAAGACTACTCTTGCGTCACGCTTCGTAGACGGTGGCTGACGTATGAGACAATCGATGCAATCACTCAAAGCGGGGTGTTGTTTCACTCCAAATTTGGAAGCATGAGGATGGAGGTCCCTTCGAAGAATTGTGAAACCAAACAAGGTAGCGCCCTCATCAGTGAAACATTTGCTCGGGGTAGCCAAGCTTTGCGAGCCTTCAATGGGCAGAAACGAGACATTCACTGCATTATAGTCGAACGTCGCATAACCACTGTTATGGTACTCGGCGATATAATACGACATCGCTTTCGTATGGAGAACCCAGTTACCATCCGTCGCCGCTTTGGCCATGATCTGTACCAGCTCAGGAGGTGACGGGGAACTTCTCAGCCCCAACATAGACAGGAATTTCCCCTCGTTACTGCTAGGTTGATAACGACCTGGCCAATCAATGAGAGGTAACCCTAAAGCCCTGAGCGAGTCTTTCGGTTCAAACAACTCGAAGATTTTGTAGCGTTTGCGATGCGCTGCTCTTAGGTCGCCATTCTCACCATCGCTTGGTTCGGCAGTGCACAAACTGGTGTTTTTGAGGCGCTTGATATCATTGGCGGGGATATCGTCACGAACGGAAGCCAGGTACCGTATCAAGTCAACATGGCTCCATTTTCTCTGATTATTGTTAGAGACATCGGGCGATTCCACCGTATCGAGGAGACGCTCGAAGATTACACCGAGCTCAACTGTCTTACGAACGCCAAGCGCGGCCAGAAACTTCTCTTTGACTCCATTTAGACCATGGATGACGGGAAGATCATCAAACAACCTCACCGAAGAGAAGTAAGTCTCGGCAGGAGGCTTCATCCCAAGTTTGGTCGGTATGATGGTGTGTGGCTGTAGTTGATTGATCACCGTTTGCCTCGAAGGCTGGCTCAGATAATCCCATTGCTTGGACAGAACAGGTAAGACCTGCGCGGAAAACGAGGGGCTCTGTGTGATATCCTGATCCACAGGGAGAAGGCTTCGGTTACCAGCATTGCTGACTAGCCAGCGAACCCATGGAACTATCTGATATTCTGACCAACCAAAAGCTTCCAACTCCTGCTTCCCAAGAGATTTTGTGAATTTGAAAGGTGCCACAGACGGTGGCATTGGCAAATTGACGGGTATCTTTTGAGGATTCAGATAACTGTCGATGCCGCCAAAAACAATCAGTCTTGTCTGAGGACCACCGTCATCTTCGTCATTTGCTACTGCAACATTCAGGAGGCTTTGAACGGAGTATAGATCAAGCTGGCCTGAGGCCGCCCTTCGACCTAGCCAGGCAAGGAATTCAATAACCTGGCTGGTACGTAGTGTGCTAGTCTCCAGTTCCCGCTTAATGTCGGAGACCGTTATATCAGTGACGAGTCCAAAGTCGGTCAGCTTCTTAACAAAGTCTTTTGCACCCGACACAAACTCATCCGGCAGAACCGGGATAGAATCCATGAAACTAAGATCCTTTGGAGCAAGACGTGCCTGATGACTCTGAATGATGCCGCATGTTGAGAGGACTTCGATAGATGAACTTTTGTTGCACGTCCAAAACGCGTCCTCAATGGTTTGCCCCAAAAGCGATGACGGTGTTGATTCACGGAATACGAACTGGTTCGCAGTGTGAATAGCCTCAGGAAGCACATCGACTATATCGTCCTTTCGTATTTTCGTGGACTTCGACGACTCTCTCCCAGACATTATCCTTGCTTTGATGGTTGCCATTTCCGCAGTCCAGGCAATCCGACAGACTATTCCCGCTGCCCTCAGCATTTCCAGATTCCATTTGCTGATATAGCGAGTGTTGAGATCGATACTCTCCCGCTCCACTGTGGGAATGACAGAGGGAGCAGATATATGAGCATTGAGGCCTGTTGTTTGATGGGTTGGGAAGCCTATGAAGACCCTCCCAGCTTTAGAAGGGAGGATAGAAGAGAGGACCTCTGATTGTAAGCCAGAGGCCCCAGAAGCCAAGGTCGTGTCATATGAAGGGGTCAGTATAGCGATAGTAGATCGCTTAGGGGGAGGCTTGCGTGTCGCTCGTTCAAGTTCGCTGCTCAAAGACTGACTAACGGAAGCCTGAAGGCTGGCAGTGTTGATGTGTAGAAAGACTGAGGCGGTTTGGATCTTGGCCATCTCATCAGTATCGATGGAACTGTCCTGTTTTTCGGGCTTCATTGGCTTTTCCGGGCTGCTCTGACCCGTGAGTTTAGAGAAAAAGGTACGCAATGACCCAGTCGTATCTCTGAGTCCCTCGCGAAAAGTGCTTGCATTTGGGTTCCATTCAACAACGCGCATCCATGAAGCATCAACTTGAGCAACCTCTCGTGTGACATTTGATATCTTCATCAAACCTTGAGGTGTTTTGGTTTCGATATCTCTCGGAATGCTTAGGTTGACACTTGGGGCAGTCTTCTTTGAAAGCCGTAATAGACTCCAGTCATCCAACCATAGTTCTATACCCTCAAGGCTTACGAAAGTAAGGCTGCTGGATAAAAATTGGCATAGCTGCATCAACGAAGGAATTGGTGAGGTGTCATTGCGATAGTCTAGAACGAATGTGGTCTCCGGGTTTGCGTCTTCGTCCAGCTGTAGCCGACGGGTAAAAAGAGCGTTCCCTTTCCAATAGAAAGCCATGGCTTCTTTCCCAGACGATACAAATGGCTCTTCGCAGTCATCAAATACACTGTAAAAGCCAACACCAAACGCTCCGATTTTGGTCTCGTCGGGGTTCCCATCGGCGATGCGCTTTAATCTTCCCCAATCCTTTTCACTGAAAGGGGTGCCGTTGTTAGATATCAGAAGGCGTTTAAGGGTATGATTGGGGATAGTATGCTTGATCAGGGTACTCTCATCAGCAGCTGAGGGTAGTGGGACCGTCGTAGATGGTAGCGTCTCAAACTTGATAGTCACTTTCGTGGCATTAGCATCCGCCGCATTTTGGATCATCTCCCGTAGAACCGTCCTATTTATTCTCCATTAGCGATCATTTTTCTAATTCTCAGGGGCTATGGGTATGAAAAAAAATACCATTTCCCGGAGTAACGTGCGAGGACTTTGGAGATTAAACCCCGTGTATCAACAGTGACCGCCTCTTCATCGTTCCCCGATCCCATAGTACGCGCCCTGAGGGCGTTGAAATCGATCTTTTGGGACATGCTTGCGGTCCAAAGGAATGGCTTGATGTACTCGCCCACAAAGACACCGTGGCAAACAAGTTAGCAGCGGAGGGATCAAGACATGAGTCTTTTAGTGATGTGTCGGCGGGCGGCGGTGCTCGATAACACTGTAACCTAGACAACAGAGCGGAGTCTATGAATAGGATATACCTGCTTTTGAAATCAAATCCAAAAGACTGGAAGTTATACTCAAGACCAAAACGAAGAAGCGATGTCCAAGGGGAATGTAGAGCCCACGAGAAGACGAGACCCCAAGGACAGACGGGGGGGGGCGTCGATGGCAACTGACCTTCTTGTCGGAGACAGCGCGGAGTTAAAGTTATCAGCCGCCTTATCAGATATGCGGCGCTTATGTCAGCGGGGCCTCTCGTGACATCGGGGGGTTACGGTGGTCGACAGGCACGCCCGATGCCGGTATCAATCAACTCCGCGGTTGTTTTACTTGTCGTTCGTTGTTTCTTAAATCCTGTCAGGGTTGCTTCTTTTTATCTTGGTCAAAGTGGCCCAAGGTCACGGCTCTGTCAGGCGGGGTTCAATAAAATCTTGAGGGGAACCTCTGCATCGCTCGTTAATCCGTGGCCTTTACGACATTTGGTTGCGTCTAGCGCTTCGTATGACTTCCGGAAGCTTGCCCGCCCTTTTGGAAGCAGTCCTGAGCAGATCGCCGACTGCCTCCTCTCCACTTGCTCACAGATGACACTATGGGGGTCGACCCTCTCTCCCCCATTGCGCCCGTACGCTTACGGGCGCTGCTACTGCCCATTGGCAAGATAAAACGCTCGAGGTTCCTGAGCTTCGCCGCAAGGCTTCAGGCCGAAAATGTTGTCCGCTTGGGTGATATTAGCCCTGATGCGCGACCCAATCGAAGTAGGCCAGCACCCAATTCCTTATGCTTTCGGTAGATGAAGCTACTCGCCAGCAGAACTGAGCCAGTAATTGACCATTTCTCATGATAGATATGTTTTCCCCGCTGGCCTTCCCTACCGGCATGATACTTTACGACCTGTCCTACTCCGTGCCCCCCACATCCCACCTAGAACTATTTCCTTTCGAGATATTTAGGGAGCCCCTGGTCATCATTGCGATAGCCGATGGTGCAGAACTTAGCGAAAGCGTTAAGAAGGACGAACCAGCATCTGCAGCCGAGCAACCCCCAACTCCGGGCGAGTTGGAGCAGCTTCGACAGGAACTGGAAACAGTCAAGGAGAGCAATCCGAGGGCGTTGGTACACCAGCTCCTGATCTTCGACTATGAAGGGGTTAATAAACTCACGAATGGCCCGGGGGATGTCCTCTGGATTCCACGACCTCAGGCGTCGAAGGCCACTACAATGAAGACGGTCTTGTGTGATATTACGTCTGTGCTACTGTCTGAGCTGGACGAGTTTGCAAAGGCCATCCAGAGTATACCATCTATAGAATCGCCGAGGGCGTCATCCTGGGGTCCTCATCGTGGCCCGGACATACGTCCGCGGCCGACCGACAGGCTGTTTCATCGGATGACCATGCCTGCACATCTCCCATCCAACCCCAACAGTGCACCAGAGTCTCCCATGAGATCCAACCAGGGCTCGCCTGCTCTAAGCGATCATGAGACTCCAACAACATTTGATGAGATCACTCGGTCAATACAAGTGGCCAACCGTTCCAACTCGGTGGGTAAAGTGCATTCGCTGCCGTCATCCAAGGAGCACAGTCGCGATCGGATGTCCGTGAGCGGCATGAGCGCAACTGACCGAACTAAAAACCGGATCAAAGGTCGTACGGGTGTTGTTGTTGGGACACTGTTCCTCCAAGCTGGCAGATGGCCGGACGCTCTGAAAGAGCTCGTTGAAGCCGCGTCTAATGCTAGAGCAAGCAGTGACTATGTATGGCATGCAAAGGCGCTGGAATCCATCCTTCTCTGTCTACTAATGGTCGCCTGGGCTGGGATGGACTTTCAGGTGCGCATTCAGCTAGCAATATCTGTGTTATCTCGCTAATTCGTGACAGATCCCTCCCGTTTGCTACCCTGTTGCCGACAAGTCCTCAAAGCTGTCATATAGCAGTAGCCTTGACACAAGCTTATCATCTCCTGGGAACCGTATAATCTCACTCCAAAATCTATCTAACCTATTACCCGATCTTGCGAACAATATATTGAATCTCTACAATCGTGCCGCGAACATAACAGACGAGCCTTTGCCTCAGCTTGTTTTCTCGGAAACAGTGATTCGTCTGGCAAGATTATTGGCGGCAGCTCGTATCCGCGATGGCGCCCTGGATGATGTTGCCCTCAAGCATGTTGTTATGAATGAGTCCCTCCCACTTTTGCACCGACCAGAACGACCTCGTGGTCTCACCATTCTTCGAAAATCTGACATTGCAAACTTCCTTTTCCGTGCATTGCCTCTTTCCTCTAGCGCAGATCTGCCTCCAACGGACGCCATACCTATCATCGTTGGTGTGGTATCCGTCCTGAATGTGCTTGATCTACCACGAAAGAAAGCCTTCATATTGAGGGAGCTTCTATCCATTATGGTTCCGACGCTTGTGCAGGCCCGCAAGATTGGTGCAGCAGAAGTTGGGGTTCATCCCGCCGCCGGTTTAGCATCTCTCAGCGACACAGCTTTTGATATCAATGCCCTTGATCTTGGTCCAGGAAATATGGAGGAGAGCATGCGCTCGCTCCTTGCCACTGTAGGCGATATCTATGGCGTCCAGCCGTCGTCTGTCTATGAATGGGAGAAGAGACGGTCCTCCACTGCGGGTGCGATTGAACCTTTCCCCGAATATGATTCGATTACCGCTATTGTTGAACGGGCTTTTCGACACACCGTTCTGGATGGGTACGGTGACCTCAATTTGAAAATCGATGTGTTAAAGGCGTGCATTAGCTCCTGTGAGGCACTCCCCGACTTTAGCGGCGTCCTTCGGTTCACAGTAGAACTTCTGCAAACCATCAGGGGGGATCTGATGCTAAACGAATCCAACTACCAACCACCCTATATACCACGAGACGAACAGATCCGACTTTTGAACAATATCAAAAGGACTGTTGGTGCAGCCCACAAACTAGGTGCCTCGGGGCTTGAGGCAGAGTATTGGGATGACTTTTTGGTCCGCGGCGTTCAATTGCTGTCTCTTCCAGATCCTAGGCGACCCGTTCGCCGCTCAAAACCCGAATTAGATGCTGTTACGGCAAGTCGCGAAAAGGCTACGAAGGATCCATTCTTATACAACCCCTTTTCCAAAGCAAGTAGCAAGGCTGCCGAGTCGTTGATGGTTGCCGGTGAATTTGCGGCATTCCAAGTCACACTTCAAAACCCTTATGAGTTTGACTTGGAGATCGAAAAACTCACGCTTGATAGTGATGGTGTATCTTTAGATGCAGTGGCAGAGTGGATTCTGATCCCCCCACTATGCGTGCAAGACATTACAGTCTATGGGAAGGCCAGCGCAGAAGGAGCACTCAAGGTCACAGGCTGCATCGTGAAGGCTCGACACTGCAGGGAGCGCAAATTTCCGATATTCAAAAGCTTCTGGAAGCCGGAAGCAGAATGGAAATTCAAAAGAACCGGGTTGGCGGCCAAGAAGCCTACCGTGGAACGTCCGCTTTCGTGGAGCTCGACGACATCCAGAAATGGGAAACAACTTCCCAAGAAAGGCCCTGACACGTCGGTCTGTGAGGTCAAAGTCATTGGCCAGCAGCCATCCCTGGTGATCGAGTCATTGTCGCTGTCCCAGTCCGCGATCATGGTGTTAGAGGGTGAATTAAGCTCCTTTAACATTACCCTACGAAACACCTCGACCTGCACTCTGGACTTTATCCTCTTTACCTTCCAGGACTCGACAACCAGGCAAGTCCAGTCGGCACTTAGCAACAAAGATCTGTTACCCGTCGAGATATATGAGTTGAAATTGAACTTAACAAAGCCAGCGCTGCGGTGGCGCCGAGAAGGCTTGAACCCCGAGGATCACTCCATACCAGCAGGCCAAAGCGCCACGTTCACCATTGATGTCATCGGAAAACCTGGTCTGCAGGACACCACAGTGCAAATTGATTACTCGTGTATTGGGGTTCCGCATGGGAACTTACCTGACGTGTTCTACACCCGTCAGTTGTTTGTCCCACTTACCGCAACGGTCAATGCCAGTATAGAGGTTGCTCGGTGTGATATCCTGCCCCTAAGCAGCGATTTCGCTTGGTGGAACAATCCCGAAAGCGTGGCAGGAAGCGAAACTGGCCAGATTAGTGCCGGTCCTCTACCTCCGTCCACGGAGGTTGATTCGTTCTCGCCAGTACTTTCTCACCTCGCCCGAGGTGGATACGGGCCTGACCACTGTATTCTTCTCCTTGACCTCCGCAATGCTTGGCCAAACGCTCTGTCTGTTTCCTTGCATGTCAGCGAGAACCCGGTGAAGTCAGACGTGGGACGGCCTTCCGAATTGCCTGAAGACGGAATTGGCCAATACGCCGTCCGCGGAGAGCTTCAACCAGGCCAGATGTCACGATTCGTTCTTGTTCTCCCTCGAGCCTATCTGGACAATCCCCACGCATCAATCCCGATCCTGAACACTGGAGTCAAGCGGCAGTTTGTAGTAAGTGCCAACAAACTCACATTTGAAGCCGAGGCCGCTACACGCGAGGCATTCTGGTACCGGGAAGAGATCCTTCAAAGAGTCTGCGGGTTCTGGAAGGAGAAGACGGGCGTCCGTGAAGGGATAGTCGACCTGCGGAACCTGCGTTTGAACGCGCGCATGGTAGAGGCCTTCCGGTTAGAAGATCTAGGCATGACCTTCTCCCTGGAGCCTTCCTTCCCAGACGACGCCAAGAGCATAGTACAAACAGGACGCTCCAAGTACAATGTCCAAACCGACGACATGCTCAACCTCACCGTCACCGTCGTCAATCGCTCCTCGAGGTCCATCCACCCTCTTCTACGCCTCCAGCCGAGCCTTCGTCACCAACCCAGCAACATCGCCCTGGATCTTTCACGACGCCTCGCCTGGACCGGAATGCTGCAACAAGTGCTCCCCGTCCTGCAGAGTGGCGAAAGCACAACCGCCACCGTCGGCATCACCGTCCTCTGTCGGGGCGAGTACGAATTCGGCGCAACCGTCGAGGAACTATGTCTACTGAGGCCGGCTCCCAACTCGGAAGGCGAGTCTTCTCACCCACCACCCTCAGGCCAGGCTGCTTTCCACGACGATGAAGGCATGATCACAGATACATTTGGAGCGGATGTGGCCAAGAAGAGACGAATCTGGCACGCAAAAGAGACTTGCGTTTTGCATGCTCTTGACTGAAACTCCTACACATATTGATTAGGGGGCCGAGGGAACAGGGGCGGTGGTCTCGTCGTCATTTCAGCAAGCTGCCTAGGCGTCTGTCTATTTTCATCTCCATCATCTTAATCACGACGTAAATGCAGGCATTATCATCATCATAAGCTTTTGTATATGTGCTTTTCTTTCCTCTTCAATTCCTAAATGAGACATGTTACGACAATGAATCATGTATCATGTATCATGTATCATGCAGTGCGCATTCCCTTCTATGGAAGGAATGAAAAGAGTCGAATCTCTTCTATTCTCTTCCCCTTCTCTCATTTTTTCCCCTGCGATTCAATTTCTTGGCCTAGCCACCCGAGGTGTGTACAGGGCAGCGGGAGCTATGATTAAGATGTACTTTGATTGTAAGGATTCTAGTTGGTACAGGGGTGAAGGTTGACGTGATGTCATTCGCTGCTAAAGTCTCATTTGAGAGAGTCAGGCATGGTTAACTTCCAGGATATATGATAGAAGGCTACAGATACAGAAAGAACGGAAAGATGTTAATGCCCGATGGCCCTCTGAAGCCGTCCAGCGGCGGACGAGGGGTTGGGCTCAGGCCAGCCGCTCACAGCATCATCAACTTCCTCGAGAAAGCTCGTGCTGTTATGGATGGAGGTGCCACCCAAGACCACTCGCACACCGGGCGAGCTAGCGTTCACTTGGGCGACCATTTTCGCTTCTTCGTACGTAGCTCCGCCTACCATGAAAATGATGATATCTTGGGGCTTGTCTCGCGTATGGCCGCCACCTTCGAGGAACGGGTATTGCAGCTCCCTCAAGCGGCCTTTGATTAGATTTTGCACAGTGGCTTCCAAACGGGGCGAGTGCTGGGTGTATACGTTTTCAACGCCTTTTAGGCCCTTGAAGCGGTCCCGCGCACCGGAGAAAAGAGAAGTGGATTCGAAGAGGTCGGAAAAGCCGCCAGCTACAGGCGGTGCTTGCAAGGAGTGGTGATAGGCAAGTAATTTGGGGATGATATTTACCTTGTATGAAGGAACATTGCCTGCGGTGACCATAAGATCGAGCAAGATCGGGAGAGCATTGTTTGGTTGTTTCTCGTAGCGGATGGCATACAACGCCACTAGTCGCAGCTTGTTCTCCGCGGGTACATTGGATAGTTGAACTATGCGTTGTAAGTTCTGCGGGGAGACAATTAGCAGCCTGTTCGAAGCTAGCCCACGCCCAGCTGGAGCACTCATACCTTGAGGTCATTGGCGTGATTGTCATTACAAGCCAAGCTTTGCTCCAACTCACTGACATCAAGCAGGTCTTCCTCACCCACCCGCCGGCTTAGCTCTCCTACCAGAGTGACGTGTTTACTGACGTTGCCGGACAATTTGCGGAACTCGGGATAGTCCTCCACGAAGCGCTTCATATCCGAGATGGATTCGATGTTCATTGTGTTCTGCGTTTTGACTTGATACTGTTCGACGTACTCCTTGATGTTCTGGCCCAAATCTCCAAAGTTTTGGTACATGTTCTTCTTGAAGAACGGATCCTGATCCTGGGAAAGGACAATCTCTCTCAGCTCCGGTCGGATCTCCGGGACATCCCGGAGGTCCACGCGCCCGTTGTGGATGCCCATCAACTCATGTACCATCGCTTGATATGTCCATTGCGTCAGCAACGGAGTGATAGGGTCGTCTCGGCGGTCCAGAATCAGCAGGATCGGTGGCGTATCCGTCTTGCGGAAATTGAAGAGCTGCTCCTCCTGCGTTAACTGATAGCGGACCTCCGTGGCCAGCTTCTTAGCCAACAAACTGTTCTTCTCGTAGCGTATCAGAGGGTTCTTCTTCAGCGCCAACAGCATAGCGATAACCCCCTCTGTTGCTCTTTGTAAAGCATCCGCATTCCACAGGTCCGGCGACTGGCTCCATAAGCGCTGCTGGGGGAACCCCAGGTTCATGGAACATAGATCCGGATTGATGACGAGGAAGTCAGCAAAGTGCTCCTGGACCACGCGAACCACCTCGTGTGAATCTGCTTCGGCGAGTCGTTCGAGGGAGGATTTGCGAATGATGTTAGTAAGGTAGATATAGTATTCGCCGTACTTGGGCTCGCGGAGTTCGTCGATCAGGAATTGGATGGAAGTGGGGGAGGGTCGCACAAAGCAGAGGCAGCGGAGATGTCGCATGCGTTCACGAGCGGCATTGTCGAGTCGGTCAATGAGGTAGACTTCATGGTTCAACAGCGCGGACTGAGTGATGGCGGTTGACACAATGGGTACCTGGACGAGGGGGATTAGCGCACCGTTGCCACTGGCACCAACGAGAGAAGCGCATGTCCCACTGTCTCACTGTCGAGAAGTAAAATCTTCATCTTGGCCGAGGAGGAGGAGGAGGCGGAGGAGCCCGTGGTGGTGGAGGGGTCCCCCGCGGTGACCATCTTGGAGATGTACCCCGACACCGCGGCGACGACGTCCATGATGGTTGAGGGGAAAAGAGGTGGGAAATTAGCAATAAGAGGAGGGAGATCGGAATTCAAGATGGACAATGAGGGAGGAGTGACGACATAAGAACCCGCTGGGGATGAGTTTGGGTTGAGCGTTGAGAGTTAGTTAAGATAAAGGAGAGAGCTCCAGCTGGCGGGCGAGAGAATCCATCCATGTGATGCTGCCACCCGCCCGCCTTTTTTTTCTCCAGGTTCCCTTGCGCGCTTTCCTCCTCCCCTTCTATCTTGGTACTCCTTCACCTTTCTCTCTCCCCTTCGTCAAGATCTCGCTCGGTTGACCCAATGTCGTGTCGACCCCATTAATTCCTGGGTCTCTTCGTTTGTTCTTTTCTTTTTCTTGGCTGCGATTCTGGCCATCATGTTACCATACATCAATCTTCGTACGTTTTGGTTCCGCCTGGCACCCTCTCAGCACTTAGGTTGGAAACCATACTAATACCATCTTTTGTCCAGTCTTCGAATACCCGGCAAAAGCTACAGGAGCTTCGATCGATGAGTGTAGGCCTTCCTCGTCCTACTCTGTCCCTCCCCTGTCCAAGTCCTCATCGCTGATGGTTTTATACTTTCGGGAACAGTGAAGCTCATTGCGTCATTCCTCCTGTCGTATCCTCTCGCCGGGCTGCTCAAGAGAATCCCGGATGCTCAACCCTGGAAGAAAAATGCCTTCATCATCGCCGTCTCCTTGTTCTATGTCGTTGGCGTCTTCGACCTGTGGGATGGCCTCCGCACCCTGTTCTATAGCGCCGCCGGTACTTATCTGATCGCCTACTACATCGATGGCTCCTTGATGCCCTGGATCGGCTTCATCTTCTTGATGGGGCACATGTCCATCAGTCACATCTACCGCCAGATTGTCAACGACCCTCAGACGATAGACATAACCGGTGCCCAAATGGTGCTCGTCATGAAACTCTCGTCATTCTGTTGGAACGTCCATGATGGTCGGCTGCCTCAGGGACAGCTCTCAGACCCCCAGAAGTATGCCGCGATCACTCAGTTCCCAAGCATCTTGGACTACACGGGCTACGTGCTATTCTTCCCAGCGCTTTTCGGCGGACCGTCTTTCGAATATGTCGACTATCGTCGCTGGCTCGATACCACTCTCTTCGAAATTCCCCCGGGAACTGACCCTTCGAAGGTGCCTCCGACCCGGAAGAAGCGCAAGATTCCCCGGAGCGGAACTCCTGCCACCAAGAAAGCCCTCATTGGCCTGGGCTGGATCTTCGCATTCCTGCAACTGGGATCCTACTACAATCAGGAGGCGATCCTGAGTGGCAGATACATGGAATACTCCTTCCCCCGACGGGTCTGGATCATGCACATGGTCGGACTAACCGCACGGCTCAAGTACTACGGTGTGTGGTCTTTGACGGAAGGTGCCTGCATCTTGTCCGGCATGGGATATAACGGATTTGACCCTAAGTCCGGCAAGGTCTTCTGGAACCGCTTGGAGAATATCGACCCATGGAAGCTTGAGACCGCGCAAAACTCGCATGGGTATCTGGGCAGCTGGAACAAGAACACCAACCATTGGCTGCGGAACTATGTCTATTTGCGTGTCACTCCCAGGGGAAAGAAGCCAGGCTTCCGTGCCAGCATGGCCACGTTTGCGACCAGCGCTTTCTGGCATGGTTTCTACCCAGGGTACTACCTAACCTTCATTCTCGGATCTTTCATCCAGACGGGGGCCAAGAGTATGTCATCATGTCCGAACTACCTCTTTATTGCTTCTTCTACTGACATGCGTAGACTTCCGTCGGTATGTGCGACCCTTCTTTCTCACTCCGGACGGTAGCAAGCCGACTCCCTACAAGCGTTATTATGACATTATGAGCTGGTTCACTACCCAGGTCACAATGTCCTTCACCGTAATGCCCTTCATTTTTCTGTCGTTCAGTACCTCCATTGGCGTCTGGCGGAGCGTCTACTTCTATGGGATTGTTGGCAACATCCTCAGTCTTGCGTTCTTTGCTAGTCCCGCCAAGGGTATCCTCATCCAGAAACTCAAGTCGCGCAACCGACCCCACGTCACCCGCTCGACCAGCTCCGACGCCCTGCAGCAGCCGACCCTGGGTCTCCCGAGTGATGCTGTACAAGCCTTCGATGAGGCCGTGCAGGAGATTCGGGGTGAGATTGAATCCAGGCGCAGACGTGGTAGTGCTGTGACCATGCCCACAGGGGAGGAACTTAAGGCGGTCGTGGAAAACAAGATCGGTCGCAAGCTCTCATGATCGTCTCGATCGAGGGACTTATCAGATAACCCCTATGGGGTCTCAGGACGTGTGCTGTTAGAGTTCATTTTGCAATTCAAGCCGAGCTTGGAGGCAATGGACTTGATGCTTATGAATGAGGATGATTGACGGGGTAGATGATAGAGTATGTATTTTAGACTTTGGTGCGTTGCCAAAAGCAGCTAGCTGCACGTTCCCGTTTGAGCATGCATTTTTGGGAAGCCTGTTTTGGGTAACACCCTTTCGGCTGTGGTTTTTTGTGTCCAGTCTTTGGCGCCTGTCCTTCCTTTATTATGATTAGGTTCTTGGGTGTGGTGTCTATATTCTCATTCGATGCGTACCATCGTAATAGTGAACATCATATCAATATCAAGAGCTGGTATAGCATACATGCTCTTTCTATTCTCGGCAATATCTTATGCATTATTTTTGATAGACACACACTCGCACAAGCCTGAATAATCTTACTAGTAGAGATACGATGATCCAGGATGGAAATCTCCCGTCAGTGCCCAATGTATACAAAGGTATGGAGCTAGTCCAAATAGATTACATGCTTACCAATTCATGCATGACAGTTCATCCTGGGTACTAGGGAGAGCATCAAAGAGTAAGGTATATAGTCTAACTCTAGCTAAAGTGCGCCGCGCCAAGCGGGGCAACAACTTGTATATATACTGTGATTTTCTAGTCACGGTGTCATAAGTAAACATGTATCCATAAGTACATGGGGATAGAAGGGAAGAGACAAGAAAAATGTGAAGGGAAAAAATAAGAAAAAAGGAAAAAGGCATATATCCATCAAGTGTCGTGAACCCCGATTAGTTAGTCCGTCGCCTCACGCTCCCAGATTGAACCACCCCGTAGTCCACCAAACCATGGTCCAAGGGCGGGCTGACACAGAGTCCAAAACACCATGTGGAATATAAAGCACAAAAGAAAAGAACATTAGAAACATTACGTCGTCCAGTCGTGTCGAGTGTTTTGAGAAAGTGAAGCAACCAAGCAGCCGCGGGGAATAGAGATGCGGCAAGATCAAGCGCGCAGGGTATGGGGGAAGGTAGCATGCGAAGGGAAGGGGGTATAAATGGAGGAATCGACTCCAAACGGTGAAAGCAAAGATCGATCCAATCGAGAACAAGGGCAGGCGTAGCCGCCGAGAGGGCGTAAAGGTGTAAGCAGTAATACAAGCATTAATAAAGGAAGTCATGGACGGATGAGCATAGCTAGCCGATGGACATGCCGGCTCCGTAGAGTCAGATGCACCCGGCTAGAAGCCCACTGTTGTGCCCACGACAGCCAAGGTGACCTGCCAAGGTATTAGCGTCGAGCACCCAGCAATAACGGGGCCGTGGATACATACGACAATGGTGATAATCACCAGCCCCAGAGGGTTCATCCAACGGTTGAGTTTTCTCCACCACCGGGCGTTTTCGTATCGTCTTCTTTCCAGATCAAACAGTCGCATTCGAAGCGTCATTTCAAGCTGGGACTCCACGTCCGCCTCCGGAATTGTGTCCGGTTTCTTCGGGAGAGGGAGGAATGATGCGATTAACCAGGCTAAAGGCAATGGTAAGTAACATTCCAGAATGGGAGCACAAGGGAGACATACCCAGTGGAAAAACAAAGCCAACACAGAACGACCATACTTGGATATTTCTTCGACCAAGCAGAGGTTCCGTCCGAGAATCCAAGGATGGCGCGCCCCAAGTACCTTTCCGGGGATTGACAGCGCGTCGGTCGGGGAAAAGATGTGGAGACCAGCTGTGCCGAAGTCGATGACGGGATGCTTCCCGGCTCTGTGGTTCGGGTTCCCTTACCCAGTGACTCCGCGGGTCGCGCGGGTCAGGCTTCCACCGCACCTCTCGCATTTCGCTGGTGAACGTCCTCGCCCGGCTGGCGGCTGTCGGCAAACGGTGGAGAGCATTCGTGTGGGAGGTAGAGGCGCGCGCAGACGGTGGACGACTCGCTTCTCCTACAGACAAGACAGAATCCGCAGTTTGTTCGTCGGAACGATAATACATCTTAGCCCAGTTCGGCAGGATGTGAAAGGAAAAGCTTCCACTGGTGGGGGGTCGCATGTTGCTCCGCATGCTGCTCCGTCTCGACTCCGATGAAACGCTGCAGGGAACCGCCGGGTTCGAGGGACGCGCCGGCAAGCTAGAGATGTTGTCCATGTGCTCGTCGCCGTCCGAATCATTCACCAACCACATCGAAGACGATGTTGGCCTCTGGCGGACTAGCGCCGCAGAAGGCCGTTTGGGCTCCCCCTGGCTATTGTCGAAAGAATCAGCGGCGGGGGAAATGCTTCTAGAATCACATTCGGCCGACCACATGGAAGGGACCGTTGACAGGTGAGATTTGAAGCGCTCTGAAGAATAATCCCCCGTGGGCTCCTGTGGATTATGATCGGGTGCATCTTCCGAGGTTGACACGTCAACCCTAGAGCTCGACGATGACGGCGCTTGGATGGTCGGGTATTGGATGAACACCCCGCTATCGACGATGGCTTGGATGTCCGAGGGTGGTCCGCTACGTGATGATGAGGTGACTGAGCGTGAGTGGCTCCGCTCACGCGCCTGGATCGAGTTTGATCGCAGCGAAGGTGCCTGGTAGGGAGGGTTGGAGCGGACAGACTGCGAGCGTGAGCGCGAGCTGGATTGTTCCGAAGACGAGCCATGCGTCCATTGAGCGGCTCCGATATACCGGATCACCGTCCCCAACGAGTTTAACGAGGACAAGGAATTTGAACGAGTGACGGAACCCGGGTTCGAAGATGCACCCAGAGGAACGAAGTTCAGACTCGAGCTGTCGAGCGCGACGAAATTGGGGCTGGATGGCGGCCCAATGGGGACCACATTGGGGCTGGAGTTGCTTGAAGCAACGGTCTCCGGACCCGATGGGTTACGTGATGGGGTCTGCGACACGATCGTCTTGATTGTCGGGGCGGCCCTAGGCAGGGTATTGGGCTCCTCATCCGAGTACGCGGCGACGGAACCCTCATCCGATTTCTGGTCGGTCGGTTTGTGGTCGTGAGGCTCAGGGTCGGGAAATGAAGACTTGCTTGAAGACGGATCGTCCTCCCAGACCTGCGACGGAGTGTTGGCGGCATCGAACGTGGAGGACAGGTCCCAGGGATCGCTCAGCGACTGGTCAATTAGACTACTATCGGCGATGTGACTGATGTCCGTGGACGTGTTCCCAAGATAGTGGTCCGGCGCTTCATCGACATGGAAGCGGGCGTCTGGGATGAAATCCTGGCCTTTTCCAGGTCGCGGCAGGAGGATCTGCTCTGGCTTTGTCGGGTAGGGCGTGGCCGAGTATACGTCGGGTTCTTCCTGATCGTTGTACCTGTCGCTGACGGCTCGCAAGGATGCGGGCGGGGAGTTCTCATTCGTATGGGAGGGGCTGCGCTCGTGGAGAGCTCTCCGTTTGGGAGAGTTGGTTGTAGGGACAGCAGAGCGCATGGTGGGATGATTAGTTCATTATCAGTAGACCCCAGTATTAAGCTTGTAGGGAAAAAACAACACGAAAAACAGATAAACACGATAACACCAAGAGGATCGCACCCACGCGGATGAACACGAGGGAGGGGGGATCTAGAAGAACGCAAGCTAAAAGCGATGAAAGATCATCGACGGCTGCTTAATTGGGAAAGAGAGCGACAACCGGGACGGGGCCCTCAAGCGCAGTGAGTGGGGGCAGAGGGGATGTTTGTTGTGGTGGTGGTGGTGGTGATGGTTGTCTATAGAATTTTATGATGCAATAAAGAATGCCTCGACACAGCACGACGGGAAGAGAGCGGATAACGCTGTCCAACGGACATGAGCAGCCAAAAGAGAGTGGATCCGACAGAAAATGCCAGTAGTTGGATTAGCGAGTCATGTCGACCGGCGGGAACAGGAACCAGAGAACGAGAGGAAAAGAGCGTCTAACCCGAGACCAGAAAAGCACGGCAAAAACCCAGCCGTTTCCAAAAGAGCGACGAAGGACACAACGAGTGGAAGCAAAGGGATCACCATCTGAAACGACGACCTGGCCGTAGGTAATATTTAAAGGCCCCCGGACTTGACTTCGGCCCTCCAGCGGCGGTGAATGAGCGCCTGAGCCCCCCCCCCCCCCGGCAGGGAATCGAGATCCAGGGGTCTGCAGGCTGCATGCTCTAGAGCACCATTTGAAACCGCACGATTGGCGGATAAGGAATGGTCCTGCAGCTCCGTCGCTTGTCCACCTGCTTTGGGGACGACGCCCGCCTCCCAATTCGCCTGGCAAGTAACGGGGATCGCGGGATGGCCGCCAGGAGGGTCTGGAACTAGCAGCTCCTCTCCGGCTCCAGACGCTTCCTCGTCATCCTCCAAGACATACCGCGGATCGCCAATCAGCTCTAATAATAAGCCTCTTCATAACAATGCTTCCCGGGAATACGAAGTTGTGCTCGAAGCCTCGCCATGGTTTGATTCGCCGCGGGTTGGTCTAATAATATCCCTAGGCACATCCCAAACGAACTCAGACCATCAGTTCGACGATTAGGGGGACCGGGGCAGGCACTTCATATCCCCAGCCCACTGGGAAGTTGGAATCCATCCCCTGACCTTTAAAAACGCAGGAACGAGGAAAACGAGCACGTCGGTTGGTTGAGGAATAATTCCCACGGCTGAAATGCAAGGTCTCACAGCCGTACATAATAGATGCAGCGCATGTGCTGCAGGCACGACCTACTAGTAATCCACCCAGCTGTACGCTTTAGGACCTCGTCACATTTGGGGGGCCTTGGCTCTCCCAGCGGTCCCACGAGGCATCCGTTCCGATTGTGATCAATCCAAACGGTGGAGTGCGAGGCCTCGAGGCCCCGAGGCCCGAGGGAGCCTGGGAGGACGACAGGAACGGGCGATCGAGATCCACTGAGATGATGTGGTGGAGGGGTTGAGGTAGGCGGGCGATTCCAGAAAGTCTCATTGGCAGTGGCCAGGGGAAATTCGGACTTTTTGGCATTGGCACAGCCCAATAATAAGGGGCAATTGAAAGGAAACTTGAAAGGCAGAGAGCTAAGGATCATCCTAAGCTTGCCAACTCATCCCAAGTGGAGACTGTCAGGCCGGTTAGAACTAGCGAGGTGAGCTACCAGAGTTGCTTAATTAACCACTTTGCCCAAGGGTAACGATGGTGGGGGTGGTCGATGACGATTTTAGTCACGCTGATAGCGATGGAAAATTCCAAAGTACTAATAGAAACCCTGCGCCCATGGTTCATGGATGGGGAAAGATGGAGGTTCATATCCGAGGTCTCCGATCCGCCCACTGTACCCAAAGATCGAGCTCTGGTGGAGGAAAAGAGCGTCTCGATCCAAGGTCTGCCATGCCGAAATTGCCCACTTGCCGCCCGTGACCCCCTTAATTCATGCCTCATTCCCAAGGCATTTTATTCCAGCCGAAGGAGAATGTTACGGAGTCCGGGAATAATACATCCCCATCAACTCGAGACAATCCCCTCAAATCTCCTTCGCATACCGGGACTCCGTACGAGTCGTAATATCCCCATAGCACGGGAGATCGATCGATTTCTCGATCCGTGGTCCATGCCCTCGATGCATCGCTCTCCTATTAGAGTCATTCCAAGTTGGGCTTCACCGTCTACTGTTAGCGAAGTTTGTCTACCCAGACCCCAATTGTTGGTCGTGGATCCATCGAACCTGTAGCACACGAGCATCATCAGGGCTCCGGGTGTTGAATTCACGGCATTAAGACCACCACTATCTATCCCATGAACCTGGAATCCGCTGTGATGCATTTGTTGGTGGCGTGAATGAAGGACCGGACAATCTGCCACAAGAAACTGGGCACCTAAGTAGGTACGTGTCGGACGATGAAAGGTTCTAGAGCGCTAACCAGCCCTTCAGCCGCAATATGGAACACTCAAGGATAAGACCATTTCCATGGGGTTCTTCTCCTTTTTCCTTTAACCAGGGACGGAAGACTATAGTTAGGAGCCGCTGTCTGGGTGAATCATTATTAGCACGGGAAAAGGAGGCCGTAATATTCCCCCTTCCTCTTCCCGGGCCGAGGGCGGCTGAGCCAGGATTTGCGTCTTCATAGTTCATACATAGTACAGAAAACCTACGTACCAAGTAGGTAGTTTGAGTCAGAAACCAATTTACCATGATCAATTATCCGCCGGCGGGGCCGCATCGATATTACTCAACTAGACCGACCCCCTTTCAGCGGAATTCGATCCCGTGGAACAGGTGTTCGCGTGTAGATGGACCACAGTATTAAAGGTCCCGGGAAAAGGGTCCAGGACTCCATACAAGAATCGAGAAGCTGCATCGAAATCGGATCTTGGCGATGACGACGGGATCTCCCGGCGCAATGCTGGGTGTGAACTGTGGATGACGAGTCGGAGTTGGACAAATTGCGGAGCGGAGCGGAGCAACCTCTCTACACGGCAAATATGGGAAATTTGAAGGCCCTACGGAGTATGGAGTATATACACTACTACTATATACAATCTAGTAGTACTACTCTATTCTAGAGGCCCAGAACGGTTCCGTAAGGTCGGGTACTAGGTGCCGAGCCCTTTGCCGCACGAATATTTACAAGACAAACCCCTACTCCTATCCTACCTATCATTGGTTGTGTTATTCCACGGTCTTTGGATCAGACCTTGAGTCACCTTCGGTTCTTTCCCGGACTTGCATTCTCGGTCCAGTTGGAAATGTTCAGTCAAATTAGCACCGGAGACCGAGCCAGAAGTAATAGCGACTAAGGTTCAGTCACCTTCTTCACACTGTGTTTCATGGTTTACCAACACTCTAACACTACTGTTGTGGTTTCACCTACGTAAAGGCGGGATCTCTAAGCTCGCATGGAAGAGTGACGTGGAATGTGACATAAGATAAACCGTCTCTCTAGCATTCACATGCTGGAATATCCTCAGCTGACATGTTGAGGCGGCGAGCTAATCCAGGCGGATACTAGGAGAAATATATTCTAGACCTGGTTACGCCTGGGCACGGAAGTCAAACCTACTCGACACTCGCATTCATCCTAAAGGAACTACAGACAGCTCCAGAGTCGTCACAGCAATCCTTTGGAAAACAAACATTCAAACCGATGTTGTCGCATTGCTCAGTCTCGCCGTCGATCTGGACGGTAGGTCCGCTAATCCCCATTGGGCGATGCCGATCCGCCGGTATGACTTCAGACATCCGATAAATAAATCTTGACGGATAACCCGTCACTCCCAGCTCCTCAATCCGTCAATCCACAAATCCACGCCAGTCAATGGCGCAATATCCTCTTCGCACGGCATAATGATTATATGGCCAATATGCAATCCATATTACGTTTTCGATTGAGCCCGATTCGGTCGGCTGTCACACAAGCCCGATGGAGGTGCGCACCTCGTCCGATCCTGGCACCGACTGTTTCCTCTCGATACGCAACAACCAACGCAGCTGCAACAGCGATCTCTAAGAAGCTCGACTTGCGGGCCCTGGATAAAAAATGGCAGGAGAGATGGCACACGGATGCCTTGAAATCCCCTATCAAGGCGGAGGCGGACGCAAAACCCAAGTCATACATCCTGTCGATGTTCCCTTACCCGTCGGGGACTTTACATATGGGGCATCTCCGCGTGTATACAATCTCCGATGTACTGGCTAGGGTTTACCGGATGCGTGGGCATGAAGTTCTTCATCCAATGGGCTGGGATGCGTTTGGCTTGCCAGCGGAAAACGCGGCAATTGAACGCGGGATAGACCCAGCGGAATGGACGCAGAGTAACATATCGAAGATGAAGGAGCAGCTGCGGAGTATTTCGACATCTTTTGATTGGGATCGGGTATGTGTGGTTGTGCAGGCTACATGGGGGTTTGCCTTTCTGACAATTGGGTTGATGAACGTAGGAACTTGCGACGTGCGCACCGGAATTTTACGAACACACCCAACGGATATTCCTTATGCTCTACGAGAAGGGTCTTGCATACCAGGCTGAAGCGGTAGTCAACTATGACCCCGTGGATAAAACGGTGCTGGCTAATGAGCAGGTGGGTATTATGGCGTGGACTACATACGGGATTTACAAGGCTCACTCTTGATCCAGGTCGATGCCAATGGCTTCTCTTGGCGTTCGGGAGCTAAGGTTGAGAAGTTGAAGCTGAAGCAATGGTTTTTCCGTATCACTGCCTTCAAGGAGATGCTTCTGAAAGATCTTGATTCCTTGGCGGGCGGCTGGCCGGAGCGGGTGCTTTCCATGCAACGAAATTGGCTTGGGAAATCGCAGGGTGCAAAGATCAAATTTCCTGTTACTGTTGGGAGCAATACTGGGGCAGACATCGATATAGATGTTTTCACCACCCGGCCAGATACCCTTTACGGGGTCGAGTATCTCGCCCTTTCTCTCAACCATCCAATTGTGCTAGAGGCCGCAGAGAAGGACCCGGAGCTGCGCAAGTTTCTGGACACTGCCGTGTCCCTTCCGCCCGATTCAAAAGCTGGCTATAGACTGATTAGCGTCACTGCTTCCCACCCTCTGCACGTTATTGACAAAGAGAGCCCCCATGTTGCTCGTCAACTACCCGTATTTGCAGCGCCGTACGTCCTTAGCGACTACGGCGAGGGGGCAGTGATAGGAGTGCCAGGACACGACGCCAGAGACCTCGCGTTTTTCAGAGACAACGTGAACCCCGATTCCATTACCGTCGTCGTTGAACCTCAAACGGAGGATGGGCCCGGCGCTAGCATCATTTCCTCTGCTGATGCGAAGGCTTTCACGCAGGAGGGTTATTTGAACTCACTGTGCTGGAAGTACGAGGGTCTCCATTCTCGCGAGGCTAAGAAGCAGATCGTCACCGATCTGAAGCAGGTTGGACGCGGCGACTTCATCGAGCAATGGAGACTCAGAGACTGGTTAATCAGCAGACAGCGCTACTGGGGTGCTCCCATCCCAATCATTCACTGCGGTGATTGCGGCCCTGTACCTGTTCCAGCAGACCAGCTCCCGGTCAAGCTGCCCAAAATCGAAGGCGACTGGCTGAAAGGCAAGCGAGGAAACCCTCTCGAGTCATCGCATGAGTGGGTGAACACGAAATGTCCTAGTTGTGGAGGCCATGCTAAGCGGGATACGGACACCATGGACACATTTGTCGACTCTTCGTGGTATTATCTCCGATTCTTGGACCCGGCAAACAAGGAACAGCCGTTTTCGCCCGCGGCAGTGCGACCGGTCGATGTCTACATCGGCGGCGTCGAACACGCGATCTTGCACCTGCTTTACGCTCGATTCATCTACAAATCCCTCTCCCAGTCGGAATTGTTTCCAGAAATAGCTCGAACCAGTGACGTTGCGACGCCGTTTGAACCATTCAAGACTCTCCTCTCCCAGGGTATGGTCCACGGCAAGACGTACTCGGAGCCGTCCACAGGTCGATTCCTGCTCCCTTCCGAAGTGGATCTTTCCAGGCCCGATAAGCCGCTTATCAAGGGAACCCAGATAACACCGACCCTGTCCTTTGAGAAGATGTCCAAGAGCAAGCACAACGGTGTCGACCCGACTGGATGCGCATTGAAGTACGGCGCCGATACCACCCGTGCCCATGTTCTCTTCTCTGCCCCAGTCAGCGAGGTCCTGGAATGGGACGAGACGAAAATCGTGGGCATTGAGCGTTGGTTTGGTCGCCTCTGGAAGCTGGTGATCGATGCGCAGCAAAGTCTGGCGTCGTCCTCGTTTACCCTGAAGCGGGAAGATCTAGGTGCTTCCTCCGGACATGCGACCGGTCTTCCCAGCTCTTTACAAGCCCTGAGCGACAGCGATGCGAACACCGTGCTTTCCACCCACCGAACCATATGCTCCGTCACCAACTGCATTGAGAAGAACCCGTACGGGCTGAACACCGTCATCTCCGACCTGACAAAATTGACGAATTCCTTGTGGTCATCGGCACCCAGCTCACCGCAGGTTCTCTATTTATCCATCTCCTCTCTGCTCCGGCTTCTTTCTCCCATTGCTCCCGCGCTGGCATCTGAATGTTGGGAGATCCTCAATGATCCCGTGACTGCGGGGAACTCCGCCGGCGCATCCACCAGTGTCCCGGCCATCTTTGACTGTCCCTGGCCATCCCCTCTTTTGAGTTCCGAGGACGTCGACATTCTGTCTGCGCGTGGCGGTCAAACCGTTGCTGTCCAAATCAATGGCAAATTGCGGTTTACGACCACGATCCCCCGGCGGCTTTCCCCCACGACACCAGCCGAATCCAACGGCACCGCCACCGATGAACAAGACTGGATCATCAGTCGGATACTGGAGACCGACGAAGGACAGTTGTGGCTGCGGAAAAAGAACGATTGGGAGAAACGGAGGCGGGTGATTGTCGTCAAGGGCGGCAAGTTGGTCAATATCGTTTTCTAGCGCGGTCATCCAGCGTCTGGAATCCTGTTGTAAATTATAAACCGCGAAAGCCTGTAGCTATAAACTTTTTCTGCATGTATACTAGACAAAGCCAAATCCCCTCCTTGAAGCGGCAGTTCCAACACGCAGTCGGTTCTGGCGATACCTTTGGGGAGAAATTGGCCAACCGGGCCTGTGAATTTGGGGGAGGCCGTTCGCCCGCCGACGATGGCGCATTTCCTGATCAGTTGAGTTCCGTGAATCCGGATGCCGTGGCTACCCTGCGGGCAAAAAAGTTGGGGCCAACGAAATCATCGCGTGATGTGGCCGGAAGGGCGACGCGCCGCTCGGATGAGGAGGTGGAGACGCTTCCCCTCATGGGTGCCCACGGTGATGTAGTGTTGACAACGTTGACAGGGAGCGGGTCTCCATTTTTGAGACGATGTTCGCAACCCCGAGAAATCTGGCTCGGCTGAAACACGGGGGTAGCTCGGTGCGTGGAGGGCAGTAAACTGAGGCATTTCATGCGACAATGGTCAAGCTCGAGCTGGGTTTATCTGCGGAGAGTTTTGGACAGGATTCGGGGCTGATTGCGGAGGAATCCGCAACCCTTCCGTCTCACTCGGACTCCCCTGCGGCAGATAAGATGGATCGCAGTGACAGGCCTAGAATGCGAGGGATCACGCTATCAACGGCACTCGAGACTCCGAGTCTGGTGGTTGAGTAGCATTCGATTCATCTGGGATGGCCAACTGCTATTAGGTGTCCGATTGGGGATGAGGAGTTTCCCCTCATCGAGTCCTTCCGCTAGTCTAGATCGGGAATAGTGGGTATGCCGGCGCATCCCCTCGTGAGGGGAAGGCTGAACTATCCGGATTGGGGATAATGCGGGGCAGACGACGCCTTGAAACCGAAGGAAGCAGTAATTCTGTCCGCAGATGGCTGGATTGAGCTAAAAGATCCTTGTCTCTGGCATCGATAGGCCATAGGGCGATATCCTACTAGTGGAACAGGGGCAAACAGGCAGGTCCAATCTCCCCCAAGTCCCCTGCCGATGGCAGGGCAGGTTTACCCGTGGTTTCCGTCTCGATCGTTCTACGTACTCCGACATAGCTCCGGGAGCCAGTCCTGTTCGGCCCTGGCTCGGGTTCCCCTCACCGGCCATCCAGCTTCCAGGCTGGCATCATGTCAGCCTCTCGCCTTTCTAGAACCCCGCATGGACCTGGGACCCCCTGCACGAGGGAGATGAGCGCCTCTGATCAAGGTTGGGGCTATTGGTAACTGATAATGGTAACTGGTAACTGAGATAACCCCGTATTGCCCATCAAATGTGTCAACTGCCCTAGGTGGGTTACAAGCTTCGACGATGTCAATCCATACGAACCCAGAAAGACAATACGGAATAATAGGCCTAAGTTTGCTAACTATTACTAGTCTTTCCCGCGTGCGGAGTACAAGGTGTCCGAACCGTCGCCGTGCCGATGCAAAACAGCCGCCGGGGCGGACGATCAGTTCAAGTCAGTTCAGTCACTGGCGGGTGGGGGTTTGACCTCCAACTCTGGCTGGAAGTTCCACCCGAGGTTCCATCGAGGTTCCCACCCTCCTCTTCCTCCTCCCTGGCAGAGCCCAGCGCTTGCTGTCCATACTCCATAGTCCCTAGTACTCCATGGATGGAGTCCGTGATGGAAACATAGCCACCGAGGGGGATCGTAGTGCTGCTCAAAAAAAAAGAGGACCCAGCAAAGTCTATATATTGGGCTAAATTCCCCGTCTTCCTGGTGTCTTTCTCCTTCTCCTCATCCTCCCCATCAACCCATCTCAGCATCATACTTTGCTCATCCTCCGCTTCTACCAAGGTTATCTCATCCGTCACCGCATTCGGTAGGCCACCCCTGCAGCCCTCCTCCCATCAGCATCTCCTGCCTGACTGGCGGTTGATTGCTGGGATGGCCTGTTTCTCCACATTCGCCCGTCTCCCCGCTTTCCCCTGTTGCCGTTGTCGTTGCTGCTGCTGCTGCTGCTGTTGCCTCTCATTTGGTTTCTCCGAATTGCAACCCGATGCATCCAGTGATGATCCTACTTCCACGTCTCCAATCTGGATTATATTTAAATGACAAGCTGACCCTCCTGTCCTAGGATCCCATCATCATCAACATCCAGACTTCCATCTTCATCCCACATATCCATCTATCTCTATTTCATTAACTCATCTTCAAAATGGTATTTATGCGCTCTTTCTCCCGCCAACTCCGGCGCCCTGCTACCTCGCTCCTTTCCACGAAAGGAGCTTTCGCGCCTGCGGCCAGCAACCCATTCCGGGCTGCTCCTTTGGCGAACTCGATTGCTGGTGCACGTACGCTAACCGCCTCTGCGAACTTACAGGGCAAGGTTCTTATGGTCCTCTATGACGTAAGTACCCGAATAGCTTCCCCGGCCTCGCCAAGAACAACCCCCCCAGCTAACCCAGACACAACAGGGTGGTGAGCACGCCAAGCAGCAGCCCGGTCTTCTGGGTACCACCGAGAACGAGCTGGGCTTGAGGAAGTGGCTGGAGGAGCAGGGTCACACCCTGGTCACCACCTCCGACAAGGAGGGCGAGAACTCGACCTTTGACAAGGAGCTCGTGGATGCCGAAGTCATCATCACCACTCCGTATGTGACCCTCTTTTACGGTTCCACTACCAAAGGGACTGCCGCTGACTGCTGTACAGCTTCCACCCCGGCTACCTGACTGCCGAGCGCCTGGCCAAGGCCAAGAACCTCAAGATCGCCGTCACTGCTGGTGTCGGTTCCGACCACGTCGACCTGAACGCTGCCAACAAGACCAATGGCGGTGTCACCGTCGCCGAGGTCACCGGCTGCAACGTCACATCCGTCGCTGAGCACGTTGTCATGACCATCCTGACCCTGGTCCGCAACTTCGTTCCCGCTCACGAGCAGATCCGCCGCGGCGAGTGGGACGTTGCCGCTGTCGCTAAGAACGAATTCGACCTTGAGGGCAAGGTCGTCGGTACCGTGGCCGTTGGCCGTATTGGTGAGCGTGTGCTGCGCCGTCTCAAGCCCTTCGACTGCAAGGAGCTGCTCTACTACGACTACCAGCCTCTTAAGCCCGAGGTTGAGGCCGAGATCGGCTGCCGTCGCGTTGACTCCCTCGAGGAGATGCTTGCTCAGTGCGACGTTGTCACCATCAACTGCCCCCTGCACGAGAAGACCCGCGGTCTGTTCAACAAGGAGCTCATTGCTAAGATGAAGAAGGGTAAGGCACCCCGGATTAACTGGCGACTTCAGACGCGAAGACTAACTCGCTCGAACAGGCTCCTGGCTCGTCAACACCGCTCGCGGTGCCATTGTCGTCAAGGAGGACGTCGCCGAGGCTATCAAGTCTGGCCACCTCCGCGGATACGGTGGTGATGTCTGGTTCCCCCAGCCCGCCCCCGCCGACCACCCTCTGCGCACTGTCCAGGGCCCCTGGGGCGGCGGCAACGCCATGGTCCCTCACATGTCCGGTACCTCGATCGACGCCCAGATCCGCTACGCCAACGGCACCAAGGCCATCCTCGAGAGCTACTTCTCGGGCCGCCACGACTACCGCCCCGAGGACCTCATTGTGCACGGAGGAGACTACGTTACCAAGGCCTACGGCCAGCGTAACAAGGCCTAAATGGCAGAATGAGATGATGAGCTGCATGGATCGATCTGTTTTTTGTCGGCCATTTTTCCTTATGATTAGCCCATGATACCTAAAATACACACCATCACTGTTAAAACTGATGTTCCTCTTCCCTAACTCTAATCTGGTCACTATAGATAACTACTGTAGTCTATGCGTATCGAGCCCCTCCCGAGATCATCCAAATATCTTCCCTATCGCGATTACCCCTCTACAAGTTGACACTAGAAACCGAGCACCAGAACCCCAAAGTAACCCAACAATTGGAGACTAGTAGTCTTTCCACTATCTAGTACAAGCTACAACCCCGCAGATCCTTCTAGACACCCACCCTTTCATCTACCCCCATCTTTCTCCTATCTAGTATCTACAGCCTATCTACCTACTATCCTAGTCTCCTAGATAGTAGATAAGTACTCTGTAGTCAGATTATTGTGGGGCGCCGATCCCCAAAGCTTGACAACTCAACAAAACCCCCAACCACGGATCAGTACACGTAGTGATTGCGTCTTCGTATTCTCGCGTATACTAACTACCTAGGTATCTTTATCCACATGTAGATCTTGGGGATAAATTGAGTTTGGTTAGTTCGGGGGATATACTCTTGTTGGATTAGGGGAGGGAATCTGTTGGGTTCGCGCTTTGGGGTCGGTACTAAGTTAGTTCGTTTGGATGGGTTGGGGGCTATTCACTAGTACTAGGTATCTAGGGATTTGGAAGAGTGTCGGTAAAGAAGGTATCTGCCTTACTGGGGTTGTTTGTTTGGGGTTATTGGGGTTGGAGTAGGTAGATGCTTAGATGATGTGGTTGGAGAAGGAGGAGGTACCTAAGTAAGGGGCGGTAATTTTATGTAGGACGGAACTGAAGGTCGGACATCTACTTGGTTGTGTCGTGCATTGCATTGATTGTGCAGATGGTGGCATGTAGGTCTTATGTATGTCTTGCTGGCTGCTACGGTGAGTCTATCGAGAAGCAAGGCCTCGAGAAGCACAGGCGCAGTTGATAAGGTTCAAAGCCAGAAAATTCTTTCCTTTGTCTAGTGTTCTATTTCCCACCCTAACGCCTATATAACTAATTTGTATGATATGACATATGCATACACATGTTGGATCAGCGATGTGATTGGACATGCCCCTCGTCGTCGCTGTCGTCCATGAATCCCGCTTCGAGTTCCCGACTTAACCGACTTTCCGCATCGCCAGCTGTACTGCGTCGTCGCTCGAGCGCTTCTCGTCGCGTCGGGTCCATGTCCATCCCCACCATGATCTCGCCTTCCTCCTCAAATATGCTGATGTTGTCGTTCTGCCCATCAAACTGCGGCTGTCTCCAAGCCGAGGGGAGAAAGCGTCGCATCAACGCGTCCGCAATGCGATCCCGGAGTGTCGTGGTATGCGCGGAGATGGTGTGTAGCGGGAGGTACTGCGAGTACCTCTGATGGTACCGGCGGAAGAAGGGGATGATCACAAAGGAGAAAAGGAGGTAGATGGTTAGGGAGATCACGGCGGGAACGATGATGGTCTGGAGAGAGTAGTAGTTGGTTAGAACGAGTTCGAATTCACAGAGAGGAGAGGGGACAGACTTTGGCAAAGTTAGTTGCGGAACCCATTGTGATGCGAACGCTGGCACCCGGTGCTCAGCTCGTCATGTACGGAGTAACAGTCTCAAGAATACAAGACAGGCAGTAGGCAGGCAACAGCCGGAAGGAGGCGCGGACCACGGCGGCGCCAAGTAAACCAGGGATCCCCGATTAACAGCGGAGGCCTGGCATGGCCTGCGACGGCGCTGGAATGAGCCCGATAACCGCGGGTAGGCGGGAAATACAGATACTGACAGGCAGACCGACGCCGGTTAGTTGGCTGGAGCCATCTGACAGCTCCAACGGTTGCATTCCTCCGGGGATGTCTGCGGCCTTGACAGCGCCACGTGATCGGCGCTACGCGGCGTGGATTCCTGAGGCAGTGGGGAGGCGGAATCACGTGGGCCAGCCGGTCCCTACCGCGTTCTAGAGCCGCCTCAGTGCCCCCCCCCCCCCCCCTGATGCCCGTGCTTCAAGTCCTGACGTGCAAAAAGACTCCAGCCACTAAAGCCCCGATTCTGGGAGTACCAGAGTAGGATAGCCCTACTGGGAGCCGTCACCCACAGACCGCTCCTTTGACTACCATCCTTGACTGCGCTTCTCGTTCCGGTTGTTGGAAGAAGCCTCTCGATTTGGTGGCATTCCCCCCCCCCCCCTCGTGCCAACGCTGCTCCGCAGCGGCTATTAATTAGTGTTAGTCAGGAGTGCCTGGAATAAGTTGTCGCCTTGAGGCAGAGGTGATCGTGGCCCAAGCAGAGATTGAGAGCGACGGCAACTCGTCCGTGTACAAGCCCCGACGACCGTGAGCGACAACCTCGACGCACTTGCCCAGCGATTACGCTCATGCTGCGCCCTGCATCTCCCCAGCGACGTCCGTCAAGATGCCAACCACCACGTCCGCGCCTGACAAATCGAGACAGACCTCCGCTGGCAAATCGTTCTTCGGGAGGAAGTTGCATAAGGAGAAGCCGGTAGACGATCGGTACGATGCCCACGGCGGCCTAGAGAGCCTCGCGCCTCCTGGAAGCGCCCCCGGGTCTCGCTCTTCCCGCCATTCCAAACGGTCCTCCGTCCAGTCCATGGATTTTTCCACCGACATTGATCCAGCGGCACTCTCCATGACTGCGGGTGTCATTACCTCCATTCCATTTGAAAGTCTCCCCGCCGACACCAAGTCGCCGATCCCGATCGATTATCTGTCCAAGGCCGAAACATCGCCACGCAAAGAACCGTCTCCGAACCATCTCGCCAAGGGAGGCAGCGACTTCCACCAATATCCCGCCTGGAACCCGGCCAGTATCCGGGACAACAACCCCTATTCCCACCCCACCGGTCCTCGCCCGCCACCGCATTCGTCAAATTTAACCATGGCGGGAAGCTCTTCTGGGGACAAGGGTGCTCGATACCAGCAATGGGGGCGACCAGGAAGTTCGGCTGCCAATACGGGGTTCAGTCACAACTCTTCTTCCACGGTAGATTCCTCGGCGCATTCCCGAATATCTTTCGACCAGGCTAGTGTCCACTCGTCGCTTTCGTCCAATACCCGGGACACTCGGGGTTCGAGCTATTTCTCATCAGATGGTTCTTCACGTACGCTGACGACCTCGCATTCCGCCGACCGCAACACCTACTCGTCCAATGGCACATCCAGCCGACTATCGAATGCACAAGCTGCGTGGCAATCGGCCCAGGCATCGCAACCTACAAAGCCACCGACCAACCCTGAGCAATACCTGACTCGCCCAAGGGACGATCGGGTCGTGGACCAGCTGTTCCTCGAACTGATGCAGAAGCGAGGCTGGCAGAATCTGCCGGAGCAGGCTAAAAGGCAGATGCTTGCGTACCCAGCTTCGAAAAAGTGGACGCTGGTTCATCAAGATCGGTTGACGGAGATACAAGGTGAACAAAAGCGGCGGCAGAATGCACGGCAGACCCATGGTCATGATGGACCAACAGGGATTCTGGAGCGGGCTGATGAAGAGGGAAGTCCGGAATGGTATGTGAAGAAAGTAATGGATGACTCAATCACGTCGAAACAATTAGCTAGTCTGAGCGTCAGTCTGCGGACCCAACCAATCAGTTGGGTAAAGGCTTTTGTCGAAGCACAAGGCCAAATAGCCCTGACGAATGTTCTTTCCAAGATTAACCGGAGGAAGGCTTCAGGCCCCGTTCCTGCGCCCCCGACGGGCGACAAAGATTTGGATCGTGAATATGATATTGTCAAGTGCCTGAAGGCCCTGATGAACAACAAGTATGGTGCAGATGATGCTCTTGCTCACCAGCAGGTCATCGTGGCTCTCGTGAGCTCGCTGTTGTCTCCCCGGCTGAATACAAGAAAGCTGGTCAGCGAGGTTCTGACCTTTCTTTGTCACTGGGCCGAAGGGCATGGGCATCAAAAGGTCCTCCAGGCTATGGATCATGTCAAGAACCACCACGGAGAGACCGGGCGCTTTGATGCTTGGATGCGTATCGTGGAGGTGACCATCGATGGCCGTGGAAAGATGGGCAGTATGGTGGGTGCAAGCGAGGAATATCGCAGCGGTGGCATAGGCATGGAGAACCTGCTCATGGAATATGCGGTCTCAACTATGCTCCTTATCAACATGTTGGTGGACGCACCGGAGAACGACCTGCAGTTGCGTTGTCATATTCGCGCGCAGTTCATCTCTTGCGGCATTAAGCGTCTCATGACGAAAATGGAAGGCTTCCAGTATGAAGTAATCGATAAGCAGATTGAGCGATTCCGAGAAAATGAAGCCATCGACTACGAGGATCTCCTGCAGCGTGAGAGTAGCAGCGTGAAGGATAGCATCGAGGGCGAGGTCAAGGACATGAGCGATCCTCTACAGATAACAGACGCTATTGCATCAAGGATACAGGGTACTCGAGCTCATGATTACTTCCTCTCTGCTATGCAACATATGCTTCTTATCCGGGAGAATTCCGGAGAGGATGGCCTACGCATGTACCAGCTCGTCGATGCCATGCTCAGCTACGTTGCCATGGACCGAAGGCTACCAGACCTGGACCTCCGGCAAGGGTTGACATTCACCGTACAAAGTCTCTTAGACAAGTTACATACAGATTCCGAGGCAAGACAGGCTTACGATGAATCGTTGGAGGCTCGTCAGATCGCGGAGGCTGCCTTGGCGGAGCGTGATGAGATGAAGGCGCAGATCGAGCTGGGTGCAGATGGTCTAGTCAAGAAGTTGCAGAAGCAGATCGAAGAGCAGACCGGCATAATCGAGCTTCAACGAAGACGGGAGGAAGCAATCCGGGCTGAGCTCGCCGATGTACAAAGGCTGCGTGCCCAGGAGTTACAACGCAACGAGCTGGAAACTAGAGAGCTCTACCTGATGCTTCGGGACGCCCAGGATATCGCCGCTTCAAATGCCAAGAAGAACAACCTAGCGGAAGCAGATCCATCGCACATGAGAGGAATTCTGGACCGCGAGAAGCTCCTGGAGCGATTGGAGATGCAGCTCGAACGGACCAAGACACAGTTCAAGCTGGAGGGCAAGGTCTGGGGCCAACATGTTACTTCGGACCGGCTACGTGAACTCCGCGAGCAGATGGACGGTGAGGCCGAGCCGAACAATGATTTCGAGGAGCATGCTCGCCAGAACGTTCCTGCACTGGGATCTGTCCATCGGAAGCGGAGCCATTTGCCCGGCATGGAGAGGGATGAGCTCGAGGGCCAAGCGCAGGAGGGCGAAGTTGATGAGAACGGAGAGATTGTCTATGAGAAGGCGCGTCTTGTGGACCTTCATCGACCCCGACTGAACTCCAAACAGGCGAACGGCCTCCTCGGAGAGATTGCCTCGCGCGTCCCCAAGATCGACGCTGACGACAACGAAATGAGTGCTGCTGTTCCGGCGGGTGTTGAAATTACGGCGCTTGAGGGCGGTGCTGCCGTTCTTACCGGCGGACCCAAGATCGAGGGTGAAACCGAGAAGCCGGCGGGCAAGGGCGTGCCCGCTCCTCCGCCTCCCCCGCCGCCGCCGCCGCCGCCGCCGCCGCCACCTCCTGCCCCAGGAGCCGTGGGAATCCCTCCTCCGCCTCCCCCGCCTCCTCCCCCCCTCCACCCGGCGGGGCTCTTGGGATTCCTCCCCCACCCCCTCCGCCGCCTCCTCCTCCGCCGCCTGGAGGCGCAGGAATCCCCCCACCTCCACCTCCACCTCCCCCTCCTCCCCCCGACGGGGCTCTTGGGTTACCACCCCCACCCCCTCCCCCCCCTCCCCCTGGAGGTGCAGGATTCCCGCCGCCGCCCCCCCTCCGCCAGGGGCTTCGTTTGGTGCCCCCCCTCCGCCGCCTCCGCCTGGCGCTGGCTTTGGAGGATGGCGAGCCAACTACATGGCCTCTCAAGCCCTCCCTCACCACAAGACTGCTCTTATGCCATCTATACGGCCTAAGAAGAAGCTCAAGGCCCTCCACTGGGAAAAGGTTGATGCTCCACAGGTGACGGTGTGGGCGTCTCATGCCCCCACCGCTCAGGAGAAGGAGGAGAAATATGTGGAGTTGGCCAAGAAGGGTGTTTTGGACGAGGTTGAGAGGTTGTTTATGGCGAAGGAGACCAAGATCTTTGGAGGCAATGCAGCAGCCAAACAGCGCAAGGACAAAAAGCAAGTCATTTCCAACGAGCTGTCCAAGAATTTCCAGATCGCGATGGCGAAGTTCTCTCAATTTCCTGCCCAAGACGTGGTGCGGATGATCATCCACTGTGACACCGATATTCTGGATAATCTGGTCGTCATGGAGTTCCTGCAGCGGGATGAAATGTGTACGGTCCCAGAGAATGTCTCGAAGTCGATGGCGCCATATAGCAGGGACTGGACGGGCCCGGATGCTGCCAGTGCGGAACGTGAACAAGACCCCAACGAGCTCACGCGAGAGGACCAGATCTACCTTTACACAGCATTCGAGTTGAACCATTACTGGAAGGCAAGAATGCGCGCTCTCGGGCTGACCCGGTCGTTTGAGTTGGATTATGAGCACATCTCCGCCAAGTTACAACAAGTCGTGAAGGTCAGCGAATCTCTGCGGGATTCTGTTTCTCTCATGAACGTTCTCGGTCTGATCCTGGATATTGGTAACTTCATGAACGATGCCAATAAGCAGGCTCAAGGTTTCAAGCTGAGCTCTCTCGCCCGTCTCGGCATGGTCAAGGACGACAAGAACGAGACCACTTTCGCAGATCTGGTTGAGCGAATCGTCCGTAACCAGTATCCCGAATGGGAGGGCTTCACGGACGAGATCAACGGGGTCATCGCCATCCAGAAACTCAACGTGGATCAGCTGCGGACGGATGCGAAGAAGTACATTGATAATATCAAGAATGTACAAGCCAGCCTGGACGCCGGAAACCTGAGCGACCCCAAGAAGTTTCACCCCCAAGATCGCGTTAGCCAGGTTGTTCAACGGAGTATGAAGGATGCTAGACGGAAAGCCGAGCAGATGCAGCTCTACTTGGATGAGATGGTGAAATCCTACGATGACATCATGGTCTTCTATGGTGAGGACAATGCCGACGAGGGTGCCAGACGAGACTTCTTCGCGAAACTGGCTTCCTTCTTGCTGGAGTGGAAGGTATGTTTGACTGTCCATATCATTCCCAGTCTTCTCGCTAACCATGATTTGTGCAGAAATCCAAGGAGAAGAACATTTCATTGGAAGAAAGCCGGAGACGCACTGAGGCGTCGTTGGCTCGCAAGCGGAACATCAATGCTAGTCTTGCCAATGGCACTCCGTCGGCTGGTGATGCGCCAGCGTCACCAGCTACCAGCGGGGCCATGGATTCGCTCCTGGAGAAGCTGCGCGCTGCAGCGCCCCAAGCTCGGGACCAGCGTGACCGCCGCCGTCGTGCTAGGCTGAAGGAGCGCCATCAGATCCGCGTCGCTTCAGGGCAGAAGATGCCGGATGCCGAAACCCCTGACGGTGGTAACGACGCCGAGGACGACGGCAGTGGTACCCAGGCGGGCAACGACAACAACAGCGAGGCCAATCCCACCGAAACGGGCCTTCTCAGCCCTCCTCTTCTTGAGGCGGAAACCCCCGAGACTGCGAAGAAGGACTCCCAGCATGTGTCGGAAAGTGAAGATGTTGCGGATCGCGCCGCGAGCATGCTGCAGGGTCTCCGAGACAACGTGGACAACGACCGACTGAGGAGACGAAGAGAAACCGCTGAAGAAGAGCGACGGAAGCGCCGGCTACGGAGACGAAACGGAGCCACCAGCACCAGTAAAGACAACACGGAGAACTCTGCTCCTACATCTGTGCCGGAGCCGATCTCGCCTCCCAGAACCGACTTGGAGCCGGACGATGCCATCCCCCAGCCACCTCTGACGCCGGCAATTGTGGTGTCCCCAACTGCAGACCAGCAGCTCCGGTCACCCGGTGACGATGAGCTGATGGAGGGCTCGCCGTCGAGCAGATCCATCGAGTAGGCAGGACGTGCCTCTCTAACCCTTTCCCTCTTTATTTCATTTCATTTCTTTGGCACTTTTTATCCTTGATCTTTTCCTCCTTTCTCGAAAGGAGCGTCTTCCCCCTCTTTCCTAATATAATGTTTGATAGACTAACTCATGTCGTCTCGGAAAGATCTCACTATGTTGTTTGAGTGTATAATATGCCAGGATGATGGGACCGGGTCGATATGCTGCTGACTTTCTGGCTTTCTTCCTCTTTTCTCTGGGCAGCCCTCTGCTTTTGTCTTCGACCGTACATTGTTCTCTTTTGCAGCGATTCACAGCCTCCTTGTTGCTTCTTGCTTGCCGACTTTGGCTCCGGTCCTTTCTCTGTGTACATAATTCCTTTCGCCGTTCTCCTTTCACTTTCCATTTCCCTTTCTCCGTTTATATCCGCATGTCGTTTCAGCAGTTGCATTTTGTTACGGGGGAGGGTTCCAAGGCGCATGGCCGAGTGTGTCTTTCGGCGCGCAGGCGTGACGAAGGGGCGCAGGGGACCTTGTGATCTGGCTTTCATATATCTACACAGTATCTACTGGATTTCTGGATTTGTCTACATGAACCTGCCTTGCATTCGTTGTAGGTCCACGTGGCTATTAGTCGAACTGTATACAACCGGGGCCGCACGTGACCGGCACCTCCGCGGCGAATCTTTTGCCTCGCCGCCGCTCGTCGGTTCCCAAACTCCCCGTGCCTCGAGGTCGAGTCCTTCCCATCGTCTATCGCACGCCTAGGCATTGACGGCTGTCTCGCGGATGCGATTATCGGCCACCCGGGCCCTACGGTGGGCGACGCCCCTTGGTCCATCATGGAGTAGATGCTCCGCGGTGGCTCCCAAGGGTGCAGGTTTATCGAGAGATGTCCGCAGCTCAGCTCCGCGCCTCCCTACGCGCCGATACTTTTCGGGGTCCACCCCGGCTCAGTCTATCTTCGACGCCGATTCCACCATCTATGCGCTTTCTACCGCATCCGGCCGGGCTGCCATTGCCGTCGTGCGGGCGTCGGGTCCTGCCTGTGCGCAAGTATGCCATATCCACCATCGCGCTCCCAGACCTTAGCAGCTGATGTCCCTCTCCCTCTCAGATCTACAAATCGCTATGTCCCGAAGCACCGCTTCCCCGACCCCGCCTCGCAGCCGTCCGCACTCTGTATGATCCTTCCCAAAAGCCTTCTCTCAATAGTGTTCTCGACGCCGGCGCCCTCGTCCTATACTTCCCAGGTCCTAAGACCGTCACCGGCGAAGATGTCCTCGAGCTCCATCTCCATGGCGGACCAGCCATTATCAAATCTGTTCTGACCGCCATATCCCGCACGAACAACCCGGACTCCAAGGTCCGCTACGCTGAACCCGGTGAATTCACCCGTCGCGCTTTCATGAACAACCGGTTGGATCTCCCGCAGATCGAAGCGCTGGGCGATACATTATCCGCAGACACGGAGCAGCAGCGTCGGCTTGCCGTTCGGGGCGCGAGTGATGCTCTATCGAAACGGTACGAACAATGGCGACATCAGTTGCTCTATGCGCGCGGCGAGCTGGAGGCCTTGATCGACTTCTCGGAGGACCAACATTTCGATGAGTCTACCGAAGAACTGGTGTCCTCGGTTGCATCTCAGGTCAGGACATTGCGCGCGCAAATCGCCCTTCATATTGAGAACGCCTCGAAGGGAGAGCTGCTGCGCAACGGTATCAAGGTGGCCCTGTTGGGAGCGCCGAATGCGGGTAAAAGCTCACTTTTGAACCGTATCGTGGGTAGAGACGCTGCCATCGTCAGCACGGAGGAGGGCACCACGCGAGATATCGTCGATGTTGGGATCGACATCGGCGGTTGGTACTGCAAGCTCGGCGACATGGCAGGGATCCGCTCCGAGCCCAGCGATCCGACTGGACAGAAGAAGGTGGTGATTGGCGCCGTGGAGCAAGAGGGTATCCGGCGGGCGAAGGCTCGCGCATTAGACTCGGACGTAGCTATTGTGGTGGTTTCGGTGGAAGACGGAGGCGCACTGCCGTACCGCTTAGCTGTCGAGCCAGAGGTTGTCCTGGCAGCAAACGACTGTGCCCGGGCTGGCAAGTGCGTCGTGGTGGCCATCAACAAATGTGACCGGCTGCCAGCCGGCGATACACTGCGGCAGCTCACCGCAACAGTCGGCCAACTTTTCCCGGCTGTGCCAGATCAGCGCATCTTCGGCATCTCCTGCCTGGACGCCACCAACGGACTGATCAGACCCGGTCAATCCGATCCAGGCTACATCCAGCAGTTCTTACGGGGACTGATTACTACGTTCGAGGAGATTGTCTCCCCCACAGGGATCGACGGGGACGAGAACGGACAGTACGACCATTCATATTGGGAAGACTCTCTCGGTGTGACGCATCGCCAAAGCTCTAATCTACAACGCTGCTTGGAACACCTGGACGACTTCCTGGCCCAGGCGCAACCCGAAATACAATCCCAAACGCCTCTAACCCATGGTTCCCCCCATGATTACCTCGAAACAGATGTAGACATTGTCACCGCCGCGGAACATTTGCGCTCCTCCGCCGACACATTGGCAAAGATCACCGGCCGCGGTGAAAGTGGCGACGTGGAGGATGTGCTGGGCGTTGTGTTCGAGAAGTAAGTTATGCCCTGTGGTTGAAGACATTCCCGGTGCTGACTTGTGTAGATTCTGCGTGGGGAAATGATATTGCACGGTGAATGATGGCACCAATATCCAGATCATAGCTCGCCTCTCCCAGCATCTGCCCGCATGCGTATCCCCTCTCCCAACCCAACTCCAGCGTCACCCCCCCTCATAGCATGACAGGACAATGTTTGTTATACCCGCCACAATCCTGCAGGTCCGAGCAAGGTGGCGGAGCCGACAACAATATGGACGACGAATTCGACGACGTGGGCGCAGGCGCAGGCGCCGTAGTAGTCTCGGGAGCGTTGTATCCTCCTCGTCCCATGATGAACAGGATTATGCAACAGAACTGTATAGCATAGACTAGTATAGTGTAAGATAGCGAGAGATGTACGTATGTATATCCCAAAGGGGACCGAGCAAGATCGAAGAATACAGACAATCACTACCAACTTGGTATGGATTGTATGGATGTATCAACGATGTGTATGTAGTACTATACAGAGAGAACTGAATCACGACAACACCAGCACTCAACCTGATATATATAGTACCGGACTGACCTGACCTGAGGTAACGCAGGCCCTACAAACAACCGACGCTGACACCTCGACACCATCGCGAGAAAGAGACAAGGCACATCAAACCCAACGCGCCCCCCCAGTCCTACCCAGACAATCCCAGTAACTGAGTCATTTCAAAGCTTATCTCAGGCCCACGCTATCCCATCCCTCCCGCTACTGACGCCAGTAGACAGTAATTGAAGAACTAGATACTAAATATAATCTAGAATATATCATGAAAGAATACTCCGTAGTAGATGAATTATTGGATCATCATCTCTGGTTGGGTAAGGTAGGTCTAGATTTGCTTTTTTGCGCTTGGCTATGTTTAGCATGCGTGAGCCTATCTCTACCTATCTTGTATTATTTTCCTAAAGAGGGGAGGTAGTCAGCTGATCTGATCCGATAGCCAACGAAGTCACCAAGAAAGAGGCCTGGCATGGCATGGCATGGCCTGAGCTGAGGAATGGATGTAATGCCCCAGGCCAATAGGGCTGACTGGTTCCTGAGGGATTGTGTTGGCGTGCTGATATCGGGCCGAGTCATCGCCGAGTCATTGCCATTGTCATTTGTCATGTCATTATGTTGCAACTGGCTGACGAACTAACCAACCAATCAACCACCAAGTACCGAGTCATGTGCATGGGCTTACTAGGATGAGCCTGAGCGGTTGGACGTGAAAGTGAGACAATGTCTTTCAGTTTGAGGGGAAAAGTGACTCCGGGCACGTGGCGGGCATGCCATGCGATACTTGTTGCTATTTTTGGTGATGAGACAAAACTATTGCCAGGCTGGGCTCGTATACTGGATGCAAGGCGTCGATCTGACATGCCTCGCTAGACTACGATGCAAATTCATGCTGCAAGCTCAAGGATCACCCCCTCCCGCGCAGTGTAGACTGAGGATATAGATGACTCCGAGTCCCACTCTCGATCCCGGGCCTGACTGGGCTCTCCTGGATTGTCTGGGTGCGGTGGCCAAATTAAAGGCGGAGGGTTAAGGCCTGGCACACCTGTTAGAGAGACTGGGGAGTCTGTTGGACGCACTCGCGTCTCATCGGCCTGGGGAAATACAGTTTCCAAGAACGGGCTGCTCGGACCAGGGCCACCTGGTGCTTCATAGTAATGTCGCGCACGGGGCATGGCAATCTGTTCGCTCGCCGGGGCAAAGGCTCGTTCATTGGCCTCCAGGATCTGGGGAACGTCGTGGAATTCAGAGTCAATGCGATGAACACTGATGCTTCGGCGCATGTGTTCGGGCGTCTGAGATCGGCTAGCCGGGAGTCCTTGCTCCAAAGTCCCGGGGAGCTCCTGGGGACTGGCCACTGCCGTTGGAGGCGAGTCTATATGATGCAGAGCAGTCCAGGCTGGGGCGCTCTCGGCCAGTAGCGGCGAAGGGTGCTGCATCTGAACCAACAAGCTTTGCACTTCCCGTTTCCTTTCGACAGAGATATCCGCTGACGGCGCAAAGCCGATCCGCTCCACAGTCAGGCCCAGATCCGCATCCTCTTTGGCTAGACTGCAGGACATTAATAGTCGGAGCACATTGGGATGTCCATAATAAGCGGCATAGCGGTAGGGCTGCCATCCACGTTCGTCACGCTTGATGGCCGACGCTCCTCGCTGGAGGAGAAGAGTGACCACAGGCAGATGTCCTTCCATGGCGGCTAGGCACAATGGCGAATCCTCTTCCGATCGGATGCCGTAAGGCTGGCATACGGGCGACCCTCTATCCAGCAGGTTTTGAACGGCAGCTGCGTGTCCACACCGACAGGCTACACAAAGCGCTCGGTCTCCTGCGGCATCCCGTGCCTCCAGAGAGGCCCCCTTATCACATAGCAGGTTCAGCAGTCCCATCGAACCACGCACTGCCGCAAGGTGGACCGGTCTGCGCTGGTCCGCTCCGGCTTGGGCCTCAATGTTGGCGCCAGATATAAGCAATAGCCTCGTAACCTCAGAGCTATTGGCCATGCACGCATAGTGAAGGGGAGTGAGTCCCGACAGGCAGCGAGTTTCTAAAGGCATACCCTTACGAAGGAGCAGCTCCACTACCGCAAATTGTGATTTCATAACAGCAAGATGTAGGGCAGTTCGTCCTGCTATGTTGGTCTTGCCTAGTAGCTCTTTTCTCTGACTCAGGAGGTCAACAATCTCCGTGTGTCCATTGAAGGCAGCCCAGTGCAAGGCCGTCATAGCAGCATCGTCGACAGACCGGGCTGACGCTTTCCTCTTGAGCAGAAGCTGCGTGGTGAGAAGCTGACCCAGGGCAGCAGCACATATGAGTGGCGTCCTGCGGTCGCTTCCAGCCGCGTTGATGCTCGCCTTGTGATTCAGAAGCAGCTCGATGACGCCCAGATGCCCCCCCTCGCAGGCGTAATGCAGCGCCGCCATCATCGTCCCATCTTTGGCTTCTATGTCTGCACCATTTAGGATGAGGAGCTTGGTGATCACTATATCGCCCCACTTTGCTGCCAGATGTAGTGAGGTCGTCTGATTGTCAGCTCGCGCATTCACTTTGGCGTGGCATGCGAGCAGTAGATTTGTGGCTTCAGCTTGGCCGTGGTATGCTGCTACCCAGAGAGCAGTCTGGCCATTGGAATTTTGGGCCTCAATATCTAAGCTTTCGGGAAGAAGCAACTCAAGAACCTTGCAGTGGCCACGTGACGCAGCCAAGTGTAAGGCAGTGGACCCCGATTTGTCGGTGGCATCAGCTCTAGCGTTTCTTTGTAGCAGTAGATCAACCACTGCTTCGTTGCCACAATGCGAGGCCACCAGAAGGGCAGTCCTGCGGGAAGAGACGTGGCGGGCTTCAATGTCATGGCCATTTTCAAGGAGCCTTTCAACATCGGATCGCGTGCCCGCCTGGGCTGACTTGACAATTGGCGGAGCAGACGACCCGTCCGGCGATGTCAAGTCAATGCTAGTATTTGTGTTTACGTCTCTTTCATACAGCCGTCGCTCGGCCGGTCCTCGCAGGGGAACTCGCGCAGAAGCCTGTGCTCCGGACCAACTGGGTCGCCTGAGTTGTCGGATAATGGAGCGCATCTTCTCACGCCGTGACCCTGCGGAGCGATTTGACCAGGAGGAGCCAGTCGCGTCCGATTGCCATCGGCGGACCTGGGTCGGACTTTGCTGTAAATTAGTCGGTGCGAACGAGACACTCCTGCTGTGGCCCTGACTAGGGCCAATCGACGCAGAGGGATGCACTGGAGATATCACGTTTGATCCCGTCGGGCTTGAATTACTTGCTGCACTTCCATACCCTTCATCTGTAACCGGGCTGGGACCGCTGCGATTGACTGTACTCGGCATCGTAGATTTGGATTGCGATTGTCTGATCGCGCGCCGATAGGGAATGGAAGCCACTACAGCCCTATCGAAATCAAAGACAGTGTCCCCTGCGGCTGATGAGCGACGAGTCAAGCTCGTGCTATCCGTTCGTGAGGCTGCATAGCTGCTAGAGGACCGCAGGGTTGCTGTATCGCTGGCGACCCTGGCAATAATCCGGCGATTTTCCGCTCTTCGTAGTAGTTCGACCTGCTCGGTTGACGTCCGACTTATAGCTGATATTTAGCACGCAGTGATCTATCACGGCTGTTGAACGTGGATGCTCACCATAGACAGGCTTGAAGCAGGAGCTGCAACGCTTGGACCTGCGCTCGCAGTCTTTCCTGATGCTCGCGCATGCTATCTTCATTCCAGATGACCTTCACCCGAGTGCGAAATCCGACCCCATTACCATTCAGTGATGCACCCTTTGTCAGAGCCGAAACCTCATCGGAAAGGACCTCCATGACAGCGCGACAGCCGTCCAGAGCGACTTCGAGCCCGTCAACAAACTCAGGTTCGGCTAAGTCACGGACATTATAGCTCGCCCATTCATGTAGCTGGGTGATGGCGGATCGGATGATCGTCAGCTCGCCGATGAGCGATTGAATGGTAAGGTCTGCATGGCTGTATTTGCCATACAGCTGGGCCAGCCCTCCAGCGGTGTCTTTGATGAACTGAGCGATCTGAAACACGCCGGAAAGAAGGCCGATTGCGGAAACGGGATCCATGGGGAGGCTGGGATCATCGATAAGGCACCAGGCAACCCGACGGGCTCATTCCTTAAGGAAGGCAAATGATGAGGCAAGTGAGGAGAGTAAGGAAGAGGAAAAGCAGAAGCAGGAAACATGACGGCTGAAGGGCCTCAGCCCTCAGCCCTCCGCAGAGGTCCAGCTTAGCTTAGGCATCTGAGCTGGAGCGAATCATAGATGGCAGGCAGGCTGAGGCCGTGCAACTGCAGGCCAACGCGGCCGCGCCCGTGTCGAACTCTCGCTGGCGATCGTCATGGAAGCACCACGTGGGTTGAGGGGAAACCACGGGTCAAAGAAGAAAGCAAGCATGGTTAACAACTTAACTAATCGTATATTTTGCCCCATGACTGAAAGTAAATCTAATTTTGGACTCCCACCTATACATACAATCATCCCATGCATCTCGACCGAAAGAAACATCCACACAGCATCCCCAAAACGAAGACTGGAAGGCTAGGGTATCATAAGAATCAGTTGTCGACGGTCGCGCCTTTCATTTCCTACATCTCTCACGCTTCTCACGCTTCTCACGCTTCGATGGCGTTCTTGACCCATTTCTCCAGACCACCCTTGGCAATGATCTCCTGCACGTTTGGCGGCAGCTCGCCCACCTTGTGTGTCCACTTGGACCCGTTCTGTCCCTCCTGGACCTCAATCTGACTCCTCCGGACATCCCAAGTCAGAGTCCAGCCAGTTCGACGGGTAGGCTGCTTTTCGCCAAATTCCTCGCGCAGACGGCTGATCAGACGCGGAACCTCCAGACCCATCAGGGCGTTGTTGATGCTGTTGCGGGAGAAGATGTTGCCAAAGCTACCCGCCACGACGAGAGGGATTTTCTTCGCCAGAAGAGCAGTGGCTGCCTGCTCGCGGGAGCTACCACAGCCGAAGTTGAATCCACTAACAAGGATATCACCCTCCTTCGCGATCGAGGAGAACTGAGCATCGTAGTTGGACATGCACACCTCCGCCATCTTTTCCACGGTGACATTATCTTGATAGGTCCAGAAGCCCGGATAGATCCCATCTGTACTTAGATTGTCTGCATCACAGAACACAATCTCGCCAGAGACTCGTTCGGGGAATCCAGGGTACACTTCTGTCAGGCCGCCCTCCTCCTCGGCCGTTTCCTCCGGAGCAAAGCGCTTCTCTCCATCAGCGACAAGATCGTCAAGCTGACCGATCAGCTTCTCAAGGGCTTGTTCATTGGTAAGCATCCGGTCCTCCTCACGAATGCCATCGCCCTCGCCTCGGACAACCTCGGTCCAGCCCTCAGGGGTCTGGTACCAGCCAGGACCGCTAAGCTTTCCGCTGAGAGCACTCGCGGCAACAACCTCGGGACTACCCAAGTACGCCTTGGCTTCAGTACTTCCCATACGTCCCTTAAAGTTGCGGTTCGATGCACTGATGCCGACCTCGCCGGGCTCCAGCAGTCCTGTTCCGAGGCCGATGCAAGGCCCGCATCCTGCGGGGAGAGGCGTGGCTCCAGCTTCCAGGAGTGTCTGCCAGTCACCAGTCCCTTCCGCTGCGAGCTGCTCTGGGATGGATGCTGCAGCGATGTAGAACTTCACACCATGGGCAATTTTGGGGATTTTACCACCATCCTTCTCCGCGGCCTCCTTGAACACCTTAGCAGCAGCGGCGATATCCGAAGCCCTCGAGTTTGTGCAGGAGACCAGGTAGGCCTTGTTGACTTTGATATCCTGTGCTTCCAGCTCCTTAAGGGGCGTTGCCACTTTAACAGAGTTGGGTCCAGAGATGTATGGAGAAAGGGTTGAAAGGTCCAGGAAGAGCTCCTTAGCGTACTTTGCACCCTTATCCGCAGTGAGCGGGTTCTCAAACAGCTGCTCCACAAGCGGGTGAGTGAAATGATGAGGGGCCAGAGTCTTGAATGGCCCATCAGCGAGCCCCATGGCAGCAGTGGTGGCCTTGCCCTTAAGCCAACCCTTGAGGACACTGTCCATGGGAAACAGTCCTGACAGTGCACCCCATTCCGTCGTCATATTGGCAATAGTCAACCGATTATCCATAGATAGACTTCTCATGGTCTCCTCAGAGCCAGTGAACTCGATTGCGTGGTTCAGAACCTCGTCCTTGCCGAATAGACCGCACAGGGCAACGATCACATCCTTGCCAGTCACGCCCGGTGGCAGAACTCCAGTAAGGGTAACCTTGGCCACTGGAGGAATTTGCCACCACGTCTTACCTGTCGCCCAGATACTAGCTGCATCGGTTCTCACAATTGGAGTACCGACAACGCCAAGTGCACCATAGGTATTACTGTGACTGTCCGAGGCAACCACGAGTGTGCCAGGCCAAGCAAATCCTTCCTCCACCATGATCTGGTGACCAATTCCTCGTCCTGCCGGGTAGAACTCAACGCCATGCTGCTTCGCGAACTCCTCAATCTGGCGATACTTCTGAAGGTTCTTGTCCGATTTGTTCTGGACATCGTGGTCAAGAGTCATCACGATCTGTTTGGGATCATGCACTTTGGACGCACCGATCGACATGAACTTCAAGGCGACGGGCCAGGAGTTGTCATGGGTCATGATCCGATGGGGTGAAATGGTAACATAGTCGCCGGATTTGACGAACTTATCACTGGCCAAGCCTACCGAGTATTTTTGGACGATTTTTTCCGTCAGGGTCTGTGGAATGGCCCTGGAGGTCTGCAGGGAGGCAAAGATGGCAGCGGAGGCAGGGTCCTCCAGCTGTGACTGGAAGACACCAGTATCCTGGAAAAAGAGCCGGGTTGAGGCGAACGCTCGTCGTTGCGGAGTCACGGGGCAACGAAGGGAGACCCAGCGCCTAGGGCCGGAGGGCAACAGTCGCGACTGCATGTTGCTTGCTGAGAGGCGTGGGAGTATGAAGAAGACTGACTGCTAAGAAGAAAGAGAAGAAAGCGAATTGGATTTATGACTCGAACTTAGTAAAGTTACCGAGAAATAATGTCTGCCTCCTAATTGGTCGATCGCTGGAACCGCTCCGCGGACAGACCGTGATTGCCGTGCCAAGTCCTCCGCTATCGGAGGGTTCGTTTCCGGGGTATGAGTCTATGGCTACTATCTATAATCTATAGTACATTGCATCTCGCCTTTCTCTTTTACAACTTCCATACGGCCCAATTCTTTAGGTCCAATTCTTTTAGAATCCCCCGAAGTGGACCCTGCAGTTCCATCCCCTGAGCCCAGAGCTTTGGTCCTGCCATGTAGCTAATGAAGCCCTCTGGTCCAGAGACCAGAATGAGGTTGTGTTTCCCTTTACCCGGCTCCTTGGAAGACAGCGCACTGCTGGTAGAGTCCAAAATGGACTGCTTCCCGATGCTGGTGCCTTCCTCATCGACAAAGTAATCCACGCTCACCTGTCCAGGATATTGCGATTGAAGAGCCTCCAATTCCCGGACAATCAACGAAGTGTCAGCAGCCTTCGGTGGATAAATGGGAGTGTGTTTGTCCTTCAAAGATGTGGAAAAGCCGGAGAGCCATGACCTTTGGGGCGCCGCTGTAGTTGTAGTTGTCTCACTCACACCGCCAACGCAGTCTTCCCTTCTTCTGTTGGCCCAAAGGATATGTATTTTGGGCTTGTGGGTCGGACTTGTGCGGCGAAGAAGCGTATGTCCGGCTTGCAATGCAGGGGCAATCCCTGTGCCCCCGGCGATGAACAAGATCTGCCGTGTATCCGAAGGAATCTCACATTCAATTCGTGGGCCACGTACTTCAATAGGTGCACCGATATCCAGGCTATGCAGGTAGCGGGAGACCTCACCGAAGGGGTCTTTCCGGATGAAAAAGCGCAGACACTCATCGTCTTCTTCCCCCGACGAGGTGGATGGCAGAGGTGTGTAGTCTCTTCCGATCTGCAGCTGTGGCTGCTTAAACATCACGCTCCAGACACCCGTCTTCCATGCCCCTTCGTAGACTGCATTGTTGCTTCCATCCTCCTTTGGCGGCTGAAGAATGAAAAAGCTCCCGGTTGATGAGACTGGCTCGCGGGACACTAGATAGTATGGGGTGAATTTGACCGGATTCAGGGTCGATGAGTCGGGACCCTGTTGCGACCTGACGAGTGCGCCAATTCCTGCCGCAGCGGCCGTTATGAAGGCAAGTCGCAGCCATCGCTGCTGCTTTGGCGACGGAGTAGAGGGAGAAGATGAAGGAGGGGGTGAAGGGGAAGGCGATGCGTGGGAAGCAAAGCGCCTCGGGGGTCGTATCACGAGCCTCGCGGCTGTGGACGGCACATTGAACCGGAGCAGACCCTGAGGGGAACCGCGGGGCTTCATGGGGGGGAAGAGCGGAAATTTGAACCTGGATGGGGAAGTGGCCATGACACTATAAAAAGCAGGAGCGACCGGGAGATCCCAAGGCGCTAGGCCCGATCGGGTCCCGGACGCAGGGAGTCGCATTTCCTGTCGGCGTCTTTGTCCCTCCATTGTTTCTTCATTTTTCATTTCTTCTCCCTCTTCAGTTGCTGTTTCTGGTTTCTGGTTGCTGTCTCTTTCTCTCCTGCTGGCCCTCCGCGAAGTTACTGAGGGGAGGAAGGATTGCTCCGTTCACTTCTCGCTTCAGAATAACCTCCCCAGTGGTATGGAAGACGTCCCCGTACCCCGTTCTTAACAGCCCGCCTTCGTCCTCGCAGCTCCCGACCTCCTCTGGACGGTATGTCCCATATAACCTTCTCGAACTCTGAGTCCAGGTCGGGCAACTATCATGCTCCTCGGGATTCCCTAGAATTGGCGTCGTTGGCATCCTCGCCCGACTCCGCTCCCAGATCCTCCCGCTTCTCCTCACCTTCGGGCATCTCATCGTCGCGCAAGCTTTCCCTCGAAGATGAAGACCCTCTCACCGGCTCTCACTCACAGACGCAAATGACCTCGGGCCGACCCCGCTCGGCCCGCTCCTACTCGATATCCTCTGCGTTCGACTTCGGGGCGACACTGTTTCCCTTGTCGCAGACGACCGGTGGTTATGCACCTTTGGGCGTCTCGTCTGCGGATCGAGAGGCCGGGGTCGCCGACGGGTCTTTAGAAAGGAACAAGACATTGACGTATCTCAATGGTCTGTCTCTGGTTATTGGGCTGGTGATCGGCTCGGGTATCTTTTCATCTCCCAGCCAGGTCAATGCCAATGCGGGGTCGCCTGGTGCGTCGCTGATTGCGTGGGTGGTTGCTGGCTTACTGGCATGGACGGGGGCAGCCAGCTACGCGGAGCTAGGAGGGGCAATTCCTCTAAATGGTGGCTCCCAGGTATACCTCTCCAAGATCTTCGGGGAGTTGGCGGGCTTCTTGTTCACGTGGTGCGCAGTCCTCGTCTTGAAGCCGGGCAGTGCTGCCATCATCGCCATCATTTTCGGGGAGTACGTCGTTAGGGCCGTAGTGGGTGCCGACGTGGAGACCATCAATCCCTGGATTAACAAAGCCGTTGCTTTCGGCGGAATATTCGTTGTGACGCTGTTGAATTGTATCTCGACGAGAGTGGCTGCGCGCATCGGTGACCTCTTCATGTTCTTCAAGTTTGTTGCGTTGCTCGGCGTCGCAATTATCGGCATCATTGTGGCAGTCACAGGTCACTCCTCAAATGGAAGTGCCAACAAAGAATGGAAGGCCGGGTGGTTTGAGGGTACAAACCTCGACGTATCAGCATGGGCTGTAGCCCTGTACGCAGGCCTTTGGGCCTTTGACGGTTGGGACAATGTGTGTTCTTTAACCCCCCTATATCCCATCATGCTTTGACTAACGCCACATAGACAAATTACGTGACTGGCGAATTTAAGAACCCCAACCGCGATCTCCCACGGGTGATCCACACAGCCATGCCAGTGGTCATCCTCTGCTATCTCCTCGCCAACGTCTCCTACATCCTTGTTCTACCCCATAGCACCATCGAAGCGAGTAACACAATCGCCGTCCAATTCGGTGACAAGGTGTTTGGCTCCGTCGGAGCCCTAGTCTTCGCGCTGGTGGTATCTGCAAGCTGCTTCGGCGCTTTGAACGCAACGACCTTCACCAGTGGGCGCTTAGTCTATGCAGCAGGCAAAGAAGGCTACCTGCCGTCTATTTTCGGCAATCTATGGACTCGGAACACATTGGCCAATCGATTGCAGCGCCGCTCCTGGGTGAGCAAGTCGCTCTCACGGCTATGCGGAGACGGCACACGGATCGGCTTCACCCCCATCAACGCCATGGCCCTAAACAGCGGTCTCACTATAGTCTATGTCATTGTTGGTGAATTCAAGACTCTCGTCACCTTTTACGGCGTAGCCGGATACATTTTCTACTTTGTCACGGTGCTTGGCCTGATTATTCTCCGCGTGCGGGAACCCTACCTACATCGCCCCTACAAAACTTGGATTTCGACCCCCATCATCTTCTGCTGCGTGAGCCTTTTCCTTCTCAGCCGGGCCATTATCGCCGAACCGCTGCAGACATTGATTGTCGTCGCCTTTATCGTGGCCGGTGTCCCCGTTTACTACTGGCGCATTTACAAACGCGACGGGCAAAAGGCGTTTCCCAACTGGAAGTTCTGGCAGCGCCGGTGAATTTACGACCCCCCACACTTGGTAAAGTAGTTACGATATGACCATACTAGCTTTTAATCTTTTCCCCATATTCCTCTCTTCTTCCTTGTTTTGGAGTGGCTTGTTTTCTTCGTCTCCTCCTCTCCATATTACCTATTTACCCATCCATCCTGTTGTTTCTTCATCTTTCTATTAAACTATTCTATATATCGGTCGTCTCCCATGGAATGATACCCATTCGCATATTATTATCCGGGTGCATGATGGAATTGCCGGGTCGGGTCGGGTTTTGGAGCATTTCTTTTCAGTTTTTCATGATGCATAATATCTATCAGACATGATCAACGAGGCGGTGGGTGGGGGTCTCAGTCTCCTTGTTGTTCCTTTTCTCTATCTTATTTGGGACACACATAGACTCAAGTCTTTTTTCTTGGCCATGTCATGTGTGTGTGTGTGTGTATTACATAGAGATCGAGTGGGAACGGACCCGGTTGCATGGCTATGGCTATCTATGTCGCTAATTCAACTCTCGGGGAAACAACTATGTACAATAATACATTATGGGCCTCCGATAATGTGCTTGCTCGCGCGTCGGATCGTTACTCCGGGGCGGTGCTGGATCAATGAGAGCTGGCTATTGACTGACACCCAGCCCGTCCCATCCGTCTGCCTGCAAAAGCACGGCTGGCGGAGAGCCTGTCTCACCCTCGGCAAAGAAACGCAGTCCAGAGCAGCGGGCCTGGTCAGGTAAAATATAGATCCGAGTAGAGATGACGGTCCGCTCATTCACGAAGACTTCCAGCACGCTTGTGTCCCAGAACGCATGGATACGTAGTGTCTCCTCCCCCTGCTCTCCTGACAGGGTCTCGAAGGTGAATAGTGTATGCGGAGCGGACTCGGGGTCGTGGTTGATGCGGGAGTCGTGGGGCGGAGGCCGTTGGATGGTAAAGGTTTCACTAGATGGTTCCCAAAAGAGGATGGTGCGGTGCTGCGCGTCTGAATGGGCCAGGGAAATGGAGAGTCAGTGGTTGGGAAACCTAGGATGCTAGCGTGGAAGACAGGGACATACTACCGCCATGTTGGATTTCAAGCCCCACTGCACTGCACTGCGTACTGACGGAAAACTCGGCGTGGACTTCCCATCTCGATGTCATCAGAGAAAGATGGGTGTCGAATGGAGAGGTGTAGTCACCGTGTTTTTCTAAAGTGAGACTATCAACATGAATTCTGTTTTTCTCGTTCCGAAGGCCCTCGAGCCGTGGATCCGGCCGAATGCCCAGTGTTCGAACGGTAGAGGTATGCTTTGTCTCTCTTTGAGTCTCTATGGAGGTGATGGCACTCAGCTCAGAATGCCGAGCTCGCCTTACATGGTGCAGAGTTGTCAACTTTGCTACCCGGGGGATAGACAATATGCCGCTCCAGTCTTGTTGGTGTCGAAGATCATCCGGTAGGTCTTCTTCTGTAATCCAGCAATAGACGATATGCTGAGCTGTGATGGGATCCCAGAAGCTATTCGCCGCATAACAGCACCCGTGATCAAAGATCCCCGAAAACGCATAGGTCGATAGAGCATCGGTGGCGCTGTGTTGTTGAGCTCTAGAGCAGGGCTTGATGGACATCCACAGCTGTGCCCGAGGTATTCTTTTTCCATATTTTCCCGATACCAAGCATCCCTCGGCCCCCATTAGTATGAAATATCTGGTGGTACTCTCATCATCTGTCATGGGTACCCAGTTAACGACCTCCCAGTTGACCTCAAGATCGCCAGACCATCGAGATGGTCGGAAATTAAGCCCAACGTGGACCAGCGGTCCCAAGTACGTCCATTGGCGTAGGTCGTGGGGATTTATCGAGTATGCGAATGCTGTCGGGGTCTTTCCGGTGATACCCCCCGAGATGAACCCGCAGAGATCAGAGGCCCCAGGTTGTTCGGGCATGATTTGCCAACGGCCAATAAACGGATCTCTCCAGCCTGTTACCGTGAGGGTTGTAGGAGGGCGTAGTAGAACGGGGTTGCAATCAAGGCGCTGCCATGTCTTGCCCTGGTCCTGTGAAGTGGCCAGACTAACCGACTCAGATCCAGGCACATATGGCAGCGTATAGTGGATCAGGAGATGCCCCACGGATGTGTATACAACAGTGAGGGCATTTGGAGCCCCATTCACAGCCGTTGGCTGGAGACACCCTGTAAACACGCCACAGCGATCGTACTCGGTGCTGGGCTCCAGGCACGGCTCTGGAAATATCTTCCAGGTCAGCAGATCCGTAGAAACACAACATCCCCACGAGATATTTCCCCAATCGTTGCCTTTCGGGTTCCATTGAAACGACAGGTGGTAGAGACCAGTTGCAGAATCATATCCTAGACCGCACGGGTCATTCAGCCACCCGCGGGGGGCGGTGATATGGTAAGATGGGCGCCATTGCTGGGCATCATCCGAGTGGGGAACTTTCTGATCCATCAGATCGGATAGATATTACATTCGAACTGGGAGAACGGTTTCCAGAGACACTGCCAGGGTCAACATTGTACAGGCCCTCCTACCTCCAAAGCCTGCTCCGCAAAGAGCAGCGCTCACCTGGTTCCTTCGGCTAAATACTAGATCGTTATCGACCCCGACTGAGAAGATCAAGGTCCGGAATAAAGCCGCGATGGCTGCAGTATGGGCGAGATGCAATTCATTGACGCCACAGTCCAACGCGTTGGGAGCTACCTAGATAGCTGTGTCTCGTCGAATTCCGGAGGTTCTTCGGGGAAATCCCCAGACTCAGCAATGCACCTCAAATCCAGACTGATTGATGATCAGCAACCATGATGCAAAACATCTCGATCCACTAGTGACTATCTAGTAAGTAGTAGTAAGTATATAGATACTCAACGGGGCCATCCGTCCCAACACTGCAGCATTCCGCATCATATGTAGTAGATAGCGATCCTGTTATTGAACTTCAGCCAAGGGAGGATGGCTGAGAGAGGATCCACTAGCGTGGCGAGTGGAGCCATGCGAGAGAAACACCGCCAGTGAGTGAGTGCAGTTGCCCGGCTGGCTTGCCTGCATTATTCATGATCCACGATGATTGCTAATATAAGAAATTAAAAATAGACCTCCCATGGGTCTCCGTTGGTGAAGTTTCTGGGGTTAAGCTGGGGTACTCCCCTGTGCTCGTCTTCTACACCAGTTCACCTGGCCCATAGAGCTCTCCTGATGGGTTGCCAAACAACACAAGACAGTCAATGCAGTCAATGAAGTGCACAATTGGTTGGCCTTGCTCTCGCATGCACGAGGTCAGTCGGAATGGCCGATGAATTGGATAGCCATCCCTTTGATCTCGGAAAAGACGTCAGTCAGGCACACCATGTCGATTTCGCTGCAGAGAGCAGTAGATCGCCACAGGAACGAACAACCAATGCCTTCCTACTCCTCACTTGCACGGCTTTTGGCGCAGCCTCGTTAGTATTTGGTTTTGATGACAAGATCATTTCGCCGGTGGCTGCATTGGGTTCATTCGTAAGTGTGCAAGTTACATTGCGGAAGTGATCATTGAGCTGACGACATGCCCAGGTCGATAGGTATCAAGGCCCCGAGCCAGTAACGGGCAACCTTGTCTTGACAGCACGCAATCAAAATCTTGTGTTTTCCGTTCCTTTGCTCGGCTCAATCCTAGGAGGGTTGACAGCCTCTCCTCTAAATGCCGGCTTGGGCCGTAAACGCCCCTTGTTGATCGCGTATATTATTTCCATTGGCGGCGGGTTGCTCCAGGTGCTGGCCCCAAATCTGGGAGCCTTTGTATCGGGTCGTTTCATCAACGGAATTGCTATGGGAATTGCCAATACCACGGCTCCCCTGTATCTTTCAGAGGTGCGAATGCTGGTGCTTCCAGAGCCTTAGAAACCCCGCTTACTCCCTGTATGACAGATTGTACCTGCCTCCCTGAGAGGAAGGAGCGTATCGTTGTTCAATATCTTAAACCTGGTTGCTGGTGTCTTGGGTGCCGTTGTGGTGTTGTGCACGCACAAATTACAAGGCAGGAGTTCGTACATGATACCATTGGCCGTGCAGTGTGCTTTGCCTGCTCTCCTACTTATTTCGACATTGCCTTTGCCCGAGAGTCCGCAATGGCTCGTTTCGAAAGGCAGGGTGGATCAGGCTCGTAGCAACCTGCGGAGACTGCACCACTGCAGTGAACAACGGGTTGATAATGAGATCCGAAACATGGAACGCTCCGAAGAGGGTTCGAAAACCAATGCACCCTTTTGGGATATCTTCTCCAGGAAACACCTGCAGCGCACCGTGATCGCCGGTTCTTTCTATTCCTTGAACCAAATCTCCGGCATCATTCTCTCGACAACCTACAGCACTGTTTTTCTCTCCGAGATTGGCATCGGAGATCCTTTCTCGTTAACCGTCATAGCCTCCTGTTGCACTCTTGCAGGTACGATCGCTGCCCCCTTGGTGCTTGACCGGGCGGGTCGTCGCCCTACTGCATTGGTGGGCATGGGTATCCTGTTCATCATCGACGCGATGGCTGGGGGCCTGGCGTTTAATAGGGGAGACCGTCGTTCCGCCATGGCAATTGCGGCCTTGTCCTTCATTTTCAACTTCTTCTGGGCTTCCTCGTTTTCCCCATTGTCAACCCTTCTGCCTTCGGAAATGGCCACCCCCAAGCTTCGCCACCACACCATGGCTTATACCATCGCCTGTGCTCAAACAACGGCAGTTATCACCACTCTAGTGGTGCCCCAGCTGACAGCGGCTGATGCGGCAAATTTAGGCCCAAAGACATACGTTGTATTTGCCGGTTGCATGGGCTGCATTCTGATATTCGCATACCTTTCCATCCCTGAAACCAAAGGTCGAACCTTTGTGGAAATCGACGCAATGTATGATGCCAAGATTCCTGCCCGGAAATGGAGACAGCATTGGTCTTCGCTCGAGAAGACGATGGATTCAGGTTCCTAAGTTCCCAGATTAACCCGCTAAGTCTATGGACCGGTGTGTTATAGTCCCTGCTGTCAGTATTGCGTATGATATGGGGTTGGTTGAAGAGGTTTTAATGGCGATACGTTCGAGTTTGCAGTACAGTCTGGCTGATTTGGTGATGCGATGAGGCAGTTCTCTAGTGCTTTTGAATCCGATCGAGCTGTACTTAAACCACAAACAGATAAGAAAAGATAAACACCTGCCAGAAACCCGATATGATGACTCCGAAACGCCAGATGCGAAGTAAGAACACAAAAGAAGAAGATAGAAGGGTTTTCTGGGACGAAGTAAAGACCAGGAATCTATTGCGAGCCCCAAGCATGGCCAGTAGTGTGCAAAGAGCCCAACAGTGTTCTGTATTTTTCCATGAAAGGGTGGTTTCCACCTCGCAGGCTGTTCAACAGCAACATGAAGTCTTCTGTTAGGGTCTTGGAGAGCGCTTGACTGTCAGCCGTTGGAACCTGGGCATTTGGCATCGTTCTGGCGGGCGATGCCACCGTGATACCCTTAGCGAGAGGCATTTGGACATTGAACAAGACGCTGATTGCACCGACTGCGATGTCGTACAACTTCTCGACCTAGTATTGTGAGTAACTGCAACAACGATTCCTGAGGCTTGTACATACAAGGCCTATTCCATGCGCTTCCATGGAGCTCAACCGCAAAGACCGACAGATGTCAAGTGTCTCCTTTGCAATGGAGATGGCGTAGTTGAGGCTAAGTTCATGGCGTTCAGATGCAGGCCGTAGTAAACCATGGGTCGAACAGAGCACCCAAATGCGGTTCTGAAGCCATTTTTTCGTGATGAAGACATCTGCACATTGTGTTTCCCTTAAACCTATCGCCGGCCGGTTGCCCTGGTTCCCGCCGAGGGCTGACTTGGAGCGTTCAAACCAGTCGTATCCCTTAAATCGCTCAGACTCGCTGACACGGCTGAGATTTTGGTGAATCGACAAAGCCTTGGCTTCTGTGAGCTTCTCGCAATAACCGGTATTGACGTTGCACCGCTGGTTCCAGCAATCGACAACATCCTCATCAATCGCATCGAATAACTCCATCAGACGTGCGAGTCCCATCATTCCTTCGGCGTCCTTTTCGTTGTGAACAATGATGCCAGAGACTAGACTATGGGTGGCGCTGTGGATAAAATCATGCACGGGTCGCATACTAAATCCCGGTCTGCCCCAAAAGGTAATCGGATGTCTTCGTTGTAATGCATAAGCTCTGTATATTTTTGCCAGTTAGTGATTGATCTTGGAGATGGCCCAATTACTATGTATAATACCTCTCCGTGATTGACAGAACCGAATATGTCCGTAAACGTTGCCCCTTTTCATCACTGGGAAGATCTCGGTAAGACTCCGGATTGTTCAGTCCCAGTGTAGCAGCAAGATCAAGGGCCTCCCTCAGACGGAGCCATGCGGCGTTGTGCTGATTGCTGCCAAACAAGCACCCGAACAGGTAGAAACTGGTAAGAACGGCCTCAACCGTTGGGTGTTCCCCGAAATCAGAACAGCTTCGCATCTTGGTCGCTTCATTCATCATAGACCGAGCCTGGCTGGCTCGGGAAGAAGATGTCGGTCGCTCGTCTATCTCGATGGGTTGGGTAAGAGAAAATGCACACAATGCAAGAAGCATTGCACCGAATTGCGAGTTCCTGCGGTGCTCCTGGGACAGCATTCGGATGAATAGTGATGATCGGTTTAGCACCGGTAATGTCGGATGTAGACGATCAAAGTAAACGTCAATCCAGGGAATCATGTTTGCTTCCACAATGGACGAGGGCCACACCGTATTCGTCTCGTTCGACTGCGGATGCAGGACATTCGCACTGGACATGGGTACACTGGCGGCCTCCACTTGATGTGACTGCAGGCCTGTAGACGCAGCTTCTGTTTGTATGATAGATGGGAGTGAGGTTTTTAAGTAGATGTTGCTGCCCGGGAAATCAAAGATGGGCACCTGCGCATCCAGCGTATCTGGAAGCCAGTACTCCACATCGTTGCGCTCATTCCAGCTGACGCCACTAGTACTATGGGACTCGATTGGGGAAGCCCCGGCACTCCAACCGGGCGCAATTTGAGCTGGTGCCTGGGGAGGAGCAAGCTCAACGGGGACAGTGCCCTCACTATGCATGGGCCAGTGTGCAGCATCCTGCATTGGTTGAACGGTATCTGAGCCCCCATCTCCTCGAGACGACGAGTCCGTCTGATAGGTGAAGCCCCCTGGGAGCGGATTGGAAGCTACTACATGATTCTGAGCACCACTCAAACCCGATAGTTGGGTCTGCTGCTGCCGGATCTGGGACACACGACTTTTGATGCGCGACAGATTGACAGGATCAGACTAATGGCCTCGGATGTACTCAAGATAAAGGTAGTCGGTCAAACTCACTGTCCAGTGGGGCCCCGTTTCTTCTGTGGTTGATAAAAGGTGCAGTCAAAGCCCATGGAGACACATGCCCGGCATGGCTGGGATAGACTACACTGCAGTTACTAAAATGATTAGCTCGCAGGGCCGGAGCATAGAGTTTGAGTGGAACAAGGGGCCTGAAAGGAAAAAGCAAACAGGGGATGAAGGTCGGAGGTACTCCGAATGTAGAAAATAGAAAAAAATTAATAGATACTTGCCTTGATCTTGCGGAACTTGCATTGGTCGCAAGCTCGTTTCGCAATTGCGCCGGAGGGCTTCTTTCGGGAATCGGTGCGGATGGCACCGGTCATCGGTGATGCTGCGGCACCAGAGCTCGGGGGGTTCATGGTGGCATGTCCTCCTCAATTGGGCAGGGAATTGGGGGGGGAATTAGTAATCGAGGAACAAATTGGAGGGCATCGGACAACACCGTGACATCTCAGAGCCAAAGCATGGTCCTACGCCATTCGAGACTGTTCCAACATGCCACGAATCTGTTGGCAGTGATTTGAGCCGTCGGCAGTTGAGTGAGGAGAGATGGAGAATCAACTGAAAAGCTGGCCGGCCGCGGAGGCCCCGCGGCCCAGTGAGTGGTCCCTCCCCTCGAAACCCACTTTTCGGTTGGGAAATCCAATCCTCCGTCGTACTTCCCTTGGGAACGGCGGCAACCTCAACGAGTCAGTCCCATTGTCAGTCTGGGGAGCTCAAAGATAGTGGCATTTGGCCGGTTTTATGTTTTGGATCCTGGGGAACATATTTACCGTGGGTTGCATCCCAAGGGCAATGGCTTCTGCATCGTGCAACCATAGGATCACCCCATCGGGTCCGCTTCAACGATAAAATAAAAATAAACACACAAAACACTCAGGCTCGCCAGTTGATCACCGATCCGGCGGAAATGCTTCCGTCCAACGGTCAAAACCACCTATGCCCTTATCGGGATCTAGGTATGCAAGGTCTTCCCTATCATGGCTTGATACTCCGCCCGAATTCCTTCGCTGCTAGCTCTGACCCATGGTTGACCCCACCCTCGACTAAGTATCTCTCTTTTACTCTTCTGCTTGGTTGCTACCGTATCTAAGACCCGGAAGGCGGTATTTCAGGCCCGCAGATGCAGAGAGAGATAAGTCCTGGTCTACGGAGAAGATAATAACTGATAGCACTGATATATATAAAGAGCAGGTGACATGCGCGTGCACCTGAACTCCGATCATGTTTAAGTCAATGGAAATCTCTATCACCCGTCCTTATTAAACTCTCTATACCACCATAATGGGAAGCCTTCAACCATGGGAACAAATCGTCTCCCAAAAACGCTCTTCAAGGGACAAGCTCCTGGAACCCTACCTCGTTAACGATGTCAATCAGCGTGTTCCCCAGGTGCTCTCTGTTCAGGAGCGCTCTTGTGTCAAAGAGGATCCAGCGGTTCAAGAGATAACTGATATTGACAGCATTCCCAGACTGTTCGAGCTCCTAAAGACCGGCCAATACACAGCTGAACAGGCAACCTTGGCTTATATTAAGAGGTATGCAGACAACGTTATCTACACTGACCGGGTTATTTATCAAGTATTGGCTAAATCATGTTAAACGTTAACTAATTTCTTTTCTCCAATGCCAGGGCTGTCATAGCTCATCAACTGGTGAGGAATTCCCCCATAATATGCTTGTTGATAATATCAATACTGACAAAAGTGAACCGGCAGACAAACTGCCTCACCGAGGTCGTCTTCGAGGATGCGTTGAAGCAAGCCCGACAATTAGATCACGACTTTCGGCAAACTGGTCAAGTCAAGGGGCCACTGCACGGTATTCCGGTCACGCTGAAGGATCAGTTTGATCTTAAGGGTGTCGACACTACACTTGGCTATGTGGGCCGTTCTTTTGCGCCCGCTACGGAGGACGCAGTTCTCGTCCAGATGCTGAAAGATATGGGTGCTATCGTGCTAGCGAAAACAAACCTGCCCCAGAGCATCATGGTTCGTGTCCCTTGATCTCAGCTAATAATAGAAGTCCAAGTATTATTAACCTGTCTTTAGTGGGCGGAAACAGAAAACCCTCTCTGGGGGCTGACGGTCAACCCACGGAACCCTGGGTTCACACCGGGCGGTTCCACCGGAGGAGAGGCCGTCCTGCTGGCCCTGCACGGCTCCATTCTAGGATATGGCACGGATATCGGTGGCAGTGTGCGGATCCCGCAGAGTCTCATGGGTCTCTATAGCCTAAAGCCCACCGTACGTCTCGCGACCTAGCAGATCTAGAAGACTTACCAAGCCTCGGTAACTTCACTGACAAACCAGACAGAGCAGCAGACTTCCGTACCACGGCGTGCCTGTCTCAACCGAGGGACAAGAACATGTCCCCTCTTCCGTCGGCCCCATGGCAAGAGATTTATCGTCCCTCTGCTATATAAGCCGACTGGTCGCCAATGCTCAGCCATGGCAGTTGGATCCCAAATGCGCGCCCCTTCCCTGGAACGAGAACTCATTCCAAGAGATTCAGAACCGACCTCTGGTGATCGGTCTAATTCTAGACGATGGCGTGGTGAAAGTCCATCCTCCCATCGAAAGGGCCCTTCGGGAGCTCTCTGCAAAGCTGGAAGCGCAGGGCCATGAACTAGTCCCATGGGACGTTTCCGATCATCTAGATTGCATCCAACTGATGGACGCCTTTTACACCGTGGACGGTGGTGAAGACATCCGTCGTGACGTGGAAGCCGCTGGCGAGTCTTATATTCCCCACGTGGAAGCATTGGTGAATCGCGGGAAGCCCATTTCCGTTTACGAGTACTGGCAGCTGAACAGGAAGAAAGTCACTCTGCAGAAGAACTATTTGGATAAATGGAATGCAGCTCGCTCCCCATCGGGAAGACCCATTGATGTACTCCTGGCCCCGACGATGTCCCATCCTGCCATCCCACACCGAGGCCTGCGATGGGTTGGATATACTAAGATCTGGAACTTCCTTGATTACACCGCTGTCACCTTTCCCGTGGACCAAGTGAGGGCCGAGGTGGATGAACTGCCAGCAGACTACCAACCGAGGAACGAGCTAGACGCATGGAATTGGAGCCTCTACAATGCAGAGACCATGAATGGCCATCCGGTTAATCTCCAGGTTATTGGAAAGAAGTTGGAAGAGGAGAAGGTGCTAGGGGCCGCGACTGTCATTGAAAAGATCTGGAGGAGCTAGTAGTTCTTGATCACTCGGATACCATGATCATTGCACATACACAAGTCACTCCGTGATCATTTAGCCTATACTTAGTGAACCAATGATCTATCCAGTACCCCGTACCAATGCTAGAGCAACCCCCCCCCCCACTTTTCCACGAGAACATACCCCAACCGGGCCGTTGGAGTCATGTCAGAAGTGGAGGCCGCCATTTTTGGAGTAAGCCAGGGTATCCCACCGATCGGGACATAGCAGCCACCCACCGTAGTATGATGATATCTAATACTTGGTAGTAATGGGCATAACTTTTGAATGAAGTGGGACACTGATAAGCCTGATCTGATACCTACCTAGATACTGAGGTCTCGTCCAGCTCGGCCTAGTTATCGCGGCTTATCTCCGGTCATTATCAAAGGCCCGAATTCGGTACCCCTCATCGTTCCCCTCCCCATCGACTATATAAAAGATAATAGCCAGAAGGGAGAGACTTTAATCCTGGTTCGACTGCATATACCTCCCTGATTTTCCCAATATTATCCTTTCAGTTACCACCCCTCACAAACAACTCTAACATGGGCAAGAAGCGCGTTCTAGTCAGTTATGGAGTCGATATCGATGCCGTAGCTGGTTGGCTGGGATCATATGGCGGAGAGGACAGCTCTAGCGATATAAGTCGAGGTAAACCATGTTGTTGAACCAATTTACCACACCCAAATCCAGATACAGCCCCTCAAACTTTACATGCCCAATCCACTCATAATTGTTGATCACAGGTCTCTGGGCCGGTCACATCGGCACGACCCGCCTCCTCAAACTCTTCGAGAAATACGGCATCAAAGCCACCTGGTTCATCCCAGGACACAGTCTCGAGACTTTCCCCGAGGAGTGTGCCATGGTCCGTGATGCCGGCCACGAGATCGGACTTCACGGCTACACGCACGAAAACCCCTCCGACATGACCATCGAGCAGCAACAGGATATCTTAGACAAGACCTACCACATGCTGTACGATTTCTGTGGCAAGCCGCCGCGGGGTATTGTTGCGCCGTGGTGGGAGACCAGCAAAGAGATGGCAGATTTGCTGCTCTCGTACGGTATTGAATACGATCATTCCATGTCGCATCACGATTGTCAGATGTATTGGTTGCGGACGGGAGATACGTGGACGAAGATCGATTATACCCAGAAGGCGGAAACGTGGATGAAACCGTTGGTGAGGGGTCAGGATACCGGGCTGGTGGAGATCCCGGGGAACTGGTATATTGATGATTTGCCGCCGATGATGTTTATCAAGTCGGCGCCGAATAGTCATGGTTGGGTAAATCCAAGGGACGTGGAGGATATTTGGAAGGTTTGTGGTTTCTGATCTATATGGTTATTCAGGGATTGGAGATACTGATCATTTGGTGGCAGGATCATTTTGATTACTTCTATCGTGAGTACGATGAGTTCGTCTTTCCGATGACTATCCATCCTGACGTGTCGGGTCGTCCACACGTCCTTCTTATGCATGAGAGGTGAGTTGCTGGCTTATTTGTCTTTGATTGTGAGATGTCATTGGCTTGAATGCTAACTTGGTTAGAATCATCGAACACATCAACAAGCACGACGGTGTGGAGTGGGTGACATTTGAGCAGATGTGCGACGAGTTCAAGAGCAAGAACAAGCCGCCGGAGGGCGCAAGGATGCCTGCTCCTCCTATGCCGCCAAAGAAGTGAAATCCAGCCTTACGAGCCGGGTCGATTGTGTTCAATAGTGAATGGATTGCGTACACACCAGGAGGTCCGCGGTCCAGTGTATGAGATAGGAGTCTAATAAACGATACCTGGATATTATTCTCATGACCACTTCAAAGTAGAAAAGCGTTGATATCATATGCTAAATAGGACTTGGCATCACCCTGCTCTGTGAACGCCCCAAACACCGAAATATGCCTGCATCTATTTTTCATCCACTTATTTTAATTTCAGTTCTGTGGCGGCTCAAATAGCTGAGGCTTCATGTTGACCCTGCAAAGCTTCGCAACGCAGCCGCTTAACTGCAGCAATGACTGTACACCGTCCAGGATGCGCATGTGTGTGAAACCGATCTCCCGGATGAATTCAAGTTTCGAATGTTCCGACAGGGTGGGGATAGTCTTGGTGACTCGGAACATGGTGCTAATGATATCATGAGAGGAATATCCCAGATCCCTAGAGGTTGAGTGAGAACAGACCCGAAGAAGGCTGCATAGCGTGAGCGCACTAGAATTGAACACATACCACAGTTCACTGAGTGTCTCTAAGGCCGCATCGACCTTGCCTTCCCAGCAAGCCTTGATCATTGCCTGGACCTTGATCGGATGCGGGCTGTCGACCACCCTAAAGACGTTGTCCCCACTGACGAAGCCAAACCCCGAGCATGTACTTTGCAGATTGTTGATGGCCTGACGCATGTCTCCCTCGGCACTGAAGACCAACGCGGCGATTCCTTCTTCGTTATGTTCCACTTTCTCGGCGTCGCACACCTGTTTTAGGCGCTTGACGATTTGCGCATCGGTCAACCGGGCATAACGTAGGATCGCGCATCGGGACTGAATCGGCTCAATAATTTTGTTTGACTGGTTACATGCGAACGCAAATCGGGTTGTTGACGAGTAGATTTCCATCGTACGCCGCAGCGCTTGTTGGGCACCTGATGTCATACTAAACCGTCTGTGAGCCGGTAGAACTGGCTATGCAGCTCATTCTTCGATACGTACCTGTCCGCTTCATCGAGAATGACAAGCTTATGACGACCGGCCGGTAGCGTGACTTTCTTCTGTGCGAAACCTTTGATTCGATTCCGTACGACATCGATACCTGTAGATGGTTAAATCCTACTGTTGTCTCCTTCTAGTGGGCTGCAAATGAACCTCTCTCATCGCTAGCATTGAGCTCCAGAACTGCCTCCTTGTATGCATCTCCCAGTAGCTGTCTTGCCAAGCACAGAATCGAGGTTGTCTTTCCAATACCGGGCATGCCTGAGATGATAACATGCGGCATATTGCCATCCTTGGCGATGATTTTCAGACGCTCAACAGTTTCTGTGTTTCCGACAATGTCATCAAGGAAAACCGGGCGATATTTCTCCACCCTATCCGTAGGATTTTCTCGTTAGATGCGAGGGTTTAAACCAGCTGTGATGCCGGGCCTGCTGTACGTACCATGGCAGTTCATAATCGGGAGGGGCCCCAGTCGTCTGCGCTTTGAGGCCATTGCGGGAGGCACTGGCGGAGGATTCGGCTTGTGCCATGGCGGAGAATAGCCTATTATAAATTATATTCAGTCTCGAGTTGAATGGGTCGTTGTGTACTGATCCAAGAGCAGTCGCGAAAGTGCTGGGGATGGATTAAGATTGGATGGGCGGGAGACGCGCCAGAGGCGGAGACGCGTCGGGATGCGCATTTGGCCTAAAGGAGTACTCGTCGCGCCGCCAACCCACCCTTTCAGGGTTGGGTCGGCCACAGCTCGACGAATCCCCTTGGCTCAAGGAATCGGTCACTTTTATATGTGATTCCCATATAAAAGATACTTTTAGAAAATCTTTAATAACTCAACCATTACAAAAGCTGTGGTTTTCAAATTTTGATATAGATTTTATATTTATATTATTTACTACTAAATATAAAAAAAATTTAGAAAATTATATCAGATTATAGAAATACTTGATTTCGTGCTTGATTTATAGACTACTTTTCAGTTTTTTGCTAATATGAATTGGAATTCAGGATTTAATGTTAAAAATATTCTAGTATATATAAGTTTAAGATTCTAGCTATATTTTTATATCAAAATATCAAGGCTCCGGACTATAGTGGTTGAGTTATTAAAGATTTTCTAAAAATATGTTTTATATGGGAATCACATACAAAAGTGACCGATTCATTGAGCCAAGGGGATTCGTCGAGCTGTGGCCGACCCAACCCTGAAAGGGTGGGTTGGCGGCGCGACGAGTAGTTATTGTTCGCCGGGCCTGAGGCGCTCAGCAACTTGGGGTTGGAATGGTCCCGATATTATCTATATGCAGGAGAACCATGTAAGCTACGTTCCTTTTTGTCGTTTCAGCCCGGTAAGGTATGGATCTACCAACTTGAATCCTCTCAAACCTGCATTAATCCGCAGAGGTAGCCCAATTGATGGGCCTCCTGGCAATGCCTCGGACTTCCGCCTTCAGCACTCCACTTTCATATCATTTAGCATCGTTCGTCCACGTCCCCCACCCTCCAGGCCATTCATGATATTGTTCCGAGCCAGCACATATTATCCTCACTCATCCCATTCTCTCTCGAACAACCATCCCCCCATTTTTAACACACTCAGCCGGTCCCTCCAGAAGCTTGCTACAACGTTAACCTTACCACTACTACCACCACCTCCAGTTTCCCTACATACTTATGTGTCCATGACACAGCTATAGCTGGCCGAGATCCAAACCCCTAAACATATTAATTAATACGAGCGAATATCCTATATTCACTTATCCGACTATCTTCATTCCACGCCATGGGAACCTCCGTCCGCCGCAATCTCTTCCACCATCACCTCAGCAGACGCGCTGGCTCGACCGGTCCCGCGGGTTCCGCTGCGCATAGTAGCACCAGCAATGGGACCTCCAACCTGTCTACACAGGTGCTGCAGCCCGCTTCATCCGAAGCTTCTACATGCTTGAGTTCCGGTTCCATTGACAATGGGGAAATCGTGGTCAAGGACAAGAATGGCAGCTACAAGCTCGATATTCCCGTACTCCCACCCTTGATTGGAGAAGAGGGCGAGGAAATGGAGGGTATGGAGGAGGGAGGTGCCGGTGGTGGTTCTTCGAATGGACACGCGATGTCCGGACGTGAGAAAGAAAGTAAGTCGAAGTCAACCCGGTCCCCGAACGTCGAATCCAGAAGCGCTAATGACGGCGATTAGAAATGGAGGCGAACCTGGTGGAGATGATGTACCGGAATCGCAACAGACGGATGAGCAGTGAGCCAGCTGGTGAGCCCCATCACCCTCGAGATGAAGACTTATGCTGTTGCGCGATTTGGCTAATGTTCCTAGAAATCCTCACCCACATACACCAGGGCCTTCGAAACAAGGTCGCCGCCTTGGAGGAGGATAATTGGATGTACGAGGCTGAAGTTGACTCGAGGGTCTAATCATTCCATTCGCGCCCCGTTTGTCTATATTCATTATTATGCATGGCGGAGGATGTGATCAAATTACATTCTTTATATCGCCAGAATGCCCGGCAAAGTCTTAGTCGAGCTCCAGACTCGCAGGGGGCGCTTCCACCCTCTTTGATCCCCCTCTGCCCTGAGGTGCCCTCCGAGCACCAGCGTTATCCTGACCGCCACCAAAAAGCATACCGCTCATCATATCCAACAGGGGGTTGCTCTGCCTCGGGACCTTGATTGCGAAATACTGTTCGCCAAGCTGGGACAGTGCATCGTCCCAAAGTCCGACATCTCTGATCTGGGATGCATAATGCGCAGTCAACTGCTTGAACAGATCCGAACTACCACGCTGGATTGTGAGAAGCAGCATGCTTATGAAGTTGACCAAGGCCAGTGCGGGGAAGACTCGTGCGTCGGAACTAGCGCTGCTGACCTCTTGCACACCAAGTGAGGGGTTCGAGGAGGAAAGCTTTGACGTGAAGATAAGGAAGGCTTTGTTGGCGCTGCGAAGGTTTCCGATCAAAAGGTACGGGAATACTGCGCGAGATGCATAGATTGCCGCCGTGTGCGGTTCGTCATGGGTGTACCACTCGAACTCGAGTTTAGCCAGAGTCTCGGCGGATTCAGAGGTACCGAAGATGAGATGCTTCTCCGCGTCATAGGGTTCATGGTCTAGAAACATCTATCAGGAAAAGGCCCTTCCATCCAGAATCAATATGGGTCCGCATACCTTCCGCATATACCGATCCAGCGGCATGATGCAGGTCGGGGTCGCCTCTTTCCAAAGGTCCGAATCGGCCACTCCAGCCGATGATTTCCTGAATAAACCTTCTCCGAGTGGGCTCTTCGGATGGGAATTCGTGCAGAAGTTCGATTAAGCGCTCTATACGTAGAAAAGGAGCCGTCAGCCACCCCGGTTATTCCAAAACATGAAAGCCATCGGCCATTCCACGCTGCATCGAGTAAAATGGAACAGGCTGCGTAGGGACTTACTCTTCCGCGCCCGCCCTTCCGTATCGTCGTCCCCTCCAGTAATCTCCCACCCCGCCTTTGTGTAGACCTCGACCACCAGCATGATCGCCAAATCTCCGCCACTAGCAGAAGCACCCTGCTGAGATCCAGCCCTCAGAAGAGCAGTGGCGCCGCCAGCCAGGATCTCTGCTGCCGCATTGTAGTTGGCTTGTTTGATGTATCGCGCAGCGATGACCCGCAGTTGCTGGTGAGCTTCGTAGTAGGCACCAGAAGCGATCCTGCAGGAAAAGAGCCAACGTATTAGTTGTCGTGTTTTCCGAAACGTCTCAAAATCTAGCTATATAATATGCGTAAGATCCAGAGTGGGTTGACTCACTTTTCTTGTTGTCGAGCAATCGTCTTGTCGATACGTGAGGTCATCTTGAATGAATCACCAGGGGTGACAATTAAATCGGAGATGGACTGAGAACGGGAGGCGTGGTAGATCGGTACAAGCTACAGCACATGAGTCCAAGAAGAAACCAAATGGCGATGACCACCTAATCCGAAACGCCTACTCTGAGGTATGGTTGACGACGTCAAGCAACTGTGGCCGGGAAGTCGATAGCGGGCGACTTTTGGTGGGGACGCGCTTCGGTTCTTCCAGACGGCGGAGCAGCTGGACTACTGCAGCCATGAACTACTCCGGACTTCTGGCTATCTACTACGTCTTTCCTCCCCGGACTCTCCAGCTGCAGGAACCCTACCTTTCTAGCTACCTACCTTGGAGCTAGCAGCTGTCGGGTTTTATCATTGGGTTCCTATGATCTTCATTCCTGCTGTATCTCTTGCCAAGCACGCGCACGATAGAATAATATTTACCCCGGGTGACCTTCCTGCGCGTTTTCATCCATTTCCCACCCCTTAGGTAATTCCGCAAAGCCATGGACCGCAAGGCTTTTGATATTCAGCCCATTGGCCGCTTCTACGAAGCCAGTGCTGCCATCCGGCGTCCAAAGGTAAGCTTAGTATATCCCCTACTTGATACCTGAATCGCAATATAACCATCGCCCAGGAAATCGCATGTTTCTCTTATGATGACGAGCATAAGTTTCACCTTGGGGAGTCATCCATGAAATACTATTATCCGCCACCTCTTCCTGCGGATCTTAACCGTGGGTTTGAGTCTTTCCAGAAGTTAGATGATTCCGCCGATGAACATCTTGATGCTTTGCTAGAGACAATTATGGCCCTAGAAAAAGAAACAGCGAAGCAATGCGAAGCTGATATTGTTACCTGGAGAGGTATGATGACCAAGGTAGATATCGCCACTCGAACTGCGATCACATAGGCCTGAAAAACATGCTCATTCTCCGTCCACGTCTAGATCCTTGCCGCTCCATTTGATCACTTAAACGGGTGTGTATATTCTAGTTGACCGTCTATCACCCCGGCCGTTGACGCGCGTATAGATTTGAAATGAATGCGACCTGTTTCCAGGTATGTAGATGACCGTCACTCAGACTTTGGCTCCACCCGTTAACTCTTTACTCCCAGGGAACTATGTGTGTGCTTTCAAGCCCTCCGTGCCTATAGACTTCTGATCCTGACAGCCAGCCAGCTTTATTGAAGAGAACAACAGCTATAAGAATGAGCAAAAGCAGATCCAAAAGAATCAGCGAATGCCTCCCGGGATGGCTTCCCAGGAGCTGATGGCCTACTGGGGTAAATGACACCCCCTCTAACTTGGAACTGCGTACTGACCGACTTAGGTTATAAATTTGAAGCTTTGTCTGTCCTTAACCAGCCGTGGGATCCAACTCCTCGCAAAGAGATTGAATACCGTGAAGAGCTCGTCGTAAACAACAATGCTCAGTATTGTTCCGTGGTCCGCACCGCCATAGGCCGCACACGGCTAGTCATCGGTGGAGAGGTAGATGCCGGTACGTCATAAAACTGTATATCTTCTCATTGCGAGTGGTTATATACCTGATAGTTCATTCTAATGCTCTCTCACTCTCTCCAGTCTGGGACTGCAAACCTGGTCGAAAGGAAGACCCTATCCATTGGGTGGAACTCAAGACCTCGGCCGAGATAAGGAATGACCGGGACATGGTCAAATACGAGAGAAAGCTCTTAAAGTTCTGGGCTCAATCATTCTTGCTCGGTGTACCCAAAATTATCGTCGGCTTTCGTGACCAGCAAGGCATTGTCCATCGTCTTGAGGAGCTTGAGACCGCCTCCATACCAGCAAAAGTCAAGCAGGTTGGCCGAGGAACTTGGGACGGAAATATTTGCATCAGTTTTGCTGCTACATTTCTCGAATGTACGAAACCCCATCCTTGTTCCGTCATTAAAGATAAAGAAGAGAGATCTAAACTGACCGGTGCAGGGCTCAAATCCACCATCCATGAAGAAGGCACCTGGAGAATACGCAAACGCGAGAAGTCGTCGCTTATCGAAGTCTTCAAACTGGAAGAGAGCGGGACTGGTGATATCATCTCCCCGGCTTTTTCGGCTTGGAGATCTAAAAAATGAGCCATGCAAGCGCTGGACCATTGGTTCCTCCCTATCTCCAATGGTCCAGTATATATGGACTGCTCCACGAAGGAAGAGAATGTGACCACCAAAGCAAATTCACATACGCGGTAGAACTGCATTCTACGTCGCTAACTTGACAGGGACATGCATAACTTCTTGACTTGATGCGTGACTATTTGATTACGACATTTGCTACTCCGACTTGGTCTTTGGGTGCCAGCGATCATTGAGTGCTGATTAAGATGCCCGGTGCAACCCGCTACTCCCTGATGATCTACACTTGGATGCATTCGCTGCCTAGAATCTTAAATTCGTGGCCAGGAAGCTTTGCATGTTCTATGCCAGCCTTGGCCGACTTGCGGATCATCATAAAGATTTCGTTTCTACTGTAAGCCGGAGTCGTCTACTTGACTGCGCCTGCTTTCAGCAAGGTATGTATTGACATTTGCGATGCAGACATGTTGATTTACGAGTATATACTGAGTCGGATCATCGCCCTAGATAGTCCCAGGTGTCTCGCAGATACCTCTATGTTGCCATTCGTTGCGCCTCGGTCCACTTGGCGTTTATACTGGTGTAATTGTCTATCTTCTATGCCAAAGGGGGCGGTGCCCTCATATCTGCCTCAGTAGCGCATCCGCGATCCTCTTCCTGGACGTCCTTTAGCTTTTCTTGTCGCCTCCGTAGAAAGTCATCACGGGCGGCCCGCTTGGCCGCACTTTTGAGAGCTCTTCTATGGGCGTGTCCGTTGATATGGATCTGCCACTGCTCTTCACCGGTCATTGTCTTGCGGCAAACATCACACGTCCTGCATTTTGCTATAGGCGCTGACTCCTGCGGTTGCGCCTCTTTGGCGCTCAGAACTGTTCTTGCAAGTTCCGACAGCGACTTCGGATCGGGGGTCGGCTCGTCATTTAGTAAAGCACGAACAAGACGTTCAGATGGTTCCGTGATGCTCTGCTCCCATGCGTCGACGTTTGTGCTATCTAGAAGGTAAAGACGGTTGGTCGAACCAGCATCTGCAAGGGCTTTCCATAACTTGTTTCGAATCCATTTAATCTGAGACACTGCATACTGCCGCGTTGCAGTTTTTATCGACTCGACACCGGATCGCCTGAGAGTCTCTAGCCCGGCCTCATCCACTGAACCAGTGTATAGCGCCTCGAAATAGGGCGCTAGCTCCTTGTAGCCGATAGACACCCACACACCGCGGGTCTGGTCGACTGAGACGCCTTGAGCTTTCCTCTCCCGAAGATAATCCGACATGTGTCTTGCCTCTGCCATCAGCCCTTGCTCTATCATCCCATCTACGCGTTTGTCCAGTCGATTGGTGAGCGTTTCCTTCTCCGAGTGTACCCAAAATACCATGGTCGGAAATCGTAACTGACCGGCGCCCGCAAGGGACGAGTCACAGGTCATGGCTGCTTGCTTCGTCCGCTGTTGCTCTGCATAGACCTCGGACGCGGGCCTGCCGGTTTGGAAATAAATCTCTAGGGAGCGACGAATCTTGCGCGTTTCATTCGGATGCCATCGATTGGCCATGACCGGGTCGACCTCTCTCAATTTCTGTAGGACCACCTCAGTGGGCGCATCGAGGATGGGCCATTTGGTGGAGGAGTTCAGGTCGTTGTCCTTGGCCACGCGATCGGCCGCCTCGTCTTCCACATCTCCCGAGGCATTCTCCTCGCCAACCAGCTGGTCCTTGAAAAGGACTGCCTGTGTGTAGTAGTGAGTTCCGCCGACCAGGACGGGAACTTTCCCTCTGGCATGGATGTCCTCGATGAGTCGGAGACTTTCGTTCCTGAATCTACCCACCCACCAGGGTTGTTCCTCCAGCTCAACACAGCTAATTAAGTGGTGCGGGATTCCGCTTCGTTCCTCGACGGGGATCTGGTTGGTGATGATGGGGAGACCACGATACATCTGCATGGCATCGCCATTGATAACCTCTCCATTAAACCGCAAGGCCAGATCCACTGCAAGCTAACTGCAGTCATCAGTAAGTGACGTTCGGGAAGACGTGTAGATGTGAGGACCTATGGCTGGACCTTCTCACCTTTGACTTGCCCGTGCCTGTCGCACCGACGACAGCAATGATCGGATTCATGAAGGAGGGGCGCTGGAGAGATAAAAAAGGCCGGAGACAGGTGAGCATCGAGGATTGCGACAGGCCACAGTTAGCATATTTGCCTGGTGAAGTCCATCGGGCGGGAAACCGCGAGTTGATCGACTCGGACTGGGCTGATCGAACTAGATGCTGAGGGGAGAGGCTGAGAGGCCAAAAAAAATTGCCGGCAAAATTCCCCTCCATCATTACCTCATCAGCCATGCCGCCATCCATCCACATGTTTCTTATCTTCCACTTCATTTCCACGCCTTCATTCGTTGACTCGGGACAGAAGGATCAAAAATTTACCTAGATTCGATTTAAGCTGCTTTGCGCAGTCTGGGTTTAGTGCTCATTTGTAGCGAATACGACGGAATATGCTCGGGCTGGTTGCATCGATAGTTGAGCATTCTCTCGAATATATTTACTACTACAATCGCGTTCCCTCTTTTCCTCTCATTGCTCCCCACCCGATCACCGACTCTACCCCTTTGTCTTAATCATGGCACACAACAACAGTCCCTCGCCCTCAATCGAGGTCAAGAACCTATCTTTCAAATTCCCCGACGGCTCCCCCGGCTTGACCGACGTCAATCTTCAAGTCCCCGCAGGCAGTCGCACTTTGCTCATCGGAGGTACGCCTATCTCACTCTTTGCAAGTATCCCCAGCCATGCACCCACTAACACCTCAATAGCAAATGGCGCCGGAAAGACCACCCTTCTCCGCCTCCTTTCAGGCAAGCGCCTAGCTCCCACAGATACCATCACCGTGGCTAGCAAAGACCCCTTCAAGGACGGCCTAGAAGGAGTTACCTATCTGGGCATGGAATGGGTTCTCAACAACATCGTTCGCTCGGACATCGACGTGCCGACGCTCCTCGCCTCCGTTGGCGGCAACGCCTACCCAGACCGCCGTGATGAGCTTGTCGAAATCCTCGACATCGACCTGCGGTGGCGCATGCACGCCGTCTCAGACGGCGAGCGTCGTCGCGTGCAGCTCGCCATGGGTCTCCTGCGTCCCTGGCAAGTCCTCTTGCTCGACGAGATTACCGTCGATCTAGACCTGCTCTCCCGCGCCAACTTCCTCGCCTTCCTTAAGCGCGAGACCGAGTCCAGACCCTGCACCATTGTCTATGCTACACATATCCTAGATAATTTGTCTCTGTGGCCCACTCACCTCGTCCACATGCATCTGGGCACCGTCAAACGATGGGGCTCCATCGAGAAGTTCCGGGAGGAGGTCAAGGAGTCTTCCCAGAATAGTCAGTTGGGTGAGCTCGTGCTCAAATGGCTCAAGGAGGACTTGAAGAGCAGGGGTCCCCGAAACGGGTATCAGGGTCAGGCCAAGACCTATCCGTCCCTTGACGGGCTGGGTGGGTACGGCTTGGAAAAGAGACCTGATGCGTGATGCATGTGCACTCATGATCGGGGGTTTCCTTTGCTTTCTTCATCTATCTACTCTTTTTGATTTGTTGTTGTTTGCGCCGTTCAACATAATTGGTCCAACAGCCATCACTAGATATGCATAGCAGGGGTTCAGGGCATCATTCAACTTTTGGAGTTCCTAGATCGGGCGTATACATTCAAAATCCCCGGAATCTTGTCTTCTTTCAACACTTCCAGCAATTTCAACCCATGGTATGTCATTTCCCTGTTTCATTGAATTGGTTCTGTACATACATGACAGCTTGGTTATAAACCCATATCCGAGAAGCTATATATGCGGGTTGAGGTGTCCTCACTTGCCACAGCAAGCGCAAAACCACCTGTCTCTTCTTCGGGTGTCGGCCGCCAGGATAGCTGCGTGATCGTCTTCGAAGGCGATACAAGTTTGTCGACGTTCGACAGATGAATTGCCTCCAGACTCTCGACGGCAATCCGGTAGACAGACAATTCCCCACTTTCTTCACCCGCAGCGAGGATGAAGTAGCCCTTGTAAACGTTCGAAAGGAACCCGATGGCGGTGACGGGCGTTTTCAGCGGAATGGTGGACTTGCACTCGAACGAACTTTCATTCTTTCGCCATAGTTTCACTGACTTGTCCCGGCCAGCGGTTGCGAAGATGGATGTTCCCGACTCAGGCGCCCATGCGGCATCAAGAATCATCCGGGAGTGGCCCTTAGGGTTCGAAGTCAAGAGTGAGAATGTAGAGATGTGCTGCTTGCTGCGCTCGTAAACGGCCCATTGCCGGTCACGCCCAACGCTGAGAAGGTAGCGGTCGTCGCTGGAGAATTTGAGACCAGTGATGGTCAACGTGTGCGCGGCGAGAGATGGTCGAATTTCATGCCAGTCCGATGTGTCGTACAAACGCACCACTGCATGGTCAATCGAACTCGCCTTGCAAGCAGTGGCAATAAGTGTGCGGTCATGACTGACAGCCACAGCTGATATTTCGTATCCGTGCCCGTATAACTTTTCATGCTCCGGCCATAATGTGTGACGAGCCAGCTGATCCTCCAATGGCGGCTGGTTTGCCTCTAACAAAAGCGCCTGGTTTGCCTGGGCTTTGCCAACTTCTTCGCCCTCTGCTCCGTCTCCGCCTGCAGGAGCATCATCCGCAGGAGCCTGGTTGGATAATCCTAGGACAGGAATCTGCGCGGTGTCCGGCAGTGCTCCTTCGGTGGACTGCTTGAACCCTGAGAGTTGTTCCAGGAGCTGTACGATCGGTCCGGGTTCATTGAATACTCGCAAAAGCTTCTCGTCCGCGCCGGATACGAAACGGGCCGGTCCCAAAGTGTCCACGCAGTTTAAATCGTAACCATGAATCTGAGGTCGTGAAAACTCGTGCCATGACTTCAGTCCATCGCGCACCCACTGAGCATGGAGGCGTGTCGTTTGATCAGCACTTGTTGACAGGAGATATCCTCCTGTTGGCTCCCATTGGACTCCGTTGGCTGATCGCACATGTCCCGTAATACCCAGTGATTGCGCCCACATATCGGTTTCTGCATCATACGTCCACGAGCGCCAGCTCCCAGTGCGGCCCAGACTCACAGCCTGCTTGCCGTCTGGAGACCACAGACCTATCCAGAACCCACCAGTGCTCCCCGTAGCTGTGGTGGAACCTTTTTGGACACTGATCTCTCCCATTCGCTCACCCGAAAGCCACACCCCCGAAACCGGATCTTGTTCCCAGATGGTCAGAGTGTTGTCTGCTGAAGCTGTGAGGAGTTGTTGGCGCTCTGGATCAGGATTCCATGCAGTAGTGTAGACCCAATCCTCATTTCCGAACAGGAGAGCTTCGAATGTGACAGAGTATTTGGACCCCGCAGCCTCAAACTGATGGGCCTTGTTTGATAGCGTCGGTTCGAACCCGCCTAGCATCGGGTCGTCATCACACGCTGGTGTGGCAGGGACAACCTCCCCTCGTTGGAGTCGCCAGAGTCGAACATACTTGTCCTGACTAGCAGAGGCCAATAGCAGATCGCCAGTCTTGCTTTGCTTGTCCAGTGTAAAGGACAGGGAGCGCACCCAAGCCTCGTGTCCGGACAACACAGCGGAGAGCTTGAAATCAGGGTCGGCTGTAGCGTTTTCCGCCACATACACTTGCACAGCGTTGGTGGTCCCTGCAACTGCCAATGCCACAGGCCTGTCGTTCGACTCCGTTTGAAGTGGTGCCAAAGCCAAAGTCAATGGAAAAAAGCGTGGCTTCATGGGTATAGTCCTCAGCTGTTCGCCCTTTGGCTCACCCTGAGCACTTATCTTCCATATCTTCACGGTAGCATCTGCCGCGCCCGATGCGATAAGATCCAGCCCATCAGCCACGGCGATCGTATTGACTGAGCCAGTATGTCCTTCCAGAGTATGCGCGTGGACGAAATGGTGTGGATTGGCTGGTTCGGCGCGCCATAACCGGACCGTATGATCGACAGACCCCGTCAAGAGGAGTTTCGTTCCCGAAAAAGGACATGTGTAGAAGCGAACGACACTGACCTTATCAGTGTGGCCGACAAGAAGCGAATAGACCCCGCGCTGTGAACTGTCCTGCACACAGGTCACGGCGTCAGCCTCAACCCAGTCTTGAAGCAACACAAGTACCGCAAGGAATACTTACCCTAGGATCCCATAAGGCAACATTGTTATCTGCACCAAAGGCAAGCACGCCCAACTCGACGTCCCAGTCGGCGGCGGCGGGATGCCTATTGCCCCCGACGCTGATGTACTCGGAGGTAATGGAGACCATGAAGCTCGTCAGTCGGGACTCTAACGATCAAACCAGGTGTTTTTAATCCAAGCACAATGAGGCCAAGGAAACCAAGAATTAAGCAAGTGCGGGGTGGACTGGTCGTCGCCAACTGGTACTGGCTGTCGAATGGTTCGCACGGCTGACTTTTTGTGCCTGCGACTGGCGGCTTATCGATAAGAGCGGGAATCGCCCCCCCGGCCTCCCTGGACCCATCATCGCTTTTCTTTCGCGCCGTGTCCTGACAAAGTAACAAGCTTACATACCGCAACCCCGTCCCAATTTTTGTCTACAGATACTAGATATGGCTACGGATGCTGCTACCGGCTCCCCTGCGGTGGGCAAAGCTAGTATCGACCCCATGTCCATCACCGTTGAGTTCACGTTGAGTTTATCCTTGGAGCATTGCTATTTCCATGGCTGACTTCTTGCGATATAGAGGAGGCCTGGAGATCCTGTTTGCCAATGAGCGTAAGCATCACGTTACGCTGCCTTCGTGCCTCAAGGACGGCAGCCGCCCAACGATCAGCTTTCTCCTGAACTACCTGGTGGAGAACCGCATGAAGGATCAAAGGAAGGAATTGTTCATCCTGGAAGGCAATGTGTACGTTCACTACATGGAAGAAGAGAGTGGATTAATACTGATCTCTGGCGATAGGCGACCTGGTATTTTGGTCCTCATCAACGATGTGGACTGGGAGCTCGAAGGCGAGGAGAGCTACGAACTTCAACCGAGTGATAACATAGTATTCGTCTCTACGCTTCATGGGGGCTAGCGCCATCTACGTTCACAGTCGTACCGATGATACTCTTACGGTCAAGTGATCGCAGGGGACTATGTACAAGATGAAATGCAAGTCTAGACAACATCTTCCACGTGCTGCTGTGAGATCCTCTCGGGCTCCCGCGGGGTCCGGAGGCCGCTCTGCGGCGTTGCAAGGCCTTCCTTTGGACTTCCAAGTCCCCCAGCCAGTGGGGTCGTCATCCCACTCGGCGGGACGGGAATCTTGATGTCTTCGGGCGAGCCGGGGATGATCTCTTTGGGAAGACCAGGAATGTGGATTCTGCGTGCCTCGTTCTGATAGCTTTCGGGTATTATCTGGAGAAGTCAGTTAAATGAGGTGCTCAACTCCATTAGACCTTTAGCAATGGGCTCACTTCAATTATTTCGTCCCGTGGAAATTCCAAGAATGGGATATCGGCTGCATTGCATGCCATCAGATAACCATAAAGAACCCTTAATACGCTCTCGTGCGCAATAATCAAGAGATCGTTCTGTTCGCGTTCGAGCTCCAGGATAATCGGCTCAAGTCGCACCGCAAGGTCATGATATGACTGCCAGTCCAGTCAGTTAGGAATGCTTCGTGATTAAAATGAGACAAGGTAATAATCACTTCTGCTCGCGGGTACCGATGATGATAGGGGTCAAGCTCATGCTTGGCCACCTCGTCTGGATACTCCTCACGGATTCGCCTTTCTGACATCTTCTCGCATACCCCGGGGTTCAGCTGGCTCATCTGGGATCGCTGCCGAACTTTGTATCCTGTTTCATGGAGATACTTGGCGGTCTCAACAGTCCTCCGTCGTGTAGATGTCCATACTGTCAACGGCTTCAACTCATAATCTTTCTCGCCCTGTTCGGTCATAGCCTGTCTTTCAGCTTCCCTGTGCTGCAGCAGACATTCGGTCATTTTCTTCGCGTAATCCTCCCCTTGCTCAGACAAAGAGGCATCTGTTTTGTAAGAGGGCGCTTCCAGTGAAACGCCGGCCTAATAGTTCATATTGCCGTCAGTAAGCCAAAAATAACCTGACCCAATATGCATCAAAATAGGCAGACCCACCCTGGCGAAGTACGTATGCCTAGACTTGATATGGAGGTTAAGGAGGTAGAAGACAATGCGATTAGAAAGATAGCCAAAACTTCGGTTGTTTACGATCAATCGTTCGCCTGCGTTCATCATCTAGTCGACGATTAGCGAAAGAGAGTCCATGGTAAGTAAAACGAATGGCAGCAAATACCTTGATGTAATTGAGGTCCGTCTCTTCCATTGTTTGGAACTGAGGAATACGGGCGGCTATTCTGGTCAAATAATGTTTGACTGCGTCTTCCGAAGACCACCCTACGTACTGCCAACGGTTGAGTATTGTGCGATAGGAAGGAAGGTCGATGCAGCTATACATACGTCTGGTGAAGATATCTTGACCCTCCGGACATTCTCCTCAATAATGCGTTCGTCATCACACCATGACTCAATGAACAGTGTCTGATTGTCAGAGGTAGCGAAATCAGCGTGGCGCAACAACACAGAGAAGGATTTGACATACTTCTATATCATGCTTGGCAAACTCCTTTGCGAGTGACCGTCGTCCCGAAGCGATGGGATTGACAGCATCATAGATAGCTATCTGCCCATTCTCGTGATTCAAAAAATGATATATATCCTCACGGCATCTCTTCACAATCTTCTGTCTTAAAAGGACCGAAGATGCCGATGCTGAGCTCAATTAGCCGACAAGGACCTCTTATCAAGCCTACAGCCATTCAAGCCGGGTTATAGTTTGTTGGAGCAGAGGCAAAGTCATCACATACCGTTGACGAAGAAGTAATCATCGGGAATGTCTTGACCGTAAGGGATAGTAGCACGCCGATAATCTCCTAGATGAAATATTCTTGTCTTCACGCCCAGCCTGTGATTATCTTAGTCCCAAGTCTGGCAGCGCTATAAGCATGACGTCGAGTGTATTTACCATCGAAGGTAACGCGCCAGAGCCACGGAGATATGTCTGGGAACGGGTTAGTAAACCAGAGAATCCATCACGCACGGGTGCGGTCAAACGAACGTCTTGCCTCTTGCTGGTAGTCCTACAGTGATGATGACAATCCGACCGGAGTGGAAGAGTCGGCCGGACTCGGTGCTGTAGAGCTGCGCGGGGGCTAGATCGGCCTTCTCGGGCAAGTCATGGATCGCATCCACAAATGTGGATGACTTCCGCCGGAACCGCGGGGAATTGGCGACGATGTCCGCAGTTCTGAACTACGTTAGAGCATGTGGGAATCCATAGCGGAAGATTCTTCAATATCTCATGTTGTTCTCTGGGTTCCTGGCAACGAATGGGAGAAGAAACGAGAGGGGCTGGGAAGGATGGGTTGAGCAGAGCTTACAATAACGTATCCATGGCAGTGATAGTGGAAGCCTGGAATGGATAGGCCGGGGACAAACAGAAAGGCAGACACGAGGGTCGAGGAGGGGTAAATAGATAGATGGATAGATCGATCAGTCGACCAGGAAGGTGATCAGGTCATCCAAGTGACGAAGGTTAGGAGCCGCTGCGCCGGGACAGGGGAGCAGGTCAGCCCAATTGGGCGGCAGCAGAGACAAATCAGGTCGACGACAGCCGGAGCAAAAAGAAGTACTAGTAATGATGACTACTTAGTAGTAAGTAGTAAGTACTAGTAGTTCGGCTATAGGTAGGTAGGTTGCGTTGTAGGTGGTATAACTATAGACCGATCCACACCCGATTGGTTGCTATCATCCCACTGGGAGGAGGTAGAATAGAATGGAGGTACTACTACTACTCCCAAGATAGATGATAGTAGTACTGATGATGAAGAATGGCAGGGCAACAATAACTCGAGCTCCAGGGTAAAATAAAAGGTGAAGAACCGCCCAAGTAGACGATACTCGATCACCTGTCTGTCAAGGTAAAACACCCTCGTCCTTTCCCCTCCCCCAAGCGCGCCGAGGAGATTATATCATCGCGGCCAAACTGAAGATCCTATCCCGGCCAGGCCCGAAGCAGGCTAGTAGTAGTGCTACGGCGCACCACAGCGCCGGCTACGCGCAGGCCGGGCGGAAAGGCGCCAGTGGTGACTTTTTTCAAAGCCGAAAGCTCTGGTAAAGAACGCCTTGACTGACTTACCTATCCCCCATCCCCATCCCCAATCCCCCTTCCATCGGCTTTGGTGTCTACCTTCTCTTCCTTCGCCCAGAGCAGGTCGGACACTGCCCTTGAAGTCAACACAGCAAGAGCGTCGTGTCATCACCCACGTTGCTCTTTGCCTCTTTTACGTTCAATTTCCCGGGCTGGTCTCAACAAGGTCTCTACCCTTCTCTGCCCCCAACAAGAACGAACCGCGTATAACGGCCAACCTCCGTCTCCTCCCCGTCCATTATAGCGACCTTTATTCCTTCCTCAGACATCACAATGGCCGACTCTCTAGCTCTGCCTTCCTTTCTCACGGACAATGCCGTGGGCGCTGCTCTCAAAGATGCATACACCTCGTTCTCAGAGCGCAGGGCCGCCCTCGGTCTTCCGAATCCAGGCACCCTGGATAATATCTCCCGTGAGGTTCAGAAGGATGTTCTGCTGTCCAACTTCATGTTCACTGGTCTCCGGGCGGACTTGACGAAGGTCTTTGGCATGTCTCCTCTGTTCCGTGTGTCGCATGCGTTCTCCATGGGTGGTTCCAGCAACATGCCCCCGTACAACTTCTCGGCCATGTACGGAAGTCCAAAGGTATGATGCAATTGTTATGACTTGCTCGGGTATATGCAGTGTGTGGATGGCTAAGTATGGTCTTGTGAAAATTTAGGTCTTTCTGCAAGGCAACCTGGGAAGCGATGGGGGTCTCGCTGCTGTCGGCAATTACCGTTGGACCCCCAAGTTGGTTACCAAGACCAATACCCAGGTCATGCCCGGTGGCCAGGGCCTGATGCAGATTGACAATGACTACACCGGCGATGACTTCTCCGCATCTCTCAAGGCATTCAACCCTTCTTACTTGGAGGGAGGTCTTACCGGAATCTTCGTCGGAAGCTACCTCCAATCCGTTACCCCCGGCCTGGCTCTTGGTTTCGAAGCGATCTGGCAACGTCAGAGCATGGGTGCTCGTCCAGAGTCTGCCCTTTCCTACGGTGCTCGCTACAAGACCGATGACTGGATTGCCAGTGCTCAGCTGCAGGCTCAGGGTGTCTTGACGGCCTCTTACTGGAAGAAGCTTTCCGAGCGGGTCGAGGCTGGTGTTGACATGAACCTCCAGTTTGCTCCCAACGCTGCTGCTGCTCTCATGGGCGGACCTAGCAAGGAAGGCACCACTGCCATTGGCGCCAAGTACGACTTCCGCGCTTCCACCTTCCGTGCTCAAGTCGACAGCACTGGAAAGGTCAGCTGCCTTCTCGAGAAGCGGATAGCTATGCCTATCGCTCTTACTTTTGCTGGCGAAATTGACCAGGCCAAGGTGAGTTCCACTTCCCTATAATGCCCCGAGATCTTGTTATAAGTTTCGTCACTAACCTGTCTCGTCTCTTTAAGCAAACGGCTAAGCTCGGTCTTGCTGTTTCCCTCGAGATCGCTGGCGAGGAGCTGATGGAGCAGCAGGAGAAGGTCGAGCCTCAGGACATGATCCCTCCGCCTTTCTAAGCACGCCCTGACGTGCAGCTGGGACTAATGGGGCCCACGCGATAGTGGGAGGATAGAGCTATTGCTCCGCATCCGCCCTCAGCTTATACCTTTTCATTATCTGTTTTAGTAGCTCTTCTCTCTCCATGTGCATGTTTGGACGATGGTGTATGACATCGGTTATCCCGACGAATGCGGTTTGCTAGTCCAGGGAGGCAGTCGTTTGGCGCCACGGAACCAAGTTTTGTATAGATCCATCTTCGGTCCAGTCGAGATATCTCTTCGATTTTTATGCCTTCATCTATGAATGTTCACCCGAGTCGTCTTCCTGTTACTCTACTTTTCTTTTACTTTTTTATCTCTCGACGGCGATCTTGGCTGATGGACAGGGCTGCTAGGCATGCATGGAAGCATCTTCTGCGGAAAGCCGTTGCTGTTTGTTTTAAACGCATCATAGATGGGGCAATGTAAAACAAGTTCTGCTGCTCATGAAATATACAGTCTTGGGATGGTCTTGTGCCGAAGGAGCTTACATATACCTATATTAGCCCAAGACTTTCAGAAATGGATGGTGTGAAAGCAGACCTTTATGAGATTGATTGATCGTACTGAAGCTGAAATGAAGGAGCATCCAGTCCGTCGGGTATATCATACGGCTTGAGGCGCCCATGGGATAACGCGAAGTCACCGGGCCTTCTTCGTGCTAGTCGTAGTGAACCGTTAAGAGCAAAGGATGCCGGAGAGATTACCGCTGTGCTGCAATCTCGGTGGACAGAATGGTCTCACGGACATGTTCTTCGCATACTCCGTACATTGATCATCGCTAGCTACTGGCCCTCATGACTGCTCGAGATTATTGCCAATAGCTGTTGGAGAGAGGCATTCGATCATTCGTGGCAAGCCCAAAGCAGGGAATCTAGAGAAAGGGAGACGGACAGAAGGTCTGGAACCATACTCGTCGTCGTGACCACGAGATAGATAATGGTGAATACTCCGGAGTCACCGCGATCTAATAAAACCACTACGGGGAAAGATCCCCCCAGCCTTGCCTAAAGCAGTACACTCCTCCCCGAAATCCCCATACGCCCGACGCCCCGAACAGAAAGCAGTCCACCGCGCTAAAATAGCGTGGTTGTCTCTAGCCGACCCCACCGCCTATACGGAGTAGCAGCCTAGCAGGGGCCAAATGATGATAGTGTCGCGATTAAGTGGGAATCGGTGGATTCCTGTTAGTACTGGGAATTGGAGGCACTTATGACAGGACAGTATCATTATTATTTCTTATTGACTCCATCTCCACTCCAGTACGGAGGGGTATTAAAATGGTCCAGGGTAGGTGATCTTCTCGGATATCATCTCTGGGCAAATAAGAGGCCCTCCGTAACTAATGATACTGCGAGAGACTCCTGGCTGATACCTCGTAGAAGTACGGGTAGATTATAGTGACATCCCTAATCTACATACTAGTAAGTACTCCGTACTTTGGTGTGTACCCTCGTTGTCCAGTATCTGATGTAATGGACTGTATGGAGTAATACATCGTAGTACCTATATAATAATATGCAAGCACCCCCGTCCCCTACTAAAATGGGGAACCCTTTATAGTCACACCCTTTCACCGCTCAAATAGGTTTAGCGCTATCACCTGACTCTTATCGCTGAAAAGGGAAATAAAACAATTTTTTATCACATTTTTTAATGATTTAGGCAGCCTCTACCTACACTGCTGCTAGTAAGGCCCTTGGCTGCCCTCTGTCACCTGACCCTGCCCCTGTCACCTGACCCTGCCCCTATCACCTGACCCTGCCCCTATCACCTGACCCTGCCTGCCTTGAGATGATAAATTCTGCCTCTTGAAGCCGCTTAGAGAGTCCTGCCTCGCGTGGTGAATATTCCAGTCAACTACCTTGTCATCTATCTAAAAGCTTGATAGAGACCAATTCCTGGTGTCTTTAGGCCTTTCTTTGCCCTGTACAACAGCCGGTTCCTGGATATAAAGAAGCGATTTGGTGGTTATAGATATTGGATCATGGCTACTAGCAGTAGAACGCGTAGTAAGAGATTAAGAAATTATTATTTTGTGGATCACATGATATTCTATTTCCTTTTTCAGTGAAGTGTGTCAGGTGACAGCGCTAGTCCAGTTTGAGCGGCAAAAGGGTGTGACTCTAAGATTACAGGGTGTGACTTTAAAGGCTTCCTAAAATGGTCTTATGAATATGTATGTAATATGGTAGCCACTTCCGCCATCACTCAGGACCAGTGAGGTATCTCGACAGTTTCACTTTGTTACGGGGAGCCGGAACAGAGCCCTGCACCGGCCATGGCCCGTGATTTCAATCCCGCCCGATGGCTTGTTTGTCCTGCACCACTGCTTTTCCTCAGCACATTCTTCCGATGTAGTAGCGTTTTTAGTTTCTCTGTTGCTCCCTTCCTCCCCTTTCCCTGCTCGAAATCCGGAAGGGAGACGACGGAACCAGACCCGGTTGCATGGTCGTAACAACCCACCTGGGTCCGATTCGCTCGTCAAGCCTCACAAACCCAAGTTGGGCCTCATGCTGTGGCGATTCTTGGGTCCGAATGCGAGGAGAAACCCATGGTTGATGGTTGATGGTTGATGGTTGACCGTTCGCTGGCGGAGGGGGAATAGCAGCGCCCCACAGTGACATCATCCTCTGTCTCGGTGGACATGGAATCGGATCCTTTTCGGTTTCGCTGCCTTTTGTTTTCTCCTGGACCTGCTTATGTGGATGTTGCTTTGAGGTTTATGATCAATGTCAATCATGATTCTGATCATTGGCTGCACGGAGAGTTCTCGAATCATTTCGTCTCCTTTCTTTTCCTCCCAGGTCTCTTACGGTGTATGCTTGATCATTGGACGGTATCGGCACATCTCGGAACAGGAGGAACAGGAGGAACAGGTTTCCGCGGCCGAGTCCATGCCAGAGTCCACCGCCAAAGGGAATACTACTAGTAGTAGCCACGGTAGCACAACATACCCAGCTGTTGGAGAAATCGTGCTTTGTAGGACCAAGGTTGAACACACGACTGCAAAATTCGGCTTTGGATTATTCAAGGCAAGGTTGATGATAAGATCAGTAGCGCTGGCTTCATGTCTTGGAGGATGAAAAAAGACGATCCGAGCTGTTGCTATTGGCTATGTCACTCTGGCCCGCTCAGCCCTCACTAACTACTCGTGCTGGGGAGCGGCAGGCTGGTTGAATTGGGGATCTCAGGAAGGCAAGCAACGATGTTTGACCCTTTTCTTCGGAATGAATGCTTTCGGGCTCCTGTGGCTGTCGTAGGCTCTAAACCAATCAATATATAGTATATGCTCTGTGTACTCCGCAGTACTGATACATAGGGCTCTTCCATGTCGTGGACATGCCATCCTATCATACTGTGTACAACCAGCTAGGAACGGTAGTTGTCGCAGTCCCCGGTTTTGCAACTGTGACCAGTGCCAAAGACAAGTGGAGGACATCGATAGTCAACGTCTTCAATGAACACATGCAAGATAGTCCCATCAGTTATCAGATATCATTGAGCCTACGTTAATTAAGGACTCAGTATCACTTGTGTTCCAACCACTCTTTAGTCTGTTTCACGGGATCAACCAAGGCGTCCCTGTCATGATCTCTGTCGACAGTATGAAGTGGCAATATTAATATTGATGGGTGAGAAAAATGTGATACACTTGATGCCTCACCGAAATACCAATCCAATGCCATGGTGGCTCAGGCATGCAAGATGCAGTCACCTGAGAAGCTCGGGAAAAGTGACCAACGGGCCAGTGATCTGCTGACGCTGTGTGGTCCCGGCGATCCGCAGAACCAAGCAGCATATCTTACTTAGGCTGCCTGCCGTCCGGGTTAAACTCTGAAAACGAGAGCCAGGGTGCTTTATTGGGAATGAGCGGCCAGAAAGTGAATCCACTCGATCCCCTTTTGAGGCTGCGAAGAAGAGCCCAACAAAGCATTTCGTATGAGCAGCCAGTGTGTGAATTGTGGGTCAGTTGGTATGCATCGTAGCAGGGCGAGTATGGCATACCTAGATACTACTACCACTACTACTACTACTACTACTACTACTACTACTACTACTACTTACCACACCTGGTAGTACTGGTAGATCTATGTCGGGTCTTACTATTGGTGTATCCCACTGAGTCTACGATAGCATGAAGATCGAGACGATCTGGGAGGCTAAATGGTACACACTAGATGCACATTACAGTGTCTTAGAGTCAGACTCAACCTGCCAACTTCGATGATTATTATTTTTAAGCGAACACATGCATCCAGGAGGATTTCTTATGTGCATCAGTCAGGCCTAAGGTACCATTGAATTGACTCGAAGTGGGGCATGGGATATGATACCTGTAAGTGTGGATGCCAAGTAATGTATCGGTATTTCGTTTGGATCGCCCAGGAATACGTTAAGAAATATTCGGCTGCACATTCAATTTCACATGTACCTGCCGGTATGTGTAATTGGGTACCTATTCCGTATCTCTAGGCGCATGCTCAGGTATATCCAGCAAAGTTCAATGGGACGCACAGGTTGTCTGCTGTGTCACGGGAGTTGTCATCCACATACACTTTATAATGTTTGATGTTTGATGCTTGGTTTGAAATACAAAAAGTACCACAGGGAAAGTGCCGGGCTTCTAATTCGGCCTTGCGGAATAGCTAGTTACCCTACCCTACCTCTTCTCTTCCCCGACGGCACGGACGTAAGAGCTTAATGTCATTATGATTTGCATCGCTGTCCTTTGTTTCTATGCAATATTCATCCTGACCTGGTCTTTAATTCGACGACACTCCTGGCTGGGTTCGGAGTGGCTTGAAGCCAGCGCTTCAAGCATCAGATTCCTCAAGCCTTCATTGTCTCATGCTGGTATGTGGCTGGTATTAGTCTCATATATCGCCGCAATGAGGTGGATAAGGCAACGAATGGGAAGAGTCTGTCCCAGGAATGGCATGTCCTCTGTTTTAGATGCTCAACTATCATCGGGAGTTCTAATCTGCTGAAACCCAGTTGATATGCCCCCAGGTCTGCGCGGCAAGGGACTTGAACACCTGCATCATCACCATGCTGTCTTACTCTCAAAAGTATGCATGCCTAACCTTTCGGTGGCTCGTGTTGGGGTCAATCCGAAGATAATACAAGGCATGTTTAAGCATCTGCTATCGCACTGCCACTCTCACGAGCCCGATACACTATCGATTCCCCTGTTTTCGGGGAAGCAGGCTGCAAGGGAGAAAGGTAGGCAAGGAAACTTGGACATAACATGGAGTAGCCATCATTGAACTGTTGAGTTGAGGTAACACCTCCTCTGAGTAGATAAGGTAATCCCCACGGAGTATATGCTGAATTATTACTCCGTACGGACTGGTCGTATACAATGGAGATGCATGAATGCCGAGTCTATGAGGCGTCATCAATAAGAACAAAGAAAAAGGGAAAATTTTTTGAAAGGCGGAAGATGTCTCTCTTCGAACTGGGGGTGACAACTAAACGTGAAACAGAGCTTCGCATGATCGTCTTTCCTATTAGAACTCCTGTCTCCTACGGAGCACTCGACCATGGGGCTACTATATTAAGAATGTTCAACATTGACCACCTGGTGCTAGCTGCTCCTGCTACTAGCACTATGCACTTACCCTAGTCATTGTGGGGTTGGCTGTAGCGTACATACCTCTGTTCTCATCCTGGGTTTCCAACGGATTATGTAAATATGTGATATGTCACTCGCCCTTGAATATGGCATATTTGTAACCCAACCAGAGTTTATTGGGCTAAGCAACATGCTCGATGCAGTTGGATACTAGAGCTGACATGAGCCCTTGAAGATAAAGGCAGAGGTGGCGATTGTGCCGTACCACGAGGCACGAGCGTGATACTTCTTTACGGAGCATCGTGTTTTTATGGAACTTTGCCACGAAGGACGTACGTAGTAAATATAGTTCAACGATAATCATTGGATATGGCGACAAATTGGCCTAGTCAGATTTGGGGGCGTGGACACGATGAGCATGGGCCACGAAGATGCACGTGGGTATGGCATCGCCTACTGGATCAAGATAGCTGCTTCCTCCATAGAAGTTATCTACTTAGCCTGGGACGATGGTCCCGGCCTTATCTATGTCCCCCTTCCAGGTATACCAGATGCCTTATGGGGCAGGTGAGAATTCCTAGTGGCACGTCTGCCACGAAGAGAAGACATCGAGCTTTCTTTGTCGCTTGCTATACCTATGATAGGACACAGTCAGAATCTCAGCCGGGTAACTCCAATCTGACCTACATATGCACCCGACCCTGGTGAGCAGCCCACCCGATTACGTTGAAGTTCTAGATCCCGGTCAAATATGCGGCGACCGAATACAGGGTACCCCCTCCTACCGGCTACCGAGTCCACTATGCTAACCTTCCGTTACCTAGTGGCTTAATCGTGTATTTACCATACGTATGCAATAGTACGGTTAGCCAATCAAATGGCTTCCAGTGAAAATCACGGCTGGTCACTTGACACCCAGGGGCCAATGGCAGCACATGATGGTAGAACTACCCTGCCTGTCACCGGAACTTCCAGTGGACCTCACCTCAGTATGTCTGAAATCTTCTTTGGGCTATGACATGGATGGGGGTACTACTACTGGTGATCCAGGCACCTCACTGTGGCTCGCCTTTGGGTTCACCGATCGGCACTCTACGGGCCGCGGAAGAGTCTATAAGGAAGTTGTCTGAAAGGCCTGGAACGCTCAATCTAGAGCTACAGGGCCCATTGATCCGGTCGGGTTATGGCGATGCCTTTCAAGATGCACTAGGCCCTCAGGTAGACGGGTTATTTCTCCTCAGGGGGAAATAGAGGTTGAGGCGCTCCTCACCGATCACTGGAAAAGCGTTGGTGATTCGATCACTTACGTACAAACTCAGAAGTACTGCCGTGGTTGTTGGCTACGGAGATCTCCTGACCAACCCCTCCTTTCTTTACTCTGCAGGGACAAGGAAGAATTGGTATTGCTGGTCCATTGACCCGCGCGGGCATTCAATCGTTCTAGCCCCTGTAAAACAATGCCAGGAATGGTACGGAGTAGAATCAAGGCAATTGACCGGAGCCCGAATTTTCCTGTAGTGGTTGACTGAATGGCGGAAAAAGAGTTGCAGTATTGCGATCCAAGTGTGTTCGGGAATGAAACCGCACTACCCATCTAATGACAACAGGACAATGCTAATCTCAACCCAAGCGCTCGGGGTCAAGGTCACCTGCCCTTTAAGAATGGGCCCTCATTCTCTCAATCCCGGTAGTAGCTACCACACGCCCAATCTGAATGGTTCCACCTGAGGTCCGTCGTCATATTTTACCTACTGATCTGCTTAGCACAGCTTTACCTCAAGATGTAACCTGATTCGGTGATATTATATCTATACTTTGGGACCTTCCGTTCCGTTTCATATTCGGCTTGGAAACGAGGCCAGCCGAAGATCAAAAATGTCTCCTTTTCGTTCGGGTACACATCACCTGATTGGGGGAGTCTTCGGTGAGAAGCGGCATATAGTACTTATGAGTAAACAGGAAGTCGTACTACCCGTAGGAGTCCTCTATATAGTGACATGTCTTAGCGGCATCATCCAACATGATCAGTAGGTAGATACTTAGATAGTCTCGAGAGATATCTAGTAGCACCTCCGACTAGTGGTACCCAGGTACCTTGCTTCCGGTAAGGGCAATAGCGTCATAGCCCAGGACTCAAAGACCTGGGGAGACTGGAGAGAAACCGATCCGGTATTGTACTGTATGGATACATACGTATACTTTGTTCTCCGTACAGAGACTCCTTTACGCCCCTCTCTCTCTTCTTTCTCCTCTTTCCCTTTTCAAATTTCCCTTTTTCCCTCGTTTTCGTTTTCTCTCATTTATTGTTAATTTCCTCGCCCCTCCGGGCCTCGCCCAACAGTATCTAGTACGGGCATGCCTAAATATGTGCCATAAAAGGAGAGAGAGATCTGGTGCGAACTAGGAAGGGCTGTAGATTTGTTTGGGGTACGTTACTAGCCGGGGTGAGATGCCCTCGATGAATGGAAGGCCAACTGGGGCATTATTATTATTACCTTGAAGTGCGGAATACAGAAGGTAGTAGCAATAATAATAATAATAACTTCTCGAGGACCAACGCTACTGTGTAAAGAATGGTTATTTTATGCCGGCGGCCATAAACAGCAATCCCCCAGGTCCCCTGTACCAATAATTCCAACCGTCATCATCATCATCATCATCATCATCATCATCATCATCATCGACATCCACCTCTCTGTTGCCTCTCCACACTCTGCCACAGCTCCGTGCTCACTGCACATCAGTCATTACCCAGGCTTTCTCCTAGGAAGGTAAAGTTACTGCCGCAGGTGAACCACTCCCGCCCCCTCCTAAACCCAAACGTTGCCTTCCGGGGCCTAAGAGACTAGTAAGTTAGTAACAGGCAGGGAGACAAGACAGTACAACCAGATATTGAGGCAGGCTCATTTTCGATCTGGTGCTAGTAGTAATTCTCTCCTTTTGGCATCTTTTTTCCTCAGGTGAGCTTCCGTGTACTCCTGATTCATCGATTTTATTATTATTATTATTATTATTTTTAAAAGCCCCCTCCCCTTTAACCTTTTTTTTTTCCACCGTCCTCCCTGGTCGATATCCATTACTATTCTTATTGATATCTCTTATTTGCCCGGAGCTGGCTCGTGTGTTCCTTGCCTTCTTCCTCTCCTCCCGGTGCTTTATTCCCGCGTTCCTGCAGCCCTCGCGTGTTCGGGCTTCGTCGTTCCATCAACGTCACCTGCTCAGTCTCCTCTCTTCCCTCTTCCCTCTCCTCCGACCGACCATCCCTCCCTTTTGAGAACCTGCCTGTGCTTTCTCTACCTACACCTACCTTACCCGCCCTTCCTCGAAATTCTTCTGCCACACTACTGAGGCGTGAAATTCATAGTACTACTTAGTACTCACCCACACCTGCTCCTCAAATCAGCTGCCTCTTGGTCTTTATTCCTCTCCTGCTACTTCCTCTTCCTACCTTCCTATCTTTCTTTGTTTCGAAAGATCGTCCCCTCGACCTTCATCCCTTTGCAAGCCCGCTTCGATCTTTGGGGGCGTTCCCTGCTCAGGTCTTGTGTCTGCACTCTTGGCACCCTCCCCAAGTCCATTGGTCCTTGGTCTGAGCCTTCCCTCCTGCGATTCGCCCGTCCGCTTCTCAACCTTTCATCTCACGCGCACCTCCACTCAACATCCACCGTTCGGATATTCCGCCCATCCAGAGCACCCCTCCTAACTAGTGCTCCACTGAGTACAGTCTGCCCAAAACGGACCTCACGCCTTACTTCTGCGTCTCTTTCCGACACCCGCTGTTGAAGTCCAGCCCTCCTTATTCTCGATAGCATCGCCCAAGTTGCCGCCCGGTCTTGTCTCCACTAGCCGTCCGTGATGTCACAGAATAGACCTGGGGTATTCTCGAGTCTGCGCATGGGTGGTAAGAGACGACCTTGACGCAATTGTTCTTGAGCCCGTTTCCAGGACTCGATTGCTGACCTTTCCCCTTTCGTTCGCGATCATACAGAAGTCGTCCGCGAGAAAGTCCAGGATGGACTCACAGGGGAGACGAAGGAAATTTCCTATTCACAATGTAAAATCGTTGGCAATGGATCGTTTGGGGTCGTCTTTCAAACGAAGATGATGCCCAGCGGCGAAGACGCTGCTATTAAACGGGTCCTTCAAGATAAACGATTCAAAGTATGCGTGGCCATCAGTGCTCAACATCACCGACTCGGTCGCTAACAGGCTTCCAGAATCGTGAGCTTCAGATCATGCGGATCGTGCGCCACCCGAATATTGTAGAGCTGAAGGCGTTTTACTACTCCAACGGGGAAAGGGTATGTCGCTCTCTGCTCCCATTTATCCTTTCTCTCCTGCCTCTCCCTCACAGTTCATATTCTTCCGGCTGTCTTGCGGAACATCTCACCTTGCTTCCGGCTAATTATGCTGCGGGAAACTCCATAGAAAGACGAAGTTTACTTGAACCTCGTTCTCGAATATGTACCAGAGACTGTCTATCGAGCATCGCGTTATTTCAACAAGTTGAAGACTACCATGCCGATGCTGGAAGTCAAGCTGTACATCTATCAACTATTCCGTTCCCTGGCCTACATCCACTCGCAGGGCATCTGCCATCGTGATATAAAACCACAAAATCTCTTGCTCGACCCAAACACCGGCATTCTGAAGCTGTGCGACTTCGGCTCTGCTAAGATCCTGGTTGAGAATGAGCCTAATGTTTCGTACATCTGCTCCCGCTACTACCGCGCACCAGAGCTGATTTTCGGCGCAACCAACTACACCACGAAAATTGGTAATTTCTCAATTCACTTCAGCGGCTCTGTGTATATACTAATCTACCCCAGACGTATGGTCTACTGGTTGCGTGATGGCCGAATTGATGCTAGGGCAACCACTCTTCCCAGGAGAATCGGGGATTGACCAACTCGTGGAGATCATCAAAGTTTTGGGCACTCCTACGCGGGAACAAATCCGCACCATGAATCCCAACTACATGGAACACAAGTTTCCCCAGATCAAGCCTCACCCCTTTAATAAGGTCGGATCTCTCCCTGGAAGCGATCCTGGACCCTAAACACTGATATCTCATTAGGTTTTCCGGAGAGCTCCCCACGAGGCCATCGACCTGATCTCTGCCCTGCTCGAATATACACCGACGCAACGTCTCTCTGCTATTGAAGCGATGTGCCATCCATTCTTTGACGAACTTCGGGAACCTAACACCCGGTTGCCCGACTCACGGCACCCGAATGGCTCCACAAGGGAACTCCCTAACCTGTTCGACTTTTCGAGGCATGGTCTGTCTCCCTGTGGTCTCCTGCTCCTCTTCCTTTTGAGATCTTCATGCTGACGAAATGGTTTTGTCACAGAGCTTTCTATCGCGCCCGCAATGAACAGCCGGCTGATCCCTCCTCATGCGCGTCCTGCACTTGAGGCTCGCGGGTTAGATATTAACAATTTCAAACCCCTCACGAAGGAAGAAATGATAGCGCGCCTTGACTGAGTCAATCCTCGCAAATCTGACGAACTACACGCCCTTATGTGTGCAAACATGTTTTGCACATGATTGCGGAAATTTGATTTTATGCCCCACGAGCTCATTTTCATGCATCGGGCAGTTCTTGAACCGGAAAAGGTTTATTCGAATCTGTAGACCTAATCCATAGGCGGGGCATCCGGGAGCTGGCTTCTGTGTGGGAGAAGATTGTGACAATGTAAAGCGCGCGCATGGAAATCCGGAGAAGAAAATAACAAGAATGAAAACAAAGCCAAAAAAAAAAGTTGAACAGGGGCGCTGACCCGCGAGATTAGGTGGAGTGGAGGGAATTGTGACTCTTGACGACCAGAAAAGTTCTTAAGAGGAGGGTTTGGTGGATCATGACAGTTTCACGCAAAGGGGTCGATGGGATGATATAGCCTGGAGTTATTGAGGTGTCTGAGACAACTCTTGGGAAGGAAAAAAAAGTGATACCCTTATTGCGTGAGTCTGCCTTCCGGGATCAAGTCTGCATAGCTTCATGTCTCGATTGAAGGGGCCCTGCCCACAGTTTGCCGCAACTCTTCTCCAGAAATGCGGAAAGATGAATATCCTACAAATGCGTCAGATATCTTGAGGATTTCTTTGTTTGGATGCGCCATACCGCGTGCCTGTCAGTGTGCTTGAATATAGGTATTGGAAGTCTTCTTTCCCGACTTGCCGCGCTAGAAGCCCGTTTGTGTCATTGCTGCTTGAATTTGAATTTGTTCTTCTTCTCCGTTCTCTTGTCCCTGCTGTTCTCCTCTCTCCAACCCAACCTCATTCGCTTGGCCTTGACGATCATGAAGCTACCTGCTCCCTGGCCCTAACCTCCGAGTGCAGACGACTCCTTTGTTTTCCCCGCTTGCTTCTGTTCCTAGTCGTTCATCCTAGAGGACCCAAAGAACTATGCCTGGATACTCTCACTTCCTACAGTGTATAATCACAGCCTGCTGTGTCTTCTCTTCTATTTTAGCTTGCTTGTTTGCAGTCTCTACTGCTGTCCGTTGTGCCGGGGTAGTATAATCGCGTATGTGTAGTACTTTGCATCACCCCGGGGAAGAGATTCCTGGGGGAGGGCTTTTGTTTTTCTTCCTCCTTACAAGACTCTGAAAATACTACGGGGTACGGTACATCCTATTCAAGCTTCCAATAGACATCAATACGTCCACCAGAGGATGGATACCTATTGGGATTGCTGTGCGTGGCATGTGCCCGGCCCACCCGAGCTCTGGTTAGATAATCAGCGGGACGGAGGATCCCGAACCCCGACCTTGCTGAGCATTATTGGTGATGTTTTGTTTCTTAGTCGCACGCCCTCTTTTTGACCCGACGGTATTACCACCGAAGAGCTCGCCGCTGCCGCCCTTGTAAGCCGTATTGGCTGCAGAATAGACTTTCCTCCCTACACCAGTTGGAAGTAGCCGGTGCGCGAGACTACTCGTGTAGACGCAGGGTCCGTTAGCGATGGCCGACTACGAACGTCGACCTCATGGCGCCAGGGGTGGGCGCAAGAGGCGCTACAGAGGTCAGTAAGACAAACAATCTCATTATGGGCGAGATCTTGAATTCAATTGCTTGTTTTTGATGTCTTCCAACCCTATGATACTTTGTTTGTTGACTCTGATTGGAGCTCCCTCCCCTTGTGGTACTTACCATTAACCATCCGTTGGGAGTTTACAGAAGATGATGACTATGACCGCCGCCAGAGACGTCGATATGAAGAGCCACTTATTGTCAAGGTCCGGAGACAGCTGCTTACGATCGCTGAATCTGTACGCATACCCTTCCATTGCCCCAATAGCGCAACACATCCTTGGCAAGTGCTGTAGCTCACCCCATTTGCTTCAGGCTGCCAGAAGAGCAGAGGATGACGCTATAAGCATCGCGAAAAGTGTGGCGGATAACTACGGGGATGAGGAATTCAGGAATTCTTTCGTTGAGATCGCCCTTGACCTGTATGACCGTCCCCTTTTGCGTATTCAATTGCCGCGTAGCCAGGAGCTGATGCTGTTGCTATCAAACCAGTGCCCTCGAGCAGCCGTTAAAAATTCCTTTCATCGCGGCGACCGTCCTTATCGCCAATTTCCAGAAGCCCGAACTCGTGTCCGATGTCCTCAACAGGTCAGGTGAATGCTTGCAGAAGTACGTTGATGTTGGCGCGTGGCGCGAAGTTAAGCTCCTCCTGCGGCTCCTGGGCTGCCTTCAATGTGTCTTTGAAGGTGATGGCATCTTCCCAGTGCTAGAGGATCTCTTTGCGCGCGCCGTTGACCTCCAAACAGCATCATCAGAAGATGTAAGCGACCCCGATTATCCGCCAGTTCCAGTGTCACGTATATGCTAACTACACATATATAGCTGCTTGGCTTGGAGCTGGTGAAAATCATCCTCTTTACTATTCCGTATGTGATGGCCTCGCCAGCAGCCGGTTTCGAGTCCCAGGCCACAGCACTCCTGGAAAAGACGGACATCATCGCGTCCACACCACATGCCCTTGTGGACCTGGTTAATCCTTTCGGCCCCGAGAACGGTAAGCCAACTGCTATGCAAAGCGTCATCAGCCTAGTCCAGAATCAGCTGCAGGGAGAGTCTGCCCAGGGTTGGGCGCTCGCGTGCCTCCCTCGGCCATGGAGGGGGGCGCTAGAGGCACTAAATGCACAGAGAGCCGAGGAAATGCAGGAAACACAAGATGCACAGGAAGAGGGAGCAGAGACGATGGAAGCAACTGAGGCACCCGAGCCGAAGACCTATGAAAATGGGCCGAAACATGTCTTCCCCCAGATCAATGTTCCGAGTCCGGTGAAGAACGGAACAAGAGCGATTTTCCCGGAGGTGTACCTCTCCGTATATGCAAACCAAGACATTGAGACGGTCCCTCCTACATCAGACATCTCTTCTTCGTTGCTGCGCGACGCCCTTGTCGATACCATAAACATCCTCGACTTCAATCGCATTGCAACTGCAAAATTCTTGATCGATGTCGATTGTTATTTTACACCATATACCTTCGTGAAGCGCGCGACTCCTTTTGATCGACTACGTGATTTGCCTGGAGACACGCAATGGAAGCCCGAGGACGTTGCTGTGGATGCCGTATTTTCTCAACTATTCCAGCTACCTTCCCCCGAGCATAAGCTAGTTTACTATCATTCGGTTCTTACGGAGTGCTGTAAGATCGCTCCAGCCGCGATTGCACCTAGTCTGGGGCGTGCTATTCGCTTCTTGTACCGCAGTCTGGAGACGATGGATTTGGATTTAAGCCATCGATTCTTGGATTGGTTCGCTCATCATCTGAGTAACTTTGGGTTCACCTGGAAATGGAGTGAATGGTAAGTCTAGGCTGAAGCAGACAGAAGATGGTGCAGAAAACCTAACAATGGGCCAGGATCGAGGACTTGGAGCTGCCTCTCGTGCATCCGCGGATGGCTTTCATTACCGGCGCCCTCGACAAGGAAATCCGACTGAGCTTTGCACAGCGCATTAGGGGCACTCTCCCTGATCCATACCAGGACCTGATTACGGAAGGGAAAGAGAAAGATACACCTGACTTCAAATACTCGTCCGACAGTAAGTTAGGCTTCCAGTTGGAAACCATGCCAAGCGATTAACCCGTTTCCCTCCAGCTACGCCATATGCCAATGAAGGCAGAGAAATCATGCAGCTTGTCCGCAAGAAGGCAGGCGATGAGGAAATCCAGCCGGTAATTAGTGCCATTGAAGAACAAGCCAGCTCGCTGGGTGTTGATGATCCGCTGCTGCCATCGACGGACGCCTTTGTTACGGCTATTTGCTTTGTTGGTTCCAAATCCCTTTCTCATGTACTGTCCTGCATTGAACGGAACAAGGAACGGCTCCTGGCAATTGGCCCCCAATCCCCCCGGGCGCGTCGTCAGATCATAACCTCTGTCATGGAGTATTGGGTCGATCAGCCTGGCGTTGGTATCAACATCATCGACAAGCTTCTCAACTACACCATCTTGACCCCACTCTCAGTCATTGAATGGGCGCTGGTGGATAAGCTAGAGGCAGGAACTGTCCTTGCCGAATCTCACATCTTCGAGATGATTTCCGCCACGGTCGGGAAGGTCACCAACCGCCTACGACAGATCGTCGCCGCACGTACCCAGCCGGGTCTCTACGAGCCTCAGCTCAGCGTTCTCGATGAGACCCTCAATCGCGAGAAGGTCGATATGCAAGCTCTATTCAGGGTGATCGAAGACTCTATCGTGTCAGTCGCCGGTGGAAGCAACGACGAACTGATGGAAAGAGGAGACGGAAGTGGCAGCCTGCCCGAGGATGAGATCATTCGGCAATGGGGCCAGCGCTGGCTAAGAGTGTTCCGCAGGAAAGCCGGAGTCGAGGAATCCTTCATTGCTGACGCCATGGCTGCAGCGACCCCCGTCGGCACGGTCGCACCCCCTCACGCCCTCGAAGAGACTGTTTCTGAGAATATTCCAGCAGATGGGGAAATGGATGTTGCTGAAGCCGATGCGAGCGTGGACCTCTCGTAAAGAAGCTCCAATCATATCTACTAAGGGAGGTTCCATGTATCTCGTTTGGGACAGTCCGTTTCCTTTCTGTATTCATAGGTACATTCAACTTATCTCGACCAATTCAGCGGGTAGGGCGTTCAAAAAAAATGATACAATCATTGACGATTAAATCCATTGTAATAATATGGGTCTTACGTTGCGTAGTTGAGCCATGCTTTTTTCTATACCCTTCATACTAAAGAACAACAACTGGGCCATAGTAGGTTCATGCATGCCAACAGGATATATGTCTGCTATTAATTCTCGGAAAAAATATTCTCCCGAAGTAATGTGCCATACCTCCGCAGGGTACTATACAATGTTCGACAGCAACATCTTCCCATTATATATAGGCATATTCGGCGTAAAACACAACTCCCCTTTTCGTCCGTAATATGTGCAAAGCAAGAGGCACAAAATATTAAAAGGACAATAAGGTAAACAAAAGCCGGCCAGGACTGGAATCCAGCGAGATGCGTAATCAGTGAGTTTTGCCGTGAATAAAGATACAATCTGAGGATTAAGACGAATTAATATACTAGAACGTGTTGTACAAGACGCGATTAGGGCAGCGTGGTATTGGAGGAAAAGAAGGGAAGCCATCAACTCGTAACTTTGGGCCCGTTCACGGGCACGACTCTGAATGGTGTGTTCCAAACCACACAAGTGTTCAAAACTCATTCCCAGAAGTCAGGAAAGCAGACTCCAGCCTCAGGAACCATTAACCACTCCTATGAGGCCACTTCGCAGACGTGGAAATGGAGCTTGGATAAAACCATACACTATGCGTGGTAGCACGTTGACTGGTAGCTCCATGATGATTGCCGAAGTCGATTGAGGTCAGGAACGATGGTAACGAAGCTTGGGCCTGGTGAGAACCTCCAGAACAATTCCTCATTAAAGGTCTCGATCATATTTCATAGGTTTTTCTTGGTCTGTGTATCAGCCAAATACGCCCGGTCATCGTCACCTTCAACGGTCTTAAGAATAGTCTCCATCTCCTTGGTCTGTCTCTTCCATTCTTCCTGGTCATTCTTCGTCTCGCGGCGGAAGAGCTCCTCGTTCGGCTTCCGATAGCTGCCTCCGAGGCGATCCCAGAGAGTGGTAAATTGGCCGTAGTTATAGTTGAAATACAAGTGGTGCATGGTGTGGCAGGCCGCTCCGTTGATCACAGGGCTGTTGGCAACGTACTCGCCGTCATGAATCAGCACGGTCCAGAGGTTGATGAACCCAAAGAGGAACACATAGGCCACCTTCTGGAGCGGGAAAATGAATGGGAAGACGTGATAAGGAACGCTCTGGGACCAGCCATCAAGTGGGTGAAAAGCATGAGAAGCGAAGGGACTGGGCATGATCCACTTGTGGTGAGGCTTGTGTAGCGTCTTATAGATGAGCGGGTGGTGCAAGCCGCGGTGAATCCAGTAGATGCAGAGATCGGTGAACATGATGAACAGCGGGAATTGGAGGATGCTGTAGTAGGGGAATGGTTCATCGGAGAACGTATCATAGAGCTTTGCGTAACCGCGGACTTCGGCGACCAAGAAGGGAGCCGTCAACAGAGACATAACCGGCATAGAGCGCATAGTCTGGGCGATTTCCATAGGAATTTGATTTTTGAGATACTTGGGGTGATGGACGGTCGTCTTATCCCAGATGAAAATGTACGACAGGCTTGCGGAGATGAAGTAAACAATAATCCCAAAAATCCTAATTGGACGTACGCGACCTGTTAGCCAAGTAAGAATTGACAACATCGGAAAGAAACGGAGGTACACATACCAGACGATCAAGAAGAAACTGAGGGATTGACGGTAAATGTTGTTTCTTGGCCAAGCGCTCATGTAGGCATACTTGGTAGGCTCCAGGTAAATCAATTGGGTGGCCGGTTCATAGACATAGGGTTGGGATGCACCGAAGAAGGACAGTGTGCTATTGGCGACGGTAGTGAAGCTGGGAAGCGAGACCGACGAGGAGAGGGACACGGGAAGAAGAGTGGCGTAGAGACGATCACCAATGAAGGTGTCCCAGATTTCGAGGGCGATATCCATTGCGCCCAAGTGTCCGCGTAACTCAATGAGAGGAGAGGCAATTCAAGGCGTGCGGCGTGGGAAGAATTGCGGGAGAGCAGAAGTTATTATTGACGATTAAGTGCCCGAATGGGGAAAGGGGGCGGGCATGTAAGAATGATCGAAGAGCCTGCCGATAGCTAGGTCGATAGCCGGAGAGAAGAAAAAGGAGGAGGAGAAGAATAAGGAGGGGGTGGGAGGTGGAAGAAAGGGTGAAGTAACGGCTTAGAGAGAAGAAAGAAGGGGTGAAGAAGTTAAGTAATAAGAATAAGAAGCATCCATGGTGGTGGAGAGCCTATCATAGGCAGGTGAGGATCACACCAGGCGGAAGGAGAGCAGCCGTTCCGTCTGATTTGTTGATGGCCAGGTGGCCCGGACGGTGGTGGGGAGGTTCGGATGTGCAGATTAGTAGTAGTACCTAATAATCCCTAGATAAAAGCATCCCATCCTTTCAGGGGATGAAGCCAGATCCAGATCCAGATCCAGCCAGACTCTCCCGTTTAGGGTCTAGAGTCATGCTGCATATCTAGAGAGTCGAGGAGGCTAAAAAGACGGGATGAAACACATGTATATAGATATCCAAGTAGATACTAAGTAGATACTAATTAGTTGTGCAGTACTACAAGCATCTATCTAGGTAGTACCTGAGTCCCGGGTTTGGAAGGAAGTTGTGAGGGAAATTACAGCCGAGTTCCCAAATGGTGCATCCGGAATGCCGACGATCTGATAAGGGATAACGTCCTGGTCACGGGGCCGTAATAGACTCCTGTATTCAAGTGGTATTACGGCGGCTATGGCGGCCACTTGGTGGGTATCTTCGGTCATGTATGGTCACTGTGGTCTTCTGCTCGAAAGAGAGCTTCAACCGGAATTTAAAGGAGCAGGCAAACTGTAGAGGGGCTTTCCCAAGCTGGCTCTGCTCACGCTCATCGCTCAGAAGACTAGAGGGTGGCCATCCCCCTCGAGATTCCCGGCCGGTCGCTTCTCGCCTAAGGCTCGTTTGGGGCGGCAAAGCGGGCAAGCTCATTGGGCTGCCGTTGATCTCCGGACCCGGGCAGCCGAGCATGACCGGACCTTACCTAAGAGAGACTAACGAACTGAACCTGAACGGACCTTCAACTGTCACCTCATCTCGTTCTCCTCCTCCTTCAGCCTCAGCTTCTCCTCCTCTCTCCTCCCTTTCCGTCTGCCCACCGTCCGCGTCCATCGATCGTCGTCCTCGGGCTTCCTCCCCCCGCGCAATCCTCATCATTCGACAATTTCTCGTTTTCTTCTGCTGTTTTCCCTTTCGACCACGTTGCCGCGCCGAGTCCTCAGGGGCGCGCTGTGATGCGGCTGCGGTGATCGATTTCCTTCCAGCAGTCTCTGTCGCCTTCCAGTGACTCCCGTCGCCCCCAATCGCAGACCATTCTCCACGTTGAACTACCCCATCCTCCTATCACCCATTTGGCCTTCAGTCCGAGCGACTTCAGTCCCACTGTCTCGCTCTTCCGACTATCCGTCCCTCTATTTGTTCGTTGAGCGAACGCAGGAGAACAAGGGCAGCAGTAGCTTGCGCTATGTATAACACTCATCGCGGGATGGTTCCGGCTCCTAACTCTCGTCTGACGGAGTTACTGGACCAGCTGCGCCAGGAGTTTGAGAATCAATCTCGAAGCACTGGCGAGTTCGAACATCAATGTACGTTTGACTGCCCCCTCCTCCGTCTTTATGTGTGCTCTCCGATTGGGTTTGCGACGAGGTCCTTGCTTGTTACGGTGTTTTCTGCCGGCTCCAGCCTGTCGCGCAGGAGCAGCGTACAGGGCAGACCCGGAGGAAGGATGGAAGGATGGAAGGGCAACAACCACAGAGGGTTTACATGAATTGTGCAGCTCGCTGACACGTATCTCCCAGTAACCGGACAGCTTCAGGAGATGGAGATGATCCGACAGAAGGTCTATCAACTAGAACAAGCACAAATCAAGATGAAACAAGAGTACGTGACTTAGCCCGCAACTCAAATGCCTAAACTAACGCCTTCTGTCCTGTAGCTACGAAGCAGAGATCCGGGTGTTGCGCCACGAGCTTGAATCGCGTGGTGTCCAACCCGTGTCGTCTCATATTGCCGGCCCAGCCCAGCACGCCGGGCCTTCTCAGGCTCCGCCACCTGCCCTGGGCCACGGCCCTAGCAATCTGTTTGGTGGCATCATGACCAACCAAGGAGGTAGTGGCCCCGGTCTTCCAGTTGCCCCTCCCCCTCCCCAGGATCAGCAGCCTCCCCAGCATACCCTTCAACAGCCTGCTGCCGCGGCCCAGCAAGGAGCGCCGCAACCACCGCAGAGCTCTTTTGGGGGATATCAGCCTGGTGCTGCTGTGAACGGTATGTTGTGACTGTGTTTAAAGACGGATTCCCTGACCTCTGACCCCGATCGACTTGATCTCCCAACAGGTTACGGACCCCCCCCTCCTCCCGCCGCCTCTCCGGGCCCTGGAAAGCGGCCCCGTGCTCCTCCCGGCCCGGCGACTCCTCAACAGACCCACCAGCTGGCCTATACGTCGGACCCCCGTGTCTCATCACCGCAATTGGCCCGGCCCACTCCTCCTAGCCAAGCTATCGTTCGGGACCGCCCAGGGAATATGCTGGCCAATTGGAACCCCGATGACTTGCCGGCTTCGCAAAAGCGGGAGGGGGCTGATTGGTATGCCGTGTTCAATCCTGAGGTGCAACGCGTGCTGGATGTAGAACTTGTTCACCACCTCGTCCACGACAGTGTTGTTTGTTGTGTTCGATTCAGTCGTGACGGCAAGTACCTTGCGACCGGTTGTAACCGCTCTGCACAGATCTTCGATGTGACTACTGGTCAAAATGTTGCCACGCTGCAGGATGAAAATGTGGACAAGAATGGCGATCTCTACATCCGCAGCGTGTGTTTCAGTCCCGATGGCAAGTACCTTGCTACCGGCGCCGAGGACAAGCAGATTCGGGTACGTAGCCCCCTTAGCGTTAGGCTTTTCATTTCTGCGGGGATGAGGATGAGCGTTATCGGCATAGTCCTTCGTGGAACATTGCTCCCATGCCCGCTTTGCTTTGTTCCTGCTTCGATCCCTGCCTATTGTCATCGACACCGATGCGATGCGCTGTGATGATAATGTCGAGACTAACATATTAATGTCCTTAGGTGTGGGATATCAACGCTCGGACGATTAAGCATATCTTTACCGGGCATGAGCAGGATATTTACTCTCTTGACTTCGCTGGCAACGGTCGCTACATTGCGTCCGGTAGTGGAGACAAGACCGTGCGCCTCTGGGACATCCTGGACGGCAAGCTAGTCTACACCCTGAGCATCGAAGACGGTGTGACTACCGTTGCCATGTCTCCTGATGGTCACTACGTCGCCGCCGGCTCTCTTGATAAGAGTGTCCGTGTTTGGGATACCACTACCGGTTACCTCGTGGAACGGTTGGAGAGCCCCGATGGCCACAAGGACAGTGTGTACTCGGTCGCATTCGCGCCCAACGGCCGGGACCTTGTCAGTGGTAGTCTTGACAAGACTATCAAGCTTTGGGAGCTTAATGTGCCCCGGGGCGCCTATCCCGGAAGCGGAGTCAAGGGCGGTAAATGCGTCCGCACTTTCGAAGGTCACAAAGTATGTACTCCTTGACAGCGAGGGAAGCCTTCTGGTTGCTGACTCCGAGGCCTAGGACTTTGTGCTCAGCGTTTGCCTGACGCCTGATGGACACTGGGTCATGAGTGGCTCTAAGGATCGGGGCGTTCAGTTCTGGGACCCGGTCACTGGAAATGCGCAAATGATGCTTCAAGGCCACAAGAACTCTGGTTCGTAATCCGGAACGCCCACAGCTTCCTTGCCAAATGATATTTTGCTAACCAAGCAACAGTCATTTCAGTGGCGCCCAGCCCTACTAATAACCTGTTCGCCACTGGCAGTGGTGACATGCGGGCAAGAATATGGAGGTATGTTGTTACTTGATCATAAGACGTCGATTGCCATATTGGCTGCGTCGGTGGACATTGCTAACGAGGTTACCCCCATCAGGTACTCCAATTACACCGGACGGTGATGAGAATGATTTGGGAAAGCCTAGGCGCAAATGTGGATTTTCTTTTTCTTTTTCAATCTTCTGTTTCTGATTCCTCTACTTGGTGCGCCTTGTTCGACGTCACTTCTGGGACTTGCGTTGCAAAAGGCCGATTGCTTTTGATTGTCACTGCTGCCGTGTACGGGAAAGTGACCTTGGGAATCTCTTTTCCAAGGAGACGAACCGCTCCGAGCAAAACAAAAAAAAAAGAAAACGAAACACAATAAAAAGAAGGCTGTACTGGTAGTAATTTTGTGCTGATTATGTGGTTCTGATTTATTCTGAGGAAGCTGAATGCAATTGTCACGAGAGCAGTGTGACGATCGGTAGAGAGGCTGGTGCTGTATTAGTGGCCGCCATTGCCAAAAAGGTTAATGATTCAGTAGGCTCGTTGGCTGGAGCATAGTGTAGTTGGGGAGAGATCGCCCTTGGGACCCTTGGGTTGATCGATAGTTCGTGTCTGAGTGGCACGCAAGATCGACTGGCACCAACTGTTCAGGAATATGCCGCCGTGGCTACCTATCAGATATCTACCTAGGCTCTACAGCGTGCTCACTGCGGGTCATAGGTAGTTGTAGTCCCACGCTCGTAAGATGAACTTCAATTTGGGTACACAGTCCCTGTGACAAGCACCTGCACTTGACAAGAGGCGAGTCAGAGAACGCTACCCCTATTCAGTCCCAATGCAGATGCAAGTGTTGTTATGTGTGTCATTGGAAAGGAGGACAAAAAGGGGTGGGGGAGGGGATGCTGTACCGGGAATAAGGAAATGAGCTGCAATGCGATCTTTCTGATGAACCGGTGACGTCAGCCACAGTTCTATATTCTCGTGGTATGAGGGACTTTGCACTTGCGCACATGTCGCATCGCATATCACACACATAGTACTCCGAGTAAATCGCATATCAAACACATACTCTACATAAACTCCACCGCCCGTACGGAGTCCCCTGAATTATCTATGGATCTAAATCGAGATCTGTAGTCCGCTAGTTGATCTAGCTCAGACTGCCAGGGGGTCCAGGTACAGCAAGTACA